CCCCCCCCCACTCTTCTTCGATTTCCTCTCTTGCATTCCCTCATCGTACCACTTGGGCACACGCCTACGCACATCGCAGCTCCTCTGCTACTCGCCAACGTCTTGTATTTCCACCATCAAATGGTACGCGCACGACCAAGCCTTGCGAGGTACTAGTCCCGAGCCGATGGGGGGCCGAGGTGATGCTGATACATGTCGATATGGAAGCTCGAGGGATCAGGTTCGCGGCACATGGGCAAATGTGAGGTCCAATCCGCTGCATGCGCCAGACAAATCTCATCGCATTTCAACTCCTTTGTGCATATACTGGTGTGGCTCGAAGAGGGCAGTGGATCGAGTCGCGATTGCGAACGGCGCAAGGCGATGCGCGAAAGAGGCGTGCGCCACGCCTCTCTCTACATCTACTCGTCTTCCTCCTCCTCTCCCATCTCCTCCCCTGCCGCACCCGAAGCTCCCGCGCCTTGTCCACCCGAGCGCCTGCGCTTCTTCCTATCCGATCGCGTAGCAATCTTGACGCCTTGCGCTGCCAACTTCTTCGAGAGTTCCGTCGGATCGTGCATACCAGGAAATCGGCGCGGCGAATAAACGGCTGACAGGCGAATAGATGCCAACAAAGATACAGCAAAAGGTCAGCACCTAGATTGCATCCGCCATGCTCTACGAAAAGCACGCACTGAAAGGATCTGTATACACTTCTGCCAAGGCAGTGGAGACACCCTCATTGGACTGCCCATCCCTGCAGCTTGCCACAAGCTCAAGCGTGAGTATCGACTAGGCGGAGCGGGCGCCGCAGAGCCTGCGCTTCGTAAGGGCTGCGCACTCACCTCGAAAGATCTGCAAAGAGTAGCTTCAATCGATAGGATCCCTCTGTGCGCACGCTCAAGTCTTGGAGCACGAAAAAGATGCAAGTATGATCGCGCTCGTCCTTGAGGACATTCGCACTGGCCACCGAGGCTCCGACCAGGTTGCGAGTGTACGACTCTGTCGTCAAGGTTTGAAGACCAGCCGGCAGGATGGAAGGTGGCATTCCGGACCCGCTAGACGAGATCTCCACGCCGCTCCCCATCGCAGTGTCGTATGGACCACGCGCATCAGAGGAAGATCGAGAGCGAGAGCCGAGGTGGAGGGCTGCGAGCGAGGATAGGCTGCCTGCGCCGGGCGTCGTTGGTGTAGGAGGCCTTATGCTTGGATAGTCTGCAGAAGAGGGTCGACTGCTTGGTCCAGGGAAGGCGCCGTATTCAGATGGATTTCCTAGGCCGGGCGAAGGGACGGGCACGGTCGTTGAGTGATGATGAACCAAGACATTGCGCGGAGAGGCCATCAGCAGTTCGGGATGGCAAAGATCGCACGCTAGGTAGAACAAGGACGTGTTCACTTTCCTAATGGCGGAAGTGGAGGGCATCAGCATTTGCATCACACGGAAGCGGGGCTCGTCCTGCCGAAGGCTCACCATGGCGACACCTCCTCTCCAGTTGCTTCCTCTGTAATCACAAGCTTGACGATCAGAGTTGGACTCAGAGGTCGTCGATCCTTGTCTCCGAAGCCGCACATCCGCGCCCTGCTGGGATGCTGTACAACCACTAGTTGATAACGTCTGGCGTGTGGCACCGGAAGTAGCAGAGGGCATCAGTACAGGACCGCTCGCATGACTTCTCACTGCTACTCACAAGCCTGCTTTCACGCGCGAGATCCCTTCTAGCGGAGTCGTGGCGACTGCGGTGGAACTCTCGGCCCTAGGGTAGGAGCTCTGAGGCGGCTGTGCAGCTTCATGACCAGCCTCTTGTTGGCCTGGGAAAGCACGAGTGTGAGCTTGAGTGGGAGATGACATCTCGAGGCAAGATGTGAGGGGTACAATGCAAGAAGGCGCACCTGAAGCTGACGCGCCGGGCTGATGAGGAAATTCCGTAAACGTGTAGGGATGCGCGCTTGCCGCGCTTAGTGTTGCAGCTCGACTTCGATTTGACATCGAGGCGGTGGTAGAGTAAGGACCAGGCAGCAAATCTGCGCGCGAGCGCCTTCTTGGCCGCTCAACACCGGATGGGCCTGCGCCAAAGCCACCGCCAACTCCTGCTGCGGGCGGCGTCTGAGGTGACCGTGCTGAGTCTGCAGACGGATTGTACGATGAGACACTGCTGCCTGAGCGAGCGCGAGAGGTCGGATCGTTCTGAAATGGGTGGGAAGGGGCGTGACAGAAATGGAACGACAAATGTCAGTATGAGTCCCAAACACAGATACAATGGATGCGAAACATCCAGACAAGCCTGATCCCTGCAATGTCAATCTCTGCTTTATTTGCTGTGGAGAAGGGACGCACAGGAGCTGCTAGGTACGGCCCAGTCCGAGGTGCTGGCAAGCCCGAGGCTCTCGTCGAGTGCCCTTCCCTCGACAAAGAGGCTAGGTTGCTCGGCGCAGCAAAGTACTCAGGGTGTGGGTGCAACGTCCCACGATATGGTGTTGCTGGTGGGGGCAAACAAGCAATGAAGGTGAGCTGCGGGCCCGTGGTGATGATTCGCTAACCCAGCGAAAACAAGACCTACAACCTAGCGGAGGGAGCTGTTGTGCTTGGAATGTACCAGTCGAAGAGTGATCCTCTAGTTGAGGGTAAAAATTGCCTTGCCGACCCGGTACCGGGAGGTCGCCTCTCAATGACCCCGATCGCTCTCGCGTCGGAAGGATGGGTCGAGCTGCACCGAAAGCAGAGAGAGGCTGATGCTCCGGTTCTGACGGCCAAGGTTCGCCTCTAGAAGACTCGTCTCTAGCACTCAAAGGTCGGGTAGACCGGCCAACAAAGTTTGGACGTTCATCGCCCGCATCACGCGATGGGTGACTCATTCTTCCGCCGTTTTCGTCTGCTCTAAGAGTCGGCCGATCGCGCCAAGCGTTGTAGAGAGGGACTGCGATCTGTGTGGACGGCAACAAGGTTTCATTCAGTATTCGACGAAAGTCAGCTATTATGAAGGGAGTGCGGTAACCCTTCCTAGTCGCAGGACAGAAGAAGAGCACCGATGGTCTCTGATCGAGCGCTGAGACCCCGTCCCTCGCTCGCATGTGTTAGAGACGACAGCACGACGAAAGCCTACGCTGCGGTTTCCTTCGTTCCTGCATTGTGGGCTTTCATGAGCCCACACACTATGCCGAGCTTTGGTGCTACGTAACCGCCTAGATCGAGTCCGACGTGATCTGTTCTTCTATCATAGCACCACGCATAACCGCCCAGGTGACAAGCCACCATCAACTTGCCATCGCTCGCCAATGAACGAGATTGTGGGCTCGAATGTCGACCTCCCCTTCCTCTTGGCTCGCTTATTCCCAATATTGTGTCTACGGAAGAGACCTCCTTACGCCTAGACATCTACGTCGAGTCGCCGATCACCCTTTTGCAGATCAGAGTGAATCGCCTTGCTGCCAGTCAGGCCGCTGTCTCTGCGTAGCGCTGAAGTCTCTATGCGTGTGCGCGCGTGCACGAGATGGCTTTCAACAGTGCAGGAGCCGGCAGACTAGTCCAATTGCTTAGCCAAGCTTCATTCAACTGCTTCGTCCTCCTGCCTGTCTGACTGCCTAGCTTGCCATCGGCGCATACAGGCTGCCAGCCGGCTAAGTTGAGGTCGCATTACGGCTCCGAGAAAAGCTCGGCGCACCACAAACTCAATTTGGCATCGGAGCAGGCCTAGAATCGCCGCCCAATAACTTGTGACTGCTCATTAGCTGCTGCACTGCAAGAAATGCAGCTGGGACGCCGGTCTTTGCGCGAGGCATGGTTCGGCTCGGCTGCTTGAAGCTCGTGAAGAGTACTTACCTCGCGAAAGTCTAAGGGCCCTGTCGGTCAGGTTGCAAAAAGTCCTCTTCCCCAGTCTTTTGGAGGAGATGTGTGTTATGCCGAGTGTCAAGCGCTGCCGCTCTTGAAGCCTGCAACTTAGGTGCTTGAGTGCTGAAGACTTCGAAAAGCGAGCGATGCTAGATGTTCAACAAGACAGTCTACCGCTTCTTGCCGAAAGCTTGGGCGGAAGCTTGCGGACCAGATATAAGTTATGTGGCGACGCGTCTGGCCAGATCGCACTTGGTCTGAAAAGATGCGACAGCCTTCCACGAGATGACTGGACGATTGTGAAGACCTCGAATGGAAGTGAGAGCGATGCCGAAAAGATCTGGCGCACAAGTGGCGAATCTCAGATATTCAAGGCGAAGCGGCCCAGTCGTCAGGCCCCCGAGCTTTTCAAGCCCAGATGAACGGCGCCCGAGCGGATCCAGTGAGTGTCTATGCTGGTCGGTGAAGGCAATGTGTGTGCAGGGTGTGTCGGCGCTCGGAGGCCATGGATGCGATGGGCCAGTGAAGAGGAACGAGGGGATCCAGTCACAGCTGAACAAGTGCATGAATATATGCGTTTCCAGGCTCGCCCGACGCGCAGCTTTGCGGGGAGGAGGTTGCGGTGGACGTCCTTGGCGGAGCGACGGGTAGCAAGGCTCCGTCGAGGGGCGGAGCGCAGCGTTGTAGCAGAGGGCCAGGGGCCGTGCCCTTCGGTGCTACAAATTTCGCGTCAAAGGTGGGCAGAACTCTCGTCAAGGAGCAGTGGCGACGAGACGGTGTGGTGGTTGAACGAGCAGTCTTGTGCAGCGTACATATGGCGAATGCGTCGTGCCCATTAGCAGGAGAGTCCAAAGAAGGCCGAACAAAGCAGTGATGGAGATTGGAGGAGGACTAATCGTAGGCATGCGGTCGGTATTATCGTCGATCTGACAAGGGTGGAGATGGACGACGATCTGGGTAAGTCTTGTGGCGCTTGCTCAATTCCTATACTGCGAACGAAGTGGCGACGTCATGTCCATAAGCCGGCCAACAAGCGGATCGCATCGTTGCATCTCTGTGGCAGACGACAACCAAGAGGCGTGAGATGGGCGAGTTCTTGGCTTGTATGGAGCGACAAAGATGCACCGTGCTGCGCTGCGCCTCGCAATCAACGCACGCAAGGAAGGGTCTCCTCGCCGAGCACTCGGCCAACGTCGTCTAGCTGCGTGCCTTTTTTTCGATCCTAGCTCTGCGTTATGCTTTGCATACGCACGCACCCTTTGCGCCGATTGCACGTACATGATTTGGTTCAACGCGCGCCGACGTACGTCACTCACCAGGGCACCTCGTGTCAAGGCAGCATCCTCCGTTCTGCGAACCTCAAGGAAAAAGAGTCTTGAGTGCGAATCGGCAAATGAGCTGCTCGCCTGGCCGGACTCGCCGCTAGGGTGCAGTGAGTGGGTTGGTCGATCGTGTCGCTGTGCTGCGCGCCCACCCGCCCAGAAGCAGCTTCTGCTTTTCAAAAGGTGACTTTGCAGGACAAAGGAGATCCGTGCGAACCTTCACGCTCGACTCGCTCTGCGATGAGTGTGGATGTCCAGAGCCAATCCGCAAATTGTGAATGCATGCCTACGTGGATAAATAGCCCTCGCTGACATCTGCACATGTACGCGTGTATCAATTAGCAGCACTTTAAGCAACTTTCACGAAGCGCGGGCAGAAGAGAGCAACCCCAAGAATTCCGATCAAACGCAACAAGCAAGCCATCGCGAATCAAGAATAATCAAGAATGTGAATGTTGCGGCTGTCCAGCTCTCCTCCTTCTACTTGCTCTGACCCACCTCGCTCTGCATGCATGCGCGCGTACGGAATGGCATTCATTAATGCAAGACGTGCAGTTTAGGTCCGAGTAGCAAAGTTTTCTCAAAGCTTATTTCCCAACCGCAGATCTGCCGCTGCTGTATCATGCAACAGCCTTGACCGGGATGCCGGCCGAGCAGCACACTAGACTACTGCCGCTACTGCTGCTACTGCTGCTGCTGCTGCTGCTGCTGCTGCTGCTGCTGCATATTGGCTTTGCGCCACCCGCGCTGGGGTGGAGCTTGCGTTTGGATGGCGAGGCCAAGCCATCCCGAGAATACAGTTCGACCGCGCTGGTGAATTGTGGGTTGCCTGGAACGGCTCAAATAGCTGGGTGGATCAGGCATGCGGTACCGGTATAGAGCTCTTGTGAGCGGCTGCTGACTGCGAATGATCTGCCTTTGACTTATTATCCCGTACCACTCGAGAAAGACTGCCTTTATTCGTCGACGCGCGCAACAGCTCAACATGTCACAAGGTGCCCTTCCTTCAACCTAGGCGTGCGCGAGCTGCGGTCTAGTGGGCAAGCAACGACAACAAGAAAGTCCACGAGGTGGTGCACTGTACGACGGACGCTCTGGACTTCATGTTGTTGAAACATTTGTTGTTCTTGAAAAGGATCAATCAAGCCCGCCTCTCCAAGACTGAACTGACACTCTCTGATGGGACCGCGCGGTCTTCCTTGGGTGCGTCGTCGCGACACTCTGCTGCTGTAACCAGGGGAAGGGAAGGGATCGCCCGCCATGTTCACGATTCTTGATTATTAGACCGGGACACAATTCGTCTTCTTTAGTGCGCGGAGCTTCGGAGATCCTTGGTAGTGCGAGAAGAGGCGTTTGCTCAGTCTAGGACCCATCGGAAACCCACTTTCCGTTCGCCCAATGCAACAGCTCTAGCTTTGCTGCCGCGCGCTTAGCGTATAGCTGATGGCTGCAAGATGCAGGGCCAACGCGTCTCGCCAATGCATGCAGCCACGAGTCAGCAGCTAGTCGATCCATGCTGCTGGCGAGGCGATTCAACGCGGACACGGTCGCACAATGCTGATGACGATGCGTGCGCGTACGCTATACTCAGCCAAAGCTATTGGGTCATCCATCATCGCATTGCATTTGCATAGGACGAGACGCAGCGTGGGAGCGTTGCACACACCCGTCGTGGCTGCAGCGCGCTGTCGATGCCATGCTGTAAGCGCTCAACGCGCAGCGCAGGAAGCATTCAAAGCATGCGCGGCCACAGAGCTGATTGACAACATCCATCACATTCACGATTCTTGATTTCCATCGTGGAGCGCTTTGCGGACGGTCTGCACAGTCCACGTGATCGTATCAGCTCTGACTCTCGTCCAGCCAGCAGATCAAGCGGCACTTGCCTCCGCTCTGTCAGAGCCACGATGGGAGCATGCGTCATTTGGACCCTTTCCTGATGCACGAGTCGCCACGAGCGTTTCGTCTACAGCAGACCAGCGAGTCGGCAGATGGACCACCGTCTCTTCTGTAGTAATCGTGAATAGTAGTACAGTGGCAGTCGTCGTGAGTAGTATGTACTGTTGTCCGAGTCCGAGTTCGAGTCCGTGTCGCAGCTCGCAGCTTGCAGAGGCGAGCAAGAGTCCCGCGATTGGGCAGTGAAGATGTGGCTAAATCGGAGGCAAGTTGTAAGTCCGGTCAGCAAAGCTTTGGTGTCGGCCCCGTGCATGCACTCGCACTCGGGACTCAAAGGCCGTGATTCGATCAAATTCAAACGGTGGTCTAGACGCATGGGCCTGCAGAGCCCGGAGCCGCACCGCACTTGTGGAAACTGATTCCCTTTCCAACATGCCACAGTCAAAGTGACCTCCCTTTGATTGGCCCGATCACATGAGAAGCCTCGTGATCATGCGATGCGATGCTCACTGGAGAACATGCAATCACGAATGTGAATTGCAGCCTTTTCGATCCTCCAGCGTTGGATGTGCTCGTATGGGAGGCTGGATGCGCTTGTATAGAAGGCTGAACCGCTCATGGCTACGCAGAGCCAGTAACATCCTCTTTGCGCCTCGGCTAGATAAGTACACAGGCAGACATGCAGGCGAAAGCCGTTCGCATGGCGCTTCACCACGAGCGAACCTCGCGGTACGGCATGCTGGCGCGATCGCGCAAACAATCTGTGGCACCCTCGCACTTCGCTGTTCCCCTCAGGGCAAGACGGGATAAGGTTCGTGCCCAGAAGAATGGAACGCTGCATTTCTGCATCGAGCTCACAAGGTTCGCAGGGTCATGCGCTTTTTTGAAAGATGATGCGATGTGGTGCTTTGTCTGCATCAGTCGTCAGACCTTTGGCGCAGGACGCTTCACGCACCCGCAGAGCATCAGAACATTGAGAGCTCGACTCTTAGGGCATCTTGCCAAGCGAGCGTATTGCCTCGACCAACTTCGTCTGCAAGCCACGATTGCGGCGGAGCCGTGAGGGAGGCAGGTCGGGATTGTACAGATTATAACGCAAGTGAGCAGGGTGCGCAAGGGGCATGAGGCTGTGACGCGACCGCGTGGGCATGGAAGAAGGGCAGTCGGAGTTCGGAGGAGTTGTGCAAGACGAAGGCCGGCTTTTAGCAGGCGCAGACGATGCTTTCACTGCTGATTCCATTCGCGACTAGAGGAGCGTGTATGATACAAAGGCGAATCTCGAAAGTGAGAGAAACGTCATCGTGTTCACAATGCTTGCAGCGCAGCAGCCTCCAGTTGACGTTCCTTCTTGTCAATAGCCACGGCAGCAGCAATCTGCTGTACGAGGTTTCTCAGCTCTTGCACCAACGTGGACCTTTCCCACTCCGAGCGATGTCGCCATACAGCGTCAAAGCACGCTGCGCGAAGCTGCTCGAGCTGCTCTATCGTAAAGTCGTGCGTCAAGGCCAGCACTTGACCCGCAAGGTTGCTCATATCGTGATGCGAGATCTTGAAAGGCGGATGGGCGACTGGCGCAGGCTGAGGAGTTGGCGCTTCAAGAATCGTCAACGCGTCGCTCAGATGCTGCGCTTCGCCAGTGGCGGGCGCGCTGGGCAATGCCTGTGTGCGAGTCGGTGTGGCTATACCTGAGGAAGGGCCTGGTGAGGAGATGCTGCTGCTAATACTTGCGTGCGTAGTGGGCACAGGGCGCCCGTCAAATCCCAAAACTTGCTGCGCTTGCGCTCCGCCGGCAGCAACCAGAGTGGACTGAACGATGGGTGCATCGCTGCTCGCTTGCGACGCGGGCGCTCTCGGGTAGCCCTGCCCGGCCAGCTGCTCGTCAGCTTCCTGCTTGAGGCGCTTTCGTGCAGCTTCGTCTCCCGCACCACTCGGTACCCGACTGGAACTGCGACGCGAACGCTTGCCATCACGTTCCAAGGCGAGGACATCGACCAGTCTGATTTCGGGAGCTTTGCCTTGCTGGCGCGCGCTGGATCGCTCGCCCGACGGGCGACGAGGCGCGTCTGCTGCTGCATTGTCGGAAGCCGTCGCGGCTGCTTTGGCCGTCTGCTTTGCCTCTTCTTGCTCTCGCTTGAGAGTTCTGGCCGCCATACCTTCCACTTCCGCCTTGAATGCAGGCTCAATAATGGCGTCCAGGCGAATGATAGCTTCATTGCGGCACTGGTGTGCTCGCACGAGTCGCTCTTGATCCACTTCCTGAGCCATTTCTGCATTCCAGACAATCTTGCCGAGATCTTCTACGAATTGGTCTACTGTCAAGTAGCCGTTGTGGTAAAGCCGCTTTTGCATCTTTTCGAGCGTCAAAGTCCACAAGACAAGATCACGCTCGTAGTAGCCGGGTTGAGAGGAGTGTCGAAGGCCTGGGAGACCGGGCACATTTAGGTCATGACCCCTGTGTTTCGCTTCTTCAGGAGCGTGACCATTAGTGAGGACCGTCCCGTTGGCTTCACCCGCAGTGACTTGGACTGCGCCGGATGCTTGCATTGCTGCCTGCTCAGGCGCTGTGTTGACGTCAGACATGGACACGTCTCCATTTGTCAGTGGCTTGGCCGCAATCTCCGCATGTGAAGTCGAAACGACGGGGTCAGAATCCTGCTGCATTTCGTCGCCTCTTGCGAGATCCTTTGCAGCCTCCCCAAATCGCTCGGCACCGGTCACGTCGACGCTTGAACGACGTCTGCGGCGAGTGCTGATGGATGTCTCATCGTACAAGATCGTGACGATCACCTTTCCTTTCTCTTTGCGGTAGTCGAATTGCTCCGTGAGCGCTCTTAGATTGTACTCGTCCTGCAGCGAAAGGGCGGCGTCAGCAGGCATGCGACAGCAGCATCGCGAGAAGGCCGACTAACCCAGACATCTCTCGTGAATCTCTTGTGCTTCTTGCGCAAGTCCACAAGGACCAGACCCAGGCGATGCTTGAGATGCTCCAGCAATCTTTGATCGTCTGCCTTCTGCTGCTCAAGCTCAGCAACGGTAAGTTCCCGGGGCTTGCGTGGCGGAGCAATCGGAAGTTTTTCGAGCTGCCTCTTGCGGCGAGGCAACGCGTCTGGAAATTCGTTCGGAGGTCGCATAGCATGCTCGAATACATCGTTGAAGTACATCCTGCGAGCTTCGACACCTGGCGCTTCTATCTGAACCTTGTTGTCGTCGAGATAACCGAACCAGGAGCGCACGTCGCGAGGGAGCAGCTCCACTGGCTCTTCTGCGACTGCGAGCAAGAGCACTGGATCGGCAGGGGAGAGGCCATCGAGCAGCGCTTTGACTGTTGAGCGGACAGAATCAGAGCTAGACGTAGCCCATTGCGCCAGACCCGGAATGAAGATCACAGACGGCTTGTGGCGTTTAGCTTCCACGAAAAGCTGGACGATGGCTGCCTCTGGCGTCCTGGCAGAGTCGCCTAACAAAGAAGCGATATCCAGAGATTGGACGTGATAGCCCTCGAGATGATGCAGAAGAGCAGCGCCGGTGATTCCCTGTCCCATACCATTCTGACCGTGAATGAGCAGACGGGGACGGAAGACACGCATAGCCTCAAAGGATTGCAAGAGCATCTCCCGGCCGAAGCCTCCGTCTGGAACACTCGAACCAGACTGCACGTCGTCCTCCCAAAGCGCCTCTTCCAGCGGATTGCGCTTCGCAGCCGGTGGCAGGACCTTCTGAAGAGCACGCACAGCTCGCTGGACTGTGTGCTCCAGCAGAGGCTTGAGATGTTCGGGCAGAGGCTGAGCTGCAGATGAAGCTGACCTAGCTGAAGAGGGCACGATTTCTGCGCATGGCGAAGATGTCAGGTGAGCGACTTCGAGGACGGGCCATGATCGTCAATGAACACTCACTATTAACGCTCATCATAAAGTCCTTGGCATCGACGTGTATTGTTTGTGGATCAAGGAGAAGTCGTTCAGTGGTCTGGTAGATCTGAGGATAACGGCGCTGAATAGCATTGAGCGCAGCTTCGGTACACAAAGCCCGGAGGTCAGCACCACCGTACCCTTTGGTGACTTCGGCCAAGCGGTCCTTGAATGCGGTGTCCAAGGGTGGGTTCCATTCCTTGGTGTGAATGTCGATTATCGCGCGCCTTGCTTCTCTATTTGGCAGGCCGAAGTAAAATTCGCGGTCGAAACGGCCGGGACGGCGTAGCGCTGGGTCAACGGAATCAGGTCTATTGGTGGCTCCGATCACGACGACTTGGCCTCTGCCGTCCATACCATCCATTAATGCCAGTAGCGTTGAGACGATAGACGCATGAATCTGATCTTGCTTGCTGCTGCGCACTGGCGCAAGCCCATCGATTTCGTCGAAAAAGATGATGCTAGGCTGAGAGGCCCGTGCCTCCTCAAACAGCAAGCGAAGTTGCCGCTCTGCTTCTCCCACCCACTTGCTCAGGCAATCCGCACCTTTCCGCATGAAGAATGAGATAGGCTGACCGGAGCTGCTGCAGCTGGCCGCCAACGCTCGAGCGACGAGGGTCTTACCGGTGCCTGGCGGGCCGTGAAAAAGGACCCCTCGTGGCGGCGTTACCTTGAAGCGCTGGAACACCTCAGGGTACAGGAGCGGCAAGGACACCATCTCCTTAAGTTGCTGCACGTGTGCATCGAGACCGCCAACGGCGTTGAAGTCGACTTTCATGTCTACGCCCAGCGGATCCGCATCGGCAAGCTCGGCACCGCCCTTCATCCTTCCGACAGCATCGCGGTTCGCGCCTAAAGCTCCGCCAGGGCCTCCCATGACGGCCGCAGCACTGCCAGCGCCAACACCGCCGGCCCCCAGCAAGCCGCCTCCAGCTGCGCTGCTGCCAAGTGCGCCGCCCGCCTTGCGGGCAGCTGGAATGTCGTCGTCGGACGTGTCGGGCTCCTCGCCGAACGCCCTTGCGTAATCCTTGCCGGACATCGAGTGCGGAAGAGCGTCCCAGCCAGTCTTTCCGTTCCTTCCCCTCATCGTGCCGTTGCCAAGGCCTTCGATCTCGAAAGCTCCACCACTGACACCCCCACTCTTCGAGCCTCGGGGCCCTCGCACAATGCGGCCAAATCCGTCTCGCGGAGGCGATGGCGGAGGTGCAGCAAGCGAGTAATTGACTTCCTTGCGCTGTCGGAGACGATAATTGCGCTGACTGGGTGGAAGATCCGCATCGGTGCCATCCTGATCGTGGCCTTCTTCGCCATCCTCATCAGTCTCGATTGCAGGCGCCGACTCTGCGCTTCCGCGTCTTGTCGTTTTGCGCCTTTTCGCAAGGGCGGCGACGCGGCTGCCGCTGCTGGCCCCACGTAGCTTTCGACCCTTGCCCTTAGCTCCACCATAGTCTGTCTCCGGGTCCTCATCCTCGTCATCGACTACGAACTGCGCATGGCGAAGCCGTACAAAGGCAATGGTGAGTCAATGGTCTATAGTAGAGTGTGATCAGCTGTGCTCACATCCTGCATGACGGCGCTCGTTCTGGTCGGCCGCCCGCTGCTGCGGGTGCCTCGACCTCGCGGCTTGATGGGACCATCACTCTCTTCATCATCTTCGTACTCAGCGTAGCTCTTCGTAGGCCGGCCACTGCGCGTCAAGCGCACAGTCTTGCTCTCTTCTGCTTCTGCTTCTTCTTCTTCTTCGTGTTCTTCCTCATCTTCTTCTCCTTCAGCATCTTCATCTCCATTAGCGTCATACTCATCCTCGTCATTGTGGTTGTATGCTCGAGTAGAACGCCTTGCAGGACGCTCGCCCGGTTCGTCCTATAGAAGGTGTCGCGCATCAGTCTGCAGCAGCATGTATGCGACCAGTGTATGAGGACAACCGCGCACAAGCAAGCTACCAGGACTCACATTGTCGGCGCGCAGTTTGCGGAACCTGATTGGAGGCACACGCCTACCAGAATTGCTACCTTCACCTGCGCTGATTTCCTCTTGTGGGGAGCTGGGGGCCCCTCCTCCCGCAGAAGAGCGTGTGACACGCATCTTGTCCTGATCGGTTGTCGCGGGTACTGATTTGGCCGGTGAGAAGTAAGGCACGGCCTTTTCGTCTTCGTCGTCGTCCTCGGAGAAAGCTGGTGGCAGATAGGCGCTCCGATCTACTGGAGTAGACTGCGTGTTCAAGAACGGTATGCGATTGGGTTCTGGCCCGAAAGCTGCAGCAATCGACGGATTGTACGACGAAGGCTGTGCGTTCGGGAAGCCTGACATGAAAGGCTTAGCCAAAGGGCGCGTAGATGCGCGCAATCATCCGCATACAAGCGGAGGTACTGATGTGTCGCAAAATCTCACGACGGCAGGCTGGAAGATTTAGCGTGCTTGGATGCCCTAGCTGCAAAAGAATGGTGAATGCTGAGTCGGGGACGTCGCAGGCGACAGTGCAAATTCTGCGCTGAAAATGATGAGAGGTGACGACGTGCTTCAACAACGGGGCAGATGTCTTCGATGTGACTCAGGCACTCAGACTGACTGCGTGTAAAAGTCGCGATTCACTGAGTGAGAGTTGAGTGCAGGGATAATCTGAATCGTAATGGTCAGGCTGTGCGTGGTCACGCGCGCCTCTCTTAAGCGGCAAGAGGACGTGGACGCGCTCGATGCGCTTGAGTCATCTGACTCCTGCAGGGAGCTGGCGCGCGATTCGTGCGATAGATTCAACAGATGGCCTGCCTGCAGCACGTGATCTGATGCTACCTGCATGATTTGCTGGTCACAAGCGCGCGATTTTGGCTGGAAACGCATCAAAAGTCACTTTTCAAAATTCCAAAATTTCACGCCTTCATCCCACGCGATCTGAGCGCCACCCACGTCTTGAAGTCAAATTTCGCACTCCACTCTGCTGAACTCTGAACATTCACAATCACAATCAATTCCGCCCCCAAGCACAGCTACATCTTCCAGCTGCTGGCTGTCCGCTTGGTACATGATCCCACACGGGCGTCTCGCAAGCGCGATTGCACGCGGTAATCCTCTCGCGTCGACCAGGACAACAACACCTCGCTGCCAACTGCTGACGTTTGGTCTGACAAGCGCAGCCTCGTCATCGAATCCGCGAAGCTTGTGCAAATCAGCATTGGCCACGCATCAGTCCCGCTACACATCGCTCTTCTCCAGTCAGCGCAGGACCAATCACGCAAGTGCAGCAGAGCCACGACCGACACTATCTCAAGGGTCAAAGGACGCCCCCACTACGGCCGGCTCTATGGCCGATTCCGCAGCATCATGGAGATCTAGAGGTCCACCCGCATCCTCATCCTCCGCTCCGAGCGGTGGTGCTAGTACGTGGGGACATGGAGGAGTATTCAGCTCGAGTGCGACACGTCGGGGAGGTGAAGCAGGCCAGACACGAGGTGCCAAGCAGTCAGCCAAGTGAGATGATCAGTACGTTCGGTGCTCGATGCGCTCTGTGCTGATCCTGATTGCGCCACACCACGCAGGAGACCTAAGCCTGCTGCTACCTCCAAAATTCTCACTGGTCCGCTGCAGACTTTTGAGGCTCTGCAAGAGACTCATGCGCACTTGATCGGTCCACATCCTAGGTGGGCAACCGATCCTAAAAGCACGCTTCAGTCGTACTGGAATGTTGTCTATGGTGTCGGCGGCAAGATCAACTTTGCACATGAAGAAGGCCACGTTGAGGGTCGCCGCGAGAAGTCTGTCAGGTGAGTTGAGTGCGCTTACTTAAGAATAAACCCGGGCTGCACCCCGCGGATGACCAACTTCCCATGACCTATTTCCACCCTTCATTCAGAGCCAAGATCTGTGTTGACCAGGATCAAGATCTTCACGCTTATGGTGACGGCGCTTCCAAAAAGATCGCAGAGCGCAGTGCCTGTCTGGCTGCTCTCGTACTGCTTCAGGAGACAGGTCTCTTCACTACCAAGCAACAGGCGGCCAAAGAAGCCCAGAAGCAAGCAAGGGCGCAAGCCAAAGCAGCTGCACCCGAGGAGCAAGTGACCCTTTCCAATGGCCACGTGTTAAAGGCTGAGCGAGCGCGAGAATTTATGGAATTCTATTGCAAGGAATTCAAATTTGGCAAGCCCGAAGTTGCGATCTCAAGTGCGATTCGCAAGCAGGGCAAGAAGGCAGGCGGCAGCGCGTGGAAAGCGCATTTGATCGTCGGTGGTCAGGCGCTGGGCGAGACGCTTGCCAACAACAAAAAGGCGGCCACTTCGGCAGCTTACATGGAAGCGGTGAAGGAAATCGAAGCATCCGATCCACCCTTGTGGGAAAGGTTCGATCGGACTTACAAGCCGGGCGCACCCATCGGCAGCGCACCCCACGTATACGTTCGCCTTTCAGATGATCTAGACGACGACTTTCGAGATATTTCCGACAGCGCAAAGCAAAGTCTACTGTACTCGAAGAGACCCCAAGCCCACGAAGTCGCTGTTGGAGGTGGAAATGCCCAGACGGACAGACGCAAGCCGTTTGGCGCCCGTCCTGCCTCGGAAGCTGAGCTTACAGAGAAAAGCAAACAACTAAAGCAGAGACTTGACGAGTATCAAATTGACGAGCGCGTCAAAACTCTGCGCCAGCAGCGACAAAGTCTACCTGTTCAACAGAAAGCAAGCGATGTCCTCGTAAAGATCGCGATGAACCAGGTCACAATCGTCATGGCCGCGACAGGATCTGGTAAGACGACTCAAATACCTCAGATGCTATTTGACGACTACATCCTTCAGGATCAGGGCGCGAAGTGCAACATCTTCTGCACTCAACCTCGACGTATTGCGGCGATCAGTGTCGCGCAACGTGTTGCCAAAGAGCGAGGCGAAAGACTGGGTCAAAGTGTTGGCTACCAAGTGCGCTTCGACCACAAGCTACCAGAGCCAAACGGGTCTATCACCTTTTGCACAACGGGTGTCTTCCTTCGTCGTCTTCAATCTGCGCTCGATGACACCAGCGAAGCATCAAATACTTTCTTGGATAGCTTGACCCATATTGTGGTTGATGAGGTCCACGAGCGAGACGTTGAGACAGACTTGCTACTTGTGGTCATCAAGCGTCTTCTCGAAGAAAGAGGTCGCTTGGGCAAGAAAGAGATCAAGCTCATCCTAATGAGCGCCACAATCGACCCTACACTCTTTACCAACTACTTCCAAGGCCCTCCGCCATTGCTAAAGCCGGCTCCGGTCGTCGAGGTGCCAGGGCGAAGTTTTCCAGTGGACAAAAACTACATGGACGACTACATCCCACGGCTGCAAAAGCTTGGCCTCGGCCATCGCGATGGAGGCTGGGTCTGGCAAGAGAAGAACGTACGAGATTATCTTGATCGCGAGCTTCGTCAAGGAGGCGGCTTTGTAAAGCCCGCAGATGAGGCCAACGGGGGCGAGAACGCGGACGCGATCGACGATTTGGAGCTACCTTACCCCCTCATCGCTCTTATGATCGCCGACGTGCTGGTCCGCTCCCAGGACGGGCATGTTTTGGTGTTCATGCCAGGCTGGGACGAGATCAAGGCCGTTAATCAGATCCTGCAGGATACGTATTCGCGACCGCTTATGGGCGTGAACTTCAATGATCGGAGCAAGGTCGAGATACACATTCTGCACTCGTCCATCCCAGTCGCGGAGCAGCAAGCTGTGTTCGATCCACCTGCTGATCCGTCAACTCGTCGGGTCATCTTAGCCACCAACATCGCGGAAACCTCGGTCACCATTCCCGACGTGGTGTACGTCATTGATAGTGGGCGCGTCAAGGAGAAGCGCTATGATCCAGAACGCCATCTCTCTAGCTTGGTTTCGGCATGGGTGGGTACTTCAAACTTGAATCAGCGAGCAGGTCGCGCAGGTCGCCATCGTCCTGGAGAGTACTACGGAGTGCTTTCACGCGCTCGATACGATAGACTGAACGTCAATCAAACAGTCGAGATGCACCGCACGGACCTCAGCAACACGGTGATGCACATCAAAGCTCTTGCCATTCCTGGCATGGAGGTGGAAGATGTATTAGATGCTGCCATTGAGCCTCCAAGCTCCGAGAGAGTGGCTGCGGCAATGTCTAAGCTGTTCATGGTAGGCGCCCTGGACCAAAATAAGCAGCTTACCGCCCTCGGCACAGTCTTATTGCAACTGCCAGTCGATGCGCCAATGGGCAAAATGTGCCTCTACGGAGCCTTTTTCCGCTGCCTGGATCCGACGCTAAGCCTGGCGGCCATTATGACGAGTCGTGATCCCTTCATGGCGCCCATACAACTAAAAGCCGAAGCTAATGCTGCAAAAGACAGGTGGTGCCCACCAGACTTCCGCTCAGATCCCTTGACAATCCTCAACGCGTACAACAAGTGGTGGAGCCTGCAGAGCAGCGGTGAATATCAACGAGCAAACCGCTTCTGCAGCGAGAATTTCCTCAGCAAGGTAACACTGTTGCAGATACAGCAGGTCAAGGAACACCTCTTCGAGTCTCTCGAAAAGACTGGCATTCTCGATCTCACGCTTGGACAGGAGCGCAACACCTCTGGGCAGCGGTGGCGTGGTAGCAGGCTCAGCTCTACCCAGCCAGAGCTGAATGGAAACAGCGCATCCAGCACTTTGCTGACGGGCCTGATCGCTCTTGGTTCTACGCCTAACTTTGCCATCAAGAGGAACGAAAGGACTTTGATGACGGATCAAGACAAGGTGAGCTTGACTTGAGCGTGTTGATAGTGTACCGCGCATGTCTCACCACGTGCGATTCTTGTGTCCATCTTGCAGGCGTGCTTTATCCATCCATCCAGCGTTTGCCACTCCAAGTTCACCAAAGACAACAAAACTCAGGAAGACCAGTTCGTGAGCGAGCGTGAGCTCTTTGCTTTCAGCGAGAAAGTTAGAAACGTGTCCAATGTAACAAGCAGCGGTGGAGGTGGCGGCGCGATGACGTATTTGCGAGGCGTCACTCGATTGAACGTGCTCACGTACATGCTTTTCGGAGCCAACCAAGTGCGCATGGGCGATGGAGGCATCCGGTGCGATGATTGGCTGCCGGTGAAAGGACACTTCGACATTTTAGACGACATCGACAGACTCAAGACCGTGTTGGACGCCTGCATGTTGCGCGTCATGGAGGGCTGCATTCATCGCAAGAGACGCTCCCCCCGACATGCCGCACCTTCGCGCAATCACGACGAAGACGAGGAGGACGAGCGGGCGCCCAGTCCTGGGGTCGAGTACGGCGATCGATCAGAGCTGCATCTGGTGCCGCAGGAGATCGAGGAGTTCGAAAGACTGACAGCTGGGGTTGTGCACGTTTTGGACCGCTTCGTGGACGAGACTATGGGACCTTCGAGGAACACCACTCGACCGCCATCTCCATCTGGATACGGCAGTGCAATCTCTTCCATGGAACACGGCGGCGCTGGCAGATATAGCGCTGCTGGCAGCCAGTACAATTCCAGAGCTCCCTCTCCACGTGGATGGGGCCCAGCCGCCATCAGCAGCGACTGGCGCCGCGGCAATTAGAGAAGGCGACGTCGAGCAACCACAGCGCCTCCCAACACCACTCACCCAACCCTCGGTGCTTCGCAAGTAATACCTATAGAGCTCAGATCTTTGGCACGCTGTGACAGGTGTGATCCCTTTTGTGCTGCTCGCTCGGCTAGGAGGCGTGTCCTTGATCGTTCGATTTTGCCGGTAACGCATCGACTGGACCAGTTGCTCAATTATACAGTTGAGGCGAGGCGGCGCACCTCCCTCATTGCAGTCCGGAGTCAAGCCTCTTATTTTGACTCAAGACTCGATACTCAATCTTGAACACTCAGAACTCAACTTGTGTCTTTTGACTCAGTCAAGTCTTGAGTCTTGGAACACACGACCGCCAATCACGTGGCGACTCTCGACGCAGCAGCGAGCTCCGCACGCTGCTGACTTTCCTCGTGCACCCGACGCGTCTCCGGCTCACTTGACCGGTGTGCCGTCGCCGAGGCCCGAGATGCAAGGCACTTCCCATGCTGTGACTTCACACACCTACATGAGGAAGAGTTCGAGAGAGTCATGAATCTTCGACCGGTGTGGTGCATGATGGGTCGAAAGCCCAGTGACAGCTAGTCTGCATGTATGTATGCATAGGTTGCTTTGTGATACGATGAAATTGTGGTCGGGCATGCGGAAACGCCGCGCTGATTCGTGACTGAACCCTTGTGTGCCTTTGTCTCGGCCATCGCGCCTTCAGCAGCAGAGCTCCTGCTGGCTACACGCTGTCTTTGATTCACACGCAAGCGCGCACCCACGCACGCGCAGGACGCCGGCCCGCTCGCTTTGGCGTGTTCGGTCTGCCTTTTGGAGTCAAGAGTCTCGCATCGCGGAGGCGACACCAAGTTGTGAGTGTGGATCAATGGTCTGACGATACTCTACGCGATCGTGACACCCCTCAAGTCCACCTACCTCGGCGCGATCCTGGTCAGTCTCAGCAGACCAAGTGCAGCTCGTCAACGGTAGGCGATCTCGACCTTCTCGCCAGCGCCATCTTCAGGCAGTCTCGCCACCTCGTAGGCAGGCGGATTGATCAAGAGCAATTCCTCTCGACTCGCTTGCCAGCTTTGGCTTCGCAATCTTGAGTCTCCTTTCATACACCACTACAAAGCACCTATACATCGAAAGCACCCACACATCAACACTCCACAAGCTTTGCAGCATGGCGGTGCTCTCGCGCTTTCAGCCGCAGTATGAAGCGGCCAAGATGGAAGCTGCAAACTACGCGATTCAGGGAGCGATGAAATATAGAGAGAACCATGCGCTGATTCAAAGGATCCTACAGATCGGCTACGGCTCCTTCATCTTGATAGGCACATGGAAGAGCCTGAATCCCAAGCCAAAAAAGAAGGACAGAGATGCTGGCAAGAAGGCCGTGGCTGCTTCGGCTGCTGGAGCTAGCTCGGCTGCAACAGATGGAAGAAAAGAAGGCACACAGCTAGAGAGGCAAACCAGAGAGGTGGAAGAGGCTGACGAGAGCGGTGGGAAACGAGGCAAAAAGGGGAAGAAGGGGAGAGGACCAAAGGTTGAGGTGGACGCCCTCTTCTTTGCTAGACTGAAAAAAGTGAGTCGAGGCTAAAGCGGTCGTGCAACAGGACCAGTAGGCGAGGGTGGTGCTTGAGGACCGCACATGGAGAAAGCTCTGGTCGTCTGATGGTCCTTGCCACCACTAGCAACAACTCTGACTGACTTCGCGGCCTTTCTCTTTACAGCTGCTTAGGATCGTAATCCCGGGACTGCGGTCAAAGGAGTCTTTCCTGCTTTTGAGCCACACCATCTTCCTGGTCCTCCGAACCATGTTGTCTCTATACGTCGCAGACCTCGATGGCCGCATAGTCTCCGCTTTGGTACGAGGTCAGACCAGACAATTCATCACAGGCATCATTTGGTGGATGGCAGTCGCAGTTCCTGCTACCTACACAAATGCCATGATCGAGTTTCTGCAATCACGGATTGCATTGGCATATAGGTCCAGACTTACTCAAAAGGTGCATGACATGTACCTGTCAGATGCCACATACTACAAGCTTGGCAACTTGGACGTGAGTACAAGCCAAATCATCACTGAAGGGCCGATCTGAAAGCTTAACAGGCTACCCGCCCATTTTGCCAATGCCCTGCCTTACTAGGATCGCGTCCGAAACGCTGATCAGCTCATCGCTGTTGACATCGCCAAATTCTCGGCTAGTCTTGCGGAATGCTACAGCAATGTGTCAAGTGAGTTGGGGTCTTCCCTCGCAGAACTTTGGAGACGCTCATTCCTTCACCTTTCCTCTGCCCTTTCCAGAGCCTATTCTGGACGTCCTCCTCTACAACTTTCAGCTGTCTCAGAATGTCGGTGCCGAGGGATTGATCTTCATCAACTTCCTCGTCCAGGGCAGCGCAGCTTTGCTTCGTGCGCTCACTCCACCTTTCGGACAGTACGCCGCTGAAGGTCAGAGGTTGGAAGGCGAGTTCAGATGGACACATTCTCGCCTCATTGAGAATAGCGAAGAGATTGCATTCTACAGAGGCCAGGCGACGGAGAAGGGCGCGATTGAGAGAGCGTACTTTAGTTTGATCAAGCATGTCAACCGAGTCTATCGCATCAGGATTGGTCACGGCATGGTGGAGGAAGGCATCATCAAATGGTTCTGGGGTGCTTTGGGTGTGAGTCTGATGAGCGACCGAACCTTGCACCCTGCTTTCTTGGCACTGACCAATCCTGACATTCCGTATGCACTCCAGCTTGTCATCTGCGCGATCCCAGCTTTTGTCAAAATCCCAGGGGTCAAGGCAGGCGACTTGGGCTCGCGAACGGAAGCCTTTGTCACGAATCGCAGACTGTTGTTGTCCAGCAGTGATGCATTTGGTCGAGTCATGTACTCGTACAAGGAAGTTGCCGAGCTTGCGGGATATACTGCTCGTGTGTCCGAGCTGCTGGGCACAATGGAGGACGTGAAGGCGGGCAAATTCGACAAGAAGCTCGTCTCAAGCGCCAGCGATCCAGAGGTGGCACAGCTCCTGAAGACAAGAGGGAAGATCGTCGAGTCTGAAGACATCATCTTCGAGAATGTGCCCATCGTGACACCAGCTGGTGAAGTCTTGATCAAGGCCATGTCCTTCCACGTCTCGCCCGGTATGCCGACTCTGATTCTTGGCCCGAATGGTAAGTGCAATTAGGGTTGCCAACTCCTACAATCGCGCGTGTTCTGACAAGGCAAGCGCTGCTCTACGCATCAGGCTGCGGCAAGAGTTCCCTCTTCCGACTACTCGGTGAACTCTGGCCATGTTTGGGTGGAACGATCCACAAGCCAAAACCGGCAGATATTTTCTATGTTCCGCAGAGGCCTTATACCTCGTTGGGAACATTACGAGATCAGATTATCTACCCACTCACAGCAACAGAGATGAGAGCAAGGGGCGTTGCAGACGAGGCATTACTGGATTTGCTCCGCGTCGTCGAGCTCGAAGACATTGTCGGAAGGTTCGATGAAGGATTTGATGCGCAAACCGACTGGAGCTCGAGTTTGAGTGGAGGAGACAAGCAAAGATTAGCGTTGGCCAGGCTGTACTTTCACAAGCCTAAATTCGCTGGTGAGTCTCGATCAACGAGATGCATACTTAGTGCTCGTGCTGATGCTTTTATTTTCTGCCATACTTCACATAGTCTTGGACGAGTGTACTTCGAATATGAGTCTTGAGCTGGAGAAGAAACTCTACAGTCATGCCGCTTCCATCGGTACCACCGTCTTCTCGGTCTCCCACAGATCGTCGGTGAGTGCTGCCGTGCTGCTCTTGCATCTTCAGATCGTACCTGACGCCTCGCATGGCACTCTCCAGCTCTGGAGGTATCACACTCATTGTCTGGCCTTTACTGGCGAGGGTACATACACATTTGGCCCTCTCGATGCGGAAAAGCGACTGGCGTTGCAAACGGAGAAAGAAGTGAGCCGGCCACTTGTCCGCTTCGAGCAGAGGGGCGCACGCGTTGACCTTCGATTTTCACTTTGCAGACACTGGAGCACAAGCTATTGGGCGTACCGAAGATGAAGGCGAGACTTGCGGAGCTGCAAGCTGCCCAGAAGGAGCAACACTCAAGACCTTCATCTCCCGTCAGGGACAAGAGCCAGCGCAAGTTCTAGACGTCTTGTCACGACTTGATATCGATACCTCCCTTTCCCTCGACGCTCATAAAATGTCCACGGCGGCGGTGCGGGGAGCCTTTGACTTGAATCCAAAGTCTGGGGTAGCGATGCCCTGGAGCGCACACGCTGCATACCTAACTTGCAATGTGATCCACAATCTCTCTGGCCATAAAAGTGTTGTGGGGACTGGGCCCGCAGAGGCTTGCCTTTGAACTGTAATTGCAGGGTATCAGGGCACAACAACAGACAAGAGTTTTGAGTTTTGAGTTGAGTGCGAGTCTTGAGTGGAATCGAGCAAGGCGGTCTAAGATCACGTGATATTCGTGATCGATGGATGCCTGGGCGAAGAAGAGAGGCGGTGAGCCGGATCCTTCCGGACGCTTGCTGAATGCTGCGTCCCGAGCCATCGTGCATGCTGCAGAGATCTCCGCAACCCTTCGTGATGGATCGATCGCGTGGTGCGGGTGAATAACACTCCCTGAGCCGGTACCGGTAGGGTGACAGCAGCCAGCAGCAGCAGCAGCCGCAAAGTCTGGGGTAAGAGCGCCTCTCACTGAAGCATCGCTACTCACACCACCTCTCAACCTCGATGTCCACCTCCTGCCGCATCTCAAGCACATTCAAGATTGAGCCTGCCCTCCATCCAGCTTCCGGCACCACCTCTGGCCAGCACGCTGTATAGCTTTCACGTGTCATCGAGGCGCGTGTCATGGCGAAGATATATAGATCCAAGGAACCCGCTCACTAGAAGGCTCCCTCACACCTTCCGTGATAGCAGTAGTCCTTGATAGACAGCCTGTTGGCAGTAGTGAAGTCGCCCTGATAAAGCGCCAGAGAGTGCAAACATGAGCGCGTCCAGCGCTTCCTCGACCTCGGCGTTTGGCTCGACGTCCGGCTCAAGCGCCAGCGAGTCAATTCGCCCCTCCAGCAGCAGTGAAGGTCGAAAGAGGAGCTCCTCCAAGTCTTACTCGCAAGAGGCTAGCAGTGCAGCAGCAAATCCATTCGCTACGAGCAGCATCTCGCTCGGTGGACCTGTGGCAGATGTGACAGAATCGGACTCCTCATCTGCCAGCTCCAGCTCTGGACGTCGGGCGCAGGCGGCAACAAGGAGGTGGAGAGACAGATGGATGGGCGTGCATGAGAAGGATGCCCAAAGCCCATCGGAACAGTGTGGAGCGCTGGGTGGAAGCTTCTCGCACAGCCCGACCACGCAAATTGAAAGCAGAGCGCAAGCATTCGTGCTCCAAAGAACGTCTGCTGTGCCTCTCACAGCACACTCAGATGAGTCGGGGCCGACATTCGCCCCTGCATTAGAGAGCGCCGGTAGCTCGAGCAGAGCGCGGTCTGGCCTCACACCTCTGACTCCCGCCGAGGCTGCAGAGCTCGAAAGGTTACACCTTCCGAACAGCTACTCTTCCCACCTACTCTCGACCTCAAATTCCCGAGGACTTCAACCATCATCAGACCTCTCCTTGAGGCGACCAGAGCATAGCTCGCTGCGATCGTGGTTCGGCAGGCGATCAGACAGGCAAGGATCCATTATAGACGCTGCCAAGTCAAATGCCGCGCTTCAAGAAGCCAAAGTGGTGAATGGGACGCAAGAGCAAGAGGAGGAGAGCGCTGTAAGCTCGGCTTTCTTGATCAGCTACTTCCTGGCTGGTGGTGCCGCTGGAGCCACGAGCAGGACTGTTGTTAGTCCGCTGGAGAGACTCAAGATCATCATGTGAGTACGCGAGCAGGCCACTGTCGGGACTGCCAGAAGTTCATGCTATGGTATTCAGGCGCGATTATCTGAAGCAACTCACCCTGACGCGGTGAACGCACTGGCCTCCTCCGGTGACAACAGGCAAGTTCAGCCCCACCAAGCGGGGGGCTCGGCGAAAGGAGCGGGAAAGGGTGCCTACTCTGGCGTATGGGTTGGACTCAAGAAGATGTGGGTCGAGGAAGGCTTCAAAGGCTTTATGCGAGGGAACGGCATCAATTGTCTTCGGATTGCTCCGTATTCTGCTGTTCAGTTCAGCACTTACGAAGTGCTAAAGAATGTGAGTTGTATGTCAGACTTGGCAGCCGCTATGCCTACTTCTTGCAGTGCGTTGATGCGCTTCTCGACGCCATGGTCAATTTGCAGGCAATGCGGGATGCTGAGGGCGAATTAGATGTGCCAAAACGCTTGACAGCCGGTGCTCTTGCGGGTATAGCTTCGGTCGTATCCACGTATCCTCTGGATCTCGTGCGGTCTCGGATCAGCATTGCTTCCGCTTCACTGTACAGCGAGGCCAAGCAGGACGCAGCGGCCAGCAAGGCTGCTGGTGGCGCACAATCCGTCGCGTCTACCGCTGCAGGGGGCGTTGCGAAGCAGGAGAAACCTTCAAAGCCTCTCAGCCGGGCAGAATTACGCAAGCTGATAGAAGCGAGGCAAAAGAGGGTGCCGGGCATTTGGGGCATGACTCGCAAAGTCTACGCCGAAGAGGGAGGTATACGGGCTTTGTACAGAGGTTGCGTGCCCACGAGCGTTGTGAGTGAGCTCAGCCGACCCTTTCAACCTAGCCCATGCTGATGGTCTCCTTTTGCAATGACTTGACCCGGATCGTGCTCAGGGAGTCGCTCCGTATGTAGCGATCAACTTTTTCGCGTTCGAATCTCTCAAGGCGTGGAATTTTGGTCGACCGTCGGGTCCGTCGGACGAAGTGTCGACGTTGAGCAATCTGATTTGCGGAGCCTTGGCTGGAACCATCAGCCAGACCCTGACCTATCCGCTAGACGTGCTTAGGAGGAGAATGCAGGTGGCAGGAATGAAAGATAGCAAGCTAGGCTACTCGGACAAGAACAGCTGGGCCGCAATTCGCACCATCCTTGTCAACGATGGCTTCTTTGGGCTCTATCGAGGTGAGCATGACGGCTCAATGCGGTAGTGAGACCCAGGCTAGGAATTTAGCACGTTGGCTCACCAGCGAAATACTAATTGCTGCCGCAGGTATCATACCTAATCTACTCAAGGTGGCGCCTAGCATAGCTACGAGCTTTGCGACATATCAATGGGTCAAAGAGCTTGTCCATCATCAACTACACCCAGATTCTCATCCTCACCATCATTGAAGACTCGTATGCATCCTGAACGACTCGTCTATCCACAGGACACGCAGCTATAGACGCTTTGCTTATTTTGAGGTGCTATTCTCGCGAATGGACGAGTCGTGCGCCATCAATCTACAGACAATGATTTAAATGCATACGCGCGTTTGAGGAATAGCTCGAGGAAGATACAATACAGGATAGGGCAATGAATGTAACGTGCATTAGACACATGAAATGGATCCGAGACGCGTCGGAAGAGGCAGGGGACTGCTCGAAGTACTGATATTAGTGGCGTCCAGAAAGAGATCTGTAGACACCCGCTGCTCCCTGAGCTCGATAATCCTGGTTGTGTCGTGCGACCCCAACGTCAGCGGGTACGCTCTCTGCACACTCGTAAAATGTTGCCCTTGCCGAGACGTGGTGTACGCACCTCTAGCCAGCGTGGTAGACGAGTACGAAGAGTTGCAAAGAGCAACAAGCCGGCGACTGTGAGGATGTACAGGGTGACGATGGATTGATCCTTGTACGAATCACGTTCTGTGGGGATAGGGTGGGTGTAAGGGTGAAGTGGGTGAGCAGCAGCAAGTTAAATGCGTGCGCGGGACGAGGACCGGAAAGAAGAAATGGGCCACCAGGCTCGTAGCTATTTCGGGACTCGTTACACGGAGCCATCGCGATGCCCTGCACTGCACAAGCTCGCAGAGCTTTCGAAGGGAAAGTTTTCGGCAGCCTTCACGAGCATCCCTATACCAGTCCGAAGACAATTGTTAGACACGCAACTCACGGAAGCATCTAGCCCAAACCTGACCTTCCCAGCCCGTTCCTGTATCCTTATCCGGTCTTTCCAAAGTAGCCCCTTTACAGCTTTCCAGTCCTTGATCCAAACAAAACTGTCGAGTGCACATGCTGCAAGGAGAGCTCTTGGATCCTGGAGCGCCCGCAAATAGCGGCACGATGGTCGTGTTTGTGCTGAAGCAGGTACACTTGCACAAAAAGGGAGAGTCGAGAGCATTTGTGCTGGACGAGAGTATGAGGAAGAGGCAGAGGAGCAAGGTCGGGAGGTGCGTTGCGCCCAGAGACGCACAATTCCGGACTCGTCGCAGTGCGAGCGTCGTGTTGAAGGATCGTACGCGCATGATGAGAAATGTGTGTCTGCAGGAATCTCCTACACAAGCTGAGATTCGAATGGTGACGCAGCGCTAAGAGGCCCGAAGCCTTCGATGATGGTCGAGTGGAATGCTCGGGGCCTGTGTGCATGCCCAGATTGATAGGATGCCGTGGATATCCAATGCGAGTCACAGGCGCGGCGGTGGTGGACTGGTGAACAACCGTGAATATGTATGAATGCCAGTCTCGCTTCGCAAGAAGCAGTCGTGAGCCTTGTGTCCAAGTCGCAAACGTGAAAGCGTCAACTCGATCAACAGTCACGCGTCACAAGTCTTGAGTCGTGAATCTCCAATCGAGTGATTGCATCCACGTGATCCTCGACTTGCTTGCACCTGATGCGGCGCACGGACCGCGCCTGCTGCGTGGAAATCCATTTTGATTTCTGATTTGATTCTTGATTCTTGATTTGATTGCACAGACCTTCCACGTTGCCTGCAACCAGCGTGGATCACAACGGCTCACCCTGGGTATTAGCTGACACCATTGGTCGCACTCCGCACAAGCAATTCTAAACTTCCCTGTCGGCCTCGGGTGAGGTCGCAAGTCAAGAGTGCTGTCGCGCGGGTCTCTCAATCCGCAAGCGCAGCAGGGGAGTAGACAAGGGCAGGATACATATGACAAAAGGTCCGGGTCAAGCGTCCACCTCCCACCCCACATTGCGACATGGACATGCTGCTCACGCCCTAGACGAGCTCGACTTCCAGCTCGGCACGCAAGGCTAGTGTTCCCGGCGACACATTCCGAATTCGAATTCAGGGTCCGCAAAAGCCGCTCAGCATGCCTCGGCAGACTCAAAGCCAAGTGTTGTACTACGGAACCACTTTGGTGCCCGTCACAGCCTCCCTCTTCCTCCTCTTCCGATCCCATCCTCATCTGCTCGACATCTCCTCTTACTCTCAGGCATCCTTGCCAGGCCTATTTGCCAGCGTTCTGCTGCTGCCCATTGCAGCTTTGTTGACCAGGGCGGCTGTACTGGGTTGTGCAGATGCGTTCCTCAAGAGAGGGTTCAAAGGCAGGGATCTGCTCAAACCTTGGGATGCCACAAAGGAAATGTGAGTTTATGGGCAGGCCGCCAGGTGTTCAGGGCAAGGGAGCTGCATAGATCCGCCATGATTGTCGGAAGATGAGCGGTGCTGCTGTCCACGCGTTCAATTCGTGTGAGATGCTCGCTGAGATTCGCTGAGATTCTCAACCCTCTACGCTATGCCGCGCACATACAGTCCAGAGTCGGCGGGTTTGCCAGCGTCCATAGTCTACGTCGGTCTGTTGTTCCTCCTAATCCCTTTCAGATACGCATCCAACACTGCTCCTTCTCCGCCAGAGAGAGCTGGAGATGGAGCGTGGATCGGCGAAATCACTGGCATAGAAAGATTTCCTCATCACGAGCTTTCCTTGTACCTCTCCACCTTGCTTTCGCTCTTATCAGCCATCATGCTAGGTTTCTTGGACGACGTGTTCGACATTAGGTGGAGATTAAAGATGCCCATTCCGATCCTGGCCAGTCTTCCTATGCTCGTCGTCTACTTTGCAGGAGGCGGTGGGACGAGCGTGGTGGTGCCGAGCTGGCCCCCGCTGCTCAGGGCTACATTTGGAGGTGTGGTAGATCTGGGTGAGTAGTCGTGTCGATATGCTCGGACCGTAATGCTACGCTACGAAAACCAAAGCTGACTCCCTGCCTCAACCAGGGCCCTTGTATTACCTCTTCATGTCGCTGCTGTCCACCTTTAGCGTGCACAGCATCAACATTCTGGCTGGCATCAACGGACTGGAGGTGGGCCAAGCACTCATTATAAGTCTATCTCTGTGCCTCAATTCCGCTCTATATTTGGATCCCAGAGCAGGACAAGCGGGCAGCTTTGCGAGCAGGGAGCTCAGAGATAGGCACTTGTTCAGTTTGAGTCTGCTGCTACCCTTTTCCGGCTGCTGCGTCGGACTCTTGGCTCTGAATCGGTGAGTGAATGCGTCAGCATTCAATTCAAGATCTCATCCAGAATCCGTCAAGGGGCGCTTCTGATCCGTGCTCGACGCATTTGCAGATATCCCGCCAGAGTGTTTGTTGGGGATACGTGGTGCTATTTTGCTGGCCAAGTTTTGGCTTGCGCCGCCATCTTGGGCCATTTTAGCAAGACTTTGCTACTCTTCTTCATCCCTCAAGTCTTTAATTTTCTGCTGTCGTGTCCTCAGCTTTTCGGACTAGTCCCTTGTCCCAGGCATCGGCTTCCCGTGTGCGTAGAAGTGCGCTCCCAAGGCTGAACCTGTCAGACACGTTTGGCTGATTATCGTCATCACCTCAACACAGGGCTCTTCCTGATGGTTCGCTTGCGCCTTCGGTCGCCAAATGCTACCCGGCACTCGCTCATTCAGCACCCCTAACGACCAAGGCTGGATTGTCAAGGCTCATCCTTTGCGTACTGGAGACGCTGAGATTGGTGCACTTGACTCGCGACTCTGTAGGGAACATAACCCAGACGACCAACTTGACGATCATCTGCGCCACGTTGGTCCTTTGCGGCGTCACTCCCTCGAGCATCTCATCGTCGCGCCTCGTGAGCCCTGGACAGAAATCAGGCCCGCAGCCTGATGAGAAGAGCACCGCGAGCGCACCTGAAGGTTCTAGCCGAGGGTCAGACCCAAACGAGCAGGGCGGGAGAAGCAAAGGGCCAAGGATAGACGAGCCTACTATGTGGACCCTGTTGATGCTTATACAATTGACGGGATCCGCATTCGCATTCGCCGTGCGATACTGGATAGCCAAGATTGTATTCTCTGCGACTTGACAAACCGCTCGGCTCGACTATACCAATCTTCTCACTCTAGTCATCCCTGAATGCGTCCATAATATACATGTCGTTGATGTCGTGAGACGGCAGATGTGAATAGGATTTGTGGAAAGGATTCAAACGAGCGCGCAGGTCTTGAGTGGTGGATGCGAGACTGTCAGATCGCCCCTTGATCAGATGAGAGCCGCGCCTCCCGCGCCATCCACCAGTCCGTGTCCCATCCATCAAAGATGAGACCCAGCTCCCTTTTTGCAGATTCGGGCGAATCTGATTCAGCAAAGGCGGGCGCAGGAGAAAGATGATGGCAGGGTCAGCGTGGCGGGCCATGCGAAGCATGTCCGACGCGCCGAGCGAAGCTGACGGTCTGACTCAGTCTGTGAAGCAGGAGCAAGCAAGCAGTTTTCTGCGAGAAGACACCCTCTTCCTCTTGCCGTCACTGCCGCCGCCGTCTTGCCAACGTGATGCGCTCGCGCTTGAACATGGGACATGGAACTCACCACTTCCGTGAAAGCCGTTCCTGGTATCCGTTATGCCGTACCTACCCCGCAAACTTTGCGGCGCCTCCCACTTTGTCCTGCAAGCTTTCGTAGCGCCCAGCATGCCTCTCCATGCCTTGATGGAGTTGGGACCGTATAGGGCCAAGCTCAATGAAGGGCCACTGTTCACGTGTCGTGTGACACAAGCAGGAGTCATTCCCAATCGATGTGATCGCGTGAGCGAGCGAGAAAGGGGTTCGGGTGGAGAGGAGGGGGGGTGAAACGAGAAAGTGACCCAAGTGGAGAGGCTTTTGGGTGAGACTGTGATGTGAATTCAGGAATCGAGAGGAACGCACTCACGAGGACATGCCGAGGACTAGCCGATCGTAGTAGAATCTACCTCGATGTTCCTGATAAAATTCCTCCGCCTGGGCACGCGTCCACTGCATCCTTCTGCTTCGCACGGGCTGCCATGAATGATGTGTAAGACAGCAGTGAGCGAATCATGGTCGGCTATGACGGCACAGGTGCGAAAATGGGCGCTTTCTAGAACTTCGCATGGCATCGAATGACCCCTAGAACCGGCTCCGACACGCACATTGAGACCGCTGAATTTCAGCTCTTTCAGAACGGCTGAAACGTCCGGTTGACTATGTGGTCGATCGGTTCAATGTCGGAACAGCCATTTCATGAGACGTTAGAAATGTTCAGATCTGTAGATGGGGTATCCGACGAGGGACTCACTAGGAACAAAGAGAGGGTTTGAGGATGGCCAAAGTAAGTTCTGCAGAAGTTGGAGGCGTGTGCAACGGACGTGCTGGATTGTTCGAGTGCGTCGTCGTCGACTTGAAGGGCCTCGGAGCACTTGAAATTGAAGGGAATGGCGAGGAAGAGCAATGATGCATGCTCCTTCGAAGCTGCTTGGGAGCGCTGATCCTGGCCCAATCCCGTGTGCCTTTGCATGTGCGCACCATTGCAGCAACCGCAGTTGATGTTGACGCTGTACTTTGTGACATCGCTTCGTATTTCGCGCGACAGGATCAGAGCTCGATGAAGCGAAGCAGAGTCAGCTATGACCTTTGCTTGGTGATCACTTGGCTGAAGCGATGCAGAAATGTCAGAATGTATGCTCCGGTCAGTTCTCCAATGTCCTGAGCAGCGCGTAGTAGGAGCGGATTTGAAAGCGCGAGGTGCCGCCTGGGCGATGCGCAAGTCTGCGTAGAAAGTTGCGGCAGGCTTTGCCCAGCGTGGCCACACACAGTCAATCGTCTTTTACGTGGCACCTCGATCGCGCCTCTCGAGCTTCAGGATGACAGAAGTGCTGATCCACCCAACGGACGAATCTGCGCTCCTCGACTGCTTCTCTTCTACCGAAATAGGGAAATGATGGTAAACCCGTGGCAACACACAGCATGGCGACCTGACTTGATATCACCTCTTGTAATCGACTTCCAATCCTCCACAGACCTGCGCTAATTGCATCACGTGAGCAACCCAAGCGCCGCCACATCAAAGATTAGGCTTTACAACACATCAAATAAATAACATTATTTATGTATAGATACCTACTCTGACTGCGTGTATCTCGATTCCAATTTCGCGCCTACGACCTTCGCTTTCAGCATCCCTGTCCGTGCTGTATCGTTCCGAATACAAATCACCATATCTGCTGCGTCCACGTCTGCAATTACAGATTGGGCGGACCGAGGTGCAATCAATTACGCACCAGTCAGAGTGCGGATTGAGGCCTACCGCACGTTGCACACGAGGTACAAAGGGCTCTTACACTCTCCGACTCGCGACCCACTTCGTGACTCTGCAGTAGCGACTGTTCAGGCGTAAAGCGGACGCAGCCTTTCTGCGGCTCCCAGCAGACCGACTCGCTTCTGTGCAGTCACCATCATATCGCACACCATTCTACCTCAACAGGAACCAGCGATACGCCAAGCACACCCACCAATCTCTCGCTAGATCTTGCCCGCAAATATGTCGTCGTCGACGCTTAAGCCTTATCAAAACTCCTACCTCTCCCTCTCCCTCTCTCGCAACATCCTCCGTTTCGACGGACCATTCACCTTGAAATCAGGAAGAAAATCGCCTTACTTTTTCAATGCTGGATTGTTTTGCGATGGAGAGAGTATCGCTCAGATTGCGAATTGTTATGCTCAGATGATCAAGGACTCGGGTTTGGAGGTGGATGTGATTCTGGGACCTGCTTACAAGGTGCGTTGGTGGTGCTTGCTTGGTCTGCAGGGAATAGCATGAAGAAGGTGGAGGTGTCGGGTATGCATAGAGCATCGTTACGGGGGGAAATGCAAGAGCGGTGCCTGATGCTCGCACCGACGAGGCTGACTTGGACTGTTCATGCTTGCGCGACCTCGCAGGGAATCCCTTTGGCTGCTACAGTGACACAAGCATTGTACGAAAAGCATAACATTCGCGTAGGATTCGCCTACAATCGCAAAGAAGTCAAAGCTCACGGCGAAGGAGGAATCCTAGTGGGCGCACCGCTCAAAGGAAACGTTTTGATCATCGACGACGTCATGACGGCAGGCACTGCTATTGGAGAGGCGATCAAGTTCATCGAAGGAGCGGGCAAAGAGGCCAACTTGGTCGGAATTGCTATTGCGCTAGATAGACAGGAGAGAGCGACGGAAGAGACGGACTTGAGCACGGCTACGGCCGTCAGTAACAAGTATCAGGTTCCCGTACTGAGCGTGGTGAATGTGGAGGATATCATGAAGTACCTGGCTAACGAAGGGGGATGGGATCAGCAAATTGAAGCGATGAAGGAGTACAGGCTCAAGTTCTTTGGAAAGTAGGCAAGGACACATGTAGAAGACAGTCGGGTCTCACCGATGTCAGCGCAGGGAGGGATCGTGTATGCGCCTAATTCGACACCTCGACAAGTCGGTGCGGAGAGAACAAGCGAAGCCCTGACCAAAGCTCATTCGTGTGGTGTATGCTTTCGACGAGCGGCCACGCATTTGCCAGATACTGGCGTCTTACCTTGCATCCACACCGCACCGCACCTGTTCCTCACTCGTGACTCGTGCCAATTTGACCCAAAAAGATCACGCACCTCGCCCCGCTCTGCACGCGATCCCTATCCTCTTCATCCGTCACCTCACTTCAATTGGGGACCAAGAAACGAACATGAAACTGTCAAAAATCCTTTTGATGTCTGATGGGAGGAAGCGGTGGAGGAGCGGGGAAGGAGAAAAGCCAAGAGTCTAATGTACACTCACACTATAGCCAAACAAGCTGATGACTGTAGACAGGCATGACGCACTTTGGGGCGCAGACGCGTGCGGCAAACCAACGATCACGTGCCTGCCTGCTTGCCTGCATGCCGTCAAATTTTGAAATTTGAGCTGCGCGACGCTCATCTTGTCGTGCGCGACAACTTCCATCGGTCATGAGGGTGCGTATACTACTAGTAGCTGCCACTTTGACCGCTTTGCTCTTGCTGCACGCAAACACCTTTCATTTAATGGGTCCATCACTCGGTCTCCTGTCAGCTTCTCCCGACACACGCATCCATTCTCGGAGAGCGAGTTGCCTGTCAGCCCTTTGCACCCAGCACGAAATCTTTCACTTGTGGCAAGACTGGAGCGGAAGCATCCTTGACTCGTCCACCGACTAGCTCAATCGTCAACGAGCGTGGCGAATCTCTCGAACAAACAAGCGTTGCTCCCCGAGGCACGAGGCAAGAGCGACTCAGCCCCTCTGCTCTAGATCATGTCGAACATGGCTTCCACTTCGCGCAGTGCTGACCAGGCAGTGTTACCCGCCAACGTCGAGGCGCCTCGACAGCTGTGCGTGCATGCGGCCCGACCGGGCCCTCCCAGCAGCAGCTTGAGCTTGGGTTTGGGAGATGCGGCCATACCTGGACAAGTATTCAAAGCTTCGAAAGAACGAAATGTACGAAGAGTCAGAGGGGCTGCGGTCTGGTATGCTCCTTTCGAAGGAGAAGTCAGGGTAGTCGATGTGAGTCGCACTTGGCGCGATTCGTGTTTGCTTGTTAAAAGTGAAGACTCTTGACAGCTCATGTTGAGTTGTTTAAACCTGCACACCACGCAGTCATCGACCAGCGAAGCGTTGTCCACCTATCTGCTACCTGCTCCTCACTCCGGCCACGCCTACACAAACGTCGCACCTCATCTGCCCAGCCTCATCTCCTCTCCTCTTGTCCTCTTCAACGCTCCTTCCGCTTCTCCCGACATCGATACAGATTCGAAATTGACGCACGCCTACCTACCGGCACGCAAGGGAGAAGAGTATGGTGTGATGCAGTGGATAGAGAAGGGTGGAACAGCAGAGAGAAGCTGGATCTCGCTTCACAAACCTGCTGCTCATTTGGCCCTGCTCAGTGCCACAGTTCTACTAGCGCTGCACGCCGACGGCTCGCAATCCCTTGCAGACCTGAGCAACAAAGACATGCACTTTGTCCAGACCTTTTTGCCGTCCTTGACGAGTCCTAGTCAGACGCATTCGGTCCTCGCTGTGTTGGCGGGCAAGTCGGCGTGGGACAGATTCCCCCCGCTCAAACCTAGTGCAGGCTTGGACGAAAGCAACAGCAAGGCTTTGGTCTTTTCGCTGTGTGGAACAGCGGCACCCGAAGTGATCGGAGCGGCTTCAGCGGGAAAACGAAGAGGCAAAGGCCACAAGAGGGACAAGAGGGAAGAAGGCGCACCACAGGTACAGCAGTCGCAGCAGAGTGCAGAAAGCGCCTCGAGCAGGAAGAAATCCAAAACGCTAATTTTGCGCATACACATCGTCGATCCGACTGCTTGCAGAGCTGAATCTGAAGCGCAGGGTCCAAATGGTCTGCTGGCTGATCTACCCATCCAGTCGGCACGCGCAGACGAGCTGCTTTCGATGTCGCTGAGCAGCGACGCCAAAAGCCTGGTCACCTTGTGTAAGTGGATACGGGCACCTATGGTCAATCAGTAGAGCACTCTGACCGGCAGGAGCGCTCTGCAAACCGTTTCTGGTCGCCTCCACAGCCATTCAAGGAGTTCTTCAACAGTACACACTCAATCTCTCGACAACATCGGGCGCATCCTCGCTCGTTCAGTCGCCGACACTCACGATGATTCGATGTCCATCGCCGCCAACAAAAATGGCCAAAGACGCTGCTTTATCTTCGACCTCTTCCAAGGTGAAGAGCCCTTCCCTACCTGCCGGCACCACCATGGTGCACCTTCCGCACGACCATGTGCTCTTCGTGCTGCCGCCCAGCGAAGGCACTTCGACTCCCCAGCCTGGAGCATACCTGATCAGCTTGGTGCTCGGCGCAGTGCTGGACTATGAGCCTACTCAGGTGCCTGGCACTTCGGGAGCCCAAGGTCAGACGTCTCTGAGCATTAGAGCTGCTCGGATTGGAGGAGGCGTCCTCCTCACTCAGACGCGCGTGCACGGAACACGAGCTTCGATGAGCAAAAAACACAAGGACTCCTCTGCCGCTGTCGGATCTGGACCTGGAGAGTGTAGAGTCGCGAGCGTGCCAGTGGACGTTCCGAATGCAGCTAGCATCAAATGGGCTATCGGACAGGAGACTAGAGCCTGGACGAACGCGTTGCTTTGGCCTCCTGGCACGCCCATCTCAGTCAGTCTGTCGACGCTGGCTTCTGCCAAAGCATCGCATGCGCATTCATCGACGGACCCGACGGCAGAGAAGCACGAACTCGTCGTGGCTCTACGAGCTGCAGACTCTGCAAGCGCCAAGGATGACGTCTTCAAAGCATGGTATGATGTGGAAAAGGGAAAGATCGCTCAGGCGGAAGCGAAAGCTGCGCGCACTCGGACGAGCGAGCTTGCGCACGCTAGGAAAGTGGCCGCCCGCAGGAACAGGCAGGCGAATAGTGGGACGATGGGTAAGAGCGAGGATGAGGAGGAGAGGGATGTGCAGATGGAGCTGGAAAGGTTGATGCTGCAAAAAGAACGGGAAACGGATGCGAATGCGAAAGAAGGCAAGATGCAGGGAACGGATAAGCAGCAAGCGTCAAGGCCTGCCTTGCCTGGCGCAGTCGTAAGACTAGTGATAGAACAGGCTTTTGCGCATGCGCATGCGCCCAACAATCCGGCCGTCGCTTCCACTCTGGTGCACCACTTGATGCTGTGGAGAATGCTCTCTGCGAGTCAGGTGTTGCAATTGTCGTCCACCGACGAACACGACAAGCAAGGCGAATCTAGAGGACTCATTGCTCGGCTGCTGGACCTGCAAGAATGGGACTTGGCACTTTTGGCAGCGACGAACGTGTCGGATGTTCAAGAGTTTGAGCTTGTCCTTCTCTTGCTGCGTTCTTTTAGAGCGGAGCGAGGACGAAAGCGGGGCGATGCCTCGTCTAACAAGGGAGTAGCAACAGCAGCTTCGCCCGCGCGCGTGCTGGCGGTCCTGACTAGCAGACCCGAGCTGATCGATTCGGCAGCTTTCAAACATGCTCTGCTCAAAAGTCAATTGACGGATGCGGATCGCGTAGCAGATCTGCTCGCGAGGTTGCACGATTGGCTGGCGGAAGGGTTTATAAATCAGACGAGTCACTTGGGCAAGGGAATAAAGGTCAATGTGAACTTGGTGCCGAAGCTGAAGAAGAAAAGGGGCAACAAGCTATCGCACACGGAGAGAGCGCATGATGAGAACAAGATCGTCAGACCTGGAGTGGACGAGGTGAGCATGCTTGATCGGTAAAGGGGGCGGGGCAGGGTTCGCAACTTTGATTCTCAATTTGCTCACGTGGACAATTTGCATCCGCTTCCTGTTCTCGAACGCGGCGGCGCTCTCACACAGTGCCTGACAATGTTGACGGTACTATTGGACGTCTATTTCCCGCTCCTTTTGCAATCCCCAACAACTTGGAGCGTCCTCACTCGACTATCCAAGACGCTCTCTCAACTCTTACGATCTTCCAACGCCCTCAAAAACCTCTTGGGTCCTCTATCCGCTTTCCAGCGCCTCTCTTCCGACCTTTCGCACATTTCCAAATTCTCTCCCAACCAGCACCATCCTCAGCACCATGCCGCTGCCGCAAATGCAAGCGTGACAGAGTCGGAAAGACAAACGAGCGCAAGACGTACAGCCGTCGCTGCCGTCGACCTCAGATCGGCTCCTACTGGCGTCAAGGAGACCGGAGGCGGATTGGGACACGCCAATTTGATAGCTGCAAAGACGGCGCACAGGACCGGAGAGGCTAGAAAGGGAGATTCGGTGCGCGTAAAGGCTATTCAGGAAAGCGCGCTCGTCGGTCCGTATACAGTCGAGAGATTGGCTTTCTAGCTAAGCTTTCGTCGTGCGCCTTGTCCCTGCAAGACATGTACCGCCGCGTCAATCGCGCTAATGCTCAGGCCACACGGCTGAAGTCTTTGTCCGCACTTTCTGTGCACTACATTTGTTTTTCCTCATTTGTCGAGCACGCGAAAGAGCATACTGTAATACATGGCGCGAGCCTCGAGAGCACAAACACACGAAAAGAAGACGGAAATGCGGTGCCATCGGCAACGCCGTGCGCCGAGCTGAAGCGCGCCATTAGTGTCCTACCTTTATTTCCTCTCCGCTTTCCCCCTCCTCCCCCATTCCCTTCCTCGACTGCCGCCCAAACATTTTCGCCTCACTTGGACTTTTGTTCGTCATTGTTCGCAGCGCCCCCGCCGGCACTGGTTGCGGCGGCCATCCGCTTGCTGGAGCTCGACAGACCCAAAGAAATCTTCTTGAGACCTGGCGCGCTCGAATTAGTCGCGGAGCCGCTTTGCTTTTCGTTCGAGCTGGGCGTTGCGGAGGGCGAGGCAGTGCCGGCATTCGCAGATGGGACAGGCGTAGCAGACTTGTCTCTCAAAAAGCCGCTCTCCTCATCCTCGTCCTTGTCCTTATTCTTGAGCGCCTGCCTCTTGGCCAGCCGACCAATGATATCCTCATCTTCGTCCGCATCGTCAAATTGCCCCGTCGATGGACCAGACAAGGATACTGCATCTGCTCCGCTTCGCCTGCGCTTCTGCCGCGGCTGCTCCTCCTTGACCTCCGACATCTTCTGAATCGGCGATTTGCGTCTCTTGAGTGTGGGCTCAGCCTTTGGTGCCAAAGAAACAGGCGCTTCTGCTACTGCCAGCTTCTTGGCAACCTCCTGCGCGTCAGCGTCTGCATCGGCCTCGACATCGTCGTCGTCCGCATACGCCACCAAGGAGCGAGACATGGGCGCAGAGGAGGGCAGTTGAGAAAAGCCTTCGTTGGCACCAACAGCGCCGGGAGGCTCGAGTATAAATCCACCACCTGTGTCGTGCGATGGCACGACAGGCTGCTGCCCTTGAGAAGCCACATTCTCGTCGTCTGAATCATCGTTGAAGTAGCTCTCTTCATCCGAATCCATCGTGGCCCGATTAGCTCCTCTTCTCGCGAGATCTCTCTGACGCCGATCCTTTTCTGCTGCCAAAGACGCCGCAGCGTCTGAGGCGCTCATGTCGCCAACCTCGGGTGCAGGGAAGAGATTTCGTTCGTGTTGATCGAGAAGAGCTTGAAAGGCGCCGCCAACAAGGGGCGCCGTAGCAAGCGCACGCAATCGATCTCCGAAGCTATCCGCAAGCTGGGCGATCAAAGGCTTGACATTTTCCTGCGGTCAGGTTGAAGACCAGTGTTAGAGCGAGCAAGCACAATGACAGAGGATGCAAATGGTAATATGTGTGACCGGTATCTGTGCCTTTCCCGCAGAGTGCTTGAGAGGATGGCTCTATATGGCGGTCGACGCCCAAAGCGATTTGCATCGCCAGCTTCAATCTTGGTCCCATCTTGCCCTCGTCAAAAGACCCAGGGTCGTGCCTCGCCGTGCACAGGTGTGACAAGCCATGTAACAGCGCGGCAACCTAACAGACCTTTGAATGCGGGAAACGCGCTCAAGACTGAACTACTCACCCTTCTTAGATAGGCGAAAAAGTCCAAGCATGCAGACGCGACCAGGTTGTCCCTGTGCTTCTCGTGCTCCACCGCTGCCAGTACTGCTCCAACCAGCTCAACCTTGACAAAGTGCCTGTTGATGTACTGGTTATTCCTGGTGAGGCAAGCCTTCAAGAAGCGCAACGCCGCCAGTCTGATGTGCTTCTCTCTCGCATACAGCAAGCTGACGACGTGCCGAACGATGTCGGAGGTGATGATAAAGTACTGACTCCGAAAGGTGTGGTGCACAATGACGTAGCAGAGCAGATCGCAAAGGTGCGCAAAGAGGGCTGATCGGGCCCTGGGTGACAAGTCGATGCTTGCCCCTGGGGCGATAACTTTGAAGAGCGGCAGCGAGAAGAAAGGCGAGAACAGTCGCTCAATGTCGCCCTCGTACACCAGATTCAAGAACCGGTCCGACTCGTCCTTGGGCCGAGAGCCGACGGCTGCAGCAGCTGCAGCAGCCAGGGTCTGAGCTACCGGATTAGCAGCGCCCATCTCTGCGGACGTGTCTAGTAAGACCCGTGTGGCCTCTGACATTTGAGCTTTGAGACCTAGGTCCTGCTCCGCATGCAGCGACTCTACCAGAAGAGTGGAGATGGGCTTCATGCTCGCTTCCGCTTGAGCGAGCGCGTGCGCTCTCACGCTGCTAACGTCGTACTCGATGATGGTGAGTAGCACTTCCGCAGCCGCATTGCGCAGCTTCATCTCTCCCTTGAGCTGCAAAGCCCACTCCAAAACGCTCAGTAAGCCCCAATCTACCAGGGATCGATAAAGGCCTATCCGAGCGGGTAGCTGTACCTGTTTCCCCATCGCGCACAGCTGTTGCAGGAAGATGACGCCTTCCGCCATTTGCTGCGTCCCCGGTCCGGAAGGTGGCTTCTGATAGGCTATGACGCGGTCCGGCAGGCTCGGGGCGCCTTGAGGGGGAGGTAGTCCCGCATTCTGTCCGTTAGCCGCATTGCCAATCATCATGTGCTGCGCCGCGCCGGGTGCGTCTGCCCGTCGGGGAATCGTCACCTCTCCATATACCGAAAAGAAGCGGTTCAGGAAAGAAGCATTGGCAGAGCAAAAGCCGACAATGTCTACTTGATGGAAGAAGATGAAACTGTTCAACACCGAGAACATCGCATCGTCTAGCACTCGAGCTAGGATCACGTCCCGCAGGTATTGCAAACGATACGTCTGGTGTATCTTTGCCAGTATCACTGGGTCTTCGATGTCCACGACAGTCCGAAACTTGGTCGTGTTCTGAAGGAAGTCTCTGTAGCTAGCCTTGAGCGTGGGGAATTCGGGATCATCTGCGGACACGAAAGGCAAGCAACTTAGGCTATAGTCTCCACGAGCACTCGAGCACTGCTCAGAACTCGAACTCACACTCTAGCATGCCGACAACCCCCAAGAAAACGTCGTCTTGCAAAATTTGCTCCAGCAACGAGTGTTCGTTGAGCATCACTGTGAGCATTCGAAGATGAGACGCGTTAATGCGAATTGCCGTGTAAGCATATCAAGCGCTCTGGTCCCACTTACGAGTGGTCTGCGTGATGGAGCAAAGGCGATGCAGAGCTTCCAATTGCTCTAAATCCTCCGCATCACTAAATATGGGCAATAACTTGTGCAAGAAGTTCTGTTCGCAATGCATTCGGACAGGAAGAGTCAATCGGAAGCTACGAGCGCGCCGATGTCGCATAATGACCTTAACTCACGCTCCGCAGCATCCATGCAGCAATTTTCTCCCTGGCATGTGGACTTCTAGCAGCAGCGTCCTTGATGCTCATTTCGATGAGGGCCAGGTTACCAAGTGACGGGTCAGGAAGGACAAACGCAGCGCCATTCGGTCCAAAGGGATCGTGTCCCGCAGGTCCGAGCGCCGACGGGCTACTATCAGGATTTGGAGTCAAGGGGGGCGATTCGAAGCCTTCGTCGCCCATTCTTACGCCTCCTTCGACGCCTCCAGGCCCATCCAAACTTCCTGCATTGAGATTGAAGTGCTTCTGCACCTCTTGCAAGAAGTCCCAGATCTCTTGGCACCCGTCCGCCTCCTGGAAAGAGAGGGCCATGTCTTGCCCATGCGGCTCCGTCCAGACGATCAGTGTATCTGTGCACAGGATGTACAGCACAGTCAGCATATGTTATCACGCCCTGCCACTCGTATGGTAATCACCTTGCTGTCTTTGATACACGTCATCTCTGACTACGGTGGTCAAAAGTAGAAGGTCGTCCGCTTCTAGCGTCGGGGTGATGACGACCATGAAATTTTGCGATTCATGTGCAGTTGATGCGCCTTCTTGTCCGGCTTTCTGCGGGCTTGCAGGGTTCTCAGTAGCAGTTGCACCTGCTTGACCGCTGGACGGTCCTCCACTCATGGGCTCAGGGGAGGAGCTCTTCTCCAGCGGCAGATCTTCGCAGGCATCCTCGACTCTAGCAGCCAGCAAAGCTTCATCTCGTCCCTCATCGTACACACCAGCACAGAAACCCGTGCCTCGATCTTGCCAGCTATCGCCTTGAAGCTCGTACACCTTCACTCTTCTAGCCGTGCCGCACTGATGATAAGCCCCACGCGATACTGTACTGGACGTCTGCAGCGGACCATCCCTATTGTCCCCAAATGACCTGTCTTCCCTGCTGATGCCCAATCCGCTCGAAGATGCAGATGACGTGCTCGTGTTGGAAAGATCGCCTGACAAGTCACCATCCTGATTGACCCATCTAGGCATCGAATCCAAAATATTCTTCATCTCTGCTTCCTCCTCTTGCAGACCAACAGACTGAGGAGTGGGCAGCTGCGCACCAGCGCCCTGCAAATCAACCGGTGCGAGATTTGCTTGACCCAGCGCGCCTACGGCATTCGGAGTTCTATCTTGAGATCCAGCTTGGCGTCCGGCGCTCGGAGCAGGCCCTCCGCCCCTGGGTGACCTCTGCGGCGATCGCGATTTTGCCCTCTTGTCTGTCCGAGCGTTTTTGTTCGAAGGGGAAGACGCGGAACCGGTAGCATCGTGTAACCGCTTGGAGCTCGTGCGGACGGGTGCAGTCACTACGACCGCTGTCTCCTTCTCTTTACCCTTGGGACTCGAAGATAAAGCATTGCTCCTTGCCCTCGGTTCACGACGCGTCTCTGCTGGAGAGTCCGGTGCAGTGACGGGTACTGAGGTAGAAGAAGCAGCGCTTGCTTTGGCACGAGAACTCGCACCAGCTGCACTCCGCGGCGGCGTCTTGGGCGGAGTCTTGGTGACCGGGGATGAGGAGGAGGAGGAAGAGGAGGAGGATGTCGGAGCGCTGGAAGCAGAAGTTGCGCTCTGTGCAGGCATGACCGAGATGGGAGCAGGTGCAGGTGCGGAAGTAGACGAGGAAGAAGACGATGAGGATGAGGATGCCTTATTTTGCATTGCAAGGAGGAGTCTGGGTGTTTGTTTGTTGTGGACTCGATTGCTTGGAAGTGCAGTGGCTTCTAGCTGCTGGTGCTCTTCCGCTCGACTGCTGATGGCCGCAGATCGCAGGTGTCTATCGACGCGTCGGCAGTTGGATCATGATGTGATAGTACCTTGACGCAAGGTCTGTGGGACTCGTGCCTTTTGTGATATTGCGCCAACTTCGCTCGGATCGCTTCACCTTTGCTGGATCAGCAAGCCGTGTTCGCAGAATCTTTGGCGGCAAGGCGTCAATTCCGCCTACTCGGGTGGAGTCGTGTGTCCCGTTTCGTGGTGAGTAGTCCCAAGTGCACCTGCGGTACGACGCGATTCGTGATTCGTGATTGTGTGATGAAAGTGGAGAGACGAGGCGTGGGCGGACGGGTCACGCGCGTGTCATGTGCGCTTCGTCTGGCGCGTTGTGCTGCTGCTGCTGCTGCTCCTTGCTTGCTTGCTTGGCTTTGTTTTTGCTGCTCGTGATAGAATCAAATCGTGAATACGAATCGCGAATATCACGAATGTACGCGTGTGTGTCACGACCGCGCGCGCGTGACCAAATCGCTGATGCGCATGCGCTCAACTCTGACTCTAATGCTGCTTTGGCTGGGTGGCGAATATATTGAATTGAAGCCGCGTCGCGCCTTCTGATGCTGCAGCATCATCATCATCATCCAGCGGACAATTCGAAATTGAATTGAGATGTCGATGCACGATGCAGAAATTTGCGGGCGTCGCTGCACCGATGCTCGCGCGACTTGCAGCAGCCGTTGCGGCTTGATTTGCGCCCAGCCAGCATCATGCGCGACGCGGCCTTCAAGATGTGCGAGCTGAGAGGCGCGCGCGCGCTGTTGCCCAAACTCAACAGGATCGATCGCTTTGCACCTTCTTGCCGAGCCACGTGATACGAAAGCGAGCGGGAATACCACGCTTGCCCAAAAGGCACACACATACCGGTACACATCAAGTCGAGCGTCACGCGTGCAGCGGTGCAGAGCACAACTTCTATCAAAATCATGAATTTGCTTAGTAATCAGATATACCCAACTCACGACTGTACGGTCTTCATGAAGAACACGGCCGAAGCCCTCCAGAAGACGCGAATAGCGACCACAGACGGTTGGAAGAGTACGGTCATTGACGCCCTTGCCGACCAAGCGTCCAAGATCCGACTCGATAAAGCGCGGGGGACAAGTTGCGCAAGACTTCCATCAACGAGCTTGCTTCGGGTGCAGAAGATCGCGAATCCGAACATCTCGAGATCAACTCGAGCAGACTGTAAAGTTGCTTGCAAATATGTTGTCAAGAAGCGGACTATTCCAAGCAGGATGTTTGCTGAGGGCGACTTCCTCGCGGACAAGCGCCTGCCTTCCTGATGCCTGGCCCAAGCATGCAGCCCACAAGCGCGCACAATCAACCACTTCCTCCCCGCCATTCCACGACGATGTGCACGCTAATGGCATTTTCTACCACGCGCTGAGCTCCTTGGGCGATCGGTATGCACTGAGCTACTCCTCCAAGGTGCCGAGCTCAGCCGAACAACCCTCTGTACTGGGCATCCTCTCCCTCCCATCCTCGGCACAAATCACAGCCCAAGATGGATCGCGCTTGGCTCCTTCCCAACTAGCTCAATCACATGCCGAAGACTTTGTCACCAATCCTAATTTTCACATCTTTTTGCATAGGGTCCTCAAGCTCGCCGCACTGGACGACGGCATGATTCAATACGAAGCGTTTTTGCGCAAGAGCGGCTTTGCGCACGTGGCAGGTGGGTCGAATGCGCTTCGCCTGATCTTGCTTTGGAGTGCAGCGCCCCAATACTTGTGTACTGAGTTGCGTTCGCTCCCCATCCTTGCATCTCGACTTAGATCAAAGAGAACAGCTAATGCCAGGTCGCATTCCGTACCCCGAGAACATTCTCGCTTCCATAGGTTTCGACAATCAAGAGTTGGTTGGGGAGACGTACTCGCCCAACGAGGTGCACAGGATCATCACGAAGGAGTTGGGCGTCATGGTTCTCAGACCTGCGTGGCACGCCAGATTGATGGAGGAGCTGGACAAAGCTTGAGCCAGCGCATTGCGCGAGCACGATGCAAGCGTGTGCGCCACCTCAACAAGAAGCCGTGGGCTTGTCAAAGCGTTGCCCGACGGGCCGCTCCAGCAACCAAATGTAGTGCTTACGTGTTGTAAATGGTGCAAACGTCGCCACTACTCCGACTCAAACGCCAGTGGGCCTATCGAGGGTGCAAGTCTTATGTAGTGCCTTTAGAAAGAGCGGGCGCGACCTTGAGAGCGTACGGCCTCACTCAGATCTCAGGCGAACGAGCAAACGTGAACTGTCATAGTCGCGAGTAGTCTCACGATCAGTATTTCGATCTCCGAACTTTAACATTGCGCAAAGCTGCTTGGAACAAGCTCAACGCATCGTGACGAGCTCTGAATGGAATGAAAGAAGGGGGGAAGTTAGCGCTCGAAATAGGGATCACAAACCCTTGCCACGGCTCACCTTCGGCGGAGGTTGGGTGGATAGCGACAGTATTGTCAAAGTCGGCTTTGGTAGCTGTGTGAACAAGTGTGTCGGGTCAGTGAGGCACGGCACAGCGATGCCAGGCAAGTTGCAAGCCGGAAACGTATTCGCGCACCTCCCATCTTGACAGCGATGCCCACGCCCTGCATGATCTCGTCGCTCCCCAGGCCAATGATGTGAACCCCAACGACCTTCTCCTCCTTGCCAGCGCAAACGAGCTTGTAAGCCGTAGGCTGCTTGTGTTCCAGCATGCCAAAGTACATGGACGTGAACCTGCTCGTATAAATTTTGATGTTTTCCTCGCCAAACTTTTCCTTTGCTTCCGGCTCCGTCAGACCGACGGTACCGCTGGTGGGATGACTAAAGACGACGGTTGGGATATTGTTGTAGTCCAGGCGATCGTTTGCAAATTGCGGTCCGCCATACAGTCGGTTGGACAGCCTTCTTCCAGCCGCGATAGCTACGGGCGTTAAGAGCGCCTTGCCAGCTACGTCGCCGAGTGCGTGAATAGAAGGCACGTTGGTGTTCTGATAGTCGTCAACCGCTATGTTCCCCTTGTCATCCGTCTTCACGCCTGCGCTTTCGAGGCCCAAGTTGTCGGTGTTGGGTCTGCGACCAATAGCCCAGAGAAGGGTGTCGACTTCGAGCGTCTTCCCAGTGTCCAGATGCAACGTCAAAGGACCTCCTTCTTTTCCTTCCACCTTTTTGATGTTAGTCTTTTGATGAACGTTCAACCCCGTCTTGCTCATGTAGTCTTGAAGCGTTTCGGCGATGATGGGGTCAAAGTTCCTCAAGAATGTGTCGTGTCGGATGAGCAAGTGGGTCTCTGTTCCAAGGGTGTTGAACACGCCTGCCAGTTCTACCGCAATGTACCCCGCACCGACCACGGCGACACGCTTGGGCTGTTCTCTGAGGGCAAAAAACCCGTCCGAATCGATGCCCAAGTGCGCGCCAGGCACCTGCTCCTCCGAAGGCTTGGTAGGTCTTCCTCCCGTAGCGATCACGATCTTCTTTCCCTTGATAGTGTGCGTCCCAGCATCAAACTTTCCGTCATCTCCCCTTAGGCTCACTTCCACCTCGTTGGGACCGAGGATCTTGGCATGTCCAGACAAGTACTCCACCTTGTCCTTTTCTAGGTTTCGGTCGTAGATGCCGTTGAGACGTCGAACGTATGCATCTCGCTTCTCGGCAAAGTAACGCCACTGGAACTTGGGCTCTGCGTTGATTGGCTTGCCCTCGGCATCCCCAAAACCGTACTCTGGAGTCTCGCGCAATGCATCTGCGAGGTCAGCTGCGTGCCACATGAGTTTCTTCGGAACGCAACCTAAAGCCAGCGAAAGCATCAGGGAGGGCAAGGGGCCGCGAGAACGTGAGTTAGAGGAGCACAAGTCAGCTTTGGAATAGGTGTGCGACCGAATAGCGGCAACATTCGATGCTCACCGACATTGACGCATGTACCACCGAGTCGACCATCCTCCTCAATCACAACCACCTTGGCACCATACTGAGCAGCACGTCTGCTCATTCCCATGGCACCCGATCCACCGCCAATGACGATGGCATCGTACTCGTCCAAAGATGGCTTAGGAAGAGGAGGCATGTTGACCCTCGACGATGTGGTGATGGAAGCGAGAGGAGAGAGGTGGGAGATAAGCGGAGAGAGTCTGCGGGAGGCGGTGTTGCTAGTCGTGTCCAATGGCGACACGATGGAAGAGTTGCGAGGAAGGGATGACAGTTTGGAAGAAAATTTGCGGATTGTACCGCTGGAGGTGAGGAGTGGGCGAAGCGCAAGTCGGGTTGAACGTGAACGCAATGCTACAGATGCGCTGATGAGCATGTCTTGCGTGTTTTGACGAAGTGTCAAAGACGTGCTGTAACGTGATGTATTGGACGTTCACAGTACGAAGGTGAACTTATGAAAGACAGAAGAGCACAAGAGGTGTGCCAATCCATTCAGATTGTAGAAGTGGAGGGCAGGCAGCATCGAGCGCAGCGAGGGCCTCCGAAGCGTGCGTGCCGGCGCCGCAAGGCAGAAGTGGCTTGCGGGTCCTTGCTGGAGCGTGCAGCAGTGAGTAAGCAAGCTCTCAGACTTACGACTGGACCGCGACAAGGCAAGGTGCCTGCGACGCGCATGCTGCTCGATGTCCATGCATCCATCTATCTCTACGTTTTTCCTCGCACAGCAGACTTTGCTGACTGTGACAAGCAATCAAGAATCTGCCGCTGCTATGGCGTGCCGATGCTGCTGATGCATCCAGACTTGACTCCACGCGGCAGCTAGGCGCAGCAGCTGGGGTGGAGGCATGCTTGATTCAAGCCATCATGTTCTTTCCCTTCCTTTCCCTGCTGCTGCGCTGCTTGCTTGCCTCATCCACTCATCAGGCTCTGGCCCTTCTAGACTGTGCTGTAGAGGACGAGGGGGGAGGAATAGCATCCTTTTTGCATGCGCTTCGTATCGTCATTAGTTTGCCTTTTTTGCGCCTGTTGACGAGCAAGCGCTTCACGTACCAGCGAACGCCTACAGCTACCGTACCCTCGCGGGGCAAAATACGCTGACAAGAGAGAGGTCACTTCAGGATTCTCGAGTCTGATGCGTTCCTCTCTCCCGTAGCCAGCCGCGATCCAGCTTCCGCCGTGATACGAGTCAAGTCTGCCCGCGCTTCTTTTGTCTGCTCTGCGCTGTCACGACACTTCTTCTTTCTCCCATTTTCCATGCCCATCCTCGACAGGCTCTCATTCATGACCCAACTTTTTACCGACTCTCATTTCTTCCTCGCCCGCATCACGAATGCTCGACCGTCTGCCGCGCTTCTCGAATCGCATGTACACCTCAATGTGCATTCGCGTCCCCAAGAAGCCACCAATCAAAAGACGCCCTCCCCCCCCCCCCCCCCCCCCCCCCCCCCCCCTCACGCGGCTCATTCGCCTTTCGATGTGGCAGTGTAGCTTTGCACGCATGCTTATATCAAGCCGCGAAGGTCGTTGAATACCTTGCCTCTTCAACCTCGACAGCGACAATGAGCTTACTGACCAACGCATAAGTCAAGCGCGCAATGGCGTGTCATTTCTCATCGAGTCTTTACGGAACATGGATGAAGTGGGGACGAGGATGCTGAAGAATGTGATCTTTCTGGTTCGAGTGTGGCTGGTCCAGCCAGAGATGGTGGTTTGCTGGTGGTGCGAATTGGAGTGAGGATAACGTGATACAGATTTTGAGCCGGGGCGAGGCGAATCGAGACGAGACGAGACGTAGAGTACAGGAAGCATTGAGCTTTGGAAGTTCGAGTCAGGAGTACGTCGCAGGTGTACGTCACAGGTGAACCGGGAGCAGGGCTAGGATCTGGCAGGCTGCGCAGTACATTGGTCTCCTCGTGGCGGCGAACACCTCAAGGCGAGTACGAAAGTGCGTCGTTGTCAGCACCAGTCTCAACCTTGCTTTCCCCTCCACAGTCAGAGCATCGTGCCCAAAGCTCGAAGCAACCAGCTTGAGCATCAACGAGGCGCTTGACGAAGAGTTGAGGGATCGCGCGGCAATGCGCACTGCGACGAGCGAGGACTGAGGTCAGCTGATGCGAGTTCTTCAAATCGTAGACCTCGAGATGTTGACTCACCCATGGGAGTTGGCAGCACCATCGACAGCCATGCCGGTGTCACTACCCATTACCGGGCCCATCACCCCCGGCGAGAAGTTCGGGTAGGGGTTCACGTTGGGATACCCAGTGAAGCTGCCAACAGACGAGTCGTGGCACGGTTGCTGGTTGTGAGGCGCATTTCCGAGCCCAAAGTAGCCTTGAGATGGCGAGGTCTCCGGCGTTGGGGGCAGACGAGAGCGGTGTTGCTCAAAGATCATGCGGACTTGCTCCTGGGCCGCAGCCAGGTGGGATGGGTCGTAGAATACAGCGGGAGAAACGTCGAGAGAAAGATTTGCGCCGGGTCCGGCACGACGAGCATATGCGATCTGTAGGCGAAATTGAATGAGGTGAGCAAAAGCGATGAAAGCGATCCGGACGCGATAGGCGGTCAGATTTGGTAGGGAGAGGAAGGGCGAAAGGGGAGGTTTGTTGCTGTTTGTGGGCTTCTCTGCAGAGATCTAGCCTTGCTCACCTTACGCGGACCAGCATTGCCCGCCACGAAAGAGTCTTCATCACTCTCACTGTCCATGTCCTTGCGTTTGCGACTTCCGCCAGACGGCGTAGCGATAGAGCGAGGTCCAGATGGGGCGAATGCTGCACCAAGCTGGCCTTGACTGTACGAAGGCCCAGCACCAGGGGTGTCGAACATCGGAGTGAAGAAAGACATATGGGACAAGAAGATGGGGTGGAAACAATATGCTATACAAATTGAACAGCGCTGAGGTCTAGGTCAATCACAGACGTGGTGCTGGCACCCGTCGGCGTCTAGGGGCGGTCCTTTGGCGAGGATGCCGTGGACGATGGTGTTGCCGAAGGGTGTAGGCGCAGCGTGTATGCGCCAGGAGTGAGCGTATATGCTCGAAAGCTGAAGTTGAAAGGACCGATCGTGCGTATGCCGAACAGAAGTGCTTGTGACAATGCGAGCAAGTGCCGGACTGGACTTGATCAACGAGAGAGGTTGGTGGTGGAATGTAGGAAGGATGGTGATTGCTGCGAAGAAGCAACTTATTGGTTTTGAGGGCGGAGTGCTCAAGGTCGCGTGCCGCTTGCGTTGCGCACGAGAGAATTCGCTCGATCCAGCTGCCGCGACGCGACGTTTATCCAAGTCCGCACGCGGCGCGTTTGAGCCAGTAAATGCATGCTGGGAAGTACGGCGCACGGAAGCAGTCTCGAACACAAGTTCTGCAATTGCACAGTGACTGTGTCGCGCGGCGTTTGCGCAGACTGATGGCGTGCACGAAGACTCGATCTGCGCTTGCTCGCTCATCCACTTTGGCAGTGCGACTGCACTTTCCTGCTGCTACACGCATGCAGCAGCAGCAGTCTGGGATGTGAGTGCAGTATATACACATATACACGCCACATTTTCCGCGCCAGGGATAGAGTCGTCCCGTGCGCCCCGTCCGGTCGGCCCGCTACGCAAAAGCAGCGCAGTTCAGTCACGAGTCTCACCCTCTGCCGACTGGCCGCAATATGTTCTTGATTCTGATTGCGCACCCGCGCACGGATGGGTGCGGCAAAACGAGGGTGCATGCGTCTACGCTCCGCTCAATCTTGGCCGCGTTTTGAATTTTGAACGCACTCCTGCGTGTTATCGCGGTCTCACTCCGTATTGCAGTCAACTCCACCTCCGCACACGGCTAGGAGGTTGCCTCGCAGCGAACCTCGAAGTACGATGCGAACATTCGCTCGGAATAGTCTAGACTCAAGCCGCTTGCGCCCGTGGAGCCAGGCCACGGATAAGATGAAGACATCCGGGCTCTCACCAGCTCGAGGAGTTGAATCACCACAGTGCGTCTGCATCATCCTGGCAGTGCTACACACTCTGCTGAATGTCTGGGTCGATCGTGAATGTAGATGACGAGCAGGCAAAGCGCACAAGTATGTCTGCCCATCCGCCGTTCGAATTCTGACCTAGTCGTCTAAAATTCACTGGCAGACCAGACCCTCCATCGTTCAGGTCTTGAGGTAGTGTCAAACACTTCAATCCGCACACGTGTATACAGCCACGACCATTGAGGGATAGACCGACGCGTTGGCGGCAGAGTGTGCACATTGCCACTCGTGAATGGCACCGCACCACCGCCCTGTATTGGAAATGCCTGGTCCTTCATACCTACCGAAGAGTCGCAGCGAGCTAACAACTATGCCGTCCTGTCTCTTTGCATTCATCCCCTTGCGCTGTTGCGAACAAGAGAAGGAGCCAGCGCCCAGTAGGAACCACTTTTTGAGCGGCTGGTCTTGGACGATCTTTTGTCACACGACTGACCATCCACAACACCAGAACAGCCATTCCTTATCTCCCGGGAGAGTGTAGCCAAGCGGGTAGCTGCTCCTTTGCAAAAGCCGCTGCAGCGTGCTTGTTGCCCTAGATGTATGTATCTTCACTCACCCTTCTGGGACGAGACGTGACGATGTATCGTTCACCGGTTCACGCGGCCCGAGCGGGTATGTGAAGTACACGGGCCATCTTCACCTCCGTGTTGTTTCGTGTACGCCAGTACCATGCCTCAATACCCTGAGGTTAGTGAATGGCTGCTTGAAATCAAGTTGCGCAGCCATGCTCTGAGCGATGATGTGTCAGCGTTGCAAGGTGATCATACTCGTAGTGCGCCATGCGGTGGCGAGACGTATGAGGGGTCGAGCATGAGGAGTGCCCAAAATCAGAAATAAGCATTCGACTTCGAAGGGAGCTTCCCAGCTCATCACTATGACAGACTTTAGTCAACTTGATGACCGAGCCAGCGTGGCGAACTTGGCGCCCCTTGTGCACGTCGGGCAACGGACTCGGAGAGCTTTCATTGGGGACATCGGCGTGACTGTTGCTGTCGAAGGCGCTCTTTCGCCAGCACATTCACTCTAGCTCGCTCCAATATTATTGATGAGCGCGGCGAGGCAGCTGGCTACCACACATGGCCGATGCAACTTTCCTACCTCCTAAACGAACCCGATGTCTCTCGAGCCATTGAGCACCTTTTCCACTTTCAGTACTTTTCTGCTCCTCGATACGACACCGTGCATGTATCCCTTTACCATGCAGCCAGCCGTACTTCTCCTGTGGATGCTCGCACTGCCTCGGTCGCAATCCGCCCCGCTCAAAGCGACGTTTGCCGCGCATGTCGAAGGAAGTAGGAAAGATGCAGTCGATGTGAGTCGTGGTTTAGTCTCGCATTCCTCGCTCGCCTTCTCCAAAACCCAACTTCATGTTTTGACCTTCCTGCGCCTTCTTTCACCCTGCTTAGAGCGGGTCAGGCGAGTGCGACAAAAAGTGCAAGCTTCCTCACTCGAGCTCACCAGCGCCATCCCCTTTGCAGAGCTATATGAGAGCGCGTCTGAGCATCTGAGCCCCACCTCAGCAGCCAATCTGACTCCAGGAAGTTCTTTCAATCCTCGGCGGCTGCACAAGGAGTGCTGGAGATCGTCGTGTCGATGGTGGCGGGCAAAAAAGAAGTCAGACAAAGTGTTCTATGGTGTCGCCACCGGCGTTGGCGGATTGACTGTAGTTGCGAGCAGCGTAGCTGTCGGTGCGTGCTCTGTTTCGCGTGCAAAATCCGTTCGACACTGTCCTGATGCTCCACCGTCCGTAGCTAGCTGATATACTGACAGTGCAATCTCTCTCTGCGATCGGTGGCACCGTTCTCAGGTAAAATGCACGCGGATTACGAGGCGCGCGAGAAAGCGCGGAGGTTGAGAGAACAGAAGCGTCGAGGGGCTGAAATTCATCCGGTCCGTTAGGGGCGCGAACTTCATCGACTTCGTAGGCCACTTGCCAGAGCGCCTTGACATGCACTTCCATACACCGCGTAGCCAGTGTTGACTGGGACTAGACTGACGAAAGCGCTCATGGTGGCAAAGTCAACGATTACTCTATTTGGCGGACCGCCGCGTGGCAAGAATCGCGCACGGGCGCAGGAGCCTAGACAGAAGGCGATGTTAACGACGTCCTCGTCCTCCTCCTCGCTTCTGTGTGCTCTCTTTGCTTGCGTGGAGCCAAACCTAGCCTCCGCATACGGAATATTTGCGGCGCTTCTGGGGCGACAAAATGCGATCTGCCTGCGTCGACAGAGTGGCAAGGCTGATTTCGCACTCCGCAGTGTGACAGGCTTCCTACCTCAGAGCATGGGTGTAATAGCTGGCAACGCTTGGCCTCCTGGACATGCTCCTGAGCTTTGTTTCCTCTCATTCTTATCGCACCCACTGGTCTTGGTCTACAACTTGATACGAACTGAGAAGCTTGGATGTCGACTCTGAGTATCTTGAATCGTGAATGGATTTCGTGAATTTGTGAATAATCTTGAATCGCACATTCATGATTCGTGATGAGACCTTCTGTTCTGGCTCAAATCTAAACGAGCCAGGCCACATCCAGCATGGCGTGGCGGTGCGGGCCGCCCTGCTGTGTGTGTGTGTGGGCGTGAAGATCAGCATCACGTGAATTCTCAAGATCGCAATCACGCAATCTCACTTGCGTCTTCTTCCCGGAGAGCGTTGCAGAAGTCGGAAGGGCGCAAGGGCGTGATGGGCAGGCGGCGCGCGTGCGTGCGTGGATCTGGCGGCGGACGCGCAAACGAGCCCTCCTGGCGGCGTGACTCGCCAGTCTGCTGATCCGCTCATCGTTCAAATTACACGCTAGATCAGCGTCGCAGACAATCTCGACGACCTTCCTACTTCAATAGTTTATCATTACTATCCACGCTGAGCTGTTGGACTCTGATTCTCAGTGTTTTGTCACAGCTCGCGACCATGTCGTCACCTCCCACGCCTGTGCGCACCTCTTCAGAGGCCAGCAGCGACACTATGGGCCTCAGCACCACGATGGGCTCTGCGACAAGCTTAGCCACACCCGTCGACTCTGCACCCACGTCGCCCTCTCCATCCGTGCTAAATGTCCCCGTACAGAGCAAGAGCTCCGAATCAACCTCAAAGCCCCGAGTTGCAGCCCAGGATCGTCGAAGTGGACCTTCAGGTCACCGCTTCGCTACCACATGCGCCACTGTGGACGACCCCAACCACAAGGACCAGTATGGCTCCTCCAGCACCCCCATTTACATGAGCGCCACTTTCAAGGGTCTCCCCGGAGCCGAGTTTGATTACTCTCGCAGTGGGAACCCCACCCGAAGCATGCTGCAGCACCACTTGTGTCAGCTGCAAAATTGTCGATACAGCTTTGCTGTCAGTTCCGGCATGGCCTGTCTGGACGTGATCACGCGCTTGCTCAAGGCTGGAGAACGCATCATCGCAGGTGATGATCTCTATGGGGGCACGAATCGTCTGCTCACCTATCTTGCCACGCACGGGGACATCAAGACGGATCATGTGGACACCACTGATGCGGACAAGGTGCAAGAGATTCTCGAACGACGTGCGGCCGAGTCCGCTCGCGGTGAATGCGGCAAGGTGAAGATGGTTTTGTTGGAAACGCCTACCAATCCCCTCCTCAAGATCTGCGACCTCGAGCGCTGTGCACGCGCTGCCAAACGCTTTGCTCCGGAAGCCATTGTTGTGGTGGACAACACCATGATGAGCCCATACCTCATGCGCCCCCTCGAGCTGGGCATCGACGTCGTCTACGACAGTGGCACCAAGTATCTTAGTGGCCACCATGATCTCATGGCTGGTGTCATTGCGTGTGATCGCGAGGATGTCGGCAAGGTGAGGGGCTGACACGCCGAGGAGGCCCGGCTATAGTCCGCTAGCTCACACCACTTTGGCATCCTTTCGCAGCAAATCGCATTTACAGTCAACTCTATCGGCAATGCGCTCACCCCAATGGACTCTTTCCTTCTGCTGCGAGGCATCAAGACGCTCGCCGTTCGTATGGATAAGCAACAGACTTCTTCCAAACACGTCGCGCAATATTTGCACTCTCTGGGTTTCAAGGTGAATTACCCAGGTCTGGCTTCACACCCAGGCAAGGACATTCACGATCGCCAAGCATCAGGACCGGGTGCTGTGCTGAGCTTCGAGACTGGGGACAAGGAACTCTCTGAGCGTATCGTCGGTGCGACTCGATTGTGGGGCATCAGCGTCAGCTTCGGCTGTGTCAACTCGCTCATCAGCATGCCATGCCTCATGAGTCACGCCTCCATCGATCCTAAGATCCGCGCGGCTCGCCGCTTGCCCGAAGACCTCATTCGCCTGTGCGTCGGCATTGAAGATTGCAGAGACCTCATCGAGGATCTGGAAGCGGCCCTGCTCCAAGCTGGCGCTATCAAGAGGAAGTCGCAGCTGAGCAGTGCGGCTTCCACGCACACGGGTCAATCCACAGCCGAAGGGCATGTGGCTGCAGCGGCAAACTTTGAGCGGATCATCAGCAGCGAAGCCGACGAACCAGTTGCAAGTCTCAACTCAGGGTTGGCTACGGCGTCGCTCGAAACACGCGGCGGGGATCCTTTGCAAGGTCTCCCTGCAAGCTCTCCCGCAGACGCTAATTCGGCTGCCATGGCAGCAGCGGCGCCTGCCTCTTTGCTTGTCAGCGCGCCCGGAAAAGTGATCCTCTTTGGAGAACACGCTGTGGTTCACGGAGTCACGGCCATAGCTGCGAGCGTGGCGCTGAGATGCTATGCGCACGTTGCCTCACGCGCCGACGCGAAGGTGAGCCTGACCTTACCTGATCTAGGCACCGAGCATACTTGGGCTCTCGACGAACTGCCCTGGGACCTGGCACCCAGCGTTGCGAGCTGGCGCGGCGTTCACAAGACTCCGGAGACACTCAACGAGCTGCTGCATCATGCTCTTGAGACCCTTGTTGGTGCCGTGGCGGAGGAGAGTGAGAGAAGCCATGCCGCCAGCGTTGCCTTCTTGTACTTGTACCTCTGCATTGCACCCAGAAGCAAAGCGTAAGTCCCGCAGCGGTGGCGTCAAACGACAAGCGAGCGCATGCTGAATCGATCCCACACTTCTGTTTAGTACCGGTCAAGCGTTTGTGCTTCGCTCCACTTTGCCTATTGGCGCTGGGCTAGGAAGCAGCGCTTCGCTCTCTTCCTGCATCGCATCAGCCCTGCTCGTCACGCACGGCCGCATTGCTGCTCCCACGCCTGGTTCGGTGATTTCGCGCTCGGCATCTGACCTGATCAATAGCTACGCATTCCTCTCGGAGAAAGTGATTCATGGCAACCCTTCCGGCGTCGACAATAGCGTCGCTACTCACGGAGGAGCGCTGGCATTTGCTCGTGCGAGCTCGAGGACGGGACGCAGGCAGAATGAATTGCGATCCTTGCACGGCTTCAAGAGCTTCAGGTTCCTTCTTACCGACACAAGGGTCGGACGTGACACGAAGAGCCTGGTTGCTGGTGTGGGCGCGAAGCTGACGGCTGACCCGCAAGGCATTGGAGCGACTTTGACAGCCATTCAGGCCATTGCGGACGATGCTGAGAACGTGCTTGGATCGTCGACCAGCCGACAGGCGCAATTGAGCTCGCTCGCCCGCCTCATCGACGAGAACCACACGCACCTGGTCAGTCTGGGCGTGAGCCATCCGGCGCTGGAAACGATCAAGCAGACCACTGCCGGTGCGGGCCTGTCGACGAAGTTGACGGGCGCGGGCGGAGGCGGATGCGCAGTCACTTTGGTACCTGACGATTTTGAAGAGATCAAGCTTCGACAATTGGTCAGCAAGCTGGAGGGCCAAGGGTTCACGTGCTACGAAACGTTGGTCGGTGGACCTGGCGTCGGTGCACTGTCCCCTCACAGCGCCGTGCAAAGCTCCAACGACGGTCAAGCTGCAAGAGAGGCGCTGATCAACTCTTCGCCCGAGGCTCTGACTGCTTGGGCCGACAAGGCTGGAGCGTGGATACACTCTGACAGCTAGACTGGCCTGCCTAGTACTTTTGAATGTAATCAACGACTTTGAGAGCAGGATCGATTGCCACAAATATTTGTAGCCTCGTTGTTGAACCAAGTTGAATTTGTCAAGTCCGAAGGTCCAAATAAGTTTAGCGCATGCTCCGCGGGATGTCCGGCCTGAACAATTTATCACATTGACGTGCACTCTCAAAGACGCGTACAGCTGCAGCAAAGTCACTTACGCCTCGACATTGTAGATGTCGAAGGCCGGTTCAGCGGGCAAAGCGTGCTCGGCAATCTTGGCGTCGTCTCCCTGCGCATCCTTGATGAGCGCAACGTGAAGTTCTTGCAGACCCAGCGTCCTCTTGAGGTAAGCTGCGGCGGATTGCAGAGTTGCGAGCTCATCAAAGGGAAGTGCTCTGTTGAAAGCCACGCTGGGTCCAAATTCCGCCAAGCGTCTCTGCGTGAGGGTAGTGAGACCGAGTGAGCATGTCAGCAACGCTTCACGTGCGCAGGACAGCCCGCTGCAACTTGACGCAGACCCGGACGCTCTGGTCGACGCTCACCTTGAAGTTCATGACGAAAGGCATGACGCGCTTGTCCTTGACGATGCCTGCCTCAGCTAGCGCTTGCCTCACACCCTTATCGTCCACCGCACCCGTCTTTTCGTCCAAATGACTCTTGATGGCCTGCACACATGCATTTTGCCAATTGGGAAATTCCGTTGCGACGAACACCTTGACGGCTTTAGGCTTCTTGGGGTCAAAGCCTGAGCTGTCCTTGCCCTTCGACTTGCGCTTGAGAATCGTCGCCTCTCCATCTCGGATCGTCTTTGTCGTTGCTCGGACGTACGTTGCCGCATCTGACAGTCCCTTGTCGATGGGCTTGGATAGAGCAGGCCATCTTTGAACTTGCACACTTTGCTTCTCGTTGCCCAGTGTCTTCTTCCAAAGGTGCTCTGCAAAGTGAGGTGCGATAGGAGTCATGATGAGAGCTTGAACCCTGATCCATTGTTCGATCAGCTCCACATGCATGCCGATGTCCGCCGTCGCTTCTCTGTACAGATCTCTTGCGGTTAGCAGCTCGTACCATCCGAACTTGAGCGCTTCTCGATACAGCGACTCTTCGTAAGCGGCGGCTGCTTGCTCCACGAGCAGATTCATATCGTTTTCGAAAGCTGCGTCCCAGAAGGAGTCTTTGGGCCCGCTCCTGAGTTTCGATCGATCAGACATTTGAGCATCGCACCAGTCCAGCAGAGTGTGGATACGAAGGATGTTGGCGTTGGCAGTCTTTTCTTCAAAGTTGGCATCCTCGATACCATCTCCAGCATCAGCGAGACTGATACGCGTCGCATCGGCTCCGAATTTGTCGACAGCTTGACGCAACGTCAAGACATTCCCTGTGCTCTTACTCATCTTCTTTCCGTTGAGCATCAGATGACCGTTTATGCGCATTGCTTGGGGCCAGTGCTCCTCGGGAAATAGAGCAGCGTGGACGTACACGCAGAAGGTCAAGTGATTCGGTATGAGGTCCTTACCACTTGATCGTAGATCCATGGGGTAGAAGTACCTGAACTCGCGCCTCAGCTTGGTCAAGACCTCTTTAGAAATTGCAGAATCCTGGGGATAAGCGGTGTCGCTGAGAATGTAATCCCAGACGTCGTCTGTCAGATCCTTCGCTTGGATGCCGAGCGGCCCGACTTTGGAACCATCCACGACGCCGTCTTGCAGGAAGTGAGAGACAGTGTAGTACGCCATGTAGATAGTAGAGTCGCTGAGCGATTCCACGAGGAATTGCTCGTCCCAAGGGAGCTTGGAACCAAGACCGTAGCTCCTAGCACAGGCCCATTGATGAAGCCAGCCGAGAACTCCTTCGAAACCGTTCCTCGTCTCATCGTTGAACGTCTGCATCTGAGCGACGAGTCTGCACAAGCGAAACATCCCAAGGCACGTCAGCACCGCGTTCGCCGGGCGCATCTGGTTTCTTGATTCACACTACTCACTTTTCGGCCTGCATCTTCCACTTGTCCTCTCCGTAGTCAATGTACCACTGATCGCACAATGCGACAACACAATCGTCCGCACTTCTACTGACCACCTTGCCCTCGGGTTCTGCGTAAGCAAAAGCGAGTCCGGCATCAATCATGTCCTGTCTAACTTTGGGCTTGGCATCCTGCACCGCTTCGCCCTTGTACTGTCCCGTGACCATTTTGCCAGAGTAGAAGCCTTCCTTGTATGCAAGCTCCTTGGCCTCTGCCAACTGCTTTGCGTCTTTCGGAGACTGGATCTTGAGCTGCTTGCACAGCGTCTCGGCCGTCAGATCGCCATACGTGGGCGTCGTGATCACAGGGAACGGGTCGTAAGAGACCCACTGAGGGTCCACCTTGTAGTACTCCGCTTTCTTGCGCAGCTCCATCAAGTTCGCGTAGTCGTCCGGAGAATCGCTTGGCACGGAAGTCACGACGCCTGTTCCCTTTGTGGGCAGGACCGAGTCCATAGGCAGAATGTAGACCTCTGGGTAGTGTCCAAAGGGAGCCTTGATGCGGGTTCCAACAAGCTTGGATCCTGCAATCGAGGCAAGTTTCTTGACCTCTCCCCGTTCAGATGTGACACCTTGGAAAGCCATGTTTCTGGCAGCGCGTTCAGTGCACAGGTAGACGTCCTTGTCATTGATGGCAAAGAGGCCATAGTTGATGCTCGGGCCCACGTAACAATTAGTTTGTCCATACCTATGCTCTCGGAAACAGTCGATGATGAGCGATCCCTGAGTGACACTCAAGTGTAGCCGGGCGAGCACATGCACTCACATTGTCTCGGGTCTCAGCGTGGCAGCGACGAAATAGACATTCTTGCCCTGCAGCTTGGCGTCCAATTCCGGCGCAGCGTTCGCACTCCACTGCACCACCTCCATCTTGAGACCTGTGTATTCTTGGGGGCCCAACGCCTCGCCCTCAGCTCTGTCGTGGTCCATGCACGGTTGACCATCTTTTGGACTGTAAATTGTGTATCTCTCTCCGAATTTGATCTTGTCCATCGCTCGCAGCTTGTTGATCTGCCACCTTACGAAAGAGTCAAAGTACGGATTGATGTCTGTGGTCAAGAATGCACGTCGCCAATCAATACGGGCTCCGATGGCTGTGCAGTCGGCCTGGGAGCAGAATTTCAAAAGGGTCAATTGGTGCGCTCTACATCACATGCCTCTAATGGAAAGTGGTGCACAATGCTCACCTTGGAGATCGGAGGGTAATAATGCAGCCAATACTGGGCATCCGCAAACTTGTGTATCTCTTCCCTGGGAACTCCAGTAGCCTCCATGATCTGGAACTGATATTTCAGTCCAGTGCTCTTAGCAGCCACCTTGCCCTTTGTGGCTTTTCCCACATTGGCTGCCTCTCCGCCACCAGCTGCAGCTGCCGTCGCCTCCACTGCAGCTGCTTCGTTCTCAGTTTCAGGGTCAAAGCCAGAGAAGTCAGGCCCGAAAAGCTCGATTTCACGTTGAAGTTTGTCGGCACAAGCCTGATGATTCAATAAGGTCAAATGTTAGGTTGGGCTTTCATATCACTCCTTCTGCAAGGCTGAGCACGATGACAGAGATGACTTACGCGGATCGGCATGCCGGTGCAGTGAAAAGCCCAGGGAAAAAGAGCTCTTTTGCCCTTCATGCGCTCATAACCAGTAGCGAACTCGATTTTGGAGAGCGAGAATGCGTGTCCTGAAGACGAGAGGTGGTGCGGCCGCGCCATTATAATCTTAGCATCTTGAACTTCAGTACGGGTACTAAGCAGACTCACCCAAATGCAGGCTTCCGTTAGCGTATGCGAATGGGAAAGTAAAGAGGGTTTTGGGGTACTTCTTTCGGATCTCTTCCGGCGACATGGTCTCCAAACCCGCGTCCTTCTCTGAGACCATTGGACTGTCCACCTCGAAATACTTTGCGGTACCCCATTCGGATTGGTACTGCTTCTCTAGCGATTGCAGGTAATCTCTTTTGGACGTCTACGAGGCATCAGAAGGGTCAGCATACAGAGCAGCATGCGCACTACCTCAACGGCAGGAAAGCAGTGCGCGTAACACTGCGGCCACTCTACTCGACTCGAAATTGAGCACAAGGCAGGCCACAGCCACGAACAAATGACCGGTCGCACCTCGGAGGTCGCCGCCTGCTGGATGTCCTACAGCCTAATTCTCTCTTCGCCCTGCATGCCTCTGCTATTCTGACACTCACATTCTCCAGCTGGATAGGCCCACCCGGTCTGCTCTCAGCCGGGTGACCCGGCTCCGCATGAGGCGCATCAGAGATCTGCGTCGGCATTTCTGAGGTGGAGAACTTTCTCGTCCGAGGTGAGGCTGGGGTGTCTGCAGCTCGAGCGATGGATTGGGGAGCGATGCAAAGATGCCGCAACACGGAGCCGACCAGGTTCGAGTGTCGTCCGCGCACGACAATCGATGGGAACGACGTCTTGGAGAACGAGAGAGCCTCGAATGGACCGAGGTCACGCTTCGCTTTATTTTTTCTTGGTGCCAATTGCTGCTTAGTCAGGAATGCAAATGGAAGAATAGGTGTTGATGCAGCCGATCAAAGGCGGCGCGATCGCGTACTTGAGCAGAATGCGAGGTAGTCGGAGTGCACAAATGGGCAGTGAGTGAGGTGTTCTTCTCGCCAAAAAGTGTGTGGTTGGGTGCGCTATGCTGCATGACTCCCGCATGTGCGTTGCAAAGCTCGATCGACGCTCGGCGCCGGGCCCAAACCACGTGGGCGGCATTGAGGCCCTAGCGCGGGTGAGGCTGTATAGGTACGCGCTCCACATTCGTGATTCTGGATGGATTGTGATTCGTGATTCTGATCTGGTCCAAGCACTTGACTAGAGAACACTGTCCGCGTATAGCGATCACATCCGCATCCTTTGGACCAGCTCGAAACGCTACAATCACGAATACAGCAGCGATACTCGAGAGAAGGTAAGGCCAGCCAAGCAGGCGGCCCACGACTGATTTGCAGGCGAGCCAGTGCTACGGCCTGGCCAAGACAGACCAACAAATACGACTTACGACTCTCTATCCAAAGCTGTGTTTTGGCAGCTTCGGAGCCTTCATTAGATCTTCACATCTCTCGAACATCACGCTCTGTGGACAGGTGTACAACACAGTGCCCTGTGAGGTCCGACTCGAGATGCAGCCCAGAGCAGGTCAATCCCGGACACAAGTAGCTCGACCTGCCGCTCGGTACAGGCCGGGCAAAAGCCTAGCGGGCCAGACAGGCGAGCGCTACTCTTCCGACGAGGGGTCTTCGGGTGACGAAGCGCCAGGAAGAGCATCAAATTCCGCTCAAAATGACACAGGCTTGACCTACTTTCAAGTCGGGCCCAGTTCGGGAATTGGATCGGCCAAAAAGGACATCACGCTAGATCTGAAAGATGTCAGAGTGGGAGGGGAGCAAGCAGAAGAGGAGAGCGAGTACGAGACGGACACGGATGAGGAACAAGGAGTCAAGGCTCCTGGCTTGCCGCCTTCGAGAGCAGGGATCGGGAGAATGCCGCCAACGAAGAAGGGGAGCAGCGAGGAGTACGAGACGGACACGGGCTCGGACGAGGAGGAGTCTTCTGAAGAAGAAGAAGAAGAGAAGAGACCAATGATGGTCAAACCCATCTTTGTCCCAAAGTAAGCGATTCTGCGTCAGTCTCTTTCGCGTTCCCTTTGATAATGTCATTGACAAGCGTCCGTCTGCGTCTCTCACAGGAGCAAACGAACCACTACTGCGATGCCTCCAGACATGCCCAGCAGTGATCAGGCTCATGCAGTGCCACAAAAGACGGAGGAATCACTAGCGCCTTTACAAACGCTCGACGTAGATGCTCTGGCGGAATTGAAAGAGGCAGAAAAGCAGAAGCAACGGAAGTTGCAAAGTCAGCAGCTGGCGGCGCAGAGCATTGGGAGACAGCTTCTGGAAAGTAAGTTGGACAAAAGTGGCACGACAGCACACAAGATATTCCTTCAAGAGACTCATGCTCATGACTTTCTAATGATTTTATTTGTCAATGTGCGCAGAAGCAGCAGCTGAAGCCGTGCCGGATCTGGACGACACTGATGGGCTGGAACCCGAAGAAGAGTTTCAATCCTGGAGGTTACGAGAGCTGGAGCGTCTAGCTCGCGAGCGATCTAAAGCTGACGCTGCCCAAGCCGAAAAGGCCGAAATTGAGCGTCGTAGAGCGATGCCTTCCGCTCAAAGAGATGCGGAGGACATAGCGCATGCAGAAAAGACTCGGCAAGAGAAACTGGAGAGGAGGAGGGAAGCTTTAGCCCTTGCTTCGGCCGACGGAGGGGGCGAATCTTCTTCTGCTGTCGGCGCGGGTGGCAAGTATTACCACAAGGGTGCATTCTATCAGGGCGGTCCCAATGAAGACGATGAGATTTTCAAGAGAGATTATCAAGGACTTACGGAAGGACAAGTGGATATGAAGCTGTTACCAAAGGTGATGCAGGTCAAAGACTATGGCAAAAAGGGAAGGAGCAAATATACCAACTTGAAAGATCAAGACACGAGCAGATCAGGCAAAGATCCCAGATTCGAGCAAAGGCGCAACGGCGAAGCTGGGCAAGGCTGCTTTCGATGCGGCGGAGATCACCTGAAGAAGGATTGTCCAGACACTCGGCCGGATTCCCACGAAAGAGGACCTGCAAGTAGAACCTCGACAGGCGCCAACTCATACCGAGCAGACGGCAGGCGGAGAGAGTGGGGCGGTGAAGTTAGAGACGGAGAGGGCATGGTCGCACGCTTAGAAGGACGAAGAGAAGACTTAGACCGGCATAGCCGCGACGACAGGTACCGCAGCACACCGACTGAGCGAGAACGGCAAGACGATAGACGGCATCGACCTCAAGATGAAGATCGAGAAAGGGACTATGGAAGTAGACGAGACCGTTCAAGAGAGCGTTCCAAGTCGGACAGACATGGTTCGCGCTATGATGACCGATCGCGCGACGCTTACGATTCGCGGTACCACGGGTCGGACCGCCGAGAATCTCGAAGACACCGCGATAGCCGCGACGAACCCTACGAGGACGCCCATGCTCGGAAGCGCAGACGAAGCAGAAGTCGGAGTCCGCGATAATTTCAGGCTTCCGTGGGCCTGTGCCGCTACTTGTAGTTCATACATCCCCTACGAAACGCACGTATTTGTATTGTATTCGCCTAGGCCTATGAAAGTTGTCGAGGCTCGCATGTTGCTGCGTGTTCTCAACACCTTGGACATGTGAGATCACAGAAAGAGTGGGCTTTTTGCATGTTCTGGTGTGGAGGGCGCCGACGAAAGAATGCACTTTCGAAGTCAACGTAGTCCAGCGAACCGAGCTCTGATGCCGCTCTTGAGCAGGTCAAAAGTCTCTCGTCTTGCCGCTTTGCCTGCTGTGTCACGCGCAACCGATGCGCTTGGCTTCCCATAGGCCCGTGCTTCGGGCACTGTGCTAGAAGAGGCAGCGCTCACGTTGTTCTTATTGAAACGGCCAGACAAAGCTGACGTGCTCTCTGGTCTTGCGTTCTCTTTGCCCAGCTGCTGACAAGGGCGACTCTTGCGACGCGACGGTAAGGCTTCTGATAGTGGTCGAACAGGCTTTTTGCCTTTCAGCCGAGCCGCAACGGTAGGCGACGCGGAGTTGACAACACTCAGCACGCCAGGCGGCGCGCTAGGTGGTGTGGACGCCATAGGACCATTGTTCATTCGCCTGGCCGGCGCATCGGATTGAGCCAAAGAGTGCTCCGAGATGGGTGGCACCAGACGACTTCGGGCCGAATGAGAAGCTGCACAGTCTTGATTAGGTTCAGTGTCTGAAGATGGCGCAGCTTCGTCGATCCACGCCTCTGTAGCACCCCCTTGCGATTGGCTGTGCTCCTCGCGCGGTAATGGTGGCAATGGTGCATGGATGCGATCCACAAGCGAAAATTTGTGTCGGCCAGCAGGAAGGACAACTCCTGACGCGAAAAAATCCTCAAATGAGTTTGGCTTTCCGCTCTGGCAGCGTTTCTTGCATCACTCACTTGTCTTGACCACTCTGCGACTTCTAGCAGTGGGAGTGCTTGGAAATCTGCGGTGCTGCGAAGCTGCAGCAGGCTCTGCCGACTTTTGCGTGTCTGCTGCCACTTCCAGTGCGTGAACCCTTTGCCTGACGGAATTTGCCCATTCCGCCGCATCTGACTCTTTTCTTGGTCTTTCGAGGGCTCCACTACCTGGCACAGCTTTACGGCGCACTCTTCGCACCGGAGTCGAGGCTACGTGCTGGGATACTGGCGGTACGAGGATGTGCGCCGATTTCCGGGAGAGGGACCTGATGCTCGGAGACGGGCTTGCAATGGAAACTCTTTCAGCTCTGAAAGATGGACTGAAGTTGTGAGAACCAGCACGGTCCTCCACAACCTGCCACGGCGACTCGGCGATGGACAAGCGGCTACTGCGCGGCGTGCCAAGAGCAAACGGCGTGGATGACATGGTTGCTCGACGGCCCGAATAGAAGGACAATGTGCGACCGAGACTCAAAACGGAGGCGGTCGAACGTCTCCTGTGCATTTTGTCAGCATCGCCGTGGATGCGCTGATGGTGTGAGAGACGCGAAGGGGATGCGGATGGCTGAGACGCCCCCTGACCAGCCGCCCGGACCGCTCCCGCCGACCGCACTTGGTGAGTCTGTTCTTCTTGGCTGGCTGATTGGCGTGTGCTTGCTCGCAAGCCATCGGCGCTAGAAACCAGACCTGATAGGAGACTAATAATTGACAGCGGCCGCTCGATTCTTCGAGCTCTACCTTGTGAATTTGTCGTAGACTCTTTGCAGAGGTCAGTTTGCTGGTCGTGCAGGCTTGATACCGGTGAGACGGGTCTGAGTTCGGGTGCAGCGGACACAGGAGCAGCTGCATCATATGGCACTTCAAGTGACAAAGACTGAGGTGAAGAGGACCAATACGAGTCGTTGAGGCCCATCGCGCGTCGTGGCGTGGTCAAGGTCCCTACCGTGGCTGTGGAAGGCAAGCGGCTGCGAGGCCCAATCAGTGGACAAATGGCTCCAGGAGCGTTCAGACGCGTCAATACTCTAACGTAGCCCGCCAAGCTGGCATCGGGACTGGCAACGAGTGCTGCGCTAAGTTGAAGGGACTCGCACAAGCCGCGACTGCGATGTGATACATCACTGCGCTGGCTAAGGGAGGTAGAACCAGCGTGACTGCTGGCACTTGTATTTCCTAGCTCCCCTGCACTGCTGATACGGTCTCTGGCAGCTTCCATGACTGACACTTGGTTCGAGAGCAGATGCTGCATGTCGCTGCTCAAGACCGTGCTCAGGCTGCTCTGATGGCGGTGATGCTGTCGAGCCCAGATCTGGTCGAGGCTCGCATTGACGTGCCTATCCCATCCACAGCTAGGGACCGTTGAGTCTTCTGTAACCTCATCTACGGTCTCGAGTTGCCGAATGCCATGAGTGTAGAAGTGTTGATCGCAGAGCATGCGAGCAGGACTGGCGCCCAATGATTGAAGAGGCACCGTATCAGTGTGCTCGGTTTCACCTGCTGGCAGCGAGTCCGAGCTGAGGCCCGACGCCTCCGCACCATCAAGGGCCTGCAGAGCGATTTGCAGATCAGCGCTGAGCCGATCGACGGAAGTGATTCGCAATTCCTGGCTTAGTGAGTGACTTGAGCAACTCGCTGAGCGATCAGGTGATATGACGACCTCGACTATGCTTGAGAGTGTGCTGAGGCTGTCACTTGGACCGTGTGTCGAAGGGGTTGCGGTGGTGCCACTTGACTTGCGCTTGACAAATGGAGTCCGACCGGCGTCTTGTGCCTCGTATGCTGGGCTTGCCGGATCGCCATGATTTGAAAGCCCGAGCTCGGACCCGAGACTGCGCCTTCGCAGAGCGCAGGAAGTAGGATCCAGTGACGAAGGTCTGATGAATCCGCCAGGTGCCCCAGTACGACCAGAGCCGCTAGTCTGGTTGCTCGACGACATACCCAACAGCTGCGCCAGAGAAGCTTTCGATGCCGTTGAGCTACACAACGAGCGTGAACATGAGGGCTGAGAGGGGCTCAGGCCCTCTCCGCATTGCATCTTTTGGAGCAACGAACGAGAGGTTGAGGCAGGACTCGGCTGGCCGGCCGATTGTTGCAGTGATCGTTCGGACCCGGACGGCGCGCCAGCTCCGGTGGGAAAGGCGAGACGCGAGTCAACAGGGACCGATAGCGTTTCATCCACTCTGTCATGCAAGTCAAGGTCCTCATCGAGGCTATGTAAAAATGTTTGCCAGCTCTCGTCTGCCTCTACTCTGTTATGGCTTTCTGCTCGACCTTCGCGGCCGAAGGTTGAGATAGGTGCTATAGACCGTGTGAGATGGCTGTCTTGTATTGACGTGAGCTTGTCATCAGCATCATCGGATGCGGATATGCTTGGAGTCCGTCGCGTAGAATTTGCTGAGGTGTCGGCCGCACCAGGCTCCGACGGCTCTCGTACGTCTCCAGACGCTTCGCCTTCCTCTGATCGTAAGGGCGACGCCTGCAAGAAGTATTCCAGCGCGGGTGCAATGCTGTGATCGCCTTGCCTTCGTGACGCAGGGTCTGACAAGTATGAGATGTCTCGGAAAGGGCTCTCTAGTGGATCGTGGACGTGGAGGGGTAGCAGCTGTCGCGTTCTTGCAGCTCGGTCCACGATCGGACTTGGCGTTTCGGCAGTGAAGAATCGATACGGAGTGCCCAGAGGTCCGCCAGGAATTCGCCTTTCTGTGGACAAAGCTTGGCGCTCGATGTCGAAAGAGAAGTCATCCAGCGGAATCCGGACGTCCAGGGAGCTGCTTTGCATCGGAGCGTGTTGAGACCCGCTTGTGTCCGCTGAGACTCTAGACTCTTGCCCATCGGGCTGAGGATCGTTACGATCTGTGTCTTCGGAGGCCGCGCTGTTCGAGGCCGTATCGGGGCCATTCTCTGGCTTACGTAGGAAGCCGGGCATCGTCCTGTAAGAAATGAACAGGTTTGAAGGGGGGCAGAATGGCACCCAACTTTCGGTCGACATGACTTCGCGCCTGTGTGCTTCGTATAATTCGCACAGCGTGCGCTCGTCATCTTCAACAATTTGAATGCTTGCAGGAAGGGTGAGGCCAGGCACGAGCTTTGGCAAGATCATTGCACTCAGGCCGTCAAGCGGCTTTGCCGCCCCTTCAGCCTTGTCTTCGCAGCTCTGACTCTTCCGTATCGTGTCAGCCAGCGCGTTGCTGCTACTGGCTGATCGCCGATTGTCCGCACTTCCTCTTGGTCGAGCCCCTGCGTCTTCGTCGTCACCAACGCGCTGTATCGAGTTGCGTGGGTGTGAGCTATAGGCGTCCTCACGAGAGCTGCAGGTCGGCAGGATCTCGAGAGGCGGCCTGGGACAGAAGAGCAAGCTGCCAGCCCGCACCCAAGCGGACCTAGACTTCATCACTCTATCACCTTCAATCTTACCCGCTGCCCAATGGCGACGGTCGTAAGGCACATTCTTTATGTTTGGACCGGACGATGCGTATTCGCGATTGGAATTGCCCGCTGAAGTGGTCTGTTGCCAGCCGTCCGACTTCGATCGATCGTGCCCATTCGTTTCATCAAGGGTTGGTGCTCGGCCCGAGAAAGTGAGGGTCCGGCGATGAAGACCTTCGTTGGGCGTGAGCGGAATGTCGTAACCATTGCATCGCTCAGCGCTGTGCACACCTACTTCCGAAGCACCATCAGCAGACTGAACAGGACCTGCTAATCCCTTCGGGCGGAAGCTGATCAGGCGCGACGCCTGACCCGCTGGGATTTGGCTCCGCAGCTCGGCATTTTGACGGCGGAGTCTGTGTGAGACACCGGTAGCGTGACCTTCAGATGAGCTTGATCGACGAGATCCAGAGCCCGACGTCACAGAGTTTGAAGGTGACACCATCTCTCGAAGACCTAGTCCCTCCGTCACGATGACTTGGATTGCGAGTAATGGACTCGTGAAAGTGACGCCTATTGCCATGCAGATAGCTAGGGGCAGCGGTTCTCTTTGGTTGCCCTGCATACGGCCGGCTCCGTTCATGAGATACGGTAGCGTCATGACCTGAAAAGCGGACCAATCAGCAGCTTGCCCGCTCTCAGTCATTTGCAAGTGGTCTAGAATTGAACTCACGAGAGGAAAGCAAATTCCAATGACGGAGCCTGCCACTCTGACTAATACGTGCTTCAGCTCCTCGTTGCCGAACCGGCTCGAACCGAGGCTCCGAGATGGAGAACTTTGCTGCTGGCGGGCATGAAGCGCTACCAGCGCACCACTTGCGCCGAGCAAATCCTCTCCGCCGCCTTGGGCAGCGAGCTCGGCAGGCGGGCGAGGCGCTCGCGCCTGAGCACCCACAGCACCCGTCGTCAGCCAACTACGCCATGAATCAACGGTGACGTAGCCGGGCTCGGCGATGCGACTGTCACTCTGCTCGTGGCTTGTATTTCGACGTGATTGGCTAGGTCGAGGACTAGGAGCGAAAGAGAGCCGCGAACTGGGCCGCGCATCTGATCCTCCCTGAGCGGGACTGTCTGCTCCAGAGCTCGTTCTCGATTCTTCCTGTGCAGAACTCAGTTGAGAGTCTGTCTTGGCTTCCCGAGTCTCTGTCGGCGGATCTGTGGATGAAGCGCCAAATGTACCATCAAAATGGGGATCCTGGGTGTGAGAACCGACGATAGCGTCAGATTCCTGCTCGTTGAAGTACTCGAGGTAGCTCTGGCGCGGCTTGATGACATCCTCGTCTCTGTGAAGTGATCGTCGCTCGAGGGAAGCGGAGAAGCTGCGGCCGCGAGCAAAGGTAGAAGGCGGGCATCGACTGCTCGATGTGCTGGAGGCGGTAGGGCGACCGCTTGAAGGCAAGCTACCGTACGTCACCGACCTTCTCTTCAAATTGCCTTGCGCTGTTCCGGGTCGCCGCACATACTTTGTTGAATTGACAACCACATCAGGTTTGCTGAGCTCGTCGAGCAGGCCATAAGCATCGAGAGTCGAAGCGAGGCCGCTGTCACCAGTGACGCGACTTGCGACGGTGCCAGGGGCAAAGAACCCGCTTTCTACGCCAGCACTCCGTGGCGGTTGACGGTCGCGTGGCTCGCCGAACGTGCCGCAGGAAGATCTTGGTGGCACTGCCATCGCACCAAATTCCTGGGTAGTACTGTCGTTGGCTGTCGAGCCTTTCGTAGCATTCGCGCTTGTGCTGACAGCTGATGATGTCAAGCCGCATGGCGAAAAACAGCCCAGAATTTCTGACATGACGCCATTGAAGGGGCTCCAGAGTGGCCTTCCCTGCATCTGTCTCTGCACATTCAGCAGGTGCACCGCAAGTGACCCGAGAGAGAGGATGGCGATACCGCATGTGAAGCTCATGATCACCACAAACAAAATGGGCACCATGGTGGGATCGTCTTGCAAGTTGTGCAGCACGGAGAGGAGCAGACATATGACTGCGCCCAATATGAAAGAGAAGCCCCAAAGTTTGTGGCCCACTCGCCCAAGAGCTGAAGAGGATAGGCAATTGTGGCTCCAGGCGTGAGCTGCTGCAGTCGCCAACAGCACAGGTCGCAGAATCAGAGCCAAGATGAGCAGCGGTGAACCGGCTAGCCTCTTCGTTGCAAAGGGGTCAGAAGGCAGCTGCGGCTCTTGCGCAAGCAGGACGGCGTATGCAATGAAGCACAGCACGCTCAAAAGATCGAAAGCGGACAAGAAGAGCGTAAGTCGCAGCGCAGTGCGCAAGCGCTGAGGTGACCTGCCCCGGCATTGCTCAGACTGGCTTCGTGAGGACGCGCTACCGCTACTAGCGCTTGGAAGGCGATGGAAAAGAAGGCCAGAATCGGATCTGAAAGTTTCGCTACTTTCGCGAGCATTCTTCAGACGCTCCGATGATGGCGAAGTTAGCTCTCTTACGCGCAGTGGAAGCAGTAGCCGCACCAAGATGAATGCGCTGCTGAGGATGGAAGGGACGGAGAGTATGAGGGTGACCTGGAGGAGGACGAGGGACGACATTGCGACTGGGGCATGCGCGCCCAAAAGGTGAGGATGGATGAGAAGTGGGGTGGATGACGCGTGATGGAACTAGCAAAGCCAGATGCAAGAAAGCTGATGGGGGTCACGTCTGGAAAGACGACAGGGCCGTAGCAGTGGCAGGGCAGAGCGAGGCGTAGATGTTGGCTGCAACGAGGCTCTGTTCGAAGACATCACGCTCACCGTGAGCGGGTGTTGTGGCAGTCTGCGCAGTGAGCATCTGGCGCATACCAATCTTACCAACTCGAAGTTCGGCTCCTAAGCTGCAGTCTGAAAGGGCGGCTTATGCATCGAAAGCTTGGTGTAGCCTCTAAGAGGTCGAATCCCTTTAGCGCAGCTATAGACTCTCGGTCATAAGCAGTTCTTCGAGTCGTCCTCCTCAAGATGAACGTTGCCTCAGAATTGACTCATTTGCGCATCTTCAATGGCTATTGCTCCGTCTAGGTCTGCAGCAACCTCCGATCTTCCAATTGCGGCGGATGCATTCTGTGCGTATGTCAGCGAAAAGAACGCACATCCTCCACCATCGGCCTTCCCATCTTCATACTGCTCTTCAGACTTTTCAGTTGTCGTGATTGAGCTCCTTAGCTTAGGCAGCAATTAGTTGTCAGGTCACAATCGTCGACTGAGCGGAGAGCGCGGCAGTAAGGCTGCGTCAAGGGTCCAATCTAGACTTCCTCCTTCTGCGCAAAAGAGCAATTGGCTGCGCTGCCCGCTTCGTGATTGCTTGATATACATGCTGATCTTTACAGCACAGTCACATGTATGTGCTGACTGGCAAAGACTTGTCAAGGCTAGCTGTGACGACCTGTATGTGGTTTGTGGTGACGGTCGGGAGGATCACGCAAGACGACGTGAAAACCACAACGCTGCTCACACACACTCAGCTCGGAAACCATGCACCGCGGTATACATCTGTTAACTCACGAGAGTCACGACTCATGCATGTTTGTGTACAAGGTACGCGTCGCGCATGTTTGGTGGCAGCAGGCGGCGACACGCGCGCCTGTTGGTGTGCTTTGGGAAATTCGAGCTGTGTGCGCTTGCGGCGCGTCGCGCACAACAGAGATTCGTGAGTCACGTGAGTCACGAGTCAGAGCGGCGCGCCATAGCTGTCTGTGCTGAAGCTGAAGCTGAAGCTGATTCACGATTGTGATTCGTGAACTTTGATGCGTGAGCAGAGACAAGCAATATCTCGATTCAGACGCACTCTTCTCTTGACTTGCCTTGATAGATTCATCGACAGTCCTCTCTTTGACTCAGTGATTCCTGTCTTTGTGACAAACAGAGGCGGAGCTACGGAGTCAAGAGGGTGACGGCTTCTCCGCCCACAATTCCAGGAGGTTTGCGATGCAGCGAATTCCTAGCAGACGATCACGAAACGACGGTAAACATACGACTGCGAGCATCTACCGCGCACCGATCGTGAGCGGTAGTAGACCTATCGAGTGTATAGGCCCGGCATCAAGGGAAATCGAAAGGCAAATATCATTCAAAATAGCATTAATATTTACGTTCTATATACAATTCACCATTCGCATTCACGTCGTGTACTCGAAGGAACACACACAGCGGCGTCTTTTGGCCCTTAAAAGGCAGGATCGTTGAGATACATGGAGACTTGATGCTGCGCAGGCAGGAACAATGTTCTAGACAATGAGGGAGACACCAACCGAAAGAATCGTGATGAGAAGCGCGGCGCTCAGGCCGCTCAGGGATGCAGCGCCGTCGCCGCTTCCGGAGCTTGATCCGCTCGAGCCTGTGCCAGAGCCTGAGCCAGAACCGGACGTTGAGCCTGAGCCTGAGCCAGATCCAGATCCAGAGCTAGAGCCAGATCCCGAGTTGGAGCTGTTGCCGCTACCCGGCGCAACCGTGAGGCTTGAGCTGATTGTGCCATTGTTGGCCTGAATAGCCTCCGTCGTGCCATTGCGGATGTTTGATGGAAATTTGCCGTCGAAGAAAGGAGCGCCGCAGGTGGCATTGATGGAGTTCTTGATCATTGTAGAGACGAGATCAGAATTGTTGATACCTTGCACGTCCGAGGCTGACGAGAGCTGGGTGAAGAGAGCGTGGTTGCAATCCGTGCAGAATTGAGATGGGTTAGATTGCAGCTGTCTGATGGCGTCTTGCTGAGCTGTAGCATTGCTCAAAAGGGACATGAGATAGGACAACGAAAGTTGCTGAGATGTGACGGTTTGGATGTTGCTGGAAGATTGCAGGACACGTCAGCACAGGCACGTCGACTGCTCGTTTCTGAACAGTATGTCCACTCACTTGAGATCGTCAGTGATGCAAAGATCGCCGGACGAGGCTTGGAAGCAGGCAGCTGTCCGCAAGGTAGTGTAATTTTCGATGACGTACTGTAAGGGGAGCGGAAGATCCGGTGCCACGTCAGCGAAGGTACAAGCAAGTCCTACCGACATCAGAATGCCAGCAAGGCCGAACGCGAACGGCAGTGTACGCTGTCTGCGTCGCGATCTGGAGAAGGTGCCTATTTGAGCGCACCCAAGACGGATCCTCGCTGTTGCGCCGCTGCCCTACCACCCTTCGGACAGACGATAAACGATGCTTGTCTTCGCCGAATACTCACACGAATGCCATTTGGCAAATTGACGCCATTGTTGCTGCCCAGACTATCAGCACACGCGGTGTGCAGAGTCTCGTTGGCGCTGCTGAGATAGTTGCCGACGCAAGCGTCCTTCGCACAGACGCTCTGCTTGAGGTACTCATCGATGGCAGGTACGATGCTCTGGCTTTGATCCGCAACAACGCCACCAAAGATTCTCAACGCGTTTCCGATATCCAAGCATCCAGCAGGGTCTCTGGAGATCAGTCCTGCAAGACCCGTCAGACATCCATTGGACACTCCGGCAATCAGCGGCTGAGCTGCTTGCGGCGTGCTCGTCGTGCTGTTAAAGAAGGGAATGTTGGAGATAGAGCCTACGAGCGTCGAAGGATCGTATAGCAAAGCTCGAGCCGGGGCAGCCGCAGCGGCTGCGAGAAGAAGGGTTGCGATGTGGGCGTGCATTGTGACTAAAGTCGAGAGAGAGTAGTGCTGCTTGAGGAAGCAAGATGAAAAGCGACTATGAGGGCGCGGGAGCAGGGAGGGTGATTCTGGCAGATGGAAGTCGCGACGGACGGCTTCTCTCACCAATGTGGTTCAGAGAGTGCCGGTGTGAAGCTCTAACGTCAGCCTTTTGAAGGTCCGAGGCGTCAATCTTTGTGCTGCATGCCGCACAGTCACGAGTATAGGGACCACACCCCTCTCTGGCTGCGCGCGGCACCTGATTCAGGATTGTCGCATTTTCAAACGTCATCCCCATACTTTACTGTGAGGCGGTGCAATGTGACCCTCCCAGATGGCGGCAGCTCGCAGACACGCAGGCACAGCGACAGACCCCAGTTGCAACACTCAACTGGTCATGAGGACTGAGACGAAAGTCGGACCCAAATTTTGGCCCAGAATCAAAATTATGTCGTTACCTTACCGTGACGGCAAGCGCTTACTCGAGCGTGGGTGCGGTCCAAAGGCGTGCAAGTCGACCGACTCAACGAAGAGGTCACCATTCAAGATCGTTTTAGAAGAGAGCCGCTATGCTCTTGCGGGCTCAGGCCACCAGCTTCACGTTTCGGGACTCTAGGGCCGACATGCAGCACGAGCGGCGAAACCCTACGTGCCACTCGGCAACGTCACCACCGCGGGGCGGGGCCTTGCCAAGGCAAGCGAAGACATGCAACGCCCAATCGTAGAGAAGATGAGCCGCCGCCGCCGCTTGTGTACCTCAAAGCATCGTTAGGCACGTTTTGCGGGCCTCAAATTCCAGTGAGGTGAGTGTCAAATTGCGTGTATGCTGCCGCGGCCTCGGCATGTCTCTCATGGACATGTGTGCCGAGACCTATGAGACAGCAAAGGTGCCCGGCTCCTGACGCGGATGGAACTTGTCCCGGACCTGAATTCATTTGGACACTGTGGTGTGAATATGATCTGTTGAGGATGTCGAGATTCGCAGCTATGGTGCACAGTCCGCCTCAGGCAAAGCTGCGTTCCCCGGGAGCAGACTGTCTCCGGCGCCACCATGACTCAGTACACAACTGTACTAGAGGAAGCAGAATATTCGCACATTCCTCCCTCCTGCTGACCTTGAACGCCGTTCCTGTTGTGATTGCTGCTGTGCACGGCTTCCCGATGCGTTGGTTCGAAGAACATGAAAAGCTTCCGAATGTTTCGTCTACCCCGCGCGGGTGTGAAGCAAGAGGCTGCATTCACATGCAGCCTTGGTCGCTTCTTATTCGAGCCAAATGCAGCTCGCTGCAGGCCCGCGCGGTGAATTCGAGACATCAAAGCGCACAAGCAGGGTTGCGAAACCGCGGATGTTCTCCTAATCTGAGACATTCGAGACTATTCTGTCCATCGATCGCCTGGACTGCGTGAGCTTCAATTGGAGTACACCTGTTGCGCTATAGTGGCCATCATCTCGCCAAGTGTCGAACTTTGGAATCGCATCACATTTTGGTCTTTGAGCACGATGTACAGGCAAACACGCAGAGGTCACGACAGCGGCAGCTGAAGATGGCCCTCCTTTATCACGCATTCAGTCGACTGATCAAAAGCTTGACACCAACCATGGCAGCACCCAGCTCTCCGGTGGCTATCGAGGCGGCTTCCAAGTGCAAGCTGAGCGCCGCGGGCTGATTCCTCGCATCGATGGCTGCAAGAGGTAAGAGAGGAGGGTTAGCCAACGTCACCTCAGGCTTGACACAGTGGCGACGAGTGCTGACCTTGTATCAGTTGCGAAAGGATGGGCAGCAGCCTAGCATCCACAGTACCACAGTTCAGATGATCAAAGAGCAGATTCAGCCTTCTTTCCGCGTCGTCGACCATTCTCTTCTGCGCCGGTGGTGCAGTAGCGCGTACACGCGCCAGCTCGCGCGAAAGCACATTGAACACGGGCTTTTGCGCATCAGGGATGTGGCTCCGGTCGCCAGGCGCTGAGCGTCGCAAGGAAAGCTGTCAGCGGATTCTTGTGCAAACCTCACCAATGGATTGAACTCACGGTATTTGGTGGCCGGCTTCGCAGGAGTCTGCGACCTGAGAGGGGCGCCCGCGCCCGCGCCAGGAGTGTGCGCGCGGGGTGGAACGCCACCTGGCGGCATCAAAGGCCCACCTTGAGGTCCACCTTGCGAGGGTGGAGGTGGTCTAGCGCCAGGCGGGGCACCATACTGCCCTCCTTGTGCTGGTAGCTGTTGTCCAGGGAGACCGCGCTGCTGCTGTTGCTGTTGCGGATTGAGGCCAGGTTGCAGAGGGCCGCCTTGACCAGGCATCGGTGGAGGAGGAGCATTGACTGCACCAGGAGCAGGGGCATACGCACCCGAAGGTGCCGCAGGCCCACGCGTGCCAGCAGCTGATCCCGCTCTCGGCGGGCCTGCGGGAGGAGGACGAGCCTGACCAGGAGGGGGACCGCCGCGAGGCGGAGGGCTGAATGCACCTCTTCCTGGGCCGGGAGGTGGTCCGCCAGCGCCTGGAGTGGCGCCGCGAGGTGGGGGAGGCAAGGCGCCGCCCTGCTGAGGAGCGCCATATGAGGGAGCGGGGCTGTTGGGGAATGGCGAGGTGATGGGTGCTGACACCTTGCCCTGGACGGAGGGCGTTCCGCGTCGGGCAGCTACAACGGGGGCATCGTTCCAGCCTCCCTCCGCAGTAACTCGCTTGGGAGGCGGGGGTGGTGCTGCGGCCGTCCCGAAGTTGCCAGCAAAGGGCGGCGGAGGAATGTTGACTCCAGGAGCTGATCCTTGCTGGCTCGCGCCGGCGTCGACAAACGGCGGAGGTGGCGGTACCAAGGGTTGTGCTGCACCGTAAGCTGAGTTGTTCTGACCATAGGCGCCGTAAGCATTCTGCACTCCTACACTAGGAGCCTGGGCGTTGTACGCGCCGTATGGCGCTGGAGCACCATATGGGTCCGACTGAGCGCCGACCGAAGGTCCGTAAGCGTCGTAATTAGCTGAGGCAGGAGCACCATAGTTGTTTGTAGCCGGCGCAGCAGAGTAGCTATTGACAGCCGGAGCAGCGTAAGCCGGGGAAGCTGCGTAAGCACTTGCGCCGCCCACCACCCCGTTGCTGTAAGCGCTCGAGTTGCCTTGCGACGTAGTCGGGATTGCAGCAGCTGCCGCTGCTGCAGCTCTTCCGCCAGTGCGTGCTTGATCGACGGATAATAGCCGCTCGCGCGCTGAGCTTGTTGCAGCGCCGTTCGGATTGTAGTCAGCAGGCGTCTGAGCTGCGTATTTCAAAGCAGGCTCGAGCAATCCCTGATCCGCCAAGAGCGCAACGTATTCGTGGAATCGATCGTACAAGCTTGCCAGCTTGTAGACGCGTGCATTGCTGTCCGCGCCGGGCTGTGTGGGCGTTGTCAAATCGACGTCGACGTAGCCGACCGCAGCTTGGAAAACAGTGATCTTCTCAATGAAAGTCTGGAGCGCTTCGGCGTGAGCTGAGTGCGCACTACCGTCAGCTGTGGCACCAGCGCCTCCGGCTCTGATGGCGGCCTCTTCTTCCTTCATCTCGTCGATCCACATGCCTGCAACTTTTTCCAACTTGCCCGCCGCTAGATAACACAAGATAGCATTCTTGCGCAGCGCCTTCGTCCTTGAGCGCGTGTACTGAAATTCCAAGCGTTGCCCAAGCTGTTCCGCAAGGTTGCCGAATTCTTCGCCCTTTGCGAAGGTACAAAGTACTACGAAGATCTCTTGCCAATCTGCCAGGTCTGCATTTTGAACGACGTCTGTAAGGTCGTCAGAGACGATGCTTTGGAAGAGACGCAAGTAAGGAAGCTGAGTAGTGCGCCTTTCGAAGTACGTCTTTTGGGTGCGCGCAAGGAGATCCGAACCGCCGCGGGCGGCAAGCAACAGTGCGTCCGCAAACCTATCAGATGACAAGCAAAGGCTGACAGCGCTTTCAAAGTCGCCCAGTACAAGCGCTCGGGTGATCAGACGCTCTCCTTCGCCTTCTTCCGCAGGATATATGCGGAATGTTGGTCTCGGTGCGCCAAGAGGTTCGCTTGCTACACTAGAGGGTCCCGGAGATCCCGCGGTAGCTGCAACAGAGCTTGCGGGCGGAACGGCAGATCCAGAAGCTAGCAGATGCTCCGGCAAAGCCGAGCGGGGCGCGGTGCCTGCACCAAGATTGTTGAAGAAGTCCGCTCCCGCTGCTGCACCTGGCGTGCCGGGGCCGACGTTGTCATCGCCAAACAAGCTGACTTCAGTCTGCTCAGTCGGAGCAGTCTCTCCTGACGACAACTTCGCAGCTTCGCTGACATCGTCGGCTTCGGACGGTGCCGTAGTCGTCTCGCTCGGAGCTGTGGCGGCAGTCGAGGGGACAGGAGCATCTACCGCAGCGCCAGCCTCGGTCTCGGCGCTTGCAAAGCTAACGGAGGGTAGATCGCCCTTGCCAGGGTGTACGCTCGTCCGCTTGTATGCGTTGATCGCAGCGCCTACCTTTTGAGCGACATCCTCTTTACTGAAGCCAAGCAAAGCCACAAGCTCATCCCGAGAGCCCGTCGTAAACAAGGTTTGCAGCGCCTTCCAGTTTGCAACATCGTCAGGGCGCGTCGTAGGGTCCTTGCTTCGCTCGTCACAAAATGCGGCGAGTCCACCTTCGGCTTCCAACGCGTCTTGCAGGCGAGAAGCACGTGCAACAATGCCAGGTTCGGTGACGACATCGCGAAGGTGCACCACAGAGCTTTGCGTGCCGCCTGTTGCAGACGGTAAATTTGAGATGCTAACGAGTTGGCCACCAAAGCCGAAGGTGGCACTCGCTGGCCGTCTGAGCCATTTGGGGGCCTGGCGCAAAGTGAGACCGCGTCCTCCCAGGGCGGCATCATTTGCCGAGGGCAGACCGAAGACATCTGAGCCATCGGCAGGAGGGGCTGCGCTCGTCTGGGGCTCGTTGATGGAAGCCTCGAGGTTGTTGGCTTGCAGGCTGTGGATGCCAACAGTGCCGTCGAAGCTAGCAGTAGCCAGGAGGGAGGGGTTGCGAGGGCACCACTGGACATCAAAGCTCCAGTTGTTGCTCGGCGGGAGCTCGCCAACAATCTCGGCAGTCTGCGGGTTCCATGCCAGCGTCCTGTTATCCTTGCCACACGACAGGAGAAGGTCCGAGTCTTGCTTGCACCATGACATTCCCAGTATTCCCTTGTCGTGCCCAGTCAGGATCTTTTCAGGAGCCCGCGCATTGCGCAAGTCCCACAGCATGATGATAGGAGAACTATCATCGTCGGAAGCAGTAACGAGACGAGTGGGCTGCATGGAAAGGTTCTATGGTGTGAGTAGAGTCCCGCAATGCATTGAGTATCGTTCTCATACCCACCGTGTCGGGATGCCAGCAAACACTTCCGACGCCTCTTCGGCCTTGTTGACCCGCAGCGCCGGGTAGACCACCCGAGGTAGCTGCACCTCCGCCATAAGCAAGAGCAGTAACCTCGCGCTTGTTCTTCAGGTCCCAAACGACTGTGAATCCGCTTGCGCTACTGGTAGCCAGAATGTGAGCCACTTGGCTGTTCCATGCAGCCGCTGTGATCTCGTCCAGCTTGGACGAACGTGCACCGGGAGAGTATGGCTTTGTGGGGTTCGTGAGATCCCAGATGAAAATCTGTGCAGCGCGATCATTCAAGTCAGTCCCTACGCACCCGACGGAAAGCAGGCAACACTATGACGCACCTCTCCATTGACGCCTCCAGATGCCAGCAAATTGGATTGGATAGGATTGAAGTGCAGTCCCTTGATCGGTCCAGTGTGTGTCGTATTCTTCAGTATTTGAGCGCTACAGCACATCCGGGGCGTGAATCCGCTACGAGTCAGTATTTGTGATCGCAGATGGCAGGGCAACTAAAATTACGCAGAGACTCACTCGGCACCGCCATTGAGAAGAGTGTCTGCATCCCAGATCGCCAGTTCACCGCTCTCTAATCCGGCAGCCAGGAAACCGTATGGCTTTGCGCCTCCAGCATGACCCCAAGCGAGACGATTAAATCTGGCGCTAGCGACGGCGGACGCTTTTGGCTTGAGTTGAGCGTCCACCGCGCCGGTGGAGGAGTATGATGGGCTCCATATCTCGAGCAAGCTGTCGTTAGAGAAAGACGCATCCAAGGCACCCGCTACTGTTCCCGTCGCCAGAAGGGGCTCTGAAGCGAGGAGGGAAGAGGGCGACCAGCTGAACGCGGCGGTACGCGGCAGCGTGGCCTTCATGGCTGTCGGCTACCTCGTCGATTGTCCGAGCGCTGGTCTGAGCGACGGGGTGTTCGAGCTTCGAGATCGATGGTCAACTTGGCTCTAGGCTGTTAAAGATGTGGCGCTACGGCTGAGCAGAATGTGTTCGCGCGCTTGTCGTGTCTAAGGCTCAGGACGAGCGTGAGAAGAAGCGTTGATGGGAATGTCAGAGTAACAACCTTCTTGGACAAGTCGCTCAGTAGTTGACCAAAGCCAGCGAGGTCCGTGCCGTGGGGTGCCCGCACGCGATGCAAGCGTTGTGCGCTCTACTGCTGCATTGGGCGTAAGGAGCAGCCAGCGCACCTGGGTTCACTGCGCACGGATGTTCAGCGCATGTCATGCACGCGCAGGAAAGCGCGAGCGCGACACGTCGATGCACAGGAGACACGTGGCCGCGGTAGCTCAGCGCTGCAGGTAGATCGGCGGTCCGCCGCGCGTACGTGAGAGAGATCGTCCGAGGCAAATCGTTCGCCCGCAACGCTGGGGACGACCCTTCATAGCTTCATGATTATACTGTGAGGTTGCGAAGATGGCTAGTTGATCCAACCGTGTGGCATGCTTGCCGATTGCAATCTGACACAAGCACGACAATGAGGTGCACAACCATGAATGTCTCATTCAAGTGCGGCAAATATCAATTGCAGTAATGGGACGCGTGGCAAAGATAAGAGGTAATTTGAAGAAAGTCCACGTACCAGCTCCTCTATTGTACAAGACGAAAATTTGGATCGGTCTCGAGAGTGACGCACAAAGCGTCACTACACGAGAGGAGCCCCGTATCGATGATCGGCAAAATTTAGTGGTCCTTGCTGGACAAGGCTCTGAGCAGGTCGAGAGTGCTATCATCGCCGACGGTCGTGTCTCCAGCATCCTGCGCCACCCCACTCAGAGAAGCTACTTTCTCTCGTTCTTCGCGGTCCCGCAAGGCGGCTGCTGCCCTTGCAGCCACCCTGGACCTGTCCCTCACTCCCCTGAGTAGATTCTCTACATCTGTACGACTCTGCGCATTTGAGGTGGAAGCAGTGGACGCGGCGGCTGGATCTCTTTGGCCGCTTGGCCAGATGCCCGCTCCAGCACTCGAGGTACCGCTCGAACCAGCACCGCCGTGTGAGGAGAGCATCGAGCGCGAAGCGAGTTCCTGAGCTGCACGTGCAGAAATAGTCGTCACGTATCTCTCGGAGATCTCCGAGAGCTGCGTGTAAGGGTGCGTGCGGGTACGCAGCCGATCGACCTGAGAAGCGCGGACGAGTCAGCGATTGCACAGAGAGTGATCCGATGCGACAAGATTGGCTTACATTATATTCTACATCGGCCCACCGCGCGTCAAGGTCGCTGCCTCCCAGCTCGGACTTGATGTCCTTGGAGGAGCGCCCAGCTTCGATCGCAGCTGCTTCCTTGGCCGCCCGCCTGATCTCGCGGTCTACTTTCTCGCCGCCACTTTTAGGCGCCCAGTGTGCCTCAGCGCCTAGGACGGATCGCGCATCCGAATAGATCTTGCGCATCTCTTCATCGAGGTCTTGGTCAGGGTCCCACCTAAAGTCTCCTTCTTTTGGATCCAAATCTATCTCCTCGACTGTCTTTCTCTCGAGCTTTCCGCTTCCGCTTGAAGACTTCCCACTGCTCGACAATTTGCCTGCTCGTGCCTCAAGCGCAGCCGTTTGTGCTTCAAATGCTTCCAATTCCGCGATCTCGGTATGCCAAGCTTTCAGCTCATGCTTCGTAGACTCGATCGTTGCAGCGAGTTCCTTCTCTAAATCTGCATTGGTGACGTTGCGAGGGTGCGGCGCTTTACCAGGCGGAGCTTTCGACTGATGGGGTAGCGTGGGCAGGTACTCCATAAGCTAGTGGTTTCAAACGCTCAGCGTCTGACCTTGCTCACCTTGTCCTCCCAGGTCAAGTCGATCTTTGCAGAGTCGATGTCCACCAGAGTACGTTGTAATGCGCCTTCAACAGCGCCTCTTGCCCTACCCAATTCGGACCTTTCTTTCGAGCCCAATTCCTTGACATGGGCGAATTTTCCGTTTGTCAGCGCTAATGGAGGAGGTGCCGGTGTCTTATCCTTCCCTTTGCCCTTTGGTGCAGCGGTCCCATTCGCGCTGTTTCCGAATGATTTGGCGTCTGCTATTGCTTTGGCCGTTTTCGAATCCAAGTGACCCTTCAGAGCGTCGTCGATGCCGCGATGGAGCACCCATGCTGAGAGATGCCGCATGCGCACCAGCGGAGGCAAAGTATTGGAGCAATGTCTGAATAGATCAGAGTCCGGGATCGAAGCGTGCGGATAGGCAATCGTGCCATCCCGCAATGAGGAAACTCGTCTCTGTGATTTGAGACCCATCGAATCTCTTCGCCCTCTCGCTTGAGGCGCTGCAGCGCTCGAGCCGCCTGAGTCTGTTCTTTGCGAAATGGTCGAGGAGGAAGGCAACCCCATCCCAAAACCAAGACCAGCACGAAATTGCTGATTGCGTCGATTGATTGGTGTCTCGCCTACCTCGTCTGATGGAAGTGGCTCCTGCCGCGTCTTAGAAGTGTAGGCGGAGGCTCGCGACCCACTAGCTTTCCTCGAGGACTTGGCTACTGGTGCAGCGTCCGCCGCGTCTGCCCGAGTGAAGATAAAGTCCTCGTCTCCTTCCTCGCCATGCGCTGTATAAATGTGTCGAGCAAGTCAGTGCGAGCTCGCAGTATTCACGCAATGCCTTGTGGTGGCACTTTCAGGCTCCTGCGCTTGTGGCATGCAGGACAGATAGCTGTCTGTCGACCTCTCCTGACTCCATATCGCGGTAGGCCGCTTTTACTTAGAACTCGCCCTCTAACCCTCGTCCGACCCCAACAACGTCCAGCTAGAAGCACAGAAATCACTCACTTTTGCGAGGCGCTCTCGTTCGACCATTGTCGCGCGTGGCGGCACTCCGTTTGGCGGATGCGGCAGTGCTGGGGGGTGGCATGTCCTCCTGCGCTTTTCGCTTGGCATTGGCAGGTGCAGTCCGAACCATGGGGTCCCTTACTGGCACTGCACTCGAGCCCGTCCTAGCTCCTCGCGCGACCTTACCCTTCACATTTGTGATCGCAGCATTGGCGCTCCCACGAGCAGCACTGTGACCTCCGCTAGACTTGCGCACTCGCTCGTGCTGAAAGGTCACATCGTTCGTCACGTCTCCTCTAGTAGTCACTTCCTCCTCTGAATCTGCCATAATATCATCAAAGTCTCGCGGCGCTGAGCGAGTGCCTCTAGCATCTCCACCATTCTTGAGGCTTCTTGAGCTGTTGAAGCCCCCGGTCGAATCCGAACTTGGTCCTGAGACCATCGTCGTGCTGGACAAGCGTGTTGATCGACGTGACATCGCAGGAGCCCCGGACAAAAGGGCACGTACTGATTGCTAGACTCTCTTCGCACGTCAATGCGTGGTGCTGCGCCGCTGGAGACGAGTCTGCGCTGCGCGGCAATCGTGCAAGGCGAAACTTTCTGATCTGTCGGTGACCGATTCCAAGGACGCTCAGGAGCGCCGATTTCTGCGATAGCAAGATCCTAGTCCTGAGTCGAATCGATCGAAAGCTGATCGGCAAAACACACGTGCGAGGCGTGGACTGGAGACGTGATAGCTGTGTTGTCGGGCTCGACGGGCGCTATGATCGAGACGAGGCAGCTTGCAGCCGTAGCCTGCTCGGACCAGAGGGCGGTGCAAAGATATGCTGGAGAAGAAGGGGCAAGTGCGCAAAACCAGGCGAGCAGAATGAGCGGGTGAGATGGTGGGTGCTGGGCGTGCCTGACCAGCAGAAGACGCGCGCGCGCATAGAGTTGATTTCATTCGACGCGTCGCGCGAAGGTCGAGCAAGGGAGGCGCGGACGCGGGTGCAGCATGCATGTCCACAGCGAGTCGCCCTCGAATCTGTACTCGGAAGAGCTTGCAATCAGCTTGAACTGATTCGTGTCGCTTGAGGTAGCAACTCAAAGCGCTACCAGAAATTGTTATGATACAGGATCCTTGGGCGAGCTTGGTAGATAGCACCTGCCTGTCCGCTATCTACACTAGTGGCACAGGTAAAGTCTGATCACGTGACAGTGGCTCACGCTGGAGGGGCTCACGTGACTTTTGACTCTTGACTCATCAATCAATCTTTAACTCGTGACTGTCCATTTCAGATCAATTGAAATTAAGAAGAAGGATTAAAGCAACAAGTGGATTTGCAGTTCGAATACCATTCAAGATTCATTGGTGGCAGATATCATGGTGATAGCACCTTCTAAGCGAGCGTAGGAAACTCGTTGCTAATCATCGCGCGATTCACCAAGGATGCGCTTCTCGCGACTCTTCTGACTCACAAGAAGCCCACGTAAGAACTTGAAGATTTGGTGACTTGAGCCGCAAGTCTGCGAGTTCAGGGCGCGGCGCGCTTAGCGTAGCTGCATGCCTTCTCGATTGATGACTGGGACGTCGACGTTGGGCACAATCTTGAATGAGGAATTCACGATGCTGGATCGATGGACGGCCGGACGGCCCGCGCGACCGCCTCGAGCGCAGCGCGTGATGCAACCCGCCTAAGCCATGCTGCTGCATGTTGTCCCACGCCTTGCATAGGCAGGGCAACAATCTGAATCACGCGTGTTGTTGCCGCAGAGCCCTCATACTTGCTGTCGATTCTAAGTCTGCTGGAGGCGGCAGCGTCAGCAGGCATGCAAAGAAAGCGAGAGCCGGGATGAGCGATGCTGGTGGTGTAGCTCGATATCGGCTACTGACTTATGATTTAAAAATTGTATAGATCTATATACTCTCTGACTTTTGCGTCTGTGCGTCTCAGAAAGTCACGAGTCGTCTTGGGTCTTGAGTCAAAGTCGTGAGTAGAGAGCTCATGACGCGCGCCTTTGCAGCGCCGGTAGTGCGGCGACAAAGCATCCTGCTGCCCGTGCGTGTGTGTGTACCGGTCGGTATATAATATGTATGGGCGGCATCATCGCAGGCAAATCTTGAAATATTTGCGCTGTTAGCTCGCGTACGTGGATATATAGGGTGGGCGCTTACTTGGGATGCAGGGTGAGTGAGTGCTTGCATGCATATATGCTCTTGCACTGGTTGCAATCACAATTCAGAGCCGAATCACGAAGGGTAATTTGGCACACCACACCCTCCTGAAGCACGGCTTTGCGCAAGCGAGGTTGTGTCAAGCAGTCATCACCACCTCCTAACCCTTCCGCCGCAGACCGCTAATTCCTCGACCTGCGTCTCTGTGTCGACTGAAAGGCCTGCTGCTTTTAGCCTCCGAATCCACTTTGACCCCCTTTGGCAGAAGCCGACCCATCCGCCTCACCCTCTTGCAGATCAGTCCAGCGAAGCGCAATACTCACCATCCCAGCTCTCGCCGTCCGTTCACCTTCCTCTTCGAGGTCGTGAATATGTCATACAGCGCTGCAGACATGTATTCGTCGGGTGGCGGCGGAGGGGCCAGCAGATCAAGCATGAGGCAATCGCAATATGGCCAGCCAACTACGGCTGCATCAGGATATGCTAGGCCGCAATCGGGCGCCATGGGAAGGGCTCACCAGGCGAATAGTACCAATGCACAAGGCTGGGCGCAGCAGGACGATTCAGACGGTGATGACAGCGACGGTGAGTTGGGATCGAGATCTATGATTGTTCAATGCGGCGAGTCCTCCATTCAGAAAGGGGGCGCAACACCTCCGCCACGTCCTGTCCACCCCATCTGTCATTGCTCTGTGCAACATACAACCCTTTGCCCACACAGATGGCATCTTCAGGCCGCACTATGCAGGCATGGTTGCTCATTGCTCACACCGCCTCCCCTTCGCAAAGATGACTGGAATGTGTACGACGATTTTAACAATGCGGGCCCGCCCACCAAAGCGGCTCCTTCAATGCTGCAGCGATCGAACAGTGATTTCGATAATTATGGAGGAGCGACGCAGCCGTACAGGGACATCGAGGCCGCGCCTGGCGCTCCCGACTTGCCGCCAGTTGATATCGCAGGTGCCCGCGGGGCGGGTGGCAACAGGCAATCACGCGTTCAGTCAACGCTTCTCGATCCCAGCGCTTTCGGATTTGATCCACGCGTTTCGGATCCTAAGCGCATGTCCGTCATGGCCGACAACCCCATGCCTAGTCGTCCATCGGGTTACGATGCCTACGGACCGCTCTACGAGTCGGAAGACACTGGCTCAAGAGCCAAGATGCCAAGCACCCCTGGAGACAAGGCGGGCTCGGAGGGCATCGAGCTCATCACCGTGCCCGCTCTCGGCGCCGAATATACTGATGAGGAACGTCGTCAAATGCGCACCAGAGCCAAGAGAAAGAGCAAAGCGAATGCGAAGAAGAGAAAGGTGCAGGATGAGGCGGGCAAGTGGGCGAGGGGTGAGAAGAAGTACTTCGGATGGCTTGGCCCTCGAGCTGCGGTGTTCCTAGGCTTCGCATTTCTGGTGGTGTGAGTGTAGCTTCATGAAAGTGCATAGCGCACACAAAGCTGATCTTGGTGTGTTGTCCTCCTCCAGACTCGGCGTCACGCTCTATTTCGTGATACCAAGGGTGCCAACCTTCGGTCTGCGCACCTTGGAGCCAGTCACGGCGGTGCCAGATGCTGGAGGCATGTCCACCGGTGGACCGCCTGCCAACTTCAGCATGACAATGAACCTCAATCTGCAGGCCAACAATCGCGGAGGCTGGGTGACTAGTCAAGCTAGCGATTTGGAAGTGATTGTGACCGATCTGATGACTCACAAGAAAGTAGGAGAGGGCAAGATGGCCAGTCTCGGCTTCAAAGGCAGAGACAAGACGCAATTCGCTTTCCCGGTACAATTTTCTTACAGCAGTCTGAACGCTACTGGCGACGCGACGTACCACAATTGGCAGGATGCCTGTGGGCCAAAGTGTGAGTTTTGGCATTGCCAGCCAGCGCTGCAGTCACAGACAAAGTTTCTGATTCAAGACCATATGTGCGCCTCGGCATGACTCAAGATGGTGGAGCGAAACGCCCCACGCTTAATATTGCCCTCACTCTTACGATGAACATCGCTGGCTTGATTGGTCGTAAGGGATCCAGTACGCAGCTCAATTCGGTCGTCTGTCCCTTCGAGCTGACCAATACGTGAGTGTTGGCCAAGCAGGGTATGGCGTATATAGCGCGCTCAAGCATCTTCTGACAGGCACTCTTTAACTTTCTTTGATTCCAACAGTCAAATTCATTGAGACTTATACTGCTGACTCGATCGCGCCCAGTATCTGCGTGCCTTTCTGCTAGGGATCTCGCGATCTTTTGTTCAGCCCGGCCCGTCTCGTCTCGCCTCGTTCTCCAGCTCACTGCCAAGCAAGCTTGTACAACCCAAGGTTCCCCTTAAGTCGATCCTTTCTCGCATGCTGTCTCTTACAGTTGGATCAGTCCTCTATGACTTTCCCGCTCTCACCAATGAACAATTGCTTTCACGATCGAAGCGACAAATGAATGACAATCTGCGTGTGACTTAGCGAAGGTCAGGTGCCCAATGCTGCTCACCGCGTCTGTAGAGGGCGAATCTCAGCGTATTGCCGGCACATCGCATCACACCTGGCTCGAGGGCAGCGTGAGCTCATACCTTCCTTCGCGCCACATCCAGCGGGCGCTACTTTCCTGGACTTAAATTTGGTTCGCGTGGAAGCTCTCTCTCTCTCTCTACGGAGAAAAGAGGAGCCACTGAGCAGACATCACTCTACACATGCTTTCGTAGTCGCAGTCATGTTGCGCAAGACGCCGGGCTGCACAGTGTACTTGCATGAGGGCGAGCTTCATCCAACTTCGCCGAAGCGCCCCGATCGTGTTACGGTTACGAGTGCGGCCATCTAGCAAAGCAGCCATCTCACTACGTGCAGTCAATTACTCCCTCAGACTGAGCAAGACAGCTGATTGGACAGCACTAAGACGGACTTGGCTTTGCGCACCAGATCGTCCATCGAGTGTCCGATCTAGATGACAGTGCCTCCTCCTGCGATGCTCCGAGGTGCGTCGAGCGCTCTGCGCTGCGGCAACTGCCATACATTCCCGATTTGCCTTTTTTGGTGCGTCACCGATCACCACGCAGTAGACCATTTCTACCAGCCTGACTCGCAGGATTTTCAACTCGTGACTATCCACTCACCACTCAAAACTGCGACAATCACGACTCGAGTCTGACGCAGTGTCATCCATCTTCGATCAATACGCGATATAACGAATGTGAGCGGGACATCAATGACTATCGATTTTCATCCATACACGATTCTGGTTCATGTTGGGACAAACACGCATATAGAATCACGTGAAGCATCTATGGGTTAGTGGTATACTGCTCGCTTGCCATTTCATGCATTGAATACCAGTGCGCGGATTCGACTTGCGGGCGACACGGGTTCGATTCCCGTTGGATGCAAGCATTGCCAGCCCAATTGCTCTTCCCTTGCAAGGGTCAGCACACTCGGGCTTTTTTCTTCTTGCTTTTCGATTGACATTTGTTTCTCTCTCTCTCTATGTACGCATGTATACTTTTGCACCTCATCGATCTCTTGAACTCGCTTGATGAGGGACCGTTGCCTCACGCAAGCCTGGCAGTTGCTGCATGAGCAACGCAGCACAGATGTGTGTAGCGCCACTGGCGAGTTGAGCCCTTCCCGAGCGTCGGCCCAGGCAAACAACAATCACGAGTCAGACAACGAAGGCCACCTTTTGAGAGATCGTCCTCTCCAAAGACACAAGGAAGCAAAGGAAGTGCAGAGGAGCCAGATAGAAACGAACGACAAAGATCATGTTCGACTGCTGACCACCAATCGTGGGTATGCTATGACTGGCTGCTCTCATGTGACAGTGAAGGCCAGTGGGCGGATTGGTGCTGTCAGATTGATCGGTAATCTCAGCGAGAAGTTAGGAGTCGATCTGCTCTTGACGCGAAACGGACGGAATCATCGTTGTGTCCTGCTGCTGCCTGCCCGGCGTGCAGGCGTGTTACGTGGGCTTGTGCGGGGCATCCTGTTGCGCGCATGCAAGAAGCGAAGTAAAAGCGTGCAAAATCCCGTAGAAAGCTATGAAAGTGAAAGGGCGCAGAAAGTCAGCTGGTGCGCACCATTTCTGGAAGGCCGTGTTCAGTAGATGGCCAAAGAGCGAATTGCTCGTCGAGTAGGACCCGATACTCACGGCTGTCCAGGCCCAGCTCGGCACGTAGTTGATGCCTGGTAGCGCCGTTGAGCTGACTTCTCCGAAAAGTCGAGGTATGGCTTCCAAAGACCTCTCTGAAGATGTGCGTCCATAAGGCGAAAAGCGCGATCTCCATGGCTTCAATCGCAGCCATTGCGCATCTTGAGCGTGTCTAGCCGACGTCTTCGTAAAAGATGTGCTGTCAGAAGGCGGGCGCAACAGGCGAACCAGCTCCTCCGGGGATGGAAGTCCCCTAAAGGAGGCCATGGCGAGGGGGTGCGAGCGAACATGCAATCGCGGGCCTTCCGAGTCTGGTCTGCCCGCCTCATCTATAGGCGCAGTGACTAGATAGAGCGCAGGAATGCTGCAACGGAACAGCAGGATTCAGCGACTGGTTGGCAAGTCCGTAACAGGGACGATATGAGGGCATCAACGCGCTGTGCCCCTGAACTGACCGCCATATCCACCACCTCCAGCTTAATCTTGTGCAATGGGGATCGTCCAGGTCCGCATAGCCCCACTCCCAGAATCTGTGCATCTCTTCTCTGAGACGCGGTTCTTGCTTCCATAGCGATTTGAACTGACTTTCTTCGGTGAGCCGCAAATTTTCGCGCTCCATCTCCTTTCCAGCATGCCTTGACTCTGTGACACGCGGCGAAGGCACCGACTCTGACATTGTCTCGGTGAGCCAATCATCTATGTTAGCGTTTAAAGACGACCTGGGAAACGAAGCATCTGGCAGCAAAGACAACGAGGTGGGATCTTGGTAGAGGAGAGATACTGTTCTGTTTACTAATGCCAGTAGTGCTTCAGATCGCGGGTCTTTTGAAGCACTGAAGGCGGAACCGTCCGATCGTGAGCGCGCGATCATCATTCGGGCCCTCTCTTGCGAAGACGTGCAAGCACTTCAGAGTCGAGGTTCACCAAAGGTCCACTGAATACTCACACTATAGCGATGACCCATCCCCGGCTTCGGCTTGTAGCATTTTCAAGCCCCAGCTGAGCCTCGATGTTCCCCAAATCCGTCGGGTCGTGTGAAAGCTTCGTCAACTGTGGATGTAAGGGTGGTTTGGGCTTGGGCTTGGTCCAAAGATGTTCTTCAATTATATCTTCCGTCTGGGAGAGAAGGTTGCTTCTCAGTAGCTGTTGGCAGGTGTGACGAGGAAACGATCGAAGCAAAGTCGCGATTCGAACGAGCGACTGTGTCAGTGCAAGTTGACGAAGACGTTCTCGAAGAGAGGTCAAACATTGTAACACCTCACGCGCTCAAATTTCTCGGCGAATGGAGCTTCGACCAGCTTTCCAAGCCCGGTTGTGTGCCTGATTCCAGGCTGTTGCTGCAGTGTCCCAGAAGTTGAGGTGGTTTGTATTGGCGTCCCAGACTCAGGCTCAGCTGCGATGCCTCCTTTTGTGGGTGGTTTCCATCCGGCACCTGGAGGAAAAGTGGGTCAAGCACATTGTCGTCGATAGCATTGTTAACATCGAGTACCTCGGTAGATTGAGCAGCAGAAGTACAATGGTTGCTGCATCATCCTACAGATGCTCGGACAGCGCACATATGCCAGGTGACTGTAAACTCACTGAGATACTGTGCCTTAATGCTGGCTACCAGAGAGAGCAACAGCAAAGCAATCATGGCCACATTCTTGCACATGCCGGACCAACATGGATTGGAGGGTTGTGGAGGAGTTGCGCGCATCTTTGCAAGCTTGCATCCCATGGAAGAGAGCACAATTGCCTTTACCTTTGCGCATCCAGGTAGCCCTTAGTCGAGCACACTTCCTCCCTCTCTCATGAACGGTGAAATATTGCCGCCGAAGGTCTCGGACTGACCTGATCCGTACGCTTACACTTGACTATCGGCTTCCTCTTCACGCGCTCGACATGGTGTAACAAAAGTAGGAGGAAAATGAGCATCCAAGGGCTGATATTCGTGGTTTGACAGAGCGCGGCGTATGTGTGTAGAAGGAATTCCGAGTAATCGCAGATCAGTAAGAAGAGTCATCATCATCAGAGTTCAAGTGCGCGTTGGCTCACGTGATGAGGGCAGCCTAGAAGGCCCTCCACTCACCTCACGATTTTGATTCGCATGCACGCCTGATGTCAGCACCCGCGTCGTGAGTCACCATCGCTTTGAAAGCGCGCATCACAATCTTGCCCAACATCTCTGTGGAGACAACTTTACAGCATCTCACCACACCGCACGTATACCCTGGTGGAGATGGACCTCGCGAGGTATTTGGCTTGACCAACTTCTTTTCCCTCCCCCGGCCATTACGACAGCTCGAAGACTTGGGCGGAGGCAGCCACACGAGGCAGCACCCCGGAGCAGATACTTCGGGACGCCAGTTTCTTGTGTAGAGAACGGTTCACTATGTCACGATGTTTGATCAACAGCGTAGCGGGACATTCCGTCCTTAGTGGAAGTAGAGAGCTCCTCCATTCACCAAACACTTCGGCAAGGCGAGCTGTCAGTGCTCACCTCAATCTCTACGCATGGAGAAGGTCCGCTAAGACTTCCGAACTGCACACGACGGCATTTCGCCTGGCTTCATCGTCGAACGAGACAGCTAGGCGCAGCAATCCGGCTCCTGGTAGCGGTGACACAACATCTGCCGGTCCCTCACGCTCATCTTCAAAAGCGGGACCGAGTGGGGAGGCATTGGATGAGGCCAAAGGTGTCGAGACATCGAGCACGTTAGGCAGCTTGGAGCGAAAGCCAAGTTCAGCGTCGCAAGCAGCTTCAGCCGTGACATCACGGAGTGCCGCAGCCGATGAACAGCATATTCAAGGGGTTTCTGAGAATGTAGGCCGCAATAGCGACCAAAGTCAGCCGAGACAGGCGAAGCGGAGAAGGCTGCCGCTGATACTGGCTTTGCTGGCGGGAGCTGGTGCTGGACTGTATGGTGTGGACGAGTATCTGAATGCTAGGATCTTGCAAAGGAACATCAGGACACTTTGGTGCGGACTTACCATAGCTCTGGACTACAAGTGAGTGGACCTGGGTTGAACATGGACACAGTGGGGAAGTTGGTATCTCAGACGATAATTGGACAGTCAGACTGGCAATACTTTGACATATTGCGGGTTTGCTCGATGCTGAGGCGATCTGCCTCTGGCTCATGCTTTGACGAAGTCCTACGACTGAACGGCTCGAGCACAGCTACTCGATCTCCAACTGTCACTGATCTCACGATGCTTCGTCCCGATCACAGAATCAATTTTGACCCTAAGAACGCAGAGAGCGTCGCAGCCCTACACGAGCGGTGTGCGGACCGCCTTCTAGCAGTCTGCGATGAGAATCAAGGTTTATACACCAAGTTGGGGCAGGCAGTAGCGAGTAATAGCTTCATCCTTCCGAAGCCTTATGCTCAACTTAACAGATTATTGGATGACGCCGAGAGGATGCCTTGGGAGATCGTGAGGAAGGTTCTCGAGGGCGAGCTGGGGGACCGGCTCGAGCAGGTGAGTATCACGCTCGCGCTGCGCGCCACGCCTGTCGCACATGCACTCACACCTCCCTCATTGACCCCATAGGTCTTTGAGAGCATCAACGAGAAGCCGATAGCGGCGGCCTCGATAGCCCAAGTGCACCTGGGCATCCTAAGAGGAAATGGTGACGAAGAATCCCGCAAGGTCGCAGTCAAGGTCCAACGGCCGCAAATCAGGGCACAGGCGTACTGGGACCTGTTGTGTTTCCGCATCCTCTTGCGGTTTTATGAGCAGATTTTCGAGCTCCCCCTGTCGTATTTTGGGCAGTACATTTCTGACCAGGTGCGTAGGCACGGGAGAATTGATCATGCCATCACGAGACTCAAACTTGCGCCGCTTCGCTTCGCAGATTCTGCAAGAAACTTCTTTCGTCCACGAAGCGGAGAACTCGGAGCAGCTGCGCAAGTACATTGCTACGGATCCTCTCAAGCTTGTTCGCGATACCGTATCGGTGCCTAAGGTACACCGCGACTTGTCGGGGGAGCGCGTGCTCGTGATGGAGTACGTGTCTGATGCCGTCAAGATGACGGATCAGAAGGGGATGGAAAAGCTAGGTCTGTCCGTTAGAGATGTAGCAAAGTCGGTTTGTGAAGTTTTTGCGAGTCAAATCTTTCAGTACGGGCTCGTGCAAGCAGACGGACACGCTGGCAACATTCTCGTTAGGAAGAACCCGCAGTATGAGAACGCCAGCATCTTCAAAAGTGCAGCCAAACCTAAGCATCAAGTGATTCTGATTGACCACGGGCTCGTCATCCCTCTGTCCGAGGACTTTAGGAGGCAATACGCCAAGCTGTGGAAAGCCATCTACCAGGTCGACCTGCCGACATTGGAAAAGATCACTCAGTCATGGGGCATGGGAGAGGGGTCGTCGGAGCTTTTTGCGAGTGCTACATTGATGAAGCCCTGGAGCAAGCCCAAGACGGATGCAGAAAAAGCAGAAGCTGCAAAGAAACGCGCACAGGATCCTCGGTCGGATGCGGACATTCAAAAAGAGCGCATGAAGAGCTTCCTCGTCCAAGTGGAGCTGACACCCAAAGAGTTGATCTTTGTTGGTCGGTCTATGCGCATCATTCAAGCCAATTGTCAGGTGCTTGGATCCCCGGTCAATAGGCTCAACATTCTGGCTAGACACGCAGCCTCCGCCCTCGTCTCCCCGAAGAGTCCAAGTCTGAAAGAACGTGTAGACAGTCTACGCTTCAAGACTGCTTTGTTCATCATTGACGGCGCTTTCTTGACCTCTCGTTTGGTTCACTGGTTGTCCCTCTTGTTCAGAAATCCCCTAGGAGCACTGGGTCTACGAGAATTGGCACCGACGGAGAAGCGCAAAGGTTTAGAGGACGACTTGGCACGTGGTATGCAAGAGATGGGAGAGGAGTATGGCTTGGACCTTTCGGACGCATTTGAGATGGAACAGTAGCACTTGCAATAGAGCATCATTTCCTTTCGTCAAACATGCAGCACTGAAGGGGCACGAACGCTTCCAAGACAAATGCAGATGCATTCTCCGCGCCGCGCATAGGCAGTCGTGTCGCGCGGCATACGCTATGTGTCTTTATCCTCGTCCTTGCCTGGCCACATGATTCCACCCCTCCAGATGGCTCTTGCATGCATCAGTAGGACAAAGAGGTAGGCGGTGATCAGTAGGAGAGACATCGCCGTGCTGACCCAAGTTACAGCATTGCTGCCCAGCGCTTTGCCGATGCTGATAGTGGAGACTGTCCAGCCCACGTTTGGAAAGAGCAGACCGTACCAAACGAGGTGAAACTCCATCTTCTTCACCCCGAGCAAGATTGCGCCTACAGTCACCACGAACCACCAGAAAGACAAGGCCCATAAAAATATACCGGTGGCTAGGGCGATCACTTGGAGCGTCTCTGAGGCCGTGGAATGACTGCTGAAATAAGAGGTTGCTGCTGGCATCGCTTGAGACATGTCGATCAGTGCCAGCGCCGTGAATGCCGGCGGCGAGACCGCAATCATGAGTCCTGCGGGAGGCGTTGAAGTGGAAGCAGAGCGAACTAAGATGGAGGCGGTCGGAAATGAGCACCGCTGCTTACCTGGACGTAGATTAGGAGCGGGCAGTCCGATCTTCATCAATCGCGTGATGAAAGGCCCATACATGGCAATGGAAGCCCAAAATCCTAGACCTTGACAAGTCAGTCCCGCTACTAGAATGGCTATGGCTTGGCCGGGAGGCTGACTGGAGGCGATCGAGCCCGCAACTGTACCCGTCAGCATGACTGGGAGCATGGGCAAAAGCCAAGCGGGGATGATGTCGTGATTTGTCATGCGTCGCGCAGTGAAAAGGTCGAGGTAGAGGAGCGAGGCCATCTAAAGAGTGAGGATCAGATAGTCGGGTCGAGATGTTCAGAGAAGGCCATAGACGCACGCTGCACGCGGATGATGGAGAGACTCACAATCAGCACCGTGGCAACATAGAACCAAAAGAGCACTCTGATAGTGACTATCAGCCAGTTGCCCGTGCTGGACGATGCGTAGAGCTGCATGCAGATGACGATGTCCGCAACAGAGAGCCAAACGGCAGGCAAAAACAAGCATTCTCCTGGATTTCTCAAAGATCTCCATAGCAGCTCGGGCTTGCGCACGAAGCGCTGCACGGTGAGGGTGATGAGGGTGACGAGCAGGACGAGGTCAAAAATGAAGACGACCTTGCCAATCGTCTGAAGCCCGCGAAAGGTGTGCGGTTGCTGACCTATCACCACCGCCATGCCTCCCGTCGCTGTGCAAAGGGATCCCAGCATCAGCACGAAGCTAGACCGCCCGCTCTCGCGTCCGTCTCATTGCATATTGCATCTTCACTCACACATGGTAACGAGAAAATTGGCCCATGTCACATGCAACAAGCGCTCCGACCATCCCGGTCGGCTTTCCGAGCCCTTTTCCCCTCCAGGCCCGCCTTCGACATCGGTCGATTCTGACTGCGGCATGGTGATTATACCGTTTGCCCTGACGCGTCCGAGCGGTGCAGCGAACGAGGGCGTGTGGCCCCGCTTGAAAATGGGCAGGTAGATGGTAATTTTGAAGAGAGCCTTTACAAGTGGCTTCGGTCGATCTCGATAGGGAAACACATCGAAAGCAGACCCTGGCCAAATCGACATGCAGCAGCAGACATGCAGGGTGTGACAAACTCTTAATTCGCCTTCAAAGATCCCTCGGCTGCATGTCGGCGGATCTGCAGTGTGCAGGTGCATAACAGATCGAGTCGCTTGTTATATAATTACGGGCAAGCTAGGCACATCGGGCCAAGCAAGCACGCGCATAGGTTTCCCCGCGGGGTCATCATCATGCGTCGCCAATTAGAATCAAAATGCATCACCCCGCTGCTGCCCCTGATTGTCAAGCAGAATGTACACCGAGCCGTCATGATAAAGCTCAGCCCTGGAATCTTGAATCGCATTCGCAAGTTCACTTGCTTGACCAGTCAGAATTGCTCAAGGATCGCGAACGGACGTGTTCATGATTTTTCCAAAACAAGACGAGGATGCCAAAATCGATCCATTCCGTCTAGTCACGAATGGCGCAGGTTGCAAATACAAGAGGCAGGTACGTGCAAATGCGATCCGACAGACGAGCGTGCGCTGCCGAAGGTCCAGGTCAAGCCTAGAACAAGTGGAGGTGCAAGAGAAGGGAAGATGAGGACGCAGAGCGAAAGCCAATGAGGGTCAGTTGGAGATACCAGCAGCGTTACTTTCTCTCCTCTTCTTCTTCTTTTCCGCAGATTTCAGAATGTCTCTAGCCACCTCCAAGTACTGCGTGAATCTCCTCTCCACCTTGTGGGTGATTCGATCCGCGACGCCTTCTGAAGGGCAATCGACAACGTGGTCCGCTACAATGGTGACGCAGCAACGCTTGTTGAATGAAATGATGCCGATACCCAGCGTGTTCTTGCCCGCTTGAGGAGGCGAAGCTGTCCATTGCACCACTTCCGACTCTGCCAGGTGCACCTCACCCGGTGGACCGGGTACATTGGTGAGCTGCAAAGAAGAGCTAGTGGCGCGTCAATAATCTGCGAATCGCCCAAACCACGCTTGGAAATTTGCACTCACCACAGCGGTGAAGGAGCACAGTGTGAATTCAAGACACCAGCGAACTACGGCGGACACCGGTGTCCAAAGTGCGGAGGGGTACAAAATCCTGTGTCAAGCAGGCGCGAAACGCAATCCCACCGAGTCAGTGGAGGAGCAAAGAACAATCACTAATTTCACGTCGATGCGTTCGACTCACGGAGCTTGACCAGTCAACTGAATGGCCCAAAAGCTAAGCGTAGGCAGCCAGCCTCTCTTGAGGGTATTGAGCGCCCTAGAGTTGCCCTTTAAGCGTCTGTGCATTGCCTTAGCCCCAGTCGGCAGACCCTCCTTGGCGCTGCCGCAGGGAAGGTAGGCGATGGAGCCCGTGGACCAGTTGCTCATGCTCGTGTTGGAAATAGGGCGAATGCTGATCGGGATCATCAGCGCGATGCGGGAGGGCAGCAAAGCATTGGCCGAGCGTTGAATCCAAGAAAATAGCCCTGGAGGGTGGTGAGCTGGGTCTTCGTCCATGTCGTCCATTTCATCGATAATCGCATCCGCAATGACGGTGCACAGCACATCATTGAGCGTGATGTGTCCAGATATGTATTTGCCTCTTCGACCGCTGATCTGATCAATGATACCTCCGGGTGTGGGTCCACTGAAGGCTTTCTGGATCGTCTTGATGTCATCCATCTCGAAGGCTTTGCTCGTGGAGAATTCTTTGCCCTTGACACGAGGACCGTGGTATGTCGTAGTGGCGTAGCGCTGTCTCCACGCCGTAAAGAGCCACCAAAACCCAATGACGAGACCCTGCTCGATGCTGCCATAAGCATCAGCTACGAGCGAGACTATCCACATACTCCAAAACAAGGCGAGCATGGCTAATTGCAAGAAAAGAGTATTTTGAAATTTATCCAATGGCTTGAGCGCTTTATGAAGCTTAGAAGGTTTGGCGCGACCTCGGCGAGCAAGTCTCAAGGTGGATGCTCCATCATTGAGCAATCTTTCCAGCTCGGGTCGGAAAGACGTCGCGCTCAAGAGAGACAAGCAGAAGCCCTGCCCATCAGTGAGAGTGTGATGACCGCGTGTGACCATAGCTCCTTTGGCACCTCGCTGCGCATCCACAAAGTTGTCGAAGATGACCGACTCCCATAGTGGCTTGTCGAAATCCCAGTCTTTGGCGATGAATCTGGCCGTGTACTCCTCCAACTCCTTTTTGCTCGCAGGCTCGGGAAGTCGTTGGATGGAAACGTGCCTATTGACGTTCCAGTCTGGGTCGTCTACAAAGTGTGCACCGTGCCACTTTCTTCCTACATTTGCCAATTTCTGCTTGTATTTTGGGAAAAGATCTGACTGAACCTTGAGCGCTTCTTTGATCTTGTCCAGGGTAGGCGGTTCCTTGAAGACAAAGGTGGCTGTACAAACTGGATTAAAGGAGGAAGTGGTGTCGCTCAAGAGCAGCCACATGTTGTCGATGCCGCCAATAGCTTCCCTTCTAAGGATCTCCTCCTCCGCAATGCGATCTTCGATCCAGTACCCACGCTCCAGCGTCAAGCTCGCCGCCGTCCCGATCCAATCCGGTCTGCTGGCCAGATTCTCCAAACGATCTTCCAACGAGTCGACCACACCCTGCACCAGCTTTGCCAGGAACCCAGCAGACAGCGCGCCGACGGGTAAAGCTGAAGACCTTGTCTCTCCCGACTGTATGCCCTTTTCTTGGGTCCGAGCAGCTGCGAAGAAGCCAGATTCGGAACGCGACCTTGGCGATCCGGCTCGGGACAAGGAAGATCGCTTGCGGATCCTCTGCAGCGCTTCGCTCGAATCGTCCTTCTCCAAGCTGCTCAGTCTCGAGGAGCGAGAAGAGACGCTGGGAGTGGTCACGTCCACCGCGCTCGAAGTGGCGCTGCTGCCATTCGGTGCGATGGAGCTGGCACTAAGTCCATTGTGGGAGGCAGCGCTTGTCGAGGACGTCTCGGAGCCTTTCCGAGGAAAGCTTTGACTGGAGACTGCCTCTTCTCCACTCGAAATTTCTTGTGCTCCTGCCATGATCTCGACAGTGAGCAATGTTCCTTCTGACCGCGCGCGCGTGTGCGTTGCTGGGAGACTGCTTGACAGAGGCGAATCGGACAGCGATGTTGATGGCCCCTTGGATGGAAGGAGGGTATCGATCACAAGCAAGGCTGGACGTGGATCAGCAATGGATGGCTACTGGATGATCGACGTGGGAACTCAGTGACTTCCGACTTCCGTCCTACTGCAGCACGGTCCCGGGAAAAAAGCAGCTGGCTTGGCTTGTTTGTGGGGCAGAATCGATCCGTCGAGTTGGTTCGGCGCTCGCGAGAGCAGTCACGAGTTGTGAGTGGAGCGTGCACGTGCTGCTGTAGCGAAGATTGTGCCAAGGGATTTTGATCGATTGAAATCAAGAATCAAACAGGGAGTCAGTCAGCTACAGTCACGCTACCACTGCTGTTGTGAGTGACAGACAGTCTGAGTCGCAATCAGTGGTCGATGCGAGGACGCGATCGCACGGCGCTCTTGCTTGCGTATGTGCTGAGCGATGTCGCTGGTTGCATGCCATGCAGCCGCACATTCCGCCAGAAGAGCGTGCGAATTGAATTGAATGCTGCAGCTCATAGCTGAACCGTGGACTCTGACTCTGCAACGTTGTGAGGCTGCATATTGACGTCACTCTGCGTTGGGATGTGCTCCACGGTCGCTCACGAGACAGCAATATTGAATCTGAATCCGTCCGCGAACGGCGTTTTTCCCCTTCGATCGTCTCCGCTCTTCGAGCATACTTGTGTTACATCTCGCCCAGGACGTGCGTTGCAGCTGTGCTGCAGTGAACGTGCTGATGAGGAGGCAGGCTGGGCTATACACAGCATATACATGTATCATGCCAGACGGCGCTTTAGGATGCCTAATGTGTGACTGATGCAACTTGGACTGTAGCTTGCAACTCCGCCAACAATCACGATTTCCTCTACTTTGACTACTATACTCAGTAAATCTTACATCGTGAATGCCTTTCTGTCATGAGGGGGCATGCTGATTGGCATTCTGATGGATATGCTCGTGCACGGACATCCGCGCTGCCAACAGCACGCTTCGAATCAGAATCAGAAGTCGTGAGTACCGGCGAATTCGAGCGGCTTTCGCTGCCACTGCTCTTCACTCACACTACTCTGACTGTGATGGACTGCCATCGTTCAGATTGTAGGCTTTGGGTATCCATTGCTGCTGCAGCTATCAACTTCATCGACTACTGTGACTCACCAATTGCACCTTAGGCACGAGTTGCGCCTGCTCACTCTTTCCAAGCATGCGTGATGTCTCGATGGCCGGAAGGGTCCGAGGCGCAGCACTCGTGATGCCGACCTCCTCGCGAGACGGATGCAAGGTGGATATGTGGTTGTGGATGTGGATGGTACTGCTTGCATGCGCCGCTGCACAGACTTCACCCTCACATTCGACTTTTACCTCGAAATCAGTGACTCGCAACTATTTCTTGTCCTTCAGCAGCATCACCATCATCACCATCATTCTCCCCGACTCGCATCGCTCGCTCGCCTCGGTCAGAGACGAAAACCTGGATTTTGCTTCCAATTGACCATTCACGATTCGATCGTGATTCGGACTCACGATTCGCGATCCCCGATTCAAAACTTTAATTTCCATCCGCGTGTTCTCTCTGCTGCTGCATGCCGCGACGACCGACCACTGCATGGCCGGCGTGGCGCTCCCGGGCGCGACACGCTTCGACGGAGAAATCGCGCCGTCAGGCTTGAACGCGCATACACACCGGCGGCTGTCCGCATTCACTATTCTGATTGCACATGTTGGAGCTTGACTTTCAAAGCTTCCACCATCAAATCGCACCCACGCAGCCGCCTCGAGGTGGCGCAAAAGCAATAGGCTGAGGATCGTGTGGCCGCGCTTTCTTCTCCCTTGCCTACCATCCATCCCGTTCTCCTGCTCTCCCACCCTTGTGGCTTCTTGGTGTCCGCCACGTTGCTTTGCGTCTACAGGGTTTTGCGCAGAAGGCGACAAGTACGGCTCTGATCTTCACCAAATGCCGAAAAAGTGCTGGTGAAAAGCATTACCACCTCACCGCCGATCCGCGCATCGTCATGCCCGCGAAACACAACAACCCGATTCGCATCCGGCGACACAGATTGCCATTTCAGCGAATCGAACCTGCCCAGGATGATGGGCCCACAGCAGCACGGAGCGAGGTGCCCAATACAGTCAGTAGCGGTAGTTCCGGCATCCTGGTGAACGATCCGGCTGCTGCTGGCTCGGGTCGGCGATCCCCACTTGCGGGCGACTTAGAGAGACAGCAGGTCCGTCTCTCATTACCGCCGCGAGTTTCCAGTAGAGCAAAGAGACCACGTATTGTGCAGAGACCCAGCGTGGTCGAGAGTCTGGCCAGTCAAGAGCGTTCAGCTGCCTCGACCGGTCGTCGAGGTGACGACCAGCAGATGCAACAAGAAGAGGAAGATGATGATGCTGCTCGATCAAGCGAGGCGGGAAATTCTCAGTCCATGCCTCGTGCACCTGCACCTTCTCAACTAGCCGCCGCTGAAAGTCGACTGCCACAAGTGACGGAAGAGCCAACTTCGCCACATGGCTCCTCTCCACACTCCACGCACAACCAAGGTGGACTCGCTCGCATCCCCTCAGCCCAGCTTGCCTCTGGTCGCAGTGATAGCAGCACCTACTTCAAATCGGGCAGCGGCGCGAGGAGAGCCTCGGCCGACGCTGGCGGCTCAAAGCCTGCGTCACAGCGCTTGCTGGGCTTTTCTGGACTGCGCAATGCCCAGTCTAACCCTGTAAATGCGATTAGAGCACCAGAAGAAGGCGTCGTCAACTTCACGTCGCCCTGGGGCAATCAGCAAGCTTCGTACGAGCGCGAGGCCGAGGAGGAGGATTATGATCATCACGACGAGGATATTGCTAACTATGTGAGTTGCGACGCGTGGTCATGTCAAGTGTTTTGGTATGTGCGCTGAGCTGTAGCGACCACCTCCGCTCGTAGCTCGATGTCGTCGATCCAGAAGTGAGCACGCTGGGCTATCTGAGCAACATCCAGAATTCGATTTTCGTACCGCACATTCCTTCCCTCTATTCTCGACGATCCACACACGACTTGCCAGATCCGCGAGCTGGCTATCGTCGTGGCTCTCGCGCAGGTCTTGCGGTCGAAGCGCAGAGCACCGATTCACGGACAAGGGCAGGATCACTGAGATCGCGCCTCTCTGGCGATTCGCGGCGAGGTTCGTTGGCCGCTTCGCAGACGGGACTTTCGGGCGGTGCCCAACCTTTTGCTACTTCGTCAGAGGGTGTCAGAAGGCCGAGTCTGGTGTCTCGTTTCTCAGGCGGAGGACTCATGAGTCGGATGGGAAGCAAAGTCAGTTTCCGAACGCCCATCTCGAAAGAGGCACAAGCGCGCAAAGAAGCCGAAGATGAAGCGGAAGCTCAGGGTCATATTCGAGGATGGGCAGCCATGGACGAGGAGGAAAGGAGCGCTCTGGACGAGCATGTGCGAGATCTTTTGACCAGGCGTGCAAAGTTTCGGAGAGGCTTGAGAGGCTTTTGGGCTTTTGTCAAGACTCCCATCGGCTTCATTATGACGCTATACGGCTTCCTCGTCACGTTCTGGGGATGCGCTATCGTGCTGTTCATCCTCGGATGGATCAATGTTGGTTCAAGAAGACGCTACTGGATCGAAATTTGCGACCAGATCCTTTGCGCCTTGTTCGCGGCGGTAGGACTCGGCTTTGCGCCCTTTAGAGCCGTCGATACGTATCGCATGATTCACATCGCGCACTATCACCATCTTACTTGGAGGAGACGTCGAGAAATGTTCTTGCCACAACTGGTCGATCCCAACGATCTCCCTAGACCCGCACAGGACGGTCGCAACCTGGCCATCATCCCGGAGGATTTGCCCTCTCCAAGAAGTTCACGGGAAGATCTGGCCAATAAGGTCGCCGAAGCTAATGTTCAACGAAGAGAAAAGCGTGGCTGGATCGCGAGACTCTTCAGTACGCGTGCGCGGCGACAGACGGATGATGCGGACCGTCAAGCCCAGGCTACCGAACCCAAAGGTGTGGTTGTAGCGACTGTTCCGCCCGCACTTTTGGATCCAAACACTCTGCCGGGTGCTGAGGCGCAAAGAGGAAGCCCGACTCGTAAAGGCAGCTCGACAGCGGCTGCTACGCCTCGCAACGACTTCAAAGGGGATTTGGAGGCGAACCTCAAGAGGCCTACCGTCAAGCGCAATCAGAGCTTGCAGAGCGAGTTGGTCAAGGATGTGCAAGATGTGGTGGTGCTCACCCCCGAGGAGCAGAAGATCTTGGAACATCACCAGCGCGCTTTCCACGCGAGCCATACTTTCTATCGTTTCCACGAGACATCTACCCACGTGAGTCTATCAGTGCTCTATGGGTCTTGTGGTGCCAATTGGCAGCTCGCTGATGACTCACGACCCGCATCGCTTCCTTGATAGCGAGCATTCCCGCTTGACTTGATGATCGTCATCGTCTGCTTGCTGGACTGCCATTCGATGCTGCAAGCTGCTTTGGGAGGGATCACTTGGGGCATCAAGTATACACACAGACCCACAGTCTTGACGGCGACGATCATCAGTTGCAGTCTCTCGTGCAATGCAGTTGCCGGCATCATCATCTGGCTTGGTGGACGTCGGACGAAGAAGAAGGAGGAGGTGGAGCGCAGGCTGCGCATCGCACTAGAGAAGGAAGCCTACTCCGTGATGACGTCCAAAGGAGCTGCCGGTGCAGAAGAAGCTGCCAAAGATATAGCTGCAGCCCACTCTTCATCTGGCGATGCTCGTCTTGCTGCACCAGCAAAGAAGCACAAGCACGAGCACGATCTGGAGGAAAAGTTAGATAGCTTCGAGATGAAGGCTACGGGTTCCAGCCAATCTGCTTTACTCGACCACGATCACCAGGGGCCTCCAGTATCTCCGACGGGGAACAAACAGCTCCCTTCCACCTCCCCCTCCTCTCGTGATCAAGCAAACGACTCAACTCAAAGCACTCGACTGAAGCAGACACCCGAACCAGCAGCCGGTGAGGTCAATCAACCCTTGATCGAGGCCGCAGTATCTTTACCACAGGCATTCCTGTGACATGCAGCGCTGAACAGCTGCCCTTTCAATTTGATGCCCCCTTCCTCCTACCTTGTCTCATTTTTTGGCATGCACTCGCTCTCCCTGTACAACACGCTCTTGCACCATCTTGTTCGTCGCAAACACGCTCTTGCCCCATCTTCGTCCCAAACGCCTGGGATTGGCAAGTATCCTCACACACCTTGCAAACACATCCAAACATCATGCACACTGGGAGGATTGATTGGCACGCAGGCCCGACACTGTGCGATTGTCGAGCAGTCACTGAGTGGGCCTGATGTCATCCTTCGACGTTCGATGGACGCTGGGACGTCTTGCGCCACTCGAGCGCTCATCGGACCGTCGAGATTGATGGTGCGAGAGCACGAACGCAAGTCTCGAATGGACGGACAGGCGTCCACACAAAATCCAAATCTGTATCAGAATCGAGATTCAAGATTGCATGGGCCATGCACCACGTGATTTGGAGTTCACGATTGTCGGGCCGTGTCGATCGCCACGTGGTCCTATCCTCGGACGATTTTTCAGACTCATCAGCCGTGATAGGTTTGGTAGCCTGCCTGGCCTGTCCACCCACACGGCATCCACCTTGCGATGCTCTTCGTGCGGAAAGGCTCATCAGCTGTTGCAGAATCTGCATCGCGACCTTGACTTGTTCGGAGTCAAGTCTGAGTGCAAGCGTGCGAAGCCGACTCGGCTCCAAATGCAGTCCAGCTTAGGCTTCGTCTCGTTATCTCTAATCAAAAGATCGAGCCTTTCGCGGCAGCCGAAATCGTGGATGCGTGCACGCGGTCTGCGATCGGAGTTTCAGCTGAGTGTGGTCACGAGTCCATCAAAGGAGTTGCGCGCATAGGTTTAGCGGCTTGTGAGTGAGTGAGTGAGTGTGCGAGTGAGTGCTCGGCCGCACGGCTCAGATTCTTCAGCTATGCTATAGGGCGGATGGATGATGGCGAGTCACAAATTAGGGTGAAAGAGCTCTTCGTATCGCACGGCGACACAGTTTTGCCCAGCGTCAAATGGACGCGGCCAGACCGGGTGGACTGCAAAGAGAAGCGGAGCAGAGCGGGACAGATGGATGAGGATGAGCGCTTGGTGCGGTTAGTTGCCGTCAAGCGCAATCGTGAAAAAGTGCAAGAGGTTTTTCTGGTTCATGCGCGAGCTGCAGATGGCTGTCGGAGCGACAGCGGACGTCCGCACAAATGGTTTTGAAAGCGGCGTCGTTGATTGGCCTACACAAAAGCAGAGGAAAAGCGTGAGGAGGCAGAGAAAGTTGCGCTAGGTTTGTTCGGAGCGGCGACGGTCACACTGGATAAAAAAGCGCCCCCTTTCTGTCACGCTCACTGCGACTGCTTGTCAACTAAGATAGACAGAGCTAAGCCTGATGGCCAGGATGAACACACGAATCGTCAATGTTGGGGCCGATTCAAACGCCCAGCATCGATGAGAGTCCCAATCGTGAATTGAGACTCGTGACTGCTGCTGATGGGGTGTGGTGGAGCTTGAATCCTCGGCGCGGCCACGGTGTGTCGCCAGCCACAGCATGCACGGCCAGCAGGCAGGTCGAGTCGTCAAGGCCGCGGACGCGATTCACGATTCGTGCGGTCTGGTGCGTGGCCCGGGTGCCGATCGGAGAGGGGCAGCAAGCGGAGCGAGCAAGGCGGCACTAGGTCCCTATATGCTTCCAGACCAGCGAGCGGCTATCGTACGGCACACTGGCGACTGCCTAGCTGTGCTGCATGCACGTATGCAGGCGGTGGACCAGACTCAACATCGTCGCGTGTTGATGCGCGCGCGCGCACACACATCGCTTCGATTGCTGGCCGGTCGTCCGAGCTGCGCTCCTGGCGAGGCACTTGGCCCGCAGCCCAGCATCAAGATGCACAGGTTCATGACGCATTTCACGCAGACAAGCAAATCAAAGCTCGCTCAGTTGTGAGTGTCGCGCCATGCACGAGCAGCGCAAGACTCGGGGTGTGCCCCCTTGGCAAAGTTTGCCGGGGCTCCGTCTTTGAGGATCGCCTATCTCTCGGAAGCAGGCGAAGCATTGAACATGTCAGAGATAAAACATCTGGCCACCTTGTTCCTGCTTCTCCACCACAACATTACATTTCTGACCACTCAATCCTGCCTCTATACTTGACACATCAACCCCCCATACTTTGTCCAACATGGCTAGCGCTAACCCTTTCCAAAAGAACGCCAGTGAGTATTTGCTCTGCGCCAGAAGCGACATCATGCGCTCCTCCTCCTCAGCAGTCACCTGGCAAGCTTCGATCTGCAGCACCGAGCGCTGCGCCGCATCACTAGGCAGACGCTGCATGCTGACTGATTCTGATTCCCCGATTTGCAGACTTGTTGGCCCCGTACATGCAGCTGGACCAACGTGGTGAGTAGCGTACCTAGAGGTTCGAGCTCGAGCTGTCCGCTGATGAGCGTCCTTATTACTTCGCCCAGGCAAGGTCCAAGCTGAGTACATCTGGATCGATGGAATTGGTGAGCATCTGAAATTCCTCGCGCTCCTCTGTGGGCTCGTGTGATGCGCTGCATAAGCTTCGGCAGGGGACGCTAGATAAGATAGGGTCGCCGAAGCCCACACTCTGAACAAGAGCTTGAAGGGTGCACCGACAAGGCTGGCTTGTGGGCGTGTCGCCTGATTTGAATCACTTCAGATGTTTGAATCGATGAGCTGATTCTGCAAATCTCAACTTTTACAGGCGAGATCCGCTCCAAGACCACAGTGAGATCACACGCGCAAACTAGCAGCCGCAAAGAGGATCTGACGCATTCTTGTCTTGTGCTGCGCAGACGCTCGACTCTAAGGTGAAGTCTCTTCAAGAGCTAAAGGAGTGGAACTTTGACGGATCCTCCACCGGTGAGCACGAGGTGCAGCAGACGCAAGTGGCCCCGGGACTGGCCACGCTGATGATAGAGAATTTACCCCTTCACCATACAGAGCAAGCCCCTGGTGGCAACTCTGATGTGTACCTGCGCCCCGCTGCGTACTACCCCGACCCTTTCCGCGGAGGCGACAACATCATTGTTCTTGCTGAGTGCTGGAACAACGATGGCACCCCCAACAAGACCAACCACCGCCATGCTGCCGCCAAGGCGATGGAGCAGGCCAAGGCTCACAAGCCATGGTTTGGCATGGAGCAGGAGTACTCTCTGTTCGATGTCGATGGCAAGCCCTACGGCTGGCCCAAGGGTGGTTTCCCTGGGCCCCAAGGACCTTACTACTGCGGTGTTGGTGCGTAGACTCGAGGCGTCAAATTGCAGTAGCAGGCCAAGGCCCACCCAAAATAGAGTCGCTGACGTGCGACGCATGCCTTGGCTCTTTCCTCACTCAGGTGCTGGGAAGGTCTACGCACGTGACCTGATCGAGGCCCACTACCGCGCTTGCCTTTACGCCAACATCAACATCTCTGGTATCAACGCTGAGGTGTCACCCTCTCAATGGGAGTTCCAAGTCGGACCCAGCGAGGGAATCAACATGGGCGACGAACTCACTGTCGCTCGTTACATCCTGGCTCGCGTTGCCGAAGAGTGGGGGGTGAAGGTCTCTTTCCACCCCAAGGCCGTTCCCGGAGATTGGAACGGAGCTGGATGCCACACCAACTTCTCCACTGAGGAGATGCGCAAGGAAGGCGGTATCAAGGCTATTGAAGCTGCCATCGAGAAGCTGGGCAAGCGCCACAAGGAGCACATTGCAGTGTACGGCGCGGACAACGACTTGCGTCTGACCGGAAAGCACGAGACAGGACACATCGGAGAGTTCTCCTATGGCGTTGCCAACCGCGGAGCTTCCATCCGTATTCCTCGTCACGTCGCTGCTCAAGGCAAGGGCTACGTGAGTTTGTTCATCTTGAGGCTCAGCAGTCTGCCAAAGCGTGGTTGCTCACGGGTTCTCTTTACGCTTCTCAGCTCGAGGACCGTCGCCCTGCAAGCTCTGTCGACCCTTACCAGGTCACCGGTATCATCGTCGAGACTACTTTGCTTTAAGCGATTCTGTTTTACTGCGTCGATGCACGCGCTGCGGAAGAATGTTTCCTGCAAGAGGCACGCTGAGATCTCGAATTTTGCAGCGCGAGGGATGGGCTGTCAAAAGAGGCTGGTTGTTGCGAGACTGCCGAACTTAGCGATTGAATGTAATGAGCTCATCGAATTCAGGTCGCGATTTCTCGCGACGGCTTCCCTCGCTAACGGGGCTGGCGAGCATCTGAAGGGTAAAGTACACAAAGATCCTTTTGCAAAACCGAGCTGTTCTTCTTTTGTGCTGCACGTCACCTGACGAAGCTGGCCGTTCTGGACCCCTATGAAACTTCGAACATCGTGAGCTGTTTTTGGCTCCGGCCATTCCTTAACCACCTTCAATTTGCTGTCGAGGGGCCTCCCTTGGAGCCTTCGTTCGAGAAATATCCGTACGCTAGAAAATGCCGGCGCGCTTTACAAGGATGCGTCCGAGCAAGCTCGAGTCCTTTCACCGCGAAGCTAGTCCAAGAGAGGTTGGAGCAAACAGCTCGAATTGAACACCAGGCGTGCAGGAACTTTTGGCGTGTGACAGCCCCCCAATCCGGCTGCAACGAGCGGCCTGAGCGAGCCCCTTATGACTGACACGTTAGCCGATTCTCCGTGCTTACAATCAAAGCGCTTGAGCCCTGCGCCATCGTTCGCCCGTCCACTTGCACTCTCTTTATGGCAACCTGCCGCATTAGCGAGACGGGGCGCTGTACGCGCTTTAGGTGCCGACCTCGACACCTTCTCACGCTCACGCTCGGACCGCTCTTTGCGTGCAAGTGTCCGAGAGTGATCAGAGCGATGTGCTGATAGACGCTCGCGGAAGTGCGGACTTACCCGAGGAGCAGTACAGACGGCTGACTTTTTCGAGCTTTGGTCAGGGTCATGTTCAGAAGACCAGCGTCTGAGTGTAGCCTCTACCGATTGCTGAATTCGTGACTGCCGCTTGCGAACTAAAGACGAATCAAGCCATTCTCGCGGATTTGAGTCTCCATCAACGCCGGTCTCGGCTCAACGTTTTCGAAAGCGCTCGCTCGCACTTGCGACCTCTGCGTGCTCGATTGACCATTACATTTTTACGTTTGTGTGTTGTGTGTACTCACGACCCACAAGTCATCGATCTGTGTAAGTGATGAGGAGCAACAAGCCTGTAGCTCAGCTCTGTCTGCACGAACCTCGTTGCAAGAAGGCTCAAGTCCGTCGGGTATCGATGCATGCAGATGCTGCTACCAAGAGCACCCATAACAGCCTGCACGGCAGGAGCTTTCAGCCTTCGACCTTCACATTCTATCTACAGTGATCATCGATTGCCGCGCCTTGGGCTCGCGCGCCCGTCCTAGCTGCATGTTGAGCATGGAGCACCATGAGCAGCAGCATGCGATCGAAGGCTGTGTGATCGAGTCAGATGCCAGCGCCAGCATGCAGCCGAAGACACGCGCGCAGACAAATGACCTGGAAGGACACCGCGCCGATGTTCGCGTCCATTTACGCGCTCGATCGAAGACGCGTCGTGCAGCATCCAGCACGATTCGATCTCGATCGGAACTTGATCAGGCCGACGCGCGCCTGCACGCTTTTTGGCGCAATTATTTCCTCCTCGCGCTGTAGCGCCTTGATCGAGAGCCGTTGTCAAGCTCGATCTGTCCGGCGAAACAGTGCATGCAGGTTCGAGGACCCTGCGGCGCATGAATGCTTGGAATCAGCAGCAGGGACACCAGCCCGTTGACAGCCTCTTGCAGCCGTGCGATGGCTGTGTCCAAACGCGACAAACAAGGCGGCCAGATGCGCAAAGCATGGCAGCGTGGGGTCGACTTGGTTGGCGACCTTGCCGTTCGATAGTCGTGAGTAGAGTAGTCGTCAGACCATGCACTCTTCGACAACTTGCTGATGAGAGGCCAATAAGCACAGGCGAAGCGACCGTCCCCTGACCATCGCCCCACCAACTCCTATCTGCTCGCTAGCGTCGACACCACCAGACTCGCGACTCGCCTCACCCATGCACCACCTGTCTGGCACAGTGACTGGACTTGGCCCCATCAAGCGATCGATCGCATCGCCAAGACGAATACACAGCTCCACAACGTACATGCCAACTGTCCGTCGTTCAGTATCGAGATATTGCGCCTCATCCGTCTATCATCGGCCTCGTCAGCTCGACCTTGCTGCGCCTTCTGCCTGCGCCCGACGATCAGCCGGAAGGCTAGTTTGGCGCTACAACGGAGCCCGAACAGAAAGCGCCAAGAGGCACGTCTGACTAGAGGAATACTTATTTGAGCTAGGACCCTGCCTCCTACGCCCCGCCCCCACACAGCGCCACTCAACAGACAGAGGTCTACGCATCTGGTACCACGATTCTTTCATTCGAAACCTTCTCTCCTTACATCAAGACTCCTGGAACATTTCTTGACCCACGACCGTCGTACGACTCTGCTGGCATCCTCCACCGTCCTGAACTTCTCGCACCACAGACAACATGGTCAGTCTGCCGAGCAGCAAGAGGCTGCGTCTAGATTCGTCTGCCTACGCCCGAAGTTCATCCTCTGACTTGGAGGCAGATCCGCCTCACGGCTCAGCAGTCACTTCATGCTCGCCATCAGAAGGCTCGGAAGCACACACTCCGCCCATACAAGCAGCGAATCACCCCTTCGCATCCACTGGGGGAATTCCTCAAGCTCCAAGGGCGCCTTCGCGCAAGGGGCGTCGCTTGATCAACGAGTGCCGAGAAATCAGCCCTCTTGCCTCTGGCTTCAGCCTCAAAGATGTCCAAATGTCAGAGTCTGTCACGGCTTCGCTGTCTCTGTGCGCTTCAGCAAACAAACGGACACGCGCAATGCTGCGAAGAGGCTTGGATGAGGAAGAAGATGCGCCTCATGTGAATAATAGGCAATTGCGCACGGCTCAGAGGTTGTCGAGCAGGCTTGCTGCTCTTAATGACCCTGCCATCTCTGGTCCACCCTCAACGGGTAGTCATCCAGCCCTGGGCCTCAAGGTATCGCCTATGCCTCTGGACGAGGGTTTTGCTCTGCAACCCTCTTTCAACGAAACCCTCGCGCGTCGCTCCCCTTCGCATCAACCAGAAAAGGACAACAACGAGGACGCTGCCATGTCGGTCGACGAAGAGCCCAGCAGTCTCGCAACGTCATCTCGCGCTCCACCAACAAGTACATCATCAGGCATCCCGATGGGTCGTTCCATATCCGCCAATGGACCCCCGAGGCTTGCAGGCTCGCCTGTCCACGGTCAGATCACACAAATGTATGATGGCCTTCCTCTGCTGCGCATCGCAGCCTCGAGAACACCGCTCAGGACGAGGGCGCAACTGCGTGCCGCCGCGGCAACAGCATCCGCATCCGCATCAGCATCAGCGTCCACCTCGTCTTGTCAACGTCCTTCAGAGCAAGGCCTGATAAGAGAAGCATCCATCGCTAGCCAACCCCTTCCCGTCAGATGCCAATCTCCCGACCCGTTCACTTGCAGGCCGAGGAGCGCTTCTTCCAGCTCGTCCTGTAGCAGTCCTAGACCGCAACATCGGCGTCAGCGTAGTCGAAACAGCCCCGCCAGCGCCAGATGCACCCCCTTTGGTGATTACTTTGGCGACTGGAGCGGGAACAGCAACAGTGCTGGTGGAGGCCCCATCTGCTGAGCATGTGCGAAACCTGGCAGCGCGAGCTCTTCTTTTTCTGTTTAGCAGGAATTCGGCCCTGCTCATGCAATTTTGCATTGCGTTGATCTGGATCATAGAGCTTACCCCTTCATTCTCCTGCTCGTTCTGCTGTACTTGTCCTCGATACGATCTCTGTACTGACTTTGTAGTTGCACACGCACATTTGCGCACAACATTGTTTGATGCGTGGCGATGCGTGTACGGCTGTGCTCGGATGGATGCCATTTCTTTGTACATGGATGTGTTTCAAGTGTATACCATACCAGGAAGAAAGGAGGCCGGTGTCGATGTGAATTGAGCCTTAGACACCTTGTTGGTGCTAGGCGCGAAGCTATGATGAGGGTGCTTTGGGATGACGAAAGCTCAATTGTGCTACGCGCTACCACCAACAACGCCTCAGGCCCCTCGGATAAATTCTCAGGACAGCTTGCTCTTGACCTGCTGACCGGCCTGCTTGATCTCCTCCCCAACCTCTTTCACAGCTCCAGCCGCCTTCTGCTCAACATTTTTCAATTCCGACTGAGCCGCATCGCTCTCCTGCTTCAAGATCTGAGCCGCTCGATCCTTGGAGCCGGAAATCTTGCTCACTGTAGGTTGACCCGAGGCGCTCACTGCCGCTTTGCGCGTGTCCTTGGAGAGCAAAAAGAAACCGCCAATGCCTACGGCTAGCGTGGCGATGGAGAGACCTAGCATGCGCGTAGTGCCGGTGGAACGAGAACCTCCTTGCTCCGGCGGTGGGTGCTACAAAGGGGAGGAGAGGGTGGAGCATTTGATCAGCCTCCACGCGCGTCAGCTTGCAGCGCGTAGTGTCGCTCGCTCCCCCTCGTTTTCGTAGGCGCGCCTGCCTCCCACAATCGCCCGTGGCCCTGGATAGAACCGCCTGCCTCCTTGCTTCTTTGTGCCTCTTGGCCTCTGCGGGGATAGGGACAACAGAGCGCGTCCGCCCATTCATCTAGACCTGATCACTCACCGCACCGCCAACCGGACCCTGAGCATAGGTTCGCACAGCCATGCGCGTGCTGCTGAAGCTGGCGAAAGCGGATGAGCGGCCCGGAGCAGCGCTCGCGGTAGCTGCAGAAGCTCTGAACAAGGACATGGCTGCGACGTTGATGCTGATGATATTACCTCTTTTGAAAGGAAGCCTCTCTGCGCTTGTGGTCGCTTCGTGTATCTGACCAAGAGAGAAAAAAAGGTGTTGCTGAATTCGGACGATCAGTACGCGGATGAGTTGTGGATGTGGAAGGAGTGGTGCGACCACAGAGTGTGGGCGAATTTATATGTGGGCCAAGCAGGTGTCTGTCGTAAATAGTCGATTGAGCACGCAAGGTCAGCATTCTCCTTGATCCACGAGTACTCGTGACTACCTACCCAACACGCCGAATCGGGGAGGGCCAAGCGGTACCAAAGCGGAGGTTTAGCAGGCACACTGGCGGGTGGTCCACTCGTGGCTTGAACTCGCCCACGACAAGGCAGGTAAGCTTGCATGCGCACTGACCGAATTCGACCACACCGTGACTCGTGACTCATCAGACTCATCAACCTGCAGCGCCCTGATTGTTCTCTGGCCTGCTTGAGATCTTGCTCCCTCCACCAGCAGGCTAGGCTGGACATCCACTTTGAGACGGAGACGGAGCAACCGTTACCCTCTCTTGCTCTGCTCTGCGCTGCTGCGCTCACGCCTGCGTTTACCCCTCGCATGAGACCATGAGACCACACTACATGCCATCCACGACGTCATCCAAGACCTCACCACACGTCTAGCTGCGGCTTGAGCAGGCCCTCCGAAGCATCTGGGAGCTTCAGCAGCTACGTAAACCATCCCCTCGCCATCACGAGCTTGGGTACGATGCCCAGAGTCACGAGTCACGAGTCCGAGTGAGATCGCAGCAGGCCTTTGGACCCTTAGTCAGCTGCGCATATTCAAGCAACACGCAGAGGTCATGGGACTGTACACTCGTGATCGACTTGACGTCGACCGCATGCATGCAGCATGCGCCTCTCGATCGCTGACAAAGTCGAAAAACTGGACCCCGCGACCGTGTGGAGATGTCACGTGCTGCGTTTGCTGGAAATACACGAGGCACGTGCTCCAAGTGATTTCGTCCCGCTCGGCCAAGTCAAGAGGTTTGGTCCGGCTTCTTTTACCACCAATTAAGCATCACGAATGCGAATCATTCGCGTCACTTGATCATTCACGCTCTATACGATGCGTTTCGGGACTTCTCAACACCATCAGCAATCACCAATGCTTTCTTGTTAGGACCGATCTCGATCTCTCTCGACGAGGAATCAACTGCGCACTTGCGGCGACGAGCGCAGGGACGCCCGGCAAAGGCAGCCTCAGTATGCTGAATCACCTCGCTCAATCGGGAGCCGGGAGGTCCATCTCGGCAATCCCCCTCATGTCATGTGCCTTGCGAACAATACCACGCTTACGAGCCAGGGCTGGCCCCACAGGCGAACTTTGCAAGTGCGCACGCCCGAGCGACTATGCCAAATCAATCGGAAGCTCCGTTTCCAGTGATCCCTGGAGGAGAAGTTTCGCTAGCAACACTTCCCTCCTTCGGCCCAGGTTGGGATCATCCTACAACTCGCGCTCGATTGTCTATGGAGCGTCCATTCCATCCGCTGCATCGACACGAGGCTTTGGATGGAGCAGCTGGGGTAGCACTGCACAAGTCCAGGAGACAGATTCCGGGGCCAACCCTGCTGGTGAAGCTTCGAACCTTCGGGCATCTTCAGCGCCTTCGGACGGCGAAACGCTCACCGCAGCTCCAGCATTCGACTCCTCAAGCAACGTCTTGGGCGAGGGGTCGCTACAAACTGCCGCTGCAGATGCTACCTCCTCCATCTCATCTCAAACAGTCTTTGGCACTTTGGGCGAATTGCTGGATCGCAGCTTACAGCCCGTTGTGGACTTGCTGTGCAACCTGCCCTCCATCCTGCACCTCGAATGGATCTCTCACCCGTACGCAATATCCATTCTGATCTTCACTTTTGCCCTTAGAACGACTTTCACGCTGCCCATGACGCTCTGGGCTAGATCCAGACAGCAAAGATTGGTGGACAAGGTCTTGCCGGAATGGAACACTCTGAAGGAGCGCTTGCCGGATACTGTGAGGCGGGAGTGTAGAGCTCGCGGAGACAGCTTCGAACAATTTCAGAAAGAATTCAGAAGACGTGTGAGTGGGAGCTGCATGGTTTGTCGGGAATTGGGAACTTGCTGCGAGCCGAGCTGAAGAGGGTGAAGCTGCTGCGAAGAGAGAGACTCTGGAGCGAGCTGATGGGCGTCTCTGGCGCTGTGGAGCTTACCCACATTGATTCCTGCACTTTGGATCGCGCCATTTTCCTAGTCAAAGAGCGAGCTCAAGACCTTGCTCACAGTGCACCGATGCGCGCCGATGCCCTCCATTCTCGCACCCGTGGCAGTCTCGCTGCCACTCTTCGTGCTGCTCTCCTACAGTCTCCGATTAGCGCTGCAAACGCCAGCAGGTCTTGCAGGTATAGGCTCGGAAGTGCTGCCTTGGTGGAAACCTTCGCCAGACCTTGAAGCCTCTTTCAAAGCTTCGGCAGAAATTCTGAAAGCCAGAGGATTGGAAGGAGAAGCGCTGCAAGAAATCACCCAAAGCTACGGTCCCAAACTGACAGAGATTGATAGGACGTCGTTTGGCCCTATCTCTCTATGCTTCATGACCCTGGCGAATGTGGAGTGGATGCAGTGGCTGAGAAGAAAGACTGGCGGGTGGGGAGTAAGCGCGAACGAGGCCAGCAATGCTGTGGCACAGACTGGACGAAAGGCTGGGAAACCCGGAGACGCTCCAGCGGTTCAGGAGGAAGAGTCTCTGCGAATGAAGATCGTAGGCAATGCTCTCAGACTTCTAGCAATCTGCTTCGTCATCATCTCGAGCCAGGTGCCCAGTGTGAGTCTCCCGAGGGTCGGAACCAATTTCTCACGCGGTGCTGATCGTCTTTTGTATGACTCGCCTGTTCATGCAGGCCCTGTTGATATACTGGCTCTCATCAGCCTTCTTCACCCTTTGTCAGACCGGAACGCTGGCTGCAATCGATCGTAGACGGGCTCGCAACTTGACTCCGGCACCTTCTCCCCCTCCTATGCCTACTCAGCCAATGTCACCTCGCTTTAGTGGCACCGCAGAACAGTATGGCAGGGCTGGCACAGCGCGAAGACGACAGTAACTCGGCGTTTCGTGGTACAGATCCGATTCCGCAACACCATTGTAATGTAATGCCCAATCGTACCGTGCGCACCCCACCGCGCCACCCCTTTGTGTGTGTGAGCAATCTGCATTCGTGACCACGACCCAAGGCCTGATCCACACCATCGCCGTTCGTGCCACGCGCGCCTACAGCAAGACAAAAAGCGATGAAGATTCAATTCGCCAGCTTGGTATCTAGGTTGATGACTACGAAGTACGCGGGTATACAGAAGGAGAGTGATGTCTCTCAGAGACGAGATGCGGTATGCGGAAAGACGAGGGCACGGGGAAAGCGATGCATCTGGAGGTATTTGATGCAGAGGCCTGCAGCAGAGCGCTGCTCTGTTCATCCGATCATTCCAAGAATACGGCTGACGCCGCCAAGTCCGTCGACGTGCAAAGGCAGCCGTTGAGAGTACTCAAAGGTGGGAATGACGAAGCCATTCAGGCTCACACGGGCCTCGACCTCGACATCCAGGACTAGTGTTCCCCTCTCTTGCAAGAAGGTCTTGACGATCTTGTCCAAGCTCTGAGCAAGTCTGCAGTCGATCTTGCCCTGCTGCTTGCCCGGATTACGCGAAGTTCCCGGTGCGATGCGTAGAGGAGCCTTGGACATGTCCCTGGAGGCGCTGCCGAAAGGCTTTGACTTGAAGTGCGCAGCGAAGCTCAAGGAGAGGAGGTCGATCGACACCCCTAGGGGATTCTTGATGATGTACGCCGTTTCGATAGTGGAGTGCGTCAGCACCGTCGGAGTGATGTGCACGCTGATACTCTCCAGCAGCTCGTTGAGCACAGGTTTGAGGGCAAATTCCAAGCGAATGTGCTCGATGGCAGGCACGAGCACGGGTATCTGCACACTTTGCCGGTCGCCCTTGACCTGCAAAACAGACTGCTTGCCACTCAGAATATTCGAAGGGATGGCCCTGACTGGGCCTTCCTCAGAAGGCGCATACCTGAACTCCACATTCTGAACGGCCACAGGGCCGGTAGGCAAATCGAACGAAGTCTCTGAGACCAGCGCTCGCCCAACGTAGGTATCTCGGAAATATACGCCCATCGAGAGTCCAGAGTCCGGGAGACGCAGATGAACTTGCGAGGGATTGTTGAGGAAGAGATTGAAGCGGACCTCCAAGTATTCGGCGCACGCATCCTTGATCTCGAACCCAGAGTATTGAACTGGACTGCTTTGCAGACCATTGAAGCCGGCAATACTGATGAGGTGTTCTTGGCCGAGCTCGACAGTAAGTGGCAATTCACCGATGCAGGTGTACGCTCTGATGCTGGCGCGACCTCGAAGACTGATGCGCTTGGTACCTTCCGGTCCAGCTTCGAACATGTGGAATACGAGCTCGGACATCGTCGCTTCATCCTTGGTGTGCAGTTCGAAGCTTTCCAGCGTGAGCTTGAAGCTACCGCTAGCGCCTTCGTCCGAGTTCGATTCTTTGGCCTCCGAGATGGTGCCATCTGCTGTCTTGGCTCTACCGACCACGACGCCGTTGAACACGAGCTCGACGTCTGCTGAAGCGGACAGCACCTTGACACCAATCGGATACCCAGGCACGCTATACTTCACTGCGATATTCGTCGTCGAGATGACAGGCGAGCCGCCTCGGGGAAAGGATGCGTCAATATGACCAACGCTGACTTGATCGACGATCTTTAGAGGAGGCTGTCGAACGGGCGCCTCGGCTCTGAAGCCACGAAGCGCGGCATCCAGCCATGGGATTCTGCTGGGCTCGGACGTGGTACCAGCCCGAGGCCTCGCTGCAGGCGCAGCCAGCGATACGATGTTGCCGCTCGAGCCGCTTTGCTTGGAAGGCTGCACCCACGCTCTTTCTCCTTGTATGCCCAGCTTGACTTCCTTGCCCAGTAGCAGCGCGTTGATCATCTCTCCAAGCTTTTGGAGGCTCTCTTCGTAATTTGCGCTCTCGATGTAGACCAGACCCCGCGCTTCGAGTTGCGTCTCGGCGTAAGCCTCCATGATGATGTCTTCGATAGCCAGCTGACCTATGCCAGCGCCCTGGTACGTGAGAGCAAGTTCGAGCCTGGAGAGAGTCAAAGAGATGTCGCTCGGATTGGGAAGCACAACTGAGGCGCAGACCTGTAGAGCTCCACGTCCCGATCGCGTGTTTTCAGTTGGAGCCGCGGCATGGGTGAGACTACCACCTACGGCGGGAGCAAATGCTTCGCCAAGGACGGAAAAGTTCTCCACGCGCAGACCTTGAAAGCCTCCTAGACCCTGCAGAACGATGCGCTTCTGCAGCGTGGCTTGAAAGTCAATGCCACCAGCGGTGACCAAAACTTTTGCGACGAGCTCGAACTCGGTGGAGCTCTCGAGCAAGAAAGCTCTCACGAAGGAGGCGAAAGCTTCGGTCCCGCCAGCTCCTCCAGGTTGCGAGATGCGAGCATTGGTTTTGACAGACTGGAGTAGCTTTGGATTGACATCGACTCGATCGAGGATGTGCAATCGCGCCACCCTGTTCTTCGACTGGCCGGGCTTCAAGCCGCCGCTCGCTCCATTCTGCTCCCCAGCTACAGTGAAGAGCTCGGCTGGGCCATTGAACAAAATGCTAGCAGCGAGTGGACCAAAGTTTGTGAGGCGGAGGCCTGTGCTCAGCATGATACCGTCCTCATCCATGTCGTGCACGTCGATGCCGTTCAGCTTGACCTCAGCTCGGTCCACCAATGTCTTGACGAATGGGGCGCCAACATCAGGCAGTAGGGCAGCCGAGGTCGTGTGACTGAGCGCAATAGGTAAGCTGTGCTGCGTGAATCGCAGAGTACCTGGCAGTCGATATTGCCCAAGCATCGCAGTCGCTTCCACATGGGCAGTCACGCGCAAGTCTGCTAAAGCGCGAGCTAGGAGCGAGGCGAGGTCTTTCGAGGGGTCCTCTTCGCCACTTGCGTGTCCGCCCGCGGAGAGATCCTTCGAATTTCGTGCCGACGCGTGAGGCGTCTTGCCTCCATTCATCGTGAGCTCTTCGAACAGCTCTTCGAGAGAGTCGCCGATGTCCACGCCCCTGCTCTGTGCTGAGCGTCGCATAATTGTGACTAGCGCGACAGGGTCGCGATTGATTTGGAAAGGCAGACTGGCATTGACGGGCGACCCTCCTGGCGGAAGTACCAGCCCTTCCCACCTCTTCGAAGTTTTGATTTCTCCGAGTTGCAAAGCCTCGAGGCCGGCGCCTCCCGCTGCTGCAGGTACAGCCAGTACAGATAGGCTGGAAACCGCGATCTCTACTCCGAAACCGTTGCGCAGGGTTGCACGGGCGACAGAAGAGCCCCCTGCAAGGCTCGCTGCACTCTTCCGTCGCCCAAGAGCAGACTGGCCCCCGAACGCGCTATCCTGACTCGACTCGAAGTAGGGCGAGTGCGGGCTCGGCGGCGCCTTGAGACCCAGATTGGGCGAGTCCAGGTTTGATACGTGCGATGCAGTCCTTTGACGGACACTGCTAGCGCTGCTTCCAGTCCCTTCAACCCTCAGCTCTGCACCATCCAACAGCCGAGCCTTTTCGCCAAGCGGTGGCACGACAGCATCAATTCGTGCCCCTGCGAGCGCCTGCGCAAGCCAAGGAGTGTCCGACGCGCCCGTTGATCCGGCCACTGCGCAAGCATGTATGGCTTCATTCTGCAACAGCGAAGTGATCATCCGTTGGCCAGCTGCGTAAGCTTGCGCAGAAGGGCTCCCCGGTGGTGCGTCTTGGCTCGGCTCGGCAGGCAATCGAATATAGCCACGCGCCTTGACAGTATTAGGACCAGGCTTGAGAGGCGTTGCCGCCAAGGTTAGATCGCCAAGAACGACCAAGCCTGCGAGGGAGTGTGCGGGCGATGCAGCTGGCTCATGCCCAGCAGCTGGGCGAGCTTCGCCAGGTGCGAAAGCCGAAGCGCACAGCGAGAATCTCAATTCGCCGGGCTCGATCGTAATGGCTGGCGAAGCAGACGGATTGGTGAGCGTCACACTCGCTTCCACTTCTATGCCGCGCTGCTCGTGACCACCGACGATTTGAAAGTCTGAAATTTCGAGGGCTGGGGAACCCATGGAGCTGGCAGACGACGCAGTGCGCGCGGCTTGCGGCTTGCTAGAGCTCCTAAAGCTCGAGCCTCGCGTGGGAGCAGTCGTCGCCGAGGACGAGCGCGAAGGAGAATCGAACGATGAATTGGGCCCTGGACTAGACTTCTTCGACAGGGAGCTTCGCCAAGTGAAGCGCTTCTTGGCTTTTGCGCCCTCGCCTACAGGGTCGCAAGAGCCAGTGTGTTGATCGCTGCTGCTAGCGCTTTCGCTTCGCCCGCTAGGCACACCCAGCGCGCTCGGTACAGGCTTAATATCGCCTGAAGCTCGCCCATTTTCCAGAGAAGCCGCACCGTACCTCAGCAGCCCTCCCAGTGCTCCAAGTCCACCGACAATGACCTCCTTCTCCACATCCAAGCCAGAAAAACGCATTCCGTAAGCCTTGACTTCGGCGCCATTGGCATGCATCACGAGTCTGATCTTGGCATCCATCGGCGAGATCAAGATGTGCTTGATCACTTTCGCCAGCCCTGCGCCCTCACGCTCCTCTTCACCTGGTTGAAAAGAGACGGTCAGATCGAGATCTGCGGTGGCCGTTCCTGGTGCCGCGCTGGGCTTGATCCGGAAAGGTTGGATGTGGGCATTGGCGATGTAGATGTGTCCAGCTCCACCTGCGTTGGCCGATCCAGACTTGTCCTTGCTCGCCCTTTTGCCGATGGTTCCGCTCGCATCGTTTTCGACCCAGTAAAGCTTCGAGGTTGCTTCGGGTAGTCTGACCTTCACCTTGACGAGGGGCAATGGGCCGGTTCCAATGGCAGAGAGCCTGGCCTTTCCCTTGGCTGAGAAGCCCGTCTTGGTTAGAGAGTGAACATGCAAAGACGAGATTTCGAGCTTTGCATTGTGCACGAGCTTGCCGACCAGTGCACGAACAGCGGGTACTCTGGAGAGCCCTTTTGCTTTGGTGGCTTTGGCGTTCTGACCAGAGGCATCGCCCAACTCATCTGCATCCTCATCTCCATCCATATCTGGCTCTGGATCAGGGATATCAGCGAGTTGGGGATCTTGACCGGCCGTCGAAGATGAGGCCATTGCGTTACTTGCTTTTGAGCGAGACAAAAGGAAGTCGTGATTGGGTGTGCCACATCCGGCACAGGTCTGATCCAAAGTAGGCGGTCCCCTGATCATACGAGGCTCGACCGACGTTTCACTTTGACTCTTACCTCGACGTCGCAGATGAGTTGCGAGCGTCTTGGGACATTCAAGATTGCAAGACGAGACTTTCCTATATGTGTATAGGGCGGGCTACTTAGCCACTCGCGATCGACGGCTAGATTCAGATCGAGCAGTGAGCGCTTCATTGCCGCGGTGACCACGCCATGTGAAACCCAGGGTTTCAGCATGTTGGCTGCTGAGCACAATTTTAAACGGAGCATTAAGCGCCGATGCACCATGCAAAGCTTGCTCATCTTTCTTCTTACGCGCTTGTGCGAGACTCATCCGACTCACAGCTGCATGCAAGCAAGTGCTGCGTGCTGGCCGCGCGTCTACGTGTCGCCATGCATGCATGCTGTGCGTCACCGGTCTGGCGCGTCATCAAAGAAGCTGTGGGGTATTCGAGCGAAAAGTGGCGCGCGCGTACCTGGATGTACACGCGCGCGCATGACCCTCAGCATCGCGCACATATATGGAACACGGGATTCACGAGCCATGCATGCAGCTGAGCTGGCGCGCTCAGCCGCCTGCCACGTATATATATATATATATTTATAGGTATATATACAACGATAGTCTTGTGAGTCACGAACTATAATTTGAGTCGTGAGTGTGATTCGCGGCTGGTTCGTGCTCAGCAGCAATCAAGCTATATATGTATCATAGCTCTCCGCACCATCGATCCGTTTCACACAGGTCAGAAACACGGTTAGCTGATGGTGAGCATCACCCGCCGCCGTCGCGCGACCACTCAGATTCGTCGCTTGAGCAACTCAGGCGCAGTAGCGTCCTCTCGATCTACTCAACATTACTCTCTCACCACCACGACCCCACATTCGATCGTGACTCGGGACCATCATGAGACCACTGAGTGACTATGACTTTGATGCCCGAGCAGCGCGCAGCAGCCGCACAGACTCTCAAATTGCAAATGTGATGGCTATGTACCTTTCCTATGGTGAGCTCACGACTTGTTTGATCAGATTCACAGCTCTGATTGACTGAATAACGTTGTGAAGGGTGAGTCGTGACTGGAGGGAAAGGTCCGTCCAAGCTTCATGAACTGAGGTCCCGAATCGTCTTGTCAATAATCACGCATATCACCGAAGTTGGAAATCAACATTCACGATTGAATCAGGAATGTGGAATTGAGCCTGTAAATTCAAGAATTCAAAATCAAGAATCTTGAACCACATGGATGAATCAAATGCATTTTGATTCTTGCGTCACGACTTTGACTCTTGAATGGCAACGTGCGCTGATTCGCGGGCGGATGAGCCGCTGCAACGTCGTATCGCAGGAAATCGTGCGGGTCTGAATCAAATGACAGATACACACCGGACTACGAAGACCTTTCAAACCTTTCCGTCGACGGGAAATCCTCACATCTCCGCCCTATCCTTTCGTGGCGAGTAGTCAAGAGTGCCTCGTGCAGGAAGTAAGACGGGGCAACAGCGCACTGCTGTAAAGCCAATTGTGGGTCGGGCGACAACAAATGTGATCCAGATGTGGGATGAGGGTGGATGTGTGGCTTGTTGGAATCCGGGCTACCCCGGATGAAGAGAGCCAGCAGATGAACCACATCACAAAGCTTCCTCTTCCTTAATCCATTTTTGCGTCACGCTGCTCATATTGAGAGAGAGCGCTAATTCTATCATGTACAGTCAAGTATATAGAGTGGTCTTGAGCCTTAAGTGGAGAGTTGAATCACCTTCAAGACGCCGTGCGGAGTCTTAATTTTGGCCCTTTCCTCGGCTTGCTTCACGCTAATTTGGAATTCAAGAGCTTGGTCAGCTCTCATGCGTGTGCTTGCGATGGTTCGCATGACGTAAAATCCTTCTGCGCGCGAGCAATCGAGCCTATTGTGGATCACAGATAACTTGCTTTCACCGGCCGACCACAACCCGGGTTGCCAGCTGAAGCCGCCTTTTCGAACTACAGTCGAATACGAGGACTGGCGAGTCGTGACTGTACAGTACCTGGGTCGTGCATAGCGTACCTGGATAATTATGTATAGCCATCGCGCTCGCATGCGCGCTCGCGAGATGCAGGAATGCCACAACCTAGCTGCGGTGGTTGATCGTCAGTCGATGCAGCAGCTAGCAGAGCAAGTGGGTCGTCGTCCCATTACACCGCCGCCGATCAAGCGCAGCATTGAGCAGCTCGCTCGAGGCCGTAGCCTGAATGTCCGAGGAAGTCCTGACAGACGCGAGACTCTCCCCCTTCGATCAATCGCAGTCCACCTTAGTCATAAATGATCCCTGTATAACGTCTAGCGTCTCAAGGGGCTTCAACCCCGCACTGGACATCATAGCTGAGTGTGAAACAGGAAGCAAGAATGAGGGCCCAGGGGCAGAGACACACAGTCAGCAAAAGTCCAATCACGAATCTTGAATCCCGACTCCTTATCGCTTAATTGACAGTCACTGTAGGCATCAAAGACTCGCGAATTTGCGCATCACAGCGGGCCCTCGGCTGAAAGCCGCCAGCCAGATGGCCAGTGAACTTACAGTACCTGGGAACTCGAGCGTCGTCCTCGCTGGACATCTGAGCAGCCGCTGCAGGAGGGCGAGTTGTGTCGTGCTTGTGGACGGTGCACCGCAAAGAGCGCTGCTGTGCTGCAACCATCGCCCAACACATACCCCGACGATCGATGGCATGCGCTTACATTCACATCTCACAAACTGCGCAAGGGCTATCAGCCGACTCCTTGTTTGCATCCCGGACGCCGCGGTCAGCCATGCATGCGGGCAGTGCATACAGTCGTGAGCTTAAGTACGGCCGCTGAGCTCTATCGCTACTTGCGCCTACTTGGACCCTATTCTAAGCTCCGCGCTGCCTGCCCGGTTCGCATCTGCACTGTGTGCTGTGTCTGCGCGTGGCTTGATGCCTGCATACCGCTCGCTGCTCTTAGATTCCATCCCGACGCAAAGCGCTTTCCTCTGCGTGAAGTCTTGGAACAATCCCTAGCTTACACCATTCGAAAAGCCGTCATGCCTCTCATCGACCATTTCAGATCATATGTGCAACGTAGAGAGTGTGTCTGGAGAGGCCAGCGCGAGCAGCATGTCACGCCGGTGGCACACCCCGAGCCGTTCAGCGCTCATCAACGGTTTGCGACGTGACCGTTAGCGCCTCATCCGATCCCCAGACGTGCAGGAAGCTCCCTGCAGCTACCTGCACGTCTGGCGAGCTCTATTAAGAATGGAGAAAGAACTTTGTACGGGGCCCTGCCGCAGGGTCCAAGGGCCACTAGAACAGTCTCTTCCTCGCTCGATCTGTGATGTGCATAAGCGAAAAAAGTCTTGCCTATCACCAGCGTCATGCTGCAGAGAGCGTTCGCGAGGGTCCAAGCCATCGAATTTTGAGGCGTGAGACCAGCAGATTTGGCTCAATCTTTTGCCAGTGCGCTGCACGAAGTACATGCACGCAAACTCTGAAATGTCCTTGGCTGCTTGAGTCGCGAGAGGGCCACAATCCGCACCCGGCCTTGAGCCTCTCTGATCATAGCCGCACCATCCGTTCCCATCGCGAATCTTTGATCTCGACGATCGCCCCAAGATGGTCGCTAGCTAGCTCCGTATCTCCTTCCCATAACCCTTGCTTGCTCTGCCCAAGCACATACATCGATACGCACCAATTCGTGCACCGTCATCTTCTCCTTTCGTCAACTTTCGTCAACAAATATTGACGACGCGAGCGAAACTCGCTCACCCAGCGACGGTCCCAAAAACAGAAAGCTCAAATTCTGTGGCTGTTTTCGGACACCTTGAGCTCAATAGTACCTTACCGCACTGCTCACTGTCCAACATCTGTCAGCGAGCAGCTGCCAAGTTGCGGATCCATGTCTGCACACATTCAGCCACTTCCACGCTCTGGCTACGAGCGCGACGTCAACATGAACCGTGGAAACATGTTTGGTCGACAGCAGCATGAGTACGAGCCTTCCGCAGGCGAGGGTTGGTACCCACAACACTCAGGGCCAAATTCTCATCCGCTACCGTACGGTGCAGTCGAGCCCGCGCAGTCCTTTTCGCCCACCGGCGATGAAGGCGGTCGCTACGTGCATCATGAGGCAATGTATCCGCATCGACAGCCCTATCCGTCGTCAGCCGCTGCCCTGCATCCGGCCTTTGCCATGGGTGCAGATGTGGGGCACGCCCAAAGGCCGAATGGACCCCAAGGCGGCCCTTCCGGTGCACCTCAATTTTCGTACCAGCCACCTCAAGGATCGCAGTCTTTCTATGGTTTGCAGTATGGCCAGCCCTATCCACCTCACTCGTCCTACTATGACGTGCAGCCACCCACGGCAGTGCCTCCACAGCCCACTTCTCCTGTCGCAGGCGCTCACGAGGGTGATTTCAGCGCCGCGAATCCCGATGCGTTGGCACCAATTCAACAAGCACCGACGTACCATGGCCATGTCAAATCCGCCAAAGATGCCATTCTTCTGCTTTCAGCCTGCGACCTCCCTCCAACAGCGGGATCTGATCCCAATTGTCCTCCACCTCGTTGCGTCATGCGCCGTCTACTTGACAGCGAGCGTGCAGCGCTCGTCAAGTCGGGCTCCATATTTGCCTGGGACGAGAAGAAGGCCGGTATGCGCCGATGGACCGACGGCAAATGCTGGAGCGCAAGCCGCGTGTCTGGCTGCTTCTTGACCTATCGCGAGCTCGAAGTTCGAAAGCGTCCTGCAATGAGCTCGGCGAGCGGCACCACCGTTGCGACATCCAATCAATACAAACTCGACGGCCTGATCAAGCAGAGTTTCACCATCACCACTCAATCCGGTCGCAAGCTTCATGTCATCTCGTACTACACCAAACGTGACGTGCGCGAAGGCCGTCTACGCCGCATCAGTGAGGACCCTCGATTCGTGGGTGCAAGCGGCGGCGAGTGGGGTCTCAATGTCGACGAAGCAGAATACACGGATCCGACCCTTCGCGACGGCGCTGGCGAGGAGGTCATCGCTGCTGCTGCTGCGACCTCCTCACCCAGGGATGCCCTCAGCGGTCTGCCTCGTCGCAACAGTAGCGCAATCGATCGTCCCTCACACCAGCGATTTGGCAGCGGTCAGGGTTCCGGCAACTACTTCCCGGGCCTCGAGCCAGAAAGTCCACCGACAACGGGGACGAACAACTCCTCATTTGGCGTCCACCAGCCTTTAAGTCCTCCAAATGTCAGTGCTGCGTCTCCTCGTGGATTCGCAGATCAGACTGGTCGCGCGCATGGAGAAGGCCCTTCGTCAAATAACCCATCAGCCGCTCGAAGTGGACTCCTTGGTGGATCTTCGGCACATACCAGATACGCGCCGCAGTTGCCTCCACCGACGTCAGTCGTGCGGCCACTGAAACGCAATGCACCCTCGTCGCCTTCGTCCGACCGTCACGGTGGAGCCAGTGGTCTACTAGTTTCTGGCGAACGTCCCTCGTCCAGCGACGCTTCTGTGGATCTCCCACCTCCTCAGCGGCCTAGACTCGCACGCATGCGAAGCTCCAGCATGTCGGGTCTAACACCGAACTCTTTCGATGGGACCAGTGCTCGACGCGGAGATAGCTTTCAGAGTGCCTCGAGCCTGGGAACCACCGTCAGCGCAACTTCCACTAGAGCGCTGTCAGAGGAACGCAACAAATTCACGAGCACCGACCACGACAGCGCAGTTGGTGCTCTGCTGAGCCTGCGAAGCTCTCAGTCTTCGCGATCCGCCGATCGATCCCCACCGATGGGCGGCGGATCGCAGACGGCCGCAAAATTTGCGGTGCCTGCCAGACCACCAGCTCAGCCTTTGCAGCAATTCAAGACGTTGTCAATGGGACCTGCGGCCGTCATCGGTGCGAAACACACTCTCACCTCGACGAGCGTGCCTTCGAGCCCTGTTGCTTCTTCCTTTGGCGGCGCGTTGACAACCACTCAAGTTCCCGAAAGGTCCACTTCGGATCGATTTGCCCTCAACAAGCTCACTGTACGACTCTGAGCGCTACCTCGCAGATGCACTTTCCTTCCTCATCCCGTGAGCCCTTGACGCTGCCGTTCGGCCTTGGGCTCACAGAAATCTGCGCGCCTGTTTCAGTCTCGTCTCCCTCATGCGCCCATGCGAAACTCTGTATTATCATCGTTCGAAAGCTAAAATGTCAAACCCACTTCATACTTCTCTTAGTCTCGACGATGAAGCTGGGCAGGTCGCACACGGAACGCAGCGATCCCCGCGAGATTGGCGGATGTGCTAGGTCGACGAAAAACTTTCCTGAGTGCGCCTCGGCTTGCTCTCGCCTCGGGCTCGCACACAGCTCTGTGGCCTTCGCTCGTGTGAACCCTCGTGGGTCCAGGTATCGAGCTGAGCAACGTTGAGCTACACCTCGGTGACGTTGGGGCAAAGCTCTGACCTTTGATCGAACAGCACCCTGGCCAGGCGCGACCATGACACCAATATAGGCCTCTCTATGTCCATCTTTTGGTCGCACGACGCGAATGACCCCTCCGTAGATGCAACAAGAGGGCGTGGCGCTGACCAGAGCTGCTTCAGTCACGAGTTGCAAGATGCAAGTCAAACACGCCGTCCCGAGTCACGACTCACGACGCACGACGCACGATCTAGCGCTTGCGCTTTCCTATCGTGTCGGCACTCGGGCGCCGGGTATCATGTCGCGCCGAGATCAGCAGCTCTAAATTGCGAGGATCAAGTCCACCGTGCGACCCTTGAGCGGGCCGACAGGCGTGCAAATGCTTCACTGTGTTGCGCGCAGGTGGCCGGCATGATGCATCGATCGAGAATCGAGATTTCAGTGGTCACTTCGGAGTGTGGGAGTGTGAGTGTCTTGAACTGCAACGTGGTGGTACCTCACCTCGCTTTCTGCCCGATTGCTATCACGCCGACTAAGCGGCATCGGCCGGCAGCTGCCACGAGGTAAGATCACAATTTGCAGGCCTTCTTCTCTCCCTTTATGACTCTCTGGACGCAGTCGTGAGTGATGGCTCCGAGTGGAAATGAGCAGACATGAACGTCTTTGCTACGCCATGAGCTGACCCGTGGACCGGTCGCATTCGTGAGTCTCCTACCGAAACAAAGCGCGCGTGACAGTCGTATTGTAGATGGACCGGGCCGGTTGGCTGCACCGGCACCATGCTGCGCGTTGCTCACTATGCATGCATAAAGGCGAGCGCCCTGCACTCACAGTCGTGACTCAAGAGTCGATCGTGATCGTGATCGTGACTCGCGACTGCATGCTGTGCTAGCTGTGCCGGACAGGCACACCGCAACGCACCGCGTCTGCTGTCCCACCGCGCGACCCAGTGCGGTGCACGCAACGCATTTCGGTACATATATGCATGCATCATATGCGGCACACGGCCATGCATGGACGAGCGCGAGCGCAGCTGGCGTCGCGCGCGAGCCAACCAATATCACCTCGCCGCGCTTTCGCTCGCTTCCAACCCTCATTGCTCGCTCATCCATCCTTCTTCTCGACATCCGCACAACTACCTACCTCCTTTCTAAACAGGGCTCGTCTCCTCCTTTGTTCATTTTCGTGCGTCCGAGTCGAATTGCGACGCACCTTGCCGACGCGTGACTCGCCTTTGCTCAAGAATCAGAAGCGCTTGAGTCCTGGCAAACGGAAGAAACTCCGCTTCTTATTGACTTCTCCCGCTTCGAGATTGATACCGTACCGCACATGCGACAATCACTGAAGGCGTAGACGGTTGGTGCACGCATGCTTCCCGCCCCGTCACAGCGCTCTTTCAGATTAGACCCCGGCGTGGACACTCGGTCCTTTGCGCTGTCACACTCGGCGGTTGCTAGTAGCACGACTCCACAATGCCATCGTCCTCCACCACGTCCAGCAGAAGCGTCCTATCGCGAGCTGGGGACCGGGTGCGCGTGCCTGCGCTGCTGCAACCTGCTGCGAAAGCCTACGCTCTCGGCTACCTCCTAGACGTCTTGCCAGCGATTCTCAAGCTTTTGATCCGGTACGTCGCCTCTCAGTCTCGACGCATCGCTGCTGTTCAGAAGAGGCAGCGCGAGGAACGGGCGGTAGCGAGGAGTCGTGCGAACGAAAGCAAGGGAATCAAGCTGGGAGATGAGAAGCAGGCTCCATTGCCGACGACCTTGGCAGAAGATGCCATCAAGCCTGCAATCGCCGAGCTTCCGCTCTTCGCCGCACGCATCGTTCGAGCTCTGATTAGAGCTTTGGGTCCTCATGGCATGGCTGCTGCATCAGCCATCGCTCTGGCGGGCACTTCTACTCTAGAGCGGGTCATCCTAACGACCTTCAATGCTCGCAGCTCGAGCGCTTCGGGTGTGGAAGAGCTGGCTCGTCGAACGGCCCAGTTGAAGCTTTCAGCTACATTCTTGGCCGCGACTGTGTCCAGTGGTGCCGCACTCCTGCTCCTCCAAAGTGCACCAGTATCGTCGCGGCTCTCGCAGAAGGTTCCCGCTCCGGACGAGGAAGCAGCAGAGCGAGCTGCCGAGGCAATCGCTGCCGGCTTGCAAGCTCCACAGACCAACTCAGGACCTCCGAGCTCATCTCAGCCAAAGAGAAGCGCTACTGGTGGATCCGCATTGGCACTTCTCAATCCTTTCAGGAAGAGTGACGCCAATTTGGATGCACCCGGAGTGCAGCTACCCACACCCTTTGCACCTGGCGGACATTTCTTAGCTCGCCTGACCAGTCTTTCTGTATCGGCTTCTCCCGGCGCACCCGGCTCAAGAACGGAGGGGGCTCGGTCACCTATCACGTCGCCGACTACAGAGAAGAGCTCCATCGGCAGCGGGCCTGAGCCTTCTCACAGCCGTGAGGGATCCGCAGCATCTCTCAATGCGAGAATTTCCCAGATCAACGGAGGGCCAGGACACCACAAGACCCCTTCTATCTCGGTCTCTGAAGCTGAAGGAGTCCAGAGCAAGCCTCGAGATAGGATTCCGAAAGCACTTGGCAAGCCCAGCCCGACCATCGACCTCACACTCTTTGCACTCGTGCGCGCTATGGACACATTTGCGCGTTCTGGGGCTTTCATGGGGAGTGTCTTTGGTTCGGCACGCTCAGCGGCGGCCGCAAGTCCAGCTTTGGCTTCTATGGCGTTCGGTCCCAAAGCAGGGGCCGTACCATCTAGAGCAGCCACGAAGCAAGGCATCGTTCGGACCATTGGTAGCTGGACGACCAGTCAGGCTGAAGGTCTGACGTTCGTCGTTTCGTGCGCTGTCATCATGTGGAGCTGGTTCTATGCACCAGAACGGCTACCGCCTACTTACGTCAAGTGGATAACGAATCTTGCGACTATGGACGAGAGGCTCCTCTTCGCTCTCAGATCCCGTCACAAGAGCAACCCATATCGGTGGGACTATCAGGACACGCGTTGTCCGCCCCAAGCAATCGACTTGTGTGGTTCTCTGGCAGAGTCACTCGGTCACCCTTACGAGTGGGGAGACCCATCAAGACTGCCAGCAACAAAGCAGCAAGCACAACAAATGCTGCTCAAAGCGCGCGCAGAAGCTGCAGCAGCCAGGCGGGAAGGGCGAGCGCCGGCGATCCAGCCGCATCGGGAGGGCAAGGAGCCAGGCTACATCATGAATGGCTGCAGCGGCCCTAGAGGCCGGGGAAAGATGGCGGGAATGCCCTGCGAGATTGTTCACTGCGGTGTGGGAGGCGGAAATTGCTGGGCGAACGCTGCGATACGCTGGCTCAGAGCTTGGAAAGTCTGCATGGGCATCTACTTTCCCGTACATCTGCTTCCGCGTTTGCTGTTCGGTTTCAAAGGCTTTGCCAAACAACCGCTGCCAGTGCTTTTAAAGGTGCTTAAGGGCAGCGCAAGGAGCGCCAGCTTCTTGTCCACCTTCATCGCTAGCATTTGGTGAGTCGCAAAGACGGTCAGCGCCTCAGGTGCAAGCTGACTCGATCACCTCTCCTTCTTGGCTGATCTCTTAACAGGTTCATGGTGTGCCTAGGAAGATCCATCTTGTTCCCGAAGCTGTTCCCTCATGTCTCGCATTCCTTCTGGGACGCAGGCTTTGGTCCGCTCCTCGGAAGCCTGACTTGCGGCTGGAGCGTCTTCATCGAAGAGAAGCGCAAGCGGGCAGAAATGGCTTTGTACGTCGCTCCGCGCGCCCTCTTTGCCTGTGCCGAGATCGCAAAGCCTGGGTGGGTCAGCAGCGGTGCGAGGGGAGCCCTCTGGACAGAAAGGTGAGTCAGATCGTTATAGAGAAGCAGATGCAAATTTGAATTGGTGTTGAGAGAGCGGGGCAACCTTGCTTCTGCCTTGGCAGGATTTTGTTCGGCCTCAGCCTCGGGGTCATTACATCGGCGGCTAGACATAGACCAGATTTGCTTCGCGGCATCACCAGCACGATGGCGTGGGTCGTCAAGACTTCGGCAACAACTCGATCACCAGGTCAAATGCCAGAAGGGCTCAAGCCCTCCAGATGAAATACATGCTCTCCGACATGCAGCCGGAGCGAAAGTAGCGATTGGGTGATCAGTCCGAATCGCAGTCTGTAGAGAAGCACAGGGGCAGGTTCGGTGGCCTTGTAGCGCCTGCTGAAAGCTTGATTGAGCCCATGATCAATCTTGGTTCTTGAAGGCACTTGTCCACTGCATGCTCCATCGGACTGACACCTCTGACTCGCCGAGTTGTGCGCGGGCGCTTGGAATTTGGCCTGGACGCGCTTTGAGCAGAGCTCTTGGGTTTTGGCGGAGCTGATGCCGAGGTGCCTTTGGCTTCGAGATGCAGCAACTTGGGGTGTCGTTGCATATTGCAATCCACACCTAGGCTGCTATCTGCTGCATGCAGGATGTTGCTCGTGAGAGCGTCCCTGCTGTGCAAGCTCAACAGTCCTGGCGCGATCTGCTGCTCGACATGATCCGACGCTGAGGCTGAGCTGGCTTGGCTCGATGTGAATGTCGGACCTGCAATCCCATTGCGCTTGACTTGCTTCGCCTCTTGACATTCTTGCACGGGTATGAGCTTCGCTGTGGGCATGGAGAAGATTCTGCTCGATGGCGGCAAGCCTGAAGCGCTTCGACGCTTGTTGATGCTCTCTAGTACACCTTTTTGAAGATCTGGATCCAGCGCTGGAGCAGAACAGTGCAAAGTGGCACGGCGAGGGGCTATAGATGCGCTTCCCGGCCCAATTGGCGGCTTGGACACACGCTGCGACTGGGCAGGCTTGACTGACGGCTGCAGATAGTCCAGAATGGACTTTTGCACCGTTGCTGAAGGCCTCAGACTACCAATGCCCCTTGCGCCGATAGAGGGTGCGAATGTCGATTGTTGAGATGCTCTCGTCAAGCTGCTGGATGGCTCCGTCATGTGCTGCTCCTCCTTTGCGCCTTTGGAGGCGGAGAGGTCATTGTGTGGTTCGCCGGCCTTCATACTGACGTGCTCGGCTGAGGAGTATCTTTTGACGCCGCTCAATGGTCAGCAGAAGCAGTTGCGGATGGTGTCGGATGAGCTTTGTCAAGTGCGCGCATGGTATGGTGATTAAGGCAAAGGCGTAGCTTCTGTTGATATGCTTGGACGTCAGACCTCTGCAAGACTCTGAGCAGCTTTGAAGACATGTAGGTGACGGTGCACAATTGGGTATGTATACAGCTGCCTGACTTGTCAGGAGTATAAGTCGATGCCGCAGATCTTGGCTCGTACACCTGATTAGACTCGCGCCTGATTGCTCTTGTGCGACTTGGTTCATCATCTCCTCGAGGTGGCGGCGTCTGATTGAGGTAGGAGACCTTGATGTCAAGTATGTGAGTAGTGTAGCAATGTGAATGATTGTTTGAATTCGCACCCGCTCAGTCGTGGCGCAGCCTCCTCTCTCCATTTAGCATTCAAGACTCGCGTTCTCTCACCAATCACGGCCCGCTCATCACTTCGACGGCCATGCAACGCCGCAGCTGAAAGGCCGCGGTCTCCGCGTACGTGCTAACTTGGTGTTTGTATTGCCGGATCGCATTATGCTCCTAAGACGATTGTGTAACCTAGCTAGATAACACTTGAACACGGATCACAGCTTGTGCCGCTGCTGATGCTGATGTATGTTCAAGACGGTGCGCGATGCGCAATCGATCGTTACTGCCCAACTCTCACACCGCACTTCGTGACTCTAGGGTCTTCTGGCTACGAAGGACAGAATTGAGTGTTGTCCAAGCTGGAAAAGCAGACAATCACGCAAGCAAACGTATGTTCAGGGGACAGGCAAGTCAAGCACGAGCTACGTGGGTCTATGATCGCTGCTGCTTGTTACGGATCGAGTGCCTTCACAATCGCGAATGCTCAACTCTTCCCTTGATCGAAGTGCTCCTTTTTGCTTGGGCAATGACGAGACCTCGATGTTTGGCTGAAGGCATGTCAGAGCGCCTGCGCTTGCAGTATAACGAGGTTCATTATTGTTCTCTCGCGTAGACGGTGTCGGGATTGTTTCAGCTCGCGACCAGGTGGGACATCGGTGACATCCAGCAGCACGCCCAGCAGGACGGGACGGCGCGGAGACCCGGGACCTTGGCGCGCATTGGAGCTCGCTTGTCCTACCGCTGCGCCCCGTCCAAGCACATCCCGCAAGTCTGAGTCCTGATTGCGGCTTTGCTGCTTGTGAGCGTGCGCGAAATAAGGCTATCGACTCAATCCTGATTCGTCAGTCACTCAGTCGTGAGTGTACCATTTCGTGTGCCAACGTCGAGGTTGATCTGGTCGCCAGTCACGTGAGTCGATAGTCGTGAAAGCAGCGCAGCGCAGAGCAACGCAGGGCGGCGGGCTGCACGTATCATGGATGTATACACTCTGACTCTTGACTATATGCATGCGGCTGCTGGCTGCTCATGTTCGCGCTTGACGCCCCTGACCTTTACGCTCCGCTTGCTTCTGCTGTACCAGAGGCGTGCGTATTTGAATTGTGACGTGCAGATTGACGACATCAGCTAGGCTTCGAGTCTTGAGTTCATTAGTCTGATTCAAGATCGATCGGCTGTGCCACTGCCAGCATTGCGCGCCTTGCGCTCTAAAAAAAGGTCTTATCGCCACAACGCGAGCATTCGTGACCGATTGACATTTTGTTGGAGAACCGCAACATCTGACGATTTGAGAAGAGCCAGAGTGCACATACCGCTCTCGCGAAACAGCGCGGCTAGCGGCGCGGTGGATGAGGATGCCAAAAGGTGACTCGCATACATTGCGCGGGGAGAGGAGCCTGCCTGCCTACCTACGCGCAAACATGCGGTGAAGCCCGAGACGCTAATCTAGGAAAAGCATGCAGCTCGCGCTTATAGCAAACGCAAGCACTGTACAGTACACGGTCATGAGGTGTGAGTACCACTAGCGAAGGCAAAGGCGATCATCGTGGCCGCTCCCAGGCACGCAAGCCCCTCTCTCTCTCCCTGTGCGTGGTGTCTGGTCTCGGTCGCGATCACGAATCTGTTTGCCTTGTATAGATATCTCCGCCACCGCAAGAGCCGCGGGCCAGCGGCAGCATGCATGCATGCATGCACCCACGTCTGTGTTTATGCACACCAGCGACGGACTCCAGCGGCAGAACGGAGATTCTGCGCTCCAACGCGGGCAGGAAAGCGGCCGCCTACAATAATAATAGCTAGCTCACCCCTCGAGATTGCGGAACTCACAAATCGCACAAAGCGGAGATGACCGAGCGCGACTGACAGCTATCTCGGCAAGAAGGAAAGCACACTGGTGACTCTAAAGATTCTCCTCCTTGGCCTATACTCGTCACCTGATTGTGCATGTGTGCCTTCCAAATAGGCAAGAGGAGGGCCAGGTGATAGGTACACCTTCACGTCACTGCCAGTCAAGTCAGTCTGACTTCTACCAGCCAGCCATCGTGCCGAGTCGGCACTTTCTTTTTGACACCGACGGGTGGTCCTGGAGCTGATGCATGCGTGGCTGCCATGCAAGTCACGAGTCGTGAGTGTGAGTGTAGGCCAGAGGCATGTTTAAATGCATGCATGCGCAACTCTTCCGCCGGATCGGCATCTGCTGGCCATGCAGCAGCAATTAAGCAGCCTGCTGCTGCTGCGTCGATGCGATACTGAACAGGCACTCACTCACATACTCGTGATTGACCAGAGGTTCATACGCAGCAACAGTGCCGGAGGTGTGGTACTGCAGCTAGTAGTCACATACGTTGTAGCACAGGAAGCGACGATAGCGGATCTATTCTTGTCGCCCGCTGTCGTGGACCGTTGAATACAGTACGAGCTTTGCCCTCGTGCTGCTGCCGGCGGCAGTGGAATTGTCTGCGATCTTCGTTGCTGCTATTGATGCACGTCACCCACTACCGTTCAGGTGCGGAGTTTGCACAAACCTAGTCGCGTCCAGGCAACTCGCCTGTCAAAGCTTCGCAGGGGCAGGTACTTTTGTGCCCGTCGTTTGGCACAGGCGGGCGGATGCTCCTGTCCAGCAGAGCTTGTGGGCCGTTGGTGTCGCGGGTGTACGTGACTGATTGCAGCCGTCGTCGAGGGCCCTTCACATGACCATTCGAATCGCACTCAGCACTACTTTATGTTCCCTATCGACCACTTCTGCTCAAACTCCCACATTCCCTCATAGCTCCTTCTGTCTCTGACTCGTTGCTACTCATCCAACTCAGGCCAAACGCATTGCGAAGCTTGCTCCCACCGACCCCTACGGTCTATCACTGCTACATTTACTTTTGACGTCTTGAGCTTGAAGCCAAGCCTTTTTCGCCTTCCCCCCGCGTCTCCCGTCTCGCATCTTCTACTGATTCAACATGATCGCTGCTAAAAGCAAAATTTCCGTCGCGCTGCTCGCAGTCGCATTAACCCTGTCCAACAATGCCGATGCCAAGATCATCCGATCGCCCGCTTACCATGCCAGACACGCCAACGTGACGGCCCGCGATGCTTCGGATGCCGACTTCACTCTGGACAATCTGCCCAAGACCTGGCAACAAGGTCAGACCGGCACGAACCAGTGCACGCAGTGGGGCAAGTCGTCTTCCGATTCCATGTGCCAGAACATCTTTATCAACTCCATCGACGATTGGTGCGTCTTTTCCGCCCCCACGCCCAACAGTGAGGTCGGCAACACAGAGCGCGAGGAAGTCGCCTGGTGCACAAAGTCAGGCTACGGAACGAGGCTCATTCCCGACGGCACGGTCACTGGTGCTCACTTTATCAAGACGAAGCGTTACGTTCAAGTGACTGCCCGAGGAGACTTCACCAAGCTCAACATTGCCAAGGGAGACGCTGGTGGTGAGCTCGATCCTCACGGTGCCGACGGTAACGGCAACCCCATCGGTGGTCTCGTCTTCTCTACCGCCTTCAGCAAGGACGGCAGACCGTCTCAGATCCACGAGTGGATGAACTACATGTCGGACTCGGAGCTCTGCATTCGTGCCTGCAAGAGCAAGTCGGGACAAGATCAAGCCCTTTGCCAACACATCTACGACACCATGGGTTGCTCCTGGGTCATGCCCGGAAACTATGACGAGCACACTTTCGACAGCTGCGAGGCCGACGTTGCTCTGCCTCCTGGCATTTACGGAAGCAGCACCTTCTTCCAAGACCACGGCAATACGCCCGAGGCGCACCCTGCCCCTAGCAGCTCCAACTGCAAGTCTGCAGCAAGCATCACCAACGGTGACACGACCGCTCTCACCGCCGTCGCCAAGAACGCGAGCAGCGGCGGCAGCAGCAGCAGCAGCACCACGACGACGTCTAGCGCTACCGCCACCGTCACCGCCAAGGTCAACGCCGCAACTTCGTCCAACGGCCGCGCTCTCGCTGCTGCCACTTCATCTCCATCCGGGTTCAGCGGAAATGGAGCAGAGATGAAGGGTGGCAATGCCGCTGCTGGTCTCTTTGTCGCAGCAGGTGCAGCCCTCGTAGCAGCCATCGCTGTTCTCTAAAGGACTTCTCCATCTCCCCCTCTCCGGGCCATCCGATGACCCCGCTCATTCCATTTCCCATACTCAAACTCGTCACCAATCTGCTACCTTGCTTGCTTCAGCCTCGCCTTGCCATTTCACATGCCCCCCCCCTCCCTGCACATTTCCAGCTCGCTCTCGCCCCCTACAGCCCCTCTATTCGCATTCATTTTTTAGACTTGCAATTTACACGTGGCTACCGCTTAGCACGCATTCTCTTCTCCGCGCACTCCCATCCCTGATATGGACTTTCAATACTACTCTTTCACCCTAATTTTCTGTCCGGGTCAAAGGTGCTGTTCCGGGTCTGCCATGAATGATCAAGAACGTATGGCAACACATTGGCGGGCTGCAGCCTCTTTGCTGCGGATCAATGAATATCACTAGACGAGCGGCAATTTCGCAAGCCCCGTGTTGATTGCATTAGAAATTGGCAGGCAGAGTCAATGACATTCAAAAATTCTCCGCAACATTTTATGGTCTCCTGACGCTTGAAGAATTGGCGGTCCTAGGTGTAGGTCCCTCATCGTCGCTATCCCCCACGTCGAAGACGGTTTGATCTTCCTGCACCGCATTGCCTGCCCGCCGTGTTCCAGCCGGACTCTTCCTGGCGCTGCTCAATCCGCTCTGGGCTTCCTCGTCGTCCAGCTTGTCCTCATCATCCGCGTACTCGCCAGACGCTGGATCCCTTACCAAGTGTTCGAGCTCGTGCGTGTCCTCGCGCGCGACGGGTCGCCCACCTCGACCGAGCATGCTCGTCGAACGGCGAGACTGCTTCCGCAGTCGAAGGAGGATGAGAGCTCCAACGCCGACGAGGATCAAGAGCACGACAAGAGCTGCCGAGCCCGCATTGCTGAACGCGACAGGAGAGGAAGGTGAGATTGCGGAGCCAACGGGGGCCGGCGGGCGTGGTCGCACCTTGTTCAACTCACTAGTACGCCGCCCACTTGGCCTCTTCGGCTACCTGTTCTTCCGTCTTTCCGTCGACACCAGGAATCATGGGTCGATTATCCGTAGATCCATCGCCCTTTCCAGGATTCGGAGCAACCACTAGCATTCTGTCAGGCTCTCCTTCAACGCGCGAAGGAATTCTAGCGGAGGGCCCAGCAGCTCCCATCAAATCCACACCCATGAATCTCAACATCATGTCGTGTGACTCGACTGGCTTGTCAAAGCCGACCATGTGGGATCCTCCGGCTATGCTGACATACGTGAGATTGCGCGCTTCTCGCCAGTAGCCCGCCTTGTTATTGTTAACAAACCAGTCCTTCTTGGTGGCTTCTCCCTGAGAGGTACAGAGAAACCAGGTGAGCTTGCTCTCGGTCTGTTCTGCATTGTGACACCGCAGTCGATTGCGTCCTCAACTTACTTCCCAGCTAGCGGCGCCCTCCCAGTCCAAATGCCGTGGGATCCTCTCCACGCCAATATGGTTGCAGATCAGATCCTGATCGCCTGCAAAGAGCATCACCTTGATGCCCTTTCGGAGTAGCTCGGGAATGTGTATCTTGCTACTTTGCGGGTTATTTTCTTTCAAAGCTCCGCCAACGCGATGCGAACACTCTATCCACGCTTCGGGTTTTTTGACTTCGTCCACATGCAAAGCTTTGCGCACGTCTGAGCGCGCCAAGTAGTCGTAGGTCGGCTTGATGATGGGCGGCCAATTCATGCCGCAATCTGGGGAGGTGTCCGAGAGACGGACATCGTAAATGTTGATGCATCTTGCCTTGCTCTGTCCAGCGACTCTGCATTAGGAACGACTGCGCCGTTAGAGTTGTGTTCTGTCAGCGCAGCGGACCCACGGCGTACACGCACTTCTGAGTCGTGATGTCAATAATTGTTGGGAGCATACGAGAACATGCTGGGGTATCCCGCGGGCTGCCGACCAGCTTGTCCAGGTCAGCTTTGCACTTGAGCCATTGCTTATTCGCCTCCGTCCATTCCTGCGAGTCGTAGCACTTTTGTGAGCCTACTGTCGGTGCGAGCAGCTCTCCTACGGCAGCTCACCTTGCCCCCTTCTTTCCAGACACCCGACCAGATCATCATTTCCAATTCGCTGCCTCCCTGAGCTGCGGGATCGATGTATCCGTTGCCCAGCGCGATGCCTCGTAGATCAACTGGCTGAGGAGAGCGAGTGAGTGCAGATGCCTCGAAGGGGATGCTGAGAGCGTCGCAATTCAACAAGCAAATCACACAAAGTTCGGAAACGCCGCTGATGGACTGATGGACGCTTTACTCACTACTGCCCGGCGCTACGTGACCGATCATGTACACCAAGTCAGACAGACAGTGAGCTCTTATCGACCTCGCTATATACAGCGTCTACTTGCGACTCACTAGCTCTCTCCAGCAATGTAGACGTCCACGCCATTTCCGGCAGCGTACTCTGGGTATACTTCTACGAAGCGCTCTATGAAGTACCTCACTTCGTCAGCGGCTTGAGGCAGACTCTTCGCGTATGCCGATGTGCTAGCGTACGAAAAGCCCGTGCCTACTGGCTGATCGACTGTTTAGTGGAGAAGCAGCGCCAAGATGTCAGGTGCGAGTATCGATGTCGTGCTTCTGAGAGCTAGCGGAACTCACGGTACAGAACGTCTGCGTACTCGTTCCAGGCGCCCCCTTGCGTGGTCCACTCGAGCGAGCCTTTGCCGTCGGGTCGAAAGGGACCAATCTCCATCATGACTCCGTCGAAGCTTGAGCATCCCTACAGCACAGACGACATCCATCAGTCAGCTGCCAAGTGTCCCCTGTGATTCGTGGGTCCAGCCATGCTCATGCACTCACAGGGCCACCATTGTTCCAGATGATCAGCCTCCTCTTGTCCGCCACGTGTCTGGCCCTCTCCAGCACAAAGTAGAGGTGCGCATCACCTTCGGGCCCGGCATCTGGCCCTGAGCCGACGGGAGGGGGTCTGGCAGGCAGGTACCCTGCAGAGACGTCTAGCGGTGGTGTGAGGGCTGACGTGGGCGGGAGCAAGGGGATGCGAGGCACGAAAAAGTCGGCTGCTGTAGCCCTTGCTACGCCCCGCCCTGTAATGTTGGCCGACATGTTCTGATGCTCGTGAGTCGCTGGTACGCAGATGCCGTGCAGAGACTGATGGTGAAGCTCAAAACAAAGCCTGCTAGAGGATACGTGGAGGTGGGTCGAGAGCTTGCAGTGAAGCGCATGCAAATCTTCCTGAGTCCTCCGTCTCAAAGAATCGAGTGTCCTTTGAATTACCACCGACTGAGGTATCCTGGCTGTGCACGAGCAGTGATAGTGATGGTACTGACTGAAAGAGCAGCTGCAGCTGCTGCTGCTGCTGCTGCTGCTGCCATTTGTGTAAATGTGACGCACACAGCTGAGGTCACTCGATCAAGACTTGAATCGAGACTTTCCATGCGAAAGAGGGAAACACCACGCCGACGATGACCGCATGTGCGCGTGCGCGTGCGCGTGCGCGTGCTTGCTTGCCATGGGCGTTTGAGCTTTATGCCAGCGCCTGCAGCTGGGCGTACGTGCGTGCGTGCGTGCGCAGCGTGGCGAGGGCAAGCCAGCGGAACGGGCCAATCTCGACGTGAAACCAATCTCTTGATTAATCAAGAATCACAATTTTGAATCCTGAATGCGAATTCTTTCTTTTGGCTGCAAGCCAGTCCGGCACGTGAGCTTGAATTTCATTGTTTATCTGACGATTTGTTGGCCCGATGGTCAATTGCTGGCCGCGATTTCACAAGCGCCCGCCAGTCTAGCTGCGCGCACGTCTTCATTGATTTACGTGATCTTTGGTTCTGGATTCAATTCACGATTTGAACTCGTGACTGCAGTCTCTGATTTCCTACTCAAAACTCAATCATGAATTTGAATGACTTCTTCGGGCCCTCCTTGCTGACGTGGCTCGATCGCACGCGTCGCTCGCACGGCCTTTTAAATCTGCGATCAAGCACTGCTCCCTGCATGATGGGCGGGCACAGCAGGACCATAGAAGCACATCTATCAAAAGTCCGCTCTCTCGCTCGCTCACCTAGATTTGGGACTTCATCTTCCCGTGCGCTAACACCAAGATCGACGAATTGGCGCTAATTTTCACATCAGTCTCTAACCTTCGTGATGTCGGTCGCCATCAACGCTAATGAGTCTGCTCAAGCGCCCGTCGCAAGAGGTTCTGCAGCACCCATCCCTGTGGCTCTGATTGGCTACGGCTCTTCCGCACGCACCTTTCACCTCCCCCTGATCCTCTCTAGTCCTCATGACTTTACTCTACACACAATCCAACAGCGTCCGGGGAGCAAGTCTGGCCCGGACGCATCAGCACGTTTCCCGGATGTCAAGATCGCGCCAACTTTCGAATCGGTGTTCGACCACTTGCCAAAAGGCAGCCTGGTCGTCATCACCACTGCCAACGCGACGCACAGAGACTTTGCTGTGCATGCCTTGGACAAGGGCTGCCATGTCGTGATCGAGAAGCCGGCTGCGCTCACCAATGAGGAGGCAGAGAGCATCAAAGAGGCGGAGCGGAGGAACGGAGTGGTCTGCACCGCGTATCAGAGTGAGTGTGATTTCGCGCCATGAGTGGGTGATAGGTGGGCAACTTACGCCCTGTCTCTCCCAGACCGCAGGCTGGACGGCGACTACTTGACACTTCTCTCACTACTCAGACCATCGAGCAGCGATCATCCGTCGCCCATCGGCGCTCCAGTCTCGGTGGAGAGTCGCTTTGATCGTTTCAGACCCCTGAGAAAGGGGGGTTGGAGGGAGGAAAAGGGTTGGGAAGAAGGTGGAGGAGTGCTTTGGGATCTTGGGGCACATCTTGTCGATCAGGGTGAGTTGGAAGTGTGACAATAGGCAAGCGGTTCGAAGCTGATGCCGCAATGTTGCGGAAAGCTTTGGACGCCTTCGGTGTCCCCGAGCGCATCACAGCATTTGCTACGTCTGGCCGAGACGCATCGCACAACGTGGAGGACGACTTTTTGGTCCACTTCCACTATCCTCCTTCTGCTCCTCTACCTCCTGACAGCATCGCTCCACCTCCAGGCACCAAGCTTGGAGGATTGAGAGTGACTCTCAGCGCGAGCTGTATTGCTAGCAAGACGGATGAGGAGCAAATACGATGGAACGTCTGCGGTACGCGCGGAAGCGTGAGTACACCGATTACGAAGGGTGCAAATATGAACATGACTGACGTGGCGAATGCATGCGGCTGGCATCCGTGACAGTACGAGAAGCGCGGATTGGACCCTCAAGAGAATCAATTGAAAGCTGGCTCTACCCCTCTGGATGCTTCGTTCGGTAGCTACGGCGATTCTGATCCTCTGTCCATCCGTCTTGGACGTCTCACGACTTCCGCAGCACCAGCCGCAGTGCCCTCTGCAGGCGCAAATGGCGCGACTCCCGTTCAGCCCTTGCTGACTGCTCAAGACATTCCTACGTTGCCTGGAACGTATGGATGCTACTATCAGAATGTCGCTAGAGCCATCAGGGGAGAAGAAAAGGTGTTTGTTAGCACCGATGACATCGTCAGGAACACCAAGGCTCTTTTGCTTGCTAGGAAGAGCGTGCAAGAGTGGAGGAGCATCAGATGGGACGAAGCATGATTCTATAGGTCGGCTAACGGAAGCTGATGATGCTTCGAGATATGTATTAGCGAGGAAAAAGGGACGCCGGTTTCAGATTCAGAGCACCAATTGGCCAGGGCTCGTGCTCATGCTGTCCGCCCTAGGCTTTGATCTGTAGCGCTCACGTGCCATTCCCAGACCAGGCTCTATCATCTCATTGCTAGACACAGAGAAACGAAGTGCGGCATTAGCCCAGCTTTGCTTGCTGAAACCATTGCTGATGCCTGTGGCACAGTTCCTTGACAATGGCTTCTTCGATCTCGACTTCGCCTCCCAACCCCCCTCGCAAAGCTTCCCTCATTTCTGACAGCCGCAACCATCTCTCCTCCTTTTCCAATTCTACGAAGACAACCTCTTCTTTTCTGCGTGTCAAATCGTTGCCGATGACCAATTGATGGCCGTATCTCTCCAGAGCTCCGCGAGCCTTTGGGATGAGAAGCTTCGGGTCCGTCTCGAGCTGAGAGCGAAAAGTTGAAGGGGGGGTTTGAGAGGATGAGCGCTCGAGTGTTGGGTAATTGAACCTCAACGCACGAATACGCACCTTGAAGCTGACCACGTAGCCCTCAGGGGCCCAGTCCTGCACCATTGGTCTCAACACCTTTGGCACCTGATCCATCTCGATGACCAGCGAGCCCTTTCCTGACTGAATCTTATGCTGAGGCTAATGAGAGCAGCCCAGACCTGACGTCAGTGCACCACAAAAAGTCGCTGCATAGCATCCAAACTTGCCTCATACCCTTCAAGCTACTCACAGTCTTTTGCTCCGGCACGAAGAAATCGCTTACTGCAGCAGCGAGGTAGTACATCCCTCGCCGCCCCAAAGTCTGCATCTCGCCCGAGACCGCCCTCAGTAGGAAAAGGTAGTCAGTGACGGTGACAAAGGGTATGCGCAGCAGGGTTTGAGCTTTTTGAGCAGCGTGATATGCTCTTAGTACTGGCAGAAGCTTTTCGGTGTGTTTGGACTTCACTAGGATAGGATGAGAGCTGGCTCCTGCCGCTCTTGCTTGAGACTGTTGAGGTTGTGCTTCTGCGCCGTCGTCTATCGGCACCACCTTGCTGTGAGTGTGTGGGCCTCTTCCCATTCCCAGCCTCCAGCCATCCGGAGCATTCAGAGAGGAAGGAGCAGTGTCATCGCCCTCCTGCGGCTCCGCCAGCAGATCCAAGAAGGGGTTGGTGGTGTGACTGTAATGCCGAGTATAGGGCGCCAAGGAGTGCTGTCGGTGCATAAAGATGACTGCATAGCCTTGTGATAGAAAGTACTCCGCCGAAGTCGCTCCTCTTGTCCCCGCGCTGAAATTGTCCAGAAAGCGAACCCTGATGGAGAAAGTAGATGGCTTTGTCAGGTCGGTCGTCCCGCCAGCGCTGGGCTCACGGCATCTGCTCACACGTTTTGCTCCAGTGGTACAGTGGTCCCGCCGCTCTGTGAAAAGCGACAAGCGCCCATCGCTGAGCTCCTCCCCCTTCAGAAGTCGACATGCTCTCTCCTCGCACGCAAAATACCGCTAAGGGTTACAACTCACAGTAACGAGCACAACGCTACGACCCTCCTTTTGCTGTCGCTGCACGAAATCTCTGACTAGAGCGGTGTGAGCGCCGAGCGAAGCTGGAGCCGGTTGAGTGTCGAAGAACTCCTTGGCTGAGAAGGTTTGACTGGTGCTGGCCGGGCCTGACAAGGAGGATGCGCTCGGAGCGGTGGACATTATGGCAGAAAGGCTCCGATGAAAGGGGAAAATGCAGAAGATGAAACTGGAGGAGGGGAGAAAAGCGCCAGCAACTCGAAGCAGCGAGATCTTCTAGGGGTGCAGAGTATGCTGAGGATGTTGCAGACGAGCGGATGGATCTTTGCGGGGCTGTTGGAGCGAGTTTGGAAGCACCCGCACTGCGTCCGACGCGTCAGGCAGGTCGGTGTTGATTCACCATTCACATTCTTGATTCAAGATTCACGATAGTCAATGCTCGCACAACTTACCGACCTCTGAGCGAGCGTGATGTAACAGCATGTAGACCGGCTTTGCGATGTAGGCCACCACGGGAGAAGCAGCAAGGGAGCTGGACAGGCAAGGTACAGATGACGTGCAACGACAAGCAGGAGCACGGCTGGAAGCACGCATACAGGAGTCAGTCATTGGTATAGCTAGGGTCCTCCGCTTCCGGCACAAGGCGCCACTCCCTCCATATCGCATGTGCAGTACCAGCAGCGTCACCTGATTATCAAAGTCGAAGATGCCGTGCAACCTCAACAACAGGTCAGGCTCAGTGTGCGCTCGCATCCTTGATGGCGCAATTGCTCTTGGCTGTGATCTAGACGTCGGCAGCAGCAGCAGCTCTCTTCTCACCACCACCAATGCCGCTACCAGAACGCAAAAGGAGCGTTGATAAGGCAACGGCGTTCCTCGCAACCAGACCACATTTTGCCAGAGACCAAAGCATGAGGGATGGAATGCTCAACAGCCATGACCCAAAACAGCGGCGGGCCCGAGAGAAGCAGCGTCAATGTGCTGTAGGTAGGCCGACCAACATAGGCAGCACGAGAGGTGGGAATGCGAGGCAATGAATCTATTCAACGTGTCGTGTCGCGAGACGGGCGATGGCAGGCGGATCAGGGTGCGCCTGGCTCCTTCTTGCCCTGCAAGATTGCACGAAAGGGTGCAGCGCACGTCAGCTTTCCCGCTCTCCGACCACGCCAAGGTGGCTGGCCACTCCACGCCAATGCAGAAGACGCTCCCAGGTGACGAAATGCCTTTCCTTGCAAACGCCAAGTACCCCGCAGACACCATTGCGTTATGTAGCTGAATGGCCTACTCACGTGCGCAGCATTGTAGATCCCTCCGACGGTTCCCCAGATGCCAGCGGAGAAGAGGGTCAAGAAGACGCCTGCGACGCGAGGTGGGGAGAGGTGTGAGATGAGGTAAAGCCAGATTGAAGCAGTCTGTAAGCGCAGCGCTTTGTGTAGCGCCAGCTCGCCGTACTGAGCTTCAAAACGAAGCGAGTGCGCCATGATCCTGAGAAAGCGCCATCGAGCTTCGGAGAGGAGGTCTGTGCCTGGTGCTGCGAGCGCCAAGTCGGGTGCCCCTCTTCAAAGCCTTGCCATGCACCCTCGCGCGGCAGTGCACCTTTCGCCTTGAAGCATGTCTACTCACCCATGTACAGACGGGATCGGGGAAGGCGCTGGTAGACTGGACGAGGGTCAGCCTGGTAGAGCCTTTGGCGCTGAGGCACAGTGTTCCTGTAGTTTGCACACGAGCAGGACGAGAGGAATGAGGTCAGTCCGACATTTCCACGCCAGCCGCGCCGAGACTTGCAGAATGTGCTCACGGGCGGTTGACGAGAGGGTCCATATTGGATAGCTGGCGCTGGTGTGTGTGCTATGATGTAGTATGTAGGAGGCGTGGTGGGAAAGCTTCGCGATGAGATGCACATCTGAAGTGTGACTCTCGAATCGCGTCCAGGTATACACCAAGTACTACCTGATCAAGCCCATGGCGATGCTCTTGCATCGCCCGGCTCACGACGGCAACTCTGTCCGTCCCACGTGGTCGAGGCGCGGGTGCGATCCATGGAAGTCCGAAACGCGTCCCGCTTCGACTTCAGACATTATTACACACGGGCGCTCGTCACGCATGAAAGTTCAGACGAGCAGGGAGTCAGTTACCTGAGGCGAAGACAGCATCACCATGCAAACGGCAAATACGTGGACCTCAGGCAGTTGCGTCTCATCCACATCTTTTGACTGTCTTTGCACAGACCGCCCAGTCAATCTCGCAAGCCATCCGTGAGGCAGGGATGAGCAGGTCTTGACGCCATTGTGATCGTGAGAGCGTCAGCATCAGCGTCGGAGCTTTCATCGTGGCTGTCTTGCAACCCGCCGCGCTCGGCTTTTGGGTCGCACTTGCAGCTTTCATGCCGACCTAGGACGGCGAAGCGCGTTCGTCCCCGGGAGGAGCAAGTGCAGCAGGCTTGGACGCTCCCTCGACTGGACCAGCAGTCGGTCAAGGTGCTGCTGCTCCTTATCTCTGCCTGCTGTTGCGATGCAGCCGCTCAAGTCTGAGGATTTCCCTGCTGAACCAGTATCGGAACATCTGGATCCCCCACACCAAGAGATATTGTATGCGCCCTCCGAAGAAGTCCAAGAGATGAATCAAGCCCAGCACAACGACCATTTGTACTACTCGCAAGTGCAAGCCGTGGACGGTTATGAGGATAGCGGGGCGGTGGATGGAGCGGAAGGAGTGGTCGGGCAGCATGCCGAGGACCTTACGCACGTCGCAGCTTTCCGAGAGCACGAGGGACTGAATGGCGAGGAAGAGGGCGCGCTGTACCACAATGAAAGCCAACAGGATGGCTTGTCAGATAGCAAAGCGCGAGGGAGCAATAACGGCGCACACGCTCCCAAGCGGCGAAAGATCAATACTTGTCTTCCTTGCAAGAGGCGCAAAGTCAAGTGCGACAAACAGAGACCTCACTGTGGCCAGTGCAAGAAGCATCACATCGAAGAGCCGGATTGCGTGTGGAGTCTGGATGCGGATCACAATGCCGCACCAGCAGATGCGCATGCCGCCCCAATATCTGGTACTAACACCGCATACGACTCGACTTGGTACTCGGCTCAAGACGGTAGCGCACCTGAACTCGCCCAACAGGCGGTTGCACAGCATCCTTGGGACCAAGGCGAGGCCGCGCGAATAGACTCGTCAGAGGAGGCTAGTGGTGCATCGAAGGCTGAAGACGTTCCTGCAATGCTCGAGCGGATCCGAGCGCTTGAATCCGAGCTGGCACGCACGACTACTCGATTGCTGGGGCAAGACAGTGCCAACGAAACGGAACTATCGAGCAAGAAGAGGGCAGGCTCTGAAGACTTGGCAGCAGCAGCATCTGCAGAGCGCCAAGACATCGACACAGAGGAATTGACGCATATGGAGACACAATTGAATCAATTGAGGAAGTTACCGCCATCTTCGGCCAGCATGTACGAAGCGAATACGGGTCTTGCTGCAGGCGCGCTCGCCATGATAGCTCGCAATCATCCTCATGCCTCGATGACGAATGGCACTGGCAAAGGTCGAGGCGCCAACATGTCCACGTGGGGCGTTCAAGGACCGCCAGGTGGCAGATTTCCATTTCAAGCGCGCCTAACTACAGAGCTGGTCAAGGAGGCTCTCGATCTGTTGCCAGAGGACTCCACGGTGGACCACATCATTGCGGCTGACAGAGCAGTGCATATGAGCGGGCTCAGTACAGGAACAAGCTATCGTAAGTATCATTCGCGCTGGGCGTCCGGCGTCGTACGCAGACAGTTGACTCTTTCCACGACACCGCTTTGACAGGCCTTGTTGATTTGCAGCTCGGGGTCATGCGAGCGGAAATCAATCGATGGGATGGAGGGAAATGCGGCTCAGACTTGCCATGCATTGATTTGACGTTCCTGGCGCTGCTTTTCGCAATTTTGTCTGCCGGCATCGAGTACTCAGAGCCTACGACGTTGGTGTATCACAAGCTGGTCGATCGATTGGAAGACATTCCAGAAAGTGAGTGAGCAGCCGAACGCGACCTTCTCATATTATGCTGAAGCTTTCTCTCGTCCGCGCGAAACAGAAACGTGCGCTTACGTAGCAATGAGTCAAACCCTTATGTCCGTTTGTGACATGTTGGAACGGCCAAACCTCAACCTAGTCATGGCTTTGGCGGAGATACGCATGTATCAAGTTGCGCACGCGCGCTTCATCGAGTGCTCGATGTGTGTCTCAATGGTGAGTGCGGCCGATTCTGCCAAGGCTGACGAGCGCAAATTCATGATGCTCGACAATTGTTTCAGATGATACGAATGAGCTTGTTCTTGCGCTTGCACCGCATGGGTAGCGCCTACGACGATCAGGCAAAGTGGATGAGCGAAGAACAGACACCTTCGGTCGTTACCGGCTGGGAGGATCAGCCGTACTTGATGGGGCAGGTTTTAATTCCATTGTATCCGCAGGGAAAACCTGACCCGGAAGCCATCACGTGAGCCTCGATGATGAACGCAATACTTGCCGGTAGAATTGGCTACTCACACAAGTCCTGATCTCACAGTGTCAAGATACCGCAGCGTAGTCATCTAGTTCGGGAAGCTGCGCGCCGGACCTTCCGCAGCATCGTTCTCGTGTCCTACTTTATGAGCGAGCAGTACGATCGACATGCGCAGATCGACCCGCATACGTACAATACGACGCCGCCAATCAATGTGGACGAGGAAGAGCTGCCCATGGGAGATGAGGTCGAGAGGGCTTGGGAACTACCGATCGAAAAGGCTCGGGGAGTGCCTACTGAGAACAGCTTGTTTCCTTTTACGTGCGCTGTGGCCCACTTGGCTTGGGAGGGCACGGATGCGGTCGCTCGCGACAAGATGGACTATGCCAAGGTGCTCGACCTCGACAGCAAATGTCGCAAGGTGCTGGAAGTGAGTGGCCGCCGTCAGTGTCAAGCCCGCAAATTTTTTTCTCAAGCTGAAATTTGTCTTTGCACCTGCAGGACTTGCCCGACTTTTTGCGACTCGATGGAGAGTCCGAGAATTTGGAGCACGTCCAGCTAGCACTGGCGCAAAGACCTCATCTCGCCAGCCAACGTTTCATCATTATTGAGACTGTTCATTTCAGACTTTTGATGCTGCATCGACCCTACATGCTGCGCGGTTACAGAGATCCAACATACGAGCCGTCTGTCAAGGTGTCTGTTGAATCTGCCCGCACCATCATCTTTTGCCGAAGCGAGATGGACAGAATAAGCTGGGCGATTCAAAAGGTGCGCGCCTGCAGAGTTCTCATCCGTCTCGAATGATTGCTGATGTTCGCGACCCCTTTTACAGTACCCGGCTTTCCGAATACACAACCACATGTCGGCAATGCTGTTGGCGGTGCACCTTCTCGAGGAAGCGCGACAAGGTCGACACTCTGATCCAGAGTCTATTGCTATTCGAGAAGAGGTCACTGTCGCTCTGAACTTTGTTGCCGGTCGTACTGTAAGTCGCGCAGAGAGATCAGATTCCAACATGCCGAAGCTGACCGAATCGCCTTGTCGCAGACATCCGACGGCACACCAATCACGAAATCCGGCGCAAAAGCCGCCAAAGCGACGCGCCGCATGATCGATGCTCTCCTCTCGGAAAGTGCCGCGCGGGGAGAGGTGGAGAATGACGAATCGTCGCTGGCGCAGCAAGTAGCTACCATTGCGGGCCACGATGCTACCCAGAACGAGGCAGACTTCCCGTCGACGGCTGCTCTCGACTCCCACACGTACGCCGTGCCGGAGTCGCGCCATACCCTTGAGGAGTTGCCAGAAGTCCAGCGTCCCTTCGGCTCGGAAGCTTTCTCCGCGTCTGTCCCTACAAATTCCACCAACACCTCACCAGGCTCTTTACTCGACGCTCTGCTGCGCCCTGATGATCCCGTTAACCTGTATCTCTCACAGCTTTTCGGCTCATCGACTGGCGAGAACCTTCCGCCGCCGCCTCCTGAGAATTTTTGGGGGGCTACGGACAAGGTCATTCGGCTATCCGAACATCCCTGAGGTGGCGCGCACTGCCGTCATCTCGCCTTGGTCCGCCTTCCTTCGGACAACTTGTATTCTACCCTGTACCTTGTTAAGAGCGTCTGCAATCACGTGAATGAGGATGGCCCCTTGCGCGGCCTTCAACGCACGTCTGGGTCAGTGTTGAATGTCAATGTTGCTGATTATGATACAGGCGAAGTCGGTGATTCTTTCCATCTAGCTGACACTGCTCAATCCCGCAGGCGCTTTTTATGAGCGTTTGGGGTAGGTCCACCTTGCTTCCTGAGTTCTCGTACCGCCGTCTGGAGGTCGAAGTGAAAGTGCGCAGCATTGATATGAGGCCACAGCAGGGTGAACCACCATTTAGCAAGACCCCTGCCAGCACCGCTGGCTGCCAAGCCAACTCACAGCTACTGCCTCGGCTCCCACGCCCGCATCCAGCACATCCGAACATGCCCTGAGTTGATCCCGAGTCAGACCCGTCTGAAGCAGAACAGAAATATCGTAGAGGACTGCGAAATTGAACTGACTATTAGCGGAAAGATCTTCGATTGCTTGAGGTGCCAGCTTTGTTGCTTGGAAACACCAGCAGCACGTGCGTCTTTGACACAGCGGCCACTCACTATCCAACGTGTCCTGAGCCGCTGCTGCTCGCGTGTCTGCCCTGACTCCTGCGCTCGACATGTCGACAAGTGCGGATCTGTGTGAGGCGCAATGGCTTGGGGAGGTCAAAGAGTCGAGAATGGCTAATGTGACCAGTCCTTCTATCGTGCGCGTACACCCACCGCAAGTTTTGAACGTGCACGGGGATGGTGGTCGTCGTCGGCGAGATTGGTCAAGGGTCCGCGAGTTGAGAGTCGAAAGTCATGAGTCAAGAGTGTTCGGTTGCGACGCGCGAGATGCGCGTGATGAGATTTCGTCACGTGTGTTGCGAGCGAGTCTTGATTCGAGTTTTGCGTGGGCTGCACGCGCGCACGGCACGCGACGCGGCGGGTCTGTCGCGTGCGAGTGTGCCTCGACCGTCACAAAAGAGGGAATACGGGGTACAGTATGAAAGGTTATCTGAAGTCAAGCAAGTCTGAGTCTCATGCTGTGACAGAACAGTCGAGAGTCGAGTCTCGCATCAGTCGGCTAGGCTTTGGATCCCGAAAGTTCACCAAGCAAGCCACAAATTTCAACCCTTTTTATTTCGCCTCGACTTCACACAGCAAGCGACCCCATCCAGACAGCTGTGAAAGGACGGCGCGACTTGAACATGCTGCTGCAGAGCCAAGCTTGATCGGAAGACGGACCTTCGCAGACGGTGGGGCAAACCGTATCGTGTGACACATTCAGATATCATCTGTCACGTACCGCTGCTCAGAGTCTAGGAGACGAGGCCTATAGGATCGGGTGGAAATGTGGCTGATGGCGGCTACGAGCAGGCTCTCTCGTTGTTCGGGCGGGACGTGTGATCGTGTTGTTCAATTTTCGCTTCTAACCATACTCTCACGCGCAAGCCACATTTCGGGACGCGATCCGACTTCGGATGCTGAAGACCCTTCCTTGGCCACATCAACAGGTCAGGTAGCTAGGCAGGAGCGCCATACCGCCGTCCAGAAGAAAGGCCTCTGGAAGGAACGTATCTTGGCAAAGCGCGAGGTTGTGCGCATCCCCTGTCTGTCGCCTTCACTGACAGCCCTGATTGGTCTCCGCGTATCGTACGCTTATCGCCTTATCATCAGCTTCCCGTGCAGCAAGCAGCATGCAGCTGCATCGCTGCAGTTAGCTGTCAGGCAGGAGGAGAAGGAGGTGTGCCGCGGTGCAGGCTACACGCATCTTAGGCTGCAGCAGGTCCGCACGACAACGCGTGCTCTTCTTCGTGGCAAAAAAAAAAAACCCCGCGAACTGGTTATCTTCAAACGCATGAATCTTCTTGGGCGGAAGACTCAGGAACAGCAAGCCTCTGGTCGGGGACCAATTCTTGGCCTTCTTGTCAGTGCTCTCACGCTTCGCTTCTGATCACAAAGACCGAGAACTTCAATGGGTAATCATGCTGAAGCAGCCCGCGGTCGCGTGATCATGCTGGAACGTGATCGGGCGCTGCCGTGACGCCTGAAGGTGAATCTATCAGTCTTGAATTTGAGTGCCTTGCTGGTTTTGCTCGACATCGGTTCTGGTCGCAGTCGTGCCTCTATATAAAGCCCCTTGGCTCCCCTTGGGTATCTGCTGCGTCCTGACCACCAACACTGAAGACTTCTTTGGCCCCCTTTTCCTTCCTCCACCTACCTCTCCACCCTCACTGATCCTGTCCTGCTCCACCTGGCTTTCTGCTTCCTGATTCAATCTCTTTGTCACCCTTGAAGTGCTACTGGAGACTCGTTGCCCCCACCTCTCGCTCTTGGCTCAGGCGCTGCCTCAAAAGCCTCCTCAACGACCACATCGACAAGATCCGATAGTCACTATAGAACGTCATGGCTGCCAGTGCAGCTCAGGTGTTGCCCCAAGGGGCTGGCTGGGCCGTCGTAGTCGGCCTGGCCATTGGCTTCTCTGTCGTCATGATCTTCATCACGTGGATGCAAGAACGATACACGGGCATCAGCGCAAAGAACAACGACGAGTTCGCGAGCGCAAGTAGAAGCGTCAAGACTGGTCTCATCGCCGCAGGAATCGTCAGCGCCTGGACTTGGGCTGCAACTCTACTTCAAAGCTCAGCTGTAGCGTTCCGCTATGGAATCAGCGGTGAGTTGAAAGCCTGTCAAATGGCCGATGTCTCACCCAGCTGCGAGCGGTAGACGAAGGTGACATGAACGAATATGTTTTAGCGTGTCGCTGACGTTTGCGACCGTGCTCGTTCCCTCTTCGCCTAAAGGACCTCTGTGGTACGCATGTGGTGCAACCGTTCAAGTCCTCGCTTTTGCAATGGTGGCAGTCAAATTGAAGCAGAATGCGCCGGGCGCCTCGACGTTCCTCCAAGTGATCAAAGCGCGCTGGGGTGCCGGAGCACATCTCATGGTGCGTGCGAAGGTTTGCGAAGCTCTGCATACTCCTGAAGATGTGCTCATGCTCCGTCGCTGGTGCCTGTACAGGTGATGTTCTTTGCCCTTGTCACGAACATGCTCGTTGGCATCATGCTCGTGCTTGGTGGCTCCGGTACCGTGCACCAATTGACCGGCATGCCCATCTTGGGATCGATCTTTCTGACGCCACTTGGGGTGGCCATCTACACACTTACCGGCGGAGTGAGTACGCGGCGTCGTCCAGCTAGCGCCTTCGGACCTGATCACGCACACCGTGGAAGGCCAGTCAATCCGCAAGAATTCCGGGCTCTGGTCAGCTGCTGCTCAGTCCGACTGACACAACGCACGCGCCATTTCCTCCAATTGATTACAGATGCGTGCTACCTTGCTTGCGGATTACAGCCATACCGTTGTCCTTATCGTGCTGCTCTTCGTCTTTGCTTTCACGGTGTACACGCCCGCTTTGTCAGACTTGATCGGCAGCCCTTCCCGAATGGTCGAGCTGCTGGCTCAAGCCGCGCCCGTCGAGGGCAACGCCGCAGGATCCTACCTCACCGTCCGCTCGCGAAGTGGATTCATCTTTGGTCTCATCAACATCATTGGCAATTGCGGTGAGTGTCGATAGAGTTTCGACGTCAAACTACTTGCGTAGCATTGCTGGACTGATACGATCTCGGCTTCATGTGCGTCAGGGACTATCTTCCTGGACCAGAGCTATCATCAAAGAGGAATCGCGAGTCAGGTTTCGACGGCGAGCAAAGCCTTTATTCTGGGAGGCTTGGCGTGGACCGCCATTCCCTTGACCATCGCTTCGACGCTTGGACTTGCTGCCAGAGCGCTCTATGGACAGTCCGATGCGATGGCAGTGCTCACCGACAGCGAAATCTCCGCTGGTCTTCCTGCCCCAGCTGCTGCAGTAGCGCTCGTAAGTAGATTTTCGCGATGTCGCGACGCCGCTCAGTTGTATCCTTGCTGAGTCTTTCTACACGATCGTATCCAGCTCGGCAAAAGCGGCGCAGCTGCCATGTTGTGTCTGCTCTATCTGGCCGTGACCTCTGCGACTTCAGCCCAGCTGATCGCGGTGTCTTCAATCTTCGCCTTTGATATATTTGCGCTCTTCAAGAAGGAGCCCAGCAAGCGAGCAACATTCATCGCGAGTCACGTCGCGGTTCCAGTCTGGGCCCTCATCCTGGGTTGCCTTTCTACCGGGTTCAACTATGCTGGAGTAGGAATGGGTTCGCTATACGTATGGCTGGGCATCTGGGTCTCCTCAGCAGTGTTCCCCGTCTTCGCGGCGATCTGCTGGAGCAAAGCAAACAAGAGAAGCGCCATGATCGGCATGCCGACTGGTCTAGCTTTGGGTGTCATGACCTGGCTGGTGACGTGCTACAAGCTGGAGGGAAGCTTGACCGTGGCACACCTGAGCGCGGACTACCCCGTACTTGCAGGCAATCTTGTCTCCATCATCATCCCCACGGTCATCACAATTGCTGGGTCGTACATCTGGCCTGAAAACTACGACTTTGAGGGTACGCGGGCGATCGGCCGTGAGCCTGCGCGACCAAGCTCCTCGATGCACGGCTCGCCCAAAGACGAAACCTCCTCAAGCCCCTCTGGCGATGCCAAAGCGCCTCTCGCCAGTCCCGAGCGTCGAGGCTCTGAAGAGGAGAAGATGCAGGTGCAAGACTTGGCTTTCCAGAGCGAGCAGGCCAAAGGGGAAAAGTGAGTGGCCTGCTGGGACCTTTGACGGGGTGCCCGACTAACTCCGGGCCCCGTAAACTTGCCTTGCAGTCCCGACGACCTTCAAAAGTCTTTCCGCATGGCGGCGTACATTTCTCTGCCTCTCACGTTCATCCTTCTCGTCTTCCTTCCGTGCATGATGATCATCAAGAGGGTCTGGACCTCGTCCGGCTTGGCAGCGTGGATCAGCATCATTCTGCTGTGGCTGTTCATCAGCTCCGGCATCGTCGTCGTCCTGCCTATCTGGGAATCCAGACGCGCTCTGGCTGGCATCCTGCGTGGCATTGCCAGGGATGTTCGTCACCCCGGCACAGGCAAGGTCGAGAGGATCAATTAGAATTGCTCTCTAGGTGCCTACCCCGCCTGGCCCACATCAACACCAATGTGTCCTTTCTAGCAGCGTGGCTCCGCTAGCCCGCCGGACGCGCAGAGTTGTGCCTCCACAGCTCAGGCTACCACACTCTTCCAGATGCGTGCTATGAAATCTCTCAGAACAGCAGTCACACATCCTCCAGTTCCAAGTCTCCACACCTACATGCGCTCTACCCCCGTGTCAAAATTTGCGACGTTGTGTTCGCGACGCTGAGCTGCGTCTGACCCGTTTCTGCCTCATGTGCCCTGTTCAGCTACGTCTTGTCACGAAATGAATCGCAATGCGTACTCTACGACCGCACAGAGGCTCATCAGGGCAAGTGCTTGCTGAGCGGTATATCGTCTTGCGGCGTTAGCTACAAACCCAGCGCCTTCTTGACAGCCTGACTGATCTGTTTTCCGTCTGCCCTTCCTTGCGTCGCAGCGCTGACCTCCTTGATCACTTTGCCCATCGTCGACTTGCCCTGATCGCCAATGGATTGGATGGCCTTCTTCACAGCTTCCTGCAGCTCCTCGGCAGAGAGCTCAGCGGGTAGCAACGATGCGATCCATTCCGCTTCCTTGCTCTCGCTCTCTGCCAAATCTTCCCTGGGCGAAGCGAGGGATCGAAAGTCTTTTGCAGCTTCTACGCGGCTCGCTTGAGCTTTGCGAAGGATGGAGAGCAGGGTGGTGGGAGGATTGTTGGGAGACTTTTGAGACGTTTCGTACTTGGACAGCACCTCTTTCCATACGCCCGCCTTGCCTTGGTCCTTGGCCCGCATGGCATCCTTCAATGCGCTTCTCAATCGAGTCAGCAGCTCCTGCTCGGCATCTGCGCTTCGTAGTGTCGATGTGGCTGGCAAGGAAGAACGAGTTTTCGTAGCTAAAGCGAGAGTCTTGCGGAGGAGACGTCTAGACGAGGGCTCGCAGAGGAAGACCAAAGAGCTACGCACCTGACAAGCACCTGACGCCGCCATGATGAAGCAAGAATGGCGCAGAAGGCCGCAAAGGGGCTTTGCTGAGCAGCAGAGAGGTGCGAATGGCTGATGCCATTATGAAGCGCTAGAATGGGTATTTTGAAATGCGCAGGAGGGGAATGGGAATGTTTTGAATGTTGAAGCTCTCGCACGGACTAGTGTGCTGGGTGATGTGGCATTTGATTGTTTGAGATGGTGTGCGTGGATGATGACCATATATGCAAAAACGCCACACACATCACAGACTTTGGCATGTCTCGCTTCTTGATTCGTGATTCGCATTTTTGATTCACATTCAAGATTGTCTCAAAAATCTGCCCTTGATCGTTTAATTGACTGCTGGGCTGGCTGCTGCACGATGGTGAGTGCAAGCAGACTGCTGACTGCTGCATGGGGACCCGTGACTGTGCACGACTCTGACTGCTGACTGCATCGTCGGCGCCGCGGTAAAAGACGGCCGAAACAACCGAAAGTCTTGGTGTAACGATGAGCACATCTTGCCTTTGTGGAGGGGGAACGTCGTCGAGCGTGGAGCGTGTTGTTTTGTTGCATGCGTGCCTCCTCGATCCTTCGCGACGATGATATCGACCCATTGACAGACGCTTCGTGCCCTTCTTTGCCGTCAGCTCAAATGCAAGGCAGCGAGTAGTGTCATTTATCAAGTTTCGACTCGTAAGGCCTTTCCCGACTTGAATGGGAGGCCGACCGGCTGCTGAAGCAACATTGGTCAAGCGAGCACTCGCACTCGCACTCGTACTCGCACTCAGAAAGATACTTGCAGGGCGCACGTTGCGTCATGGACAAGTACAGCATCATCCAGCCCATTGGTTCGTGATGTTCTGCCATTCTATCAGATCCTTTTGAACACTGACGTATCATGAAACTTTCTCAGGTATGAACGCATCAACATGCGGCTACTGTGGGGCGCCAGGAAAGAGGTCGACTACAAAGAGCAGCGTGTCATATGGCATTTGGGTGAGCCGCATCGTCTCGAGTGCAAGCAAGGGAAGGCAGAAGTGGCTCATCGCGCATCCTTGCATCGACTCCCCTGAAAGGCGCACACGCTGACCACCAAAGCGTACCAAGAACTGTTGGATAGGGGCTGGCGAAGGAGCGGTTCGTACCTGTACCACGTAGACAATGAGAGGACGTGTTGTCCTCAAGTACCCATCCGGTGAGGCGTCATGCAGTGCGTGGAAAAGGAAGGGTTGTGAGCCTAAGCGCTCACATCCGAGTGTCCGCCACGCAGGCTCAAGGCAAGCGACTTCAAAATCAGCAAATCTCAGAGGCGAGCACTTTCGAAATTGGAAGAGCAGGTCACGGAAGTGGAGAGCATTCCTGAACTGTCTGGCTCATTCAAAGCAAAAGGCAAATACGCTAGAGCGTCGAGCTTGCTTGATAAGTGGCGTCACTTGGATGCTGCTTGTGGTGTTGAGCAAGATTCGAGATCATCTGCGCCGCCGATTTGCGCCCTCCTCTCCGAGCTCGCCGCGGCTAAAGAGCATCAACGGCGACGCGCTTTGATGGCTCAGTTGCACAACGAGAGATGTCGACTAGCTCAGCGTGCGCGCCAAGATCGCAAGCAATCTCCCCGCAAATCTTCAGCACCTGGACTTGCGCTGAATGGGGAAGGATCGGGGATCGGGGCGCAACCTGCAGTGGGCCTGATGCCTCTTTCACACTTCTCGCGCCTTGCCCGCTCACTTCGATTGAAGGTCCGTGTGATGATCGGAGCGTTGGGGCACCGAGAGCAGTGCTGATCGTATGCATCTTCTACAGACGAGCTTGGTACCAGGTGCCTTCACGCAAGAAAAATACGACTTGTTCACAAGGTACCAGATGCGTATTCATCACGAGGCGCGCGACAAGGTCTCAAAGCCCGACGGTTTCGCAAGGTTCTTGTGCGATGCTCCTTTCGCTGGCGTGAGTGGTTGCACCGGACCGCGAGATGAACCCGAAATTCACGCAGCGGCGACTCTTCGTGTGTTCAGGCCCGGTCAAGTGAACCGATTGATTTGCAGTCGCCAGACGCGGTCGATTATGGCCTTTATCACCACGAGTATCGCTGTGAGCATTGTGATACGTCGCGCATGACCGCTCTGCTTGCTCCCCTTCGCCTTGCTGAATGTCACTGCACTTCGAGCAGTGAACGACAAGCTGGTAGCGGTGGGCGTGTTGGATCTGCTACCCTCATGCCTCTCTAGCGTTTATCTCTTTTATGACCCTGACTACGCTCATTTGGAGCTCGGAAAGGTAAGCGCTCTTCGAGAAATTGCTTTGGTGCTGCAATTGCAGCGCAAAGCTGGCCTCGGCGAGTGTCAGTGGTACTACCTTGGTTAGTGACGGAGCTCTTGCTAAGGTGCGGCATTTTCTTTTTTCGCATTTCGAATGCTGACGAAATGCCTGCTATAGGTTTCTTTATTCGCACTTGCCCAAAGATGGCTTACAAGGGTGACTATCAGCCTTCGGAGCTACTTGACGTGCACGCCAACGAGTGGAAGCCTTTCAAAGTCGTCAATGACATTCCCATCAAACAGCCCATTGCCCCGAACGAGGCTCTCTGCGCCCCGGCTACAGCCACCGCCCCCGAGCTGACCTTGAAAGCCGCCTCCGTCGACAAGGACATGAATGTGAGCGCGTCGGCTAGTGATGTCGAGAGCAACGACGACGAGGACGACGACTCGCCTTTTGAAGACGACGCAGAGACGCCTTTCACCTTTCCCTCGCCACCTCCAGCCGGCTTTCTGGATCCGACAACTTTATCCGCCGAGCTTCTTTCTAAAACGCTCATCTTGCCTTCGCGAGGCAAGCAACCCCACGCTTTTGATCAACGACAGCTGAGAGAGTGCGTCGCTGCTCTTGCAGGCCATGTCGAAGGGTTCGTCATCACGGTCTGACCAACAAATTTGTGGGCGAGACATGAGCACGGAGGAGCGGGGGGGGAGAAATGGGTGCAAGGAATGCAAAAGATGCGGAGGAAGGGTCTTTTGATCGGGTCGACAGACTGGATGACGTGCAGCTACGCGCGATCGCCCTGATGATCCTAATTCGAGGAACGCCAAAGTTGGCTCGCTTTCCGTGCTTTTGAGATACCGCAGCGGTATGAGCCAAGACTTTTCGCCACACGCCGGGCCATCGCATCCCAAGGACGACGAAGACGCATTACGAAGCAGAGGCAGCAGCTGGCCCAAAAGTCAAGCGCGATGCTAAACACATCGGCTCGCAGCTACGCGGCCTACTCCGGAGAGACGTTTCGCACGCGTCGAAGAGTGCCATGTCACACGACGCAGGCTGGAAAGGCATTGCCGGCAAGATAGGAGATCAGCTCTGTCATACCCTCGCGCATCTGCCCTTCGGTATCCACCAGCCGCCTGGGACCCTGAGTGCTCTATTCACACCTCGAGCGCCTAAAATATGATGCATTTGATGTCTCTGACCAGCTGTGTGAGAATCTGCGACGGAGCAGAGGGCTGCTGTAAGGCTAGCGCTTTGGTCCTAGGCTAGTAACATCAATGCCGCGTGCTAAGGTATCAGAATGCTGTCTCGGGATGGGCTTGTTTTCTGATGTGTCTCAAAGCTGAGCGCGAGCGCGCTTCATGGGACGAAAATGCGCGTGAATGCCTCGACGGGCGCTCTGCAGGTTGGGCACGTGTGCGTTGGAGGTCCTCTTCGACGATATTCATCCGTATCAAACCCAGCAGCGGCGTCGTTTCCGATTCGAGTTGGAGGTCGGCTGCTCAGATCTTCGCGACACCCGTTACACAAGGCAACGCATCGGCAAGGAAGCAGTAGCACTGTGCGTGGTTCAGTGAGACAAATTACGCAGGCAGTCCTTGCGCTATCAGTCTCGACAGCTGGAGACGCACGCCTGCGTCGCTCAATGGTGGCTCGCAACGCTTTCTCGTCGGGCTGAGGAGCTAAATTAACAGACGTGCTGCCAGTAAGCTGGTTGAAACGTCGACGGGTGAGCACGCCAGCTCCCGTCGGCGAGGACATGTGTGCCATCAAGACGTTCTGAAAAGGCTGGGATTCGCTGTTGCCAGCGACGCTAGACGTGGCTCCGCGAGGTTCATTCTCGAAATTGTGTCTAGCAGCTTCTACGAGAGCCAGCGTGTCCTCTCGTTCGTCTTCCATCGCAGAAGAGAACCCTGCTGAGGCTGAGAATTCTGGACCAGGGCTTAGAATTCTTCGAATCCGCGCCGAGCGGAGGCCATCCATCGCCAGCTTCGAGGTGCCGCCACCTTCGGACTCTGACTCGGTCGTTTCGCCCCCACCATCGTCGTCCGAGTCCAGCTTCCAGTCCTCATCTTCGTCCTCGTCGTATCCAGCTCCAGCCCCCAAGGCTTCCCAAAGACAGTCAAGCGGTGTGGGGTTTAGAAGTACTTGTTCTGCGTGAGTCACCTCGCAAGACCGTGCAAGCTGCGGGGTTGGGGCGTGTCCGACGGCACGCAAGAGCTCGTCCGCATGCTGTCGCAGTTTCTGAACCTTGGAAAGCAGCTTCGCAAGCACTTGAGCGTTGCCACGAGCTTGATCCGTCTCGTGCTCCACCCTCTCAAACGCACGAGCCAGGTCGTCCGTCGCAGGCGTGCCAAGAATCTCTTCTACCCTTGCGAGCCTTTCGCGCAAGACGTTGAGTTCAGCAATTGCAGCTTTTGCTTTGCGTCGCTCCTCTTGCTTCTGCTGCCGACTCTCCTCTCCAGACGTCCCGTGCCAAAGCAATCTAATCTTGCGAGGCAGGTCGCGTGCGTAGGGAGGTGTTGCGGGAAGGCTGAATGGTAACACGCCGACGACCTTCGAAGACGCCAGACGCACCACGTTGATGATCAAGACGACGAAGGTGAGCAAGAAGTCCTTCGCTGCTGACCATCGAGCTCCACCTGCCAGCACACCGGCTCCGCTGTGGGATTCTTCTCTCGCTACGCGAACGATTCTGATCTCGCGGTTCAGGCCACTTCTACTGGACGAATGCGCAGGGCTGACTCTCGTCAAAGCTCCAGACTGCAAGTCTTGCACTTGAGCTGCTCTGCTTCGAGGCGGACTGACGTGAGCCTGACCGTCAGAACCGATTTCGAGCCAAGTGCCCATCGGCGTCGATACCGAGGAAAGCTCTCGAGCCAGGCCAGACAGTCGGGTCGACTCTAGACAAGCTGTGCCAAGTTTGAATAGTGCCAACGAGTAGTCGTCGTGCCTACCCGGCAAATTGGCCTCTGTGAATAGCAAGCGGCGCATTTCGATCTGGCAGACGAGATGACTACAGCTGAGTAGCTTCTCGTTTCGTCTATCTCGTTGACATCACTCACCGACCCTTCTGTCGCTAGCATGGTGATTGCGTGCAGAAATGCTGTCAGCAAAATGATCGCCTGTGGAGATACAAAATGGGTCAGCGACGTCATGCGTGAAGGCCCCCCTCCCCCCCATTCAGATGCCACTTGACTCACGATCAGGGCTACATCCGGCGCGCGGTTGAAGCTTTGCAGGAATGGGTAACCACCAGTGCCGGTCGCGAAAACGTAATGCGCGGTCGAAGCAAGGCCGAAAAGGGTTGTGATGGAAAGACGAGGAATTTTTGGAGTGCTTGTGATTGGGTGCAAGCGCGTTTTCAATTCGCTCAGCTTCCCTGGAGCTCAATCACCCGATGCCTACTTCAACTCACCCAGAGACAGCTCCCGCCACCTCCAAACACCAAAGCTCAGCGGTCTGAAGCAATATGCACAGCAAAACATTCGGTCCTGGTGGAAAGTGTTTGCTGTTCGAGTGAAAGTGCAGTAGGATTGCATGTCCAACCAGATTGAAGCTGGGTGCCTCCTCTGGTCTAATGCCTCCGGCACCCGCGGCGCCAACATGTATTCCTCCCAGGCCACCAACGTTTGATCCACCTTCTAGCGTATGCACAAGTGAGGAAGAGACGACAGCTGCGCAAGATGCCAGAAACACTTGCCAAAGTATCGAAGTGTCTCTTGAGCGAGGTGCAGATGGGGCGTAGAGGGATGATGAAGACCAAGGGTATGGTGGCGAAGGCAGCGTCCAGCTTGGCCACATCTCGTGCACCGTGAGCAGCACCAGAGGTACAAGAGAATAAGTCAGGAGCAAGAGCGAAGGCAGTCTGAGAGATAGCCGCACTCCTGGGCTCAGCGCCGCTGGCCTCCTTCGTGGACGACAGAGATGTTGGATTCGGTTGATCAGGACCGCCTGCCCAGCGCGAGTGACGACAGTGCAGCTCCGGTGTCAGTGAGTGCGGACGCGCTTTCGGCTCATGCAGATAGCTTCAATGCTGAGCTCACCATGACGATGAGGGCAATTGTATACCTGCTTGAGATGAAGCCCCAGGGTCCAGTAGCCCCAGCCTCGCCCCAAAAATCGGCCTCGGTAGGCGTGGCGCCTTCGTGGACGTTCGATTGGTCCAGCTCGCTACCCCACCGCTCAGAGAATCCTTCCGCGCCGCTTTGTGAACGTATATGCGAGGCTAGAGATACTGAAGGAGTGGCGAGACGGCCTCTCACGAGAGGTATCCGGGCGGCAAGCCTCCTTGCGCTGGTTCGGAGTGCCTCTGCCATGACGACGATGAGGCGCAGCGCTAGATCACCTTGAACATGCGATCAGCGGCAACTCGAGTGTTGCTTGCAATGTCAGGCACTGAAATTCTCTCGGAGGCGGGTGAAAGATTCTGTCAGGGGATCACCAGCCCACTGGTCGGGCTAGGGGTGGGGTTACGAGTGACTGTCATACGATCACGACGCGATCGAATCAACCCAGCATCATGGTGATGTGGATGCATGCAACGGTGCTCTTGGTGGCTTCCCCGCGCAACTGGCCCACCATGCACATTCACGTGATTCCGCGCGTGCAGGCAAGCGCTCAACCGAGCACGTGACGGCTGTTGGGTGATAATTTGACCCGCGATTCTACAACCAAGAATCTGAATCGTGAATCACAAATCAAGAATTGGATCAAAACCAAAACCGCAGACAAGCTGCCGATTGAAGCTGTGCGCACCTTCTCCGTCATCCAAGTCACGACTCACCACTGGATCCAGTGTTCACACATTGAGGGCCAACACTCATCAAGACTGCGGCGGTCGCTCTTCACGTGCCTCGGTCGAGGTCCTCGAACCCACTCTAGCCGCCAGGCTAGCTCGCCCATTTTCAGATTTCGCTGGCGCGCTGGTCTGGCCTGCTTGGCCCCGAGCCCAAAGTTGAGCGCAATGCCTCCCCCTCCTCCGGCCCTCGCCAACAGGGCGGAGCCTGTGGCCAGCGATTCCAAGGGGAAGCGCAGGGAATCCATTCCTCTCTCGGTCATCGAGGGCCAAGCCTACCTCTATTCGCCTCAACACATAGCGATTGTCCGAGCAGAACATCATCTAACGCCGACCCTGGGTGGAACGTTGCCTATTCTCAGCCAGCAGAATATCTTTTTGGGGCCACCTGCTACGCTCCAACCTGAGGAGGTAGCTCTGCTGCTCAGAAGAGGTGAGCTTTTACGGATTTGCGCTTTCGTCGTTTCCATCGCGGCTGATGCAGGCGCCTCTCCTGAATGACTCGGAGCAGGTGCCGCTCACATCGTGGATGATCCGTCCGCATACGACGCTCCTAGCACTTCAGCAGCAGCAGCCTATTACCAAGCAGCTCGCGAAATGATCTTGGAGCAGGTCTCGCGGGCCAACAAGGCGCGCGAGCAGATCAGTCAGCACAAGCTGGCGGAAATGAAGGAGACCGAAGAGGTCAGGGCAAAGCGTTTGGCTCGAGCACGGGCGAGGCGAGAACAAAGCTACGAGGCGGACAAGTCGATTGCTACTGTCGTTGACGTCGCAGCACCAGAGACAAATGTACGCACATCCATCGATCTAAGCTCCGCGACGTGGAGCCAAGTGACGCCTGCCACCAGTTTTGAACAGCCTGTGGCATCGTTGGAAGGCGGCTGGTATCGGGCATCAGAACATTCCTACACCACGCTTTCGCAAGCCCGATCAGCAGGCGTGTGGAAGTTTCCTTCAAACGCGCGTGAAAGGGCTAGATGCATGGTGTTCGAAGATCTGAATGCTCGCGGTTACTTCTTGTCGTGCGGACTTAGGTTTGGGGGGGACTTCAATTGTTATCCTGGTGAGGCTGGGGGCGCAGCATCTTCTCCTTCCCGACAGCCAACTGACCTATTAATCTTCATGGATGCACTGCAGGTGATCCGTTGAGATATCACTCGCATTTTACAGCCACTGTGCTCTCATCTAGGAAGGAGACAGTCACTGCACACGAGCTCATAGCCTCTGGACGCCTAGGCACAGCAGTCAAGAAGGCACACCTCATTTGCGCAACGGCTGGCGCTGAAGCGGAGCTTGCGGACAGAGCTGATGGCTTCGCAGATGCGGAGAGAAGTGCAGATCACATGCCCACCACTTGCACGTCAACATCTGTCGAATACTTTAGCCTGACATGGGCAGGCTTCGGCACTTGACGGAAGCGTGCACGTGATGCAATGATGAACGTTATTCTTGGCAGAACTGTTAACGCTGACTTCGATGTGATAGGCAAATTTGCACGGATGCCATCAGTGCAAGGTACGATTGTACAGAGGGTTGATTGTAGCTAGCACGAGAGCTTTCGGGAGCTGCAGTAATGAATGTAGTTGATAAAGATCGTGATTGCGCTCTTTGATTCTCGAATGTTGCACCATAGAGTGGCGCTCGGGGGGCCGTGCGTCGGAAGAAGCCATGCGTGATTTACGCGCGGACCAACACCGATCCAGCAGCTCACGCTGTTCATGCAGCACACACCATCACGACCACGTACCACAATTAAGCCAACGCGCGTTCCAGGTCCGCCCAGCACGACCTCAACAATTCATTGAATGCTCTCTTGGGTCTTTGAAGGGAAAACGGCATCACTGAATGGGCGCTGCATCGTGATCCTGTTCTTATCCCGCATTGGCACCCATTACACGCAAGCAGCAGCCTAGACTCTGAAAACCCTCCGTCGTGAGGCGTCGGCACTTCGCTCGCAATCAAGCTGAAAAGCGAAGCTGGATGGCTGACACTCGCAAGCACATGATGCCAATCAGCACTACTTCGAGCACACCGATTGCAGCCTCGTCGATGCCTGGGCTGGTCGATCCTCGCACAATCACTACAGCTGCCTCAGCTCGAGCGGCACTAGCAACGCTTGCCTCGCATTCTAATGCGCTCGAAGATCGCTTCTCGGATCTGCTTGAAGAGTCGATCGAGAAGAGAGAGACGGCTACGGAGGTTTTGAAGTCTCTGACTACTCAGGTGGACCTGATCAGAGAAGAGGCCGGCGTGCTCGACGCGAGGCTGGATGTTGCAGCCTCAGAAGCTAGGACGATATCAGAGGCGGTCAGGAGACTAGATGAGATGAGGGAAAGGGTGCAGATCGCCAAGAGGTGGGCCGACAGGACCGCGGATCTGAAAGTGAGTCGCCGTTGTGTCATCCGCCTTTTCTTTCCCAGCTAACGTGTGCTGATGTCCCTCAGGCCTCCTTGCTGTCTCTTGGCGCCGCGATGGAACAACAAGACTGGGACGCTGCCACTCAGCACGCTATTCGCGCCATGACAATAGAACCTGAGATCCTTCACTCTGCATTTGCAGCAGCTACGGTCGTGAGTCCGACGGGACTTCTATGAGTCGGAAGCATGGCTGACACCTTCTTTGCTCACACAGCCAAGCAGCGAGTATCCTGACCCCCCTCCTATGACGCTCATCTCAATGCGGACAGGGCTGTTGGATTTGTATAGTCGACGATTTAGAGCAGCAGTGGAGGCCAAGGATACTGTCGAGGCTACTCGCTTCTTCAAGATGTTTCCGCTGATTGGATGGAGAAGCGAAGGACTGGCCGTTTATAGCGACTTTGCCAAGGCACTGGTGCGAGAGAGGGGCAAAGCCATAACAGATGCTCTAGCTGCCACTCACAACAGTGAGTAGAGTGCAGCCAAGGTCACCGGCAATGACGCTCGTCGCTCATCCCACACCTCTCCTTAGGCTCGTCTTCGCACTTTCACGCCGGTCTGCTGACCACTCTCTTTGAGCACCTTGCGCTTCTGATCGACCAGCATCAGCCTCTCGTGGATCGCAATTATGGGCCAGGAAACTTCCTGCGAGGGGTCATGCCGAGTCTACAGGAGGAATGTGACCGGCTCGGAAAGCGGATATGGGATTCTTGGTGGGATGAGAGGCTTGTCTTGCGGAAAGTGAGGGCGTGACATGCGCGTCTCAATTTGAATCACTCGGGCTGACAAGCCCAGCACTTCACAACATCGCTGCCCAGCTCGATAGCGCCAAGTCCTGCACGTTCTCTTACATCTCGAGCCTTGGATCAAATAACAAAGGCTCGCGCTCTGGAACTATAAATCCAGTTGCCAAGGCAGCTGGTGGGTTTTCAATACCAGGAAGAATTGCTACGCCAGTGGGCGGAACGAGCGCTGCAGCAGGACGTGATACTTCCACGTACGAACCAGAAGGTCCCGATGCCAGGGAGACTGATCGCGTCTTGACTGAAATCGCGAGTATGGCAACCAAGTGGGGCACCTATCGGCGCTTCTTGGTCGGCAGATTTGATCACACGATGGTAAGTCTGACGTGAGCGAGCGCCAGAAGGGGCACATGCTGACAACCATGATTGCCGCGCATCAACTCGCGGAGCCAACGACGGAGGACGAGAGTGGGTTGGACGAAGGCGGCTCTGATGATGAGACAAAAACGGTTGTCCGGTTGGCAGAAGATCAGCCAAATCGTGTGCAAGACTCCATCACGGCCACTGGCATCTCTGACGCCTCGGCGCTCGGGCAGCAGGTCGCGTCGGGCCTGTCGAAGGCATACGTGACCCTCGAAACGTGGTACCTTCGCAGTAGCATCGAGCGCGTGAGTTTGGCCTGTATTTCACGCGACGGGCCTGCACTAGCCTGACAATGTTCAGACTCCTTTCAGGCTCACCGCATGGACACGCCCGATCTCGCCGCAAGACCATACACCGCATCAGTGCTGGATGACGTGTTCTACGTCTTGCGCGCTGTGCTCGCTCGATCAATATCCACGTCCTCGATTGCTAGCGTCTCTGCGATCGCGAGGGCTGTGCGCTGGATCGTGGACGAAGAGTACATTCAAGTGCTTGTAAGACGCATGGAAGGCGTCTGGAGGAGCGCGAGCTCGAGTATGGCAGTCGATGGACCTCGGAAAGAAGCGGCTACGAGAGAGATGAAGACGACATTCATAGTAAGCACATCCAGCGTTTTGTGCTTTTTTCTTTGACGCCAGCGTGTTCCTTACAGGCAATCTTCATGCAGGTGTATCTTAACGTCCTCAGTGTCTCCGCGGACTACACGAACAGAATCCTGACGGATCTCACGACCGAGCAGCTTCTCTCCCAGAGCTTTGACGAAAGGCAGATCGAAGAGGCAGCCTCGATCGTCCAAGGTCTAAGCGGTCTCGTAGCACGCATGCGCAGCGCAGTGAGGGTGAGTGCGCCCGTGGAGGGTGCTGAAGCAACACACGACATTGTGATTGAACTGCTGTCACGTTTTCCAGACCGAACTTGATCAGCTCTTCACTCAGCTCACGAAGCCGCGCTTGAAAGCGATCTTGCTTGAAGCGTACCAAGACGTTTCGTATATGCTCGACGATGATGCCCATGCCGAAGCAGAGTACAGCGACCCGGTCAGAAGGAGGTTCCTCAAAGGCTGGGAGATCGTCCTCTCGGGCTACAAGGTGCGCTGACATGGAGTGTGTCAGCAGACGAAGCACGGCTGATGTGACTTTGACTTACAACAGACACTTTTTGATGAATCAAATTGGGAAGCGTACTTTGTCTTGACGCTCGACGCTCTTGTGAGGCCGTGGGAGAAGATGGCTATGGGGATGCGCTACACCGAGGTGAGTAGACCGAACATGACTTCAAGTTCTCGACCAGAATTCTGACTACCAATATGTGGCCTATCAGCTCGGAGCTCTTCGCTTTGACAAGGATGTCAGAACGATCACTACCTATCTCTCGACGCAAACGCGCACATCGAGCGTCCGAGAAAAGTTCACCAGGCTACAACAGATATCATACGTGCTCAATCTGGACGAATCAGAAGTATCTGCTGACGCAAACGGCCCAAATGCCGATGCTCAGGGCAAAGATCTTTACGAGGATGCCGCTGCTGCAGGTATGGCGTGGAGATTGAGTGCAGAGGAGGTCAGGAATGTAAGAGCATTGAGGGTAGCGGGATAAAGAAGACGAGAGGAAGCCCTTTGCATAGAATCGTCGGGCTGCTTCAAGCTGTAGTTGTATCGTTGCCACACGTTGAATGCCCAGATGCATGCGGGAGAAGTGATTACAGACTTTTGCAAGTAAAGCAAGCTGTCCACCACGTACGCTGTATGTCCGCACGCTGTGGCCCCATCATCCAGCGTCTGCGCGCAAGAAGAAACAAATGAAAATCTTTGACACCAAGCTCGTCCGAAGAGCTGCCCTTCGCGACTCACCCGACTCTACCTGCGCCTCGCAGTCCGAATATCGGACCCAGCTCCACGCGTCACTCGCACTCAGTGACGGAGTAACTGTAGTCGACTGGCCTCAAGTGACGCGTCCGCAAACCTTGGCGTGCGCGTGACCGCGACTCTCGGCAACTTGCCTCCCAACTCAAAGCCTTGACAAAGCTTCGTCACGTCAGCGCGAGTCATCTGGGCCCACCGCGCTCATGTATTTCGTGAGTGGAAAGCGCGCCTGATTTGTGCCCACTCAGAACGCAGGCGTGGGTTGGGGGTCGTTTTCTGCAGGGCGTTGCTCAGCAGGATGAGATGGCCCTTGTCGCTGCCCAAGTTTCGCCGACGTGACAGATGAGCGGCTTGTCTTTGTCACGCAATTCGACGTAAATGCGTCAACTGGCTCTACGTGGCCCGCCTTTTGCGGAAGAGATTGCAATGCTAGGAAAGCCATAAACAGTGCTATTTTACAGAGAGCCGTCCAGGATGCGGGCGTGATAGTAGGCAGCCATTTCCCGAAGTCCGTCTTTAAGCTTCCACCTCGGGTTCCAGCCGATGAGACCTTCTGCTCTAGTTGTGTCGGGTCGTCGCTGCTTGGGATCGTCAATAGGAAGAGGAAGATACCTTATCTCCGTGTTTGGTCGCTCCTCTGCCAGCAGCTCATCCACCACCTCTGCCACGATGGTTGCTAGCTCCGCGATCGTGAATTCGAAAGAGGATCCCAAATTGACCGGAAAGTGTATATCCTTGCCCTCTTCACCAGGATGGACATTCATCAGCGCTATCAGGCCGTCGATCAGGTCCTGCGCGGAGGGTTGAGGGATCAGCACGAGTCTTGATGCTTGTGACGCTGCGACGCACATGAATGAAGCAGAAGCTTCGCGTTTGAATTCCATCCCCATACACTGTAAGCGGCAAACCTTTGAGCGCTTGAATGACAAAGTTGCTAACCACGCGCCCATCCGCAGCATGCATGCGCGGTCCATAAGTGTTAAAAATGCGCGCGATTCTCGTATCCACGCCGTCCTTTTTCATATACTCGTTGGTGAGCGTTTCCGCTACGCGTTTTCCTTCGTCGTATGCAGCTCGAGGCCCAACGCAGCTCGTATTGCCGCAGTAGTCCTCACGCTGGGGGTTGATCTGAGGATCGCCATACACTTCCGACGTGCTCGCTAACAGCAGTGTGGACTTTGTGCGCTTGGCCAATCCGAGCATGTTAGAAGTCCCCAGAAAGTTCGTCTTGAGCGTCTTGATGGGGTTGGCTTGGTAGTGCCGAGGAGAGGCAGGGCAAGCTAGATGGTAAATTTGGTCCACTTCAACCAAGATTGGCTCGATGACATCGTGTCTAAGGAGCTCAAAGGATCGATGACCCTCCCATTGCTCCAAATTTGATCTCGCTCCTGTGAGAAACGAGTCCATGACAATGACATCATGCCCCATGAGGAGCAGCCGATCAACGAGGTGTGACCCGACAAATCCGGCACTGAGAATGACGTACGGTGAGCAAAGATATGTCGCATCGTCATCAACGTGCGACTCACCCGCCAGTAACGAGGATTCTTTTGCGCTCTGGCTCCGGCAAGCGCCTGGTAGCTGGCAACCAGCTGGCACTGCGGCTGTGCTGAATCATGAGATCTCTGCGGGACTTGCTACTCATGAGACCGCTGGATGCGAGGCTTCTCAGAGAAGAAGTACTCTCGAGGCTCTGTAGGGACTGTGAAGGAGGCAGTGATGACGGTGCTGCAAGGAGCTCGCTGTCAGTGACGGTCCTGCGCTGTTCCGAGCCCCTCGTCACTCCGAATCCTTTCCCACTCACCGGTCGAAACGCCTAGCCCCACGCTCTGAGGGTGCGAGTCATTTCCCGCAGACGGAGGCCGTCTGATCTGTGACTCCTGGACAACTCGACTGAAGCGCGGCGATCCAGCAAGAGTGTGCCATGAGCCCGTCTCTTCATCGGAGGCGTAGGGGTTGAACGTTTGGCTGAGCGAAGAGGAAGTTCGAGGTCTCGTGTCTCGCATCGCAGGAATCGGAGATGAAGAGGAGCTGGAGATGCGCAACGAACCGTCTTGCGCACTCGATACCTTTTGACTGCTCGGGCTTGAAGAAGCTCTTGACGCGCTGCCATTCTCGAGCTCCGATCGCGTCTTTGGGGATGGATAAGTCGCTCCAATTGACGTACCGCCCGCCAAGGCTGATGCGGGTAGGTACAGATCTCTGAGCATTGCCAGGGGCACTTCCCACTCTGGCGCATCGACTTCCTCTTCAACACTCGAGCTCCCTTCCGCCCGCCCAGCACTGACATCTTGTGCATCCAATGTCGAGCTCCCCTGGGCTGGCGCATCAAGTGACAGCGCTTTCCGAGTGTTTTCACTGTAAGCCGCGTCGCGAGCTGCGTTCGACATGCTGTGGCGAGTTTGCTCCAAGAATTGCTACAAGCGCAATCTTCCTTCAAGACTCTGGCGTGAGGAGTGCATGGTCGTCGAGGAGAGCGAGGGCTGCCATGCGTGAAGCGGTGCGTCTGTACCTATGGCTTGCGCAAGCAAGCCTCCGTCGGGCATCGGAGCCTCTAGCACGGGCACATCGGCGGCGCGCATCTTTCGTGCGAAAGTGAGCGGGCGGGCCGCGCTATGAACTCAAGTCTGAGTTGTGAGCTCCGCGACGACGACCTAATCTGCACGCATGTAGAACACGCTCTGCTTCGTTCCACACCGAAGCAGCACAAGGGTTGATCGTACGCCATGCTCACTGCCGCAAGAGCTCCAGTGGCAGCCATTGCCAGCCGCTGTCCGTGGTGCTACAGGCACGCCTCGAGAGCCGGTACAAGCGGTGCACCTCACGGCTCAGCGTCAGATTTCTCCTCCAGAAGACGATTCCAATCCACCTCTGCCACCCAGTCCAGCCCTCGACTTCGCTTTGCGCCATCTCCGACAGGCGACTTGCACCTCGGTGGTCTGCGTACAGCGCTGTTCAATCACCTGTATGCGCGCAAGCATGACGGGCAATGGATCCTGCGGGTAGAGGACACGGATCGAAAGAGATTCGTAGAAGGCTCCGCGTTTGCTCTGCAGCAAAACTTGCGCTGGGCAAGTTTGAACCCCGATGCAAGCCCAGAAAATGGGCAAATGTCATTCTTGGGGCCTCTGATTCAATCCGAGCGGTCAGGCTACTATCGCGACGCCATCGACAAGCTGCTCGGGGAAGGACATGCTTATCGCGACTTTCGGTCCATCGAGGAGAGGGAAGACGAGCGCAATTTGGCTCAAGAGGGCTTCAAGAACGCCCGCATGGTGCGACGAGAGGAGTATATTGCGCCAGCTGAAGAGGAGGCTGCTCGTCTGATCGAGTCGGGCCGGCCCTTTGTTGTGAGGCTCAGAATGAGGCAGCAGACCCGCACGCACGCAGATCTCGTGTATGGCAGTCTGACGTTCAACAAGGACGAGTCAGCAGAGGACCCTATCTTGTTGAAGTCGGACGGTTTGCCCACATATCACTTGGCCAATGTGGTAGACGACTCTTTGATGGGCATCACGCATGTCTTGAGAGGCGAAGAATGGATTCCATCGTTGCCAATACACTTGCAGCTATACGAAGCACTTGGACGTGAACCACCGCAATTCGCGCACCTACCGCTCCTCGTCAATCCAGATGGCACTAAGCTATCCAAGCGCTCGGGGAATGCAGCCAATGTGGAGGACTACATAGACCAAGGATACGAGCCTGAAGCGTTGATCAACTATGTCGCCCTGCTTGGGTGTAATTGGAAGGGCAATGAGCAAGGCGAGCCCGCAGACAGCAGCGAAGTAATGACGATGCAGGAGCTCATCAGCAGATTCGAGCTTGAGCGAGTGACGCATTCGAGAGCGGCATTGGATTTGGCAAAGCTGGCTTTCTTGAATCGCAAGCACGTTCAGCTCAAAGTGGATGCAATTCTGCCCCGAGCTGCTCCCGCAAGATCGAAGGGAAAACGAGGAACTCCAGCTACCTCGCTTAACGCGGAGCCATCTGCACGGGAGCGCGGAGTAGACCCAGAGGCGGCAGAGGGCATGCTAGAGTCGCTCAGGTGGGGTTTGGAAGACCGCTACAACATCAGGCTTCCTCATATGGACTTCAAAGAGTTGGCGCGGATGGTTCGTCTTTTCGGCGAAAAGTCCACCTTTGTGCACGACGTCGTCGATCAAGCAGGCGTCCTCTTCGAATTGCCCGATCTATCGCCGCAATCCATTATCGATGTCGTCGGTCCCCACTCTTACCTTCACGTGCTGGCAATTGCAACCTCACAGCTGCAGCACGCCCCTCTTTCGAGCGTCAACTCGGCGAAGGACGCACTGCAAATCATCATCGAAAAGTCCATGAGGAGGGCCGGTCGACCTGCAAGCGCCTCTGGCGAGCCCGACCTGAACAAAAGGACGGTCAATCTAGCCATGCGACATGCACTGACTGGTGTGCTGAGTGGTGCGGCGCTCGCTGATCTCTGCGTCTGCATCGGCCAGCACGAGCTTTTGACGAGACTGGAGCGGGCGAGCAGAGCGATGCGGGAGCACCTCGAAGGCTCGGATGACGCGTCGGCTTCGCAGCAAGGCGAAACGGAGCTTGATCGGCGTCTGCGACTTTGCACGCAACGATACGCCAAGGCGATTGCGGATGCTGATACTCCGCATGAGCGCATGCGATTGGAGAATCTGGAATACAGGGAAAAGTTCCAGTTGGAAGAGCACGACAGGTATAGGCGTCTGCGCAGGATGGATGTGCAAAGTACGGCAAGGCAAAAGGAGATGGGAATCAGAGTGGCATCACCCAGATAGAGACGCATTCGCGAATAGAATTACATGCATGCGCATCTGCTCATCGGACAATTCAATTGAAAGTGATGACGGCCAGTGACGAGCGATACAGAGCAGAATGAGCGTGACGAGAGTGCGTGCGGTGAGCAAGTGTCCGTTGATGGCAAAGTGTCGCGCAAGGATTTCCTATCGAGGGGAGAGGGGCATGGCGCTACAAGAAGTTGAGCCTCGTGTCGGGCGTAAAAGGTAGATGCGGGCGTCTCTCGGAGCCTGGCACATCTATCGATTGGCCTGGCGAAGATAGCGGAGAGATCCATTCGTGGTTGGCGCCGTTGAAGAGGTACGGAGCAAGGGGAGCGAGGCTAGGCGAAGCGATGGGCGTAGGACGAGAGTCTGTGCTGTTTCCGCTGCCCGCGCTACCTCTGCGCGGCTGGTCTTCGCGCACGTACAATGCGCGTGGTCTCGAAAGACTATGAGCTGAGCTGCTGCTCACTACTCCGAAATCGCTTTGGGAAGCCTTGTGGCGAGGTTGCGCAACACTTGCGGGCGTGACTTGCACTTCTGGTCCTCCTCCTCCTCCTCCTCGTCCTATTCTGTCCACGGCGTCGCGAACATCTTGCATCTCCATATCTCGATTGAAGCGCGCGGCACCGGTGCTGCCGCCGCCGCCGCCACCGTTGCGAGACCTGATGCTGCCGAACCTCCACGGACCATCTGCTGAAGGCCGAGCGCCCGCACGCTGCTGCGGCCAAGGATTGTGCAGCTGCGTGTTTCCTTGGGATTGCGTGTTCCCTTGCGATTGAGTGGGGGACCAATCCAAAGACCTCTTTGAGGTTGATGGTCCAGTGAGAGTGATTTGGCTGCTGCTAGGCGCGTGCTGCATTGCTCTTTCGTAGACGGCGTTGCGCGCAGACGGTGGCATGGGCGAGCGTTTGACTCCCCTGCTGGTGCTCATTGTCCTTTGCAGTCCGCTGGACGTATCAACAAGGCTCGATCTCATGGCAGCTGGAATGCCACCGGTACCCTCTTGCCGTGCGTACGTCGTTGGCGGTTGAGGTGCGCCACGGACGGTGCGAACGCCCCTGATTGTAGAGACGCTGATATTGCTCCTCACGCTAGCGTTGCGCTGGAGCGGAACGTGCTTGTTGCGATCAGCGGGATTGTTGGGCCATGCCTGCTGCTCTTCGCGCCCGCGCCATCTAAAGCTTGGCTGGCGTCCCAATCGTGTCGTAGACGCTTCTCTTCGCACGGCTCGAGGGCCGGCAGAGTGATCGTTGACGAGTTCTCTCGGCACGTCGTCTCTCAGCAATCGCGCTCCTATGGTAGACATGCTGTCGTGGCTGTGATGCTTGTTATTGTTATTGTTGTTGTTGAGGAATGCTCCTCGAGGACTTGACCTGCCGCTAGAGGATGACTGCGAGCCGTAAACTGTAGCGTGCAGCCGCGGCGCGCCGTGTTCAAAGAATGGAGCAGCGTGCGTCATGGCTCGATGACGTTCGCGTCGAGCAGAAGACTGCCCGCCACCCTCTTCCGAAGCGAGATGTTGCTGTCTGGCGATCATGGCGAGCTTCTCCACCGCAGCGTCGTACGCGACGGCATCTTGGTGCAGGGTGCGTCGATGAGCAGCTTTGCCGTGCAAATGCCACCACGCACACAGCAAGAAGCACACGCCGAGGGGAATGGCGATGGCGTACCCCAAAGCGGCCACAGCTTCAAGCTGGAAGCTGGGAAAGAGGCCGAGCTCTGGTACCTTTGGCGTGTGCGGGTGCTTGGCATTGTGCACGCCTAGCCCTTCGTGAATGTGCGTGGCGTTTTGGAGCTTCATGCTTGGTGGGAATGCGAGACTTCCATAAGGCAGGTCGTGGTGTCCATCGAGCAAGCTTTGCAAAAGGCTCGAGCAGCTGATGCCTCTTCTTGACTCGATTCCAAGCCACTCAAAACTGTGACAGCAGATCTTCAGTCTGAGTGCACTGCGCGAATCTCAATGTGCTCATATATAGCGGTCGTAAAGTGACTATATACTACCGCAGCATGTGCGACTGCGCCAAATGCTGCTGCGTAGGGGGAGAGCAACAGCTGCGACGCGCTCTGGGATCGATCGATCGCCTCGACGGTCCTCCTTGCGAAATTGAAATTGCTTTTGGGTTGTTTTGAGTCGTGGTTGCCGAGAAGCGTCTCTCCTCAACCATGCAACGGCCCGGCCGGCGTATACGCTTTGGGGGCGAGCAGCAACGACGCTGTACAGTCCGCAAAGAGGCCGGCCGACCGACCGAGGTCGACTCCTCGCCGTTTCATATCACCTTGCTCCTCCCCATCCAAAACCTCGCTTCTTAATTCATTGCGGCCGCCCGCGGGCACGCCAGCGCGCACCGGCAGAACAAAGGGCGCGTGCGAGCGCCGACAAGCAGCAGCAGCAATCAAGCGGCAGCAAGCCGCTCAGTTCGATCGCACGCATGTCCATGAGATAGAGACGAAGGATGACCGAAGCTGTAGCGGCGGGCGGTACATGTGAAACGCTCGTCATCAGCGAACGAGGCATTGCAAGTGCTCATCTTGTGACTGAAGTGAGCATCAAGGAGCGCAAATTGCATGATGCCTACCTCGACTCATCCGCCGCACTTGTTGTGAAAGCAAAAAGGTGATGAAGGCGGGCGCGCAAGCACAAACTCATCAGCCAAACCGCCGCGTAGTCGCGTACAGCCTTGCATGCAGCTAGCACGCGTGCGCCCCCGCTAGCTGCTGGCTGCATCGCCGATTTTCACCCGCCTCGTTTGTGGTGCGCGCGAGCTCCGGAGTCGTTGAAAAGCTCCAATCACACCACTTACGGCAGGACATGCTCATCGGGCTGCTATATTCACGACCGAGCCTGCAACACAATCTCTCTTCGAAGCATGCAACACTTTTACGATCGGGTATTGACGAAAAAGGGGTTTGCGATGGTGCTAAAAAAAATCAACGTCTAGGTTGTCCCATCGCGATCTCTAGCGCTGGATCTCCTCTCTCCCAGCCCACTCCCACCAGGTCCGCTGCCTCTATCCCTCGTGCGATTGATGGAAGGTGGCGTCATACCAGCAGGCTTCTCCTTGTTGAGCACTGGGAGAGAGAAAGAGAGCCAAGGGAAAGTTTGAGCTGAAAGGCGGAGCCAAGGGCAAGATGCACCGCGACTCACGACTCTGAAAGAAGGTGTGCAACACTTCCGATTGTTTCGGCGTGCCGGGACTTGTAGGACCTTCCGGCGATGTCAGACCTGGACTGAGCGGTCCAGCTCGACCAGAGTCTAATGGCGGGCTCGCCAGACGTTCTGGTCGCAGTCCGGGCGTTCCTTCGCGCTCTCGATGAGATTCCTGGTGGAAAGGGCGGTGAACACTTCAATTCATCGAACGCTCGCTCGCTCAATCCACTCACTCGTCTGCCCATACGCGCGGCAGGCCTCGCACTCGTGCTCAAAGGCCCATCATCGGCATCTCCTATCTTCGCTAGCAGCGCCTTTTCCACGCTCGGCAAGCTCAGACTGGAGCTTCCCATAGGCCCAACCACTGTGCGCCCGCTGGACTCCGCGTCCCCGTTAGCCGATGCACCCATCGCACCACCCAGACGCGAAAGTTTCGAGCGCGAGTTAGGATCTGATGACATGTTTGCGTAGTGCTGCGCGAGAAACGCTTGCTCGTCTGGCTGCTTGAAACGCGTCGTATTGTTTGACGGGGCCTGACATGGATGTGGCGCGTCAGCTCCTTGGCTCAGACTTGACGCTAGGCAAGCAGCAACGCAACTCACTGGGGCTGTCCAGTCCGAAATGATATCCTCGTACAGCCTGACTGCGCTAGGAACACCGGCATCTTCGGCAGCCGCAAGCTGTCCCGTTTCTTTTTGTCGCGCGAGCTCCAACAAATTTTTGCTGCCCTTTTCCAGCCGGCTTTCTCGTCTAACCTGTTCGACGAGCATGTCCCACTCCCAGCCCTTTGAAGTGGCATTTGCATCAAATCCATCCCTGTGCGCCTTGATCTTTCCCCAAGTGTCCCAACCTGTGGGCACCACGAGCTCGTCGCGCTCGATCGTTGACGATCGGTATGTGAATGGAAATCGCGAAGAGAGTGCACCTCCGGCTACCACGCTTGACGGAGCTGCGCCTGCGTCTGCAGCACGATTATGAGAGCCATCAGTCGCAGAGGTGAGCCGTGCTGGCACTGGCGGGGTAAAAAGCCTGTGCAAGACGTAAGAGCGCAGCACCTCAAACGTCCGCGGCCGAGATTGCGCTGTGAAGAAGAGTCCAGCGCCGTCTGAATGAAGGTGGCGGGTCAGTGAGTCTCGCGTCTAGCCTCTGATCACCTTGCAAACCCTCACATTTCAAGCAAGTGGTTCGAAGCACCTGCTGTATGTAATCGAATTGCTCCTCCTTGAACTCGCGATCCCTTTCGAGTTGTGGTATCGTGTCGGCCTAGAGGCGAGGGGCCAACGTCAGACGCGTACTCTACACGCCCATCGCGAGCACGACTCACCTTTGTGCAAACGATCACAAGCGGTACGCCCCAATTGTGCTCGAGCACTCCCTCTCCTAACGGCAATGACGGATCTGTGAGCGCAGGGTTCGGGCCTGCAGTGGCTTGCACGCCATCTGTGGTCTGCGCGGGCTCCGCATAGGAGCGAATGTAAGCCTCAACTGGGAGGGTACGTCATGTCAGTCATCGGAGCATCACTGAAGCAGGCTTCTGCCTTACTCACGCTGCTCCCTAAGCTCGTCTGCAAGGGCTCTCTCCTTCGTCCATCTGGCCCTCTCCTCGACGTTTGCGCCAGCATTTTCGGCGTCCTCCAGCACCCCTCTAACAACGTCCAGCCAGGTAGACAGCTGCTCTAAGAAGGTCCAAGGCGCTTGCCAGTCAAGCACTATCATGAACAAGGAGTCTTTGATAGCCGTCATGGAAGGCTTCGGCGAGGTAGCGGTAGATGAGAGACCAGCCTGCAAAGACGTGCTTGGCCGCAAGGAGGATGCGCTTGCGGCAGGATTTGTGCTCGTTGGATCGGAGGACGACGCAGCAAGCGCAAACGGTAGCAGAGACAGGTGAACTGGGTGCGAAGAGGGGACTTGGTAGACGCCAACCCGCGCCAACGTGTCTGCGGGCGAAGAAGCGTTAGACGAACGATGGCCACCCTTTGCGCTTCGAGCGCGGAACTCTCACCCTCTCCGTCCTCATCACCGACGTCCCAGTACCCGTACCCCATGCCAAAGTCTGCCGCCCCCGAGACTTCGGCGTTGGTCTGCAGGTCATGCTCTGGGCCGCTCAAATTTGGCGTTCCTGTGGCTGCTCCAGACACTCCTGCTTGAGCCTGACCTCCGACCGAATTTGAAGACGAGCTGGCAGGCAGAGAAATGAAGCCGGCAGGCGCCCTCGCCGCCAGCGAAGAAAGTATCGTCGTCTTTCCGGTCCCAGGTTCACCTGCGGGCGCAGTGCCAAGAGCCGTCAGATGACGTCCGTATTGGCACAGCCTCTACCGCACTCACCCATGATGATCAAGTTCTTGAGGGGTACAGCTTTGCTGCTCTGAACCGAGTCCAAGATGCTACTCCAAAGGTCTTCATCCTGCTGCGCATCAGGCGCAGTCTGCGCTGCTTGCGCTGCCTGTGAGCCCTTCTCCATCGCTCCATTTCCAACTCGGCTTGGGCCTGCCGTATCGGCAGCAGAAGCAGAAGCTAGCGGGCTGTCCATGAGAGGCGAGCGTACCGCTGTCTACGAGTGCCTTCGAAATCAAATTGCTGCGCTTCCCGCGCGTGTCGAATACGCTTTCGTCGTCTATCTACCCTGCAGATCTTGTATGCGTTCCGGAAGGAGTGCCTCGCCGAGAAGCGGATGGTGATGATGATGGAGGACGTGCACGCACCACTGGGGATTCTCGAGACATGCATGCTTTCCTGCAAGGTCGCGCTGTGCGTGACGCGTGTGTGGCTCTACAAAGGTAGCGCGCGCGTGCGTGCGCTGTTGAAAGTAGTCATGAGTAGCAGTAGTAGGTACCAGCTACCTCAGCACATGTGCGCGCGTGACTCAGTCAGTGAGTGACCTCTGATGGCGCGCGGATCATCAGCAGCTGCAGCCAAAAGTCAAGAAGTGTTGCACTCAACGAAGGCGTGTTGCGCCGCAAGTTGCTGCCGCGGCGGCCATCCATTTCATACAGTTCAACACGCAGCTCGCGCTTCTGACAAGCTCGAAGCGAATCAAGGATGCGCTGCGATCAACAGCCTTGCTGCAGACACACCGCCTGGCCCCTCGACATTTCATGGGCCGTGGCTCACTTGTTGCCGCACCACACACACTTTTCCACACTGCAATTTTTCGAAAGCATTGCGATTGCTTGAATTTGCAACGCTTCACGGTTTTTTCTTGCGCTTGACGTTGAGCGTGTTCACCACGACCTTGCTCTTCTTCTCCTGTTCCTCTCTGATGGCGCGAGGCAACGGTCTGCCCGCTTTCTCCCACTCTTCTTTTGCGCGCATCAACTGCGCCTTGGTAGGGCCGGCACAAGCAATGTCAGACCAGAGCACACCTTTAGCCACCTGCACAGCAGGCAGAGAGTCGTCCGACTGCGGACTTGCGTGTTCCGCAACCGCACCCGAACCCTTTTCCTTCGTCTGTGATAAGCCACCTTTGCGCAGCACAGCTCGCAGCACGGCATCATGCCACGCTTCTGTGAGGTCTTTCGTGGCGTCCCAATTTGACCAATCGCATACATCCCTCAATAGATGTCGAAAGATAACGTCGGAGAGGACCTTTGGAGGCAGAGCAAGCGGTTGAGGGCTAGGGCTAAGTGTAGTGCTCCCACAGTGCTGGTGCACGGCTGTCTGCTCGTCTCGCTTCGAGTCCTCGCCCGCCTCGTCGACTTCAAAGATGCAGACAAAGACGCCTACGGCGTTTCCAGCACAGCATTCTTGTCTGAAGCCCATCCTTTCCCAGAATTCGTCCGGAGATATTGCGTCTAGGGCTGCGCGTTCTTTAAAGAGCGATTTGAAAGGCGCGATGGGTTGTCGCGTGGATATTGCGAGCGAATGAGCAGAACCGTGCGTCGCGGCCTGAGACGGTTCCGTTGGTAGCCTTTCACCCTGAGTTGCAGTGTTCGAGTCCTCTAATCGAACGCGCTTGCTGGCTCGGTCCGATTCGTCATCATCGTCGCCTGCCTTGCTTGTACTCGCCGTTTCGGGCCCACTGGCGAGCTCGTGAGCGTCCCTCGCAAGCTCTGAAATGAACCGGCTCTTTGGATCGTCTGGGAAGTGAGGCATCAAAGTTGCAGGACTGCCATGGGACCTAAGGCCATTGTGAATGCGTTCCACATCTGAACGAACGTCTGTAGACTTGCGGTGCAAAGGTAAGGGCGGCGACTGTTGCAAACCCCTGGTGTATGGATGTCCGTATACCCACTTCGATCTCGAAAGCGCATCATCCTCTCCGGTCGGCGCCGCAGGTAGCAGCTCTCTTGCCGTACCGTTATCGTACCCTGGAACGATGTAAAAGTTTCTCCCCTTGTAGCCTGTCGATGCGTTCACATCGCTCAGGACCTGTCTCCACCAGGCTATTAATTTACCATCTGGCAAGACGCGCTTCAAGGGGTTTTCTGGAGAGCTGGGGAAGAGGTAAGCGCCTTGAGAACGCGCCAGGACATGAATTGAACAATGCGTGATCGGTTTTTGTTTCGTTCCCCAGTGTCGTAGGCTGGCAAAATGCGAAAGGAAAGCTGTGGTAGTGAGTCGAACTAGAGACGTGGGCTGGGACTTGGGATGTTCCGCGTTCGACGACTGCTTCTCGAATCCCTGGACAAAGTCCACCAAGTTCGCATCGACTGCTCGAGGTGCCCATCCTGTAGAATCGACTTTACTGACGTATAGCACCGCAGCTCGCTGAGCGGGAATGGTGTAGAGATAGCATTCGAGGGCGTATATCAGCCTGCCTGTGTGCTGCGAAGATCCTTGTCCCTCTTTGGCTGTTCCGCACTCGGTCGTAGCCTCATCGGAGTGCGCATCCTCCCAGCTCACTGTGCAAAAGACGTGCTCGACAAATGCGTCGAGAGGCTTTGGCGGCGGCTTCGAGCTCTGTGGGTCTACATGCGCGAATGGGTAGAGCTCCTTTGCTGATGAAGGTGTTGAAAACAGCACGTGCACCCTGGCCCTACCTCGCAGTGCACATGGACCTGTCGCGACGGTGCTGCTGCGAATGGCTTCGGTTATAGTGCAGAGCAGCATTTCGCGTCCATGGTCCTTCATTTTGGACGGCTGCTTTCACAGCGCTTCTGCCTCTAAGTGTGAGCTTTGGCCAAATGGGGGCCGCCTGAATCGCTCAACATGGAAGTGTCCAAAGTCTCTCCCACGATTGAATCTTGAGAATTTGAATTGTGATTGCGAATCCGTATGGTCATGGGTGACGTCGCGAAGCGTGTGTCTGTGCCCCGGTCACAAATCGAAGCGCCTCTTCGCGGCATAGCTGCAGCACGCACCGCGTCGCGTCTTGAATTTCGTGTCGTGCACGACATCGTGGAGTTCGGCCGACGATACCCGAGCATCCTGAGCTACTCAACACGTGACAGCTTCGGCCGCCCAATTGGCGGAAGCTCATTCGTCGACGGCGCGCAGTCGGAGCGGACGGTGGTGACGAGAACGTCCAGTTGACCGCGTGACTGTATATAACGGCTCTCGTCAATGAAGTGTCCACGCCGAGGTTACAAGCGATCAGTTCACAATTCCGACCTCATCATCTCAGTTTGTTGACTCACGACTGGGAATCCGCGGGGCTCTTGCGATCGTCGTGCCGTCTCGCCCCACAAGGCTCTGCACCCCTTCTTTAGGCTGTCAGCCCACCTCAACCCTGGCACACGACTGATCAAGTCCTTCGCAGCCACGGAGCCTCCTCTAAAGACACCATGTCATCCTCCAGAATCTTCGCAAGGTCTCTCTCGAGCAGCGCCAAAGCTCGCGCTCCTCCATCCGGATTCTTTGCCCGTCCAACAGGCGAGGCTCAGACTCCCGCTCGTCGTCGAGAGAACCGAGCCAACGTGGTAGCAGCGCCTCACACACCACCTCACATCCCATCCGAGCAATCTCCAAATTATCCAGCCACTTGGTCCAAATCGCAAAATCCCAGGCCTAAAGCGATGCAAGGACCACGTTTCGAACAGATCGATTTCAACCTGCAACCTTTGCCCCTGAGCGCCATGGAGATGATTCACAGGGAACCGATTCGTCTCACAAAGAAGAGGGTCGTTGCTTGCGATGGTGGGGATGGACCGCTTGGACACCCTCAGGTGTTCATCAACTTGGTGAGTAGGATGTCGTGCGATCGAGGAGGCAAGTCATGTGCTCATTCGAATCTCGATGACTGCACATCGCAGGACAAGCCAGGACCCAAGGCGTGCCCGTACTGGTGAGTACTGCCTTCTTGCGACGCATCGGAGAGCTGCTCAGCACGCAGGGCCACTTGTGCTTGCTTGCTTGCGCTTGCGTGGGGGACGCGAACGCTTGTCACTCTCTATCCCATCGAGAATGGCGACGTGACAAAGTTAGCCTTTCGAGATGACAAAATTGCGGGCGCGAGCTGCTTGGAGCAAAGTCGAAGCACGAATGGGTGTATGCGTGTAGCAAAACGGCATCGGAAGTCTCATGCTATTTGCCTACTCCACCTATCTGTCCGCCTGCTGACGTTCATTATTTGCGCCCTCATCACAGCGGTATTCGCTTCGAGCACGACCACGCGCACCACTAGAGTGGACATAAATGGCCCCTTGATGCTCTCTGTGCCACGAATCTCGCTCGCCGACCGACAGTCTGCCCACACTACTGGCGCTCTCCGGTCGATCGATAGCAATCTTCGATGTGATGCATCCATCCATCCCTCTTCGACTGAAGAGACGCCTCATGTGGCTCGCCTGCCCTTGAAAATGTGTCTGTGAACAGGTCACCGTCTCTAGTCGAAGCTCTGCAAGACTGTCGTGCTCGTGTGCCAGGCAGCAAATTATTCCTAGACTCTTGACTTTTGGCTCGGTAAACTCTCCGAATTGAACGCTACCCGTCTGACTAGTGTGGGTGTGCGAAAGATGCACGCAAGGTATCCACGATCGATGTGCGCGCCTCTTGCGCTGCGCTGCGCTTCGAGAAGATAGAGGCACGCTTGCGACGCAGCTTGCCTCGATGATTCCCACGCATAACCTATTCAGTCACAGCGACTCACTCTCCACTATACTTCTCTTCACCCAAGGTGACGGCAGTGTTGAATGGGACCCTCTCTACTGCTCCCGATTGCAAGACTTCACTGGACTCACCGCCCTGCTCCAGTCACAGGTCACGAATGTTCTGCTGGGTGATGATCTGCATGCGCGTTTGATACATTGAGTACCGTACTTGACTGCTCGCGGTGACGCTCAAATTCACGATTCACGGTGAGTTGTGCGCCTCTCTCATCGTGGCGCGGAAGCGAAAGCCGAGGCAGAATTCAAGAGAGGGCACAGCGCCGATAAAGCGTACCATCATCTGGCCGGGCGTGCGCGGCCTTCTCTGCTGCTGCTGCTGCTGGTGCATCAGCCATCAGCAGCCATCAGCCGGCGCGCGTGCTTGGCTTGCAGCACCGCCTCATCTTTCCGATCGCGTGACGACACCCATCATGCGGCTCCTCGTGCCTGGACCCATGTCTCCTCCACGTCAACCACCATCACATTCTTGATTACGGACCCCAGTCGCAAAGCACATCTGTGGAGAGCTCGAGGTGCTGCACATCGCGCGAGCGTGACTAGCCTTGCACTCGGCAGGTAAAGGCGCATAGGCTCGTACGGAACGATACATCAACACTGTTCAGCAAGCAGCCTATCGAGATCGAACGGGAACGCGCACGTCACAAGCCATCTGTGGTTCAGGCAGCAAGCATGTCGTCGGAGGGGAAGGTGGAGCCATTGGAAGGCGATTCAGTATCCAGAGCACATGGAGGCGCATCAAGTAGCGCCGCTTCTCCACCTCTCTCTCCCTCTTCGCGCACGGCAACCATCACGCACCCGCTAGCCCGAGCACCTTCACCCACAGCGCCCACTGCCGCAGCCGCTTCATCCCTGGCGGCCTCTTCCAAGCGGCCACTCCACTCCATCGACCTTTCCCACCTTCTCTCCTCGCCCGCAGCATCGGGCAGCACCACCCCGCGCAGCTCAAACGGCGTTCTTGCCCCGCGAGACGCTGTGCCACAGAGCTCTGCTCGCGCACCTCATCAGGGCGGAGTGGCACAACAGAGAGCCGCCGATGGCTCGACGCTAGACGCCGGCAACTCCGCTACTAGCGACTTGCCTTCCAGAACCGCATCGATTGGAGGTCCATCGAGATCTGACGCGCTGAATAGACCACACAATGACACTAGCTCAGCATCTCCCACGAGAGCTGTGCCAGCGCAGAGTCACACTGGAGCAGCAGCGCCACCTCAGAGCAGCGCAAACGAAGCGATGATGGTCCGGCGGAATATGCTGAGAGCTTCTTTGAGTACGTATGTCCAGCTCGGAAAGGGAAAGAGGATTTTGCTGGTCCTGCAATTCTTGCTTTCGCTTTGTCAGGTGAGTAGCAGAGGTTATCAGTCAGTGGGAGGCGGTATGTGCGATCGTGCGAGACCGGAGAATGCTGCCTGTTTGATGCCGTGTCTTATACGCATTCTCTCTTGACGTGCGCAGGTCATACTCGGCATAGTCGTAGCATGCTTGCCCGACTCCCTTGGGGATTCGTTGAGAGCGCCGGGGTCATTGTGCGATCCAGAGTCGTGAGTGAGATGATTTATTTCGTAAGAAGCATTTCTGAGGTGCTCATGCCCCTTGTTCGCGCAGGATGTACGTATTCTTGCTGCTGCACACGTTCAGGGTGCTGTTCTGCATTCCAATCGATCTCTACCTCGGACTTTCGCCACACCGGACCCCAGCAGCGCGGCGCAACCGATCTGCAGAAGCTCGCGCTCAAAGAGAGGCAAACAGGACATTTGGCAATTTGGCCTTGGATGCCAAAGCGAGCAGATTGTCAGACCTGTTGGGGTTGTCGCACATTGGGATCTGGTTATATGGTAATTATGCGGTCTGGACGAGCTTGGAATGCTCTCATAGGCCGGCAGACAGCGTGGTGCTCTGGTGGTCCAGCCTCACTTTTCTGAGCATCACTTACATCATCATCCTTGAAGTCGCTTTGCTCATCTCTGTGAGTGCATCGACTCGCTGTGCGGCATTTCCGTGAGCTCACTTCTTGGCCATCTTACGCCACACAAATCAGCTGGTCGTGTTCTTCTTGCCGATTGTGCTGGCAATCTTACGAGCGTTCGGTCTGGCGGATAGGTTCCCGAGAGCAGGCATCCACCCAACGACATCCAAGATAGATCAAGCTGTGATAGAAAAGTCTTCGACGTTGGTCTACTTTGTTCCTGCCGAGGAAGAGGCACGTGCAAGTGAACAAGGACCGGTGGCAGACGCAGCGTCCATAGGCCCTCGCGCCAAACTTGATCAAAGTGACAGCCCTACCAAAGTAGAAGCTCCGTCAGTTGACGATGCACTGCGTACCTCGCAGCATCGCTCCGGCGGTCTAGCGAGATTGTTCACCCGCAGAAAGAGTGGGCGGGTTTCATCCAACGCGGCTGTGGTCACGACGAGCACCGAAGAGCAAATGCAGCCCGCGCAGAGCGATGCGCAAGCCTCACATGGTGGGGAACAGAAGTGGAGATACCCTCTTCATCCGGTGAGTTGACCTTGTGCGGTGCACTCTTTCAGCAATGCCCGCCTTGCTGACGTCAAGTCATCCTCTTCTCCGCGACTCCAGATACCTGCTCATCGCGCGACGTGCCCAATCTGTCTAGTAGACTTTGTGACGCCGGAACAATTTTCCAGCGAAGCGAGAGCTGCAGCTTCGGATCTGAGCAAACCTGTCACCACGCCTGCCAGAACAAAAGTCAAAGGAGATGCTAGCAGAAAGCGACGGAGCGCATGGAATTGGCGAAGCAGCTCTCGGCCGCTCGAAAGTACGGAAGCTCCAGCAGGAGGCGAATCTACGTATGGCGAGGACGTCGAGGCGTCTGCTGCTGCGGGTCGTTCTGCGCACGCTGAGGCTCCGCCTTCAGCAGATGCGTCGTCCCAAGCAGAGGCGGAAGTGCTCCGACTCATGCCTTGCGGACACGCTCTCCACCGGGCGTGCGTGGACGAGTGGCTGTCCAGCGTCAGTGGGAGGTGTCCGGTCTGTCAGAAACCCTTGGTAGAGGAACGTGAAGAGACGGATGCATCTCGCGCTCCTCCTGGCACGAACGGGAATGCCGAGAATGTCCTGCAAGATGTCGTTGCTGCAGCTGCGAGACCGGATCAGCCGACCGGGGCAACTGGACCTGCTAATTCTCCAAACGCACAGCATCGACCTGCCCCAGTTTTAGCGGGCTAGAGCGAGACGCAAGGCAGAAGCGCGACGGCAGGCCCGAGCAATGTTGCGAACGACGGCGCTACAATGCACACAGCTCAGTCCAACGAAGCATAAGACTATCCGAGGATTCCATTTATCCATTGATCATCCTAGACTCAAGCACATCCTTACGCGCCCCATGATGTGAGCTTCTCATAAAGCAGAGAAATCTGCCTCTCCCATCCTACAATACCGATTGTGTTTGCATCGGAAGCTGCGTTTCACCCTGCATGGCTGCGCACGATTCACGATTCGCAAACCAATTGAGGCTGAGCGAGCTTTCCAAGTCGGACAGTCTTGGAGTACTGCGACGCGCTGCACAGCGTGACGAAAAGGACAAAACTTTACCGGATCCCGTCCCTCGCGCGCCAGGTCTCGAAGCTCGATCTCGCCGATGCGACTCCAACATGATTTCTGACAGCGTCGTGAGTCGCCGGACCTTGTTTACTCGAGTAGTGTTGTTAGGCCTTCTGACCAACATGATTAGGATGGCGTGCATGAATTTTCTAACCTTTTCATTCCGAAGCATGGCCAAGGAGCCTTAGCTCCAGAGCCAAATGGGGCATGCAAAAGATGAAGAGTACAGACGGGCCCGCCTTGCGTGGTGCGTGCAGGGTTCAAAGGTCGCAATGCCGAACAACCTCTACGCCACTGTACAATCCTCCTTCGCATCCGCCAGTCCCCGCCTTCGACTGCTTTCCCTCACAGCGACAATCTGAGCCAATTTGAGCTTTTCACTTTCGCTCAGTATGCCCAGCTCCCTCTTCCTCTCCAATGCTTTCAAGAGGGAATTCTGCTCAGCCAGGATACGCTTGTCGACCTTGTTCGAGCTCGTGCCCGGGATCGCCTTGAGCAGGTTGTTCGACGAAGACTTTTGCCCAATAGAGCCCGTCGCATCCCCATTGTCGGCCTGTTTGCTATTCGATTTTGCGACGCCCGCGCTCTTTTTAGCGTCCTGACCGGGCACCAAGTTCAGAAGGCGAGACTTTGCAGAGTCGCCTGCCCCACCTGTGCCAATCGTGCGTCCTGTATGCGCCTGCGAGGTGGCGGACATTGAGGAAATCGAGGGCTTGGGATGAGCCGCAGAGGTGGATGAAGCTGGGCAGGCGTGCGATTGTGGTGTTCTGTGAGATGGACAGAATGAAGCTTTGCAGGATGGGCACTGGAGCGAGGGGCAAAATGTATCAGCATTCTGAGTCAGCACTTCGGATCACGCCTCGCTCGAATCACACTCGACACTCACAACAATGTCCACCATCAGATGCTTCTTGCACCTCTTCTCTGCGCACATCCTCTTTACCGATTGCTGATTGGCGGCATGTCCAATCGCTTCCCTTCTCGTGCCATCCGAGTCCAAAGCGATGCATTCCGTGTGCCATTCCCATTCCTGCTCTCCCGTTCCAAAGCCACCCAGCAATCTGGACTTTGCAGCAAGTCCGCTTCCCATTGTTCCCCTCGAAGAGCCAGCTTTAGGGACTCGACGCGCAGTCAAATGCTTTGTGAGGGCCGCTTCGGCAGATTCGGAGCCTCTTTTCCATGCTGGCGCTTCACCGCACAGGGGACACAGAGGTCTTCGCACATCCGCTTCTGACAGCGCCTTTGTTCCAGCTGAGCATTTGTGCACCGAGACGTCAAAGTGAGAAGAGCAGTATGGATCGTGACAGCTGATAGAGGTGAGTGTGGCCGGAGTGTCAGGTGCTGGACAAGCTCTCTTTCTCAAGTCAGATCGTGCAGTGCAGGCTAGAGGACCTACTCACTAAGCGCACTTGAGGGGCAAAAAGTCGCTTTGACGACAGTCTGCTAGCGTGCATTGCTGCCCGATGAACATCAATTGAGGGTTGGGTGCTGTCATCTTGTGACTGTGATGGTGTGCGTGAGGATGTTGGACAGGTGGCGTGCAGAGAAGCTCAAGCAAGCAGTCGACGGAGTGGCAAGTGAAGAATGGGGATGACCTCTTGTGCCTCGCTCGCTCTTATACGAGATGGTGGCAGCAAGCAAGTGCGTGTTCAGTGATGACGACGCTACGACTCAGCGATGTGCGCGCTGTCACTGTGTGGGGATGATGATCGCCAGCAGCTGCGCAACTCGTCTTGGAAGAATGAAGAATGCAGAAAGAAGTCTGATTCAACACACTTGCATTCGTGATTCGACGTTCCCAATTAACTCGGTCAGGGACAATCGTGAAATGTTTGACTGCGCACGCGGATATGCACGCTTATTGGCGCTCGACACCGCCACAGCATGAGCGCCTATACCGCGAACGCTTCGTTACGGCCGGTCGCGGCGCACGCGTCAGCGCATCGCGGCGATCTCCCCCAAACGCGCTTATTGCTCGCCTGATGTTTGAACGTCCAGATCAACAACCAGCATGCGCGCATCCACAACAGACACTCGAGCGAGGCATGCCGTGTCCAATCGTCAGCCTTGAACCTTGAATTACAAGTGGCGAGTCGACACGCACGCCAGGTAGTCCTCGCAATCCGCTTGGAGCGTTGAACCCCGCACCCCTTGACGCTCACGTACGTATGTTGGGTCCAATCCGAGACAGCATGGCCGTGCACGCCTGAAACACTTCAACCCATTCATGCCATGCCCATACGATACCTCATCAAAAGCATTGCCCTTTTCAACCCATGAAGGTGTGACTTCTCATCTATTCTCAATGACGTTGCAATGTGTGGTAAGGGGGCGGCTGCGAGTGCTGTCATTCGTGGTGGTCGGACAAGTTTAAGCTTTTTGAGCAATGCCGGGAGTGATCAAGGGCGCTTTTGCTGCCTCTCCATCCGTATCCATGGCCTGTTTGACTAGACTGTTGTCCAAAAACTTCGCCATTCTCGGTTCCACAAAGATGGCTTTGGCTTGTACCAAGATCTGCCCATCCAAGCTTTGTATGCTACCTTGCACCGTGCACTTCCTTCCTTTAGACTCCACCTTCTCCGTCCTGACCACGACAAACTGATCCGCCTTGACCGGGGCTCTATAGTCCACTTCCAAGCGCGCCGTCACACCGACGTGATGAGGCAAGCTGAAAAAGGCCGTTCGTGCCAACGTCTCGTCCAGCACCGTAGCCAGCAAGCCTCCGTGTATCAAACCGTCGTGTCCGCACATGGATCTGCCCAGGTGAAGAAAGGCGTACGCATCTCCTTCGTGACCTCCCAGTGCTCCAGCTCCGTGTGGAGTCAGGCTCATCACCAACGGAGCAGTGGCGAATAATCCTGGACCACGCAGCGAGCCAGCAGTCAGGCTGTGCAGCGCTTTGGAAGCTGGAAAGCGTGCATAAGGACGAGACATGATGTAGTGTGCTGTGTTGGTGGGATTGGCAGACTCCATGGGCGGTTCAGTGACAGGGTTTGATCCGCTTGGTAGTTGGACAGGCGCAGCAGAAGATGCTTGATCGGTTGATGATTGCAAGGGTGAGTTGGGAGTAGCCGGACTAGCGCTCGCCTTGAGCTTTTGAACTGCAGCCAAGGTGAGCAGCTTTCGTTCGATCTCTGCACAATGAGCGATGCCCGCTTCAGAGTCCTTGTCCAGCTTGGGAGGCGCGGGTGCTGGGTATAGCAAGCTAATGTAGCTTGGTGGATACAATGAGCCCAGCAAGTATGTTCCAGCTCCGAAAACGCCCAGCAGCGCTGCCCTCAGAAGTCCGCCTCCACCGCCTCGTTGCCCCTCTCGCGCCGTCGCGTGCGCTTGTGGTCCGCCATGAGCCTCTGACTGATCCGCACGAGCTGAGCTGCTGAATCTCCTTCGAGCTGTTGCGCTGCTAGCATACAGTCGCAACTGTGCCGCATGTCTGGGATTGAGAATGCTTGGGCAAGCACATTCGACTGCTTGAGGCCATCTCGACGGGCCGACAGTGGCAATGTTGAGCGCTGATCGTGACATAATACTTGACGCGATGCTGTGTGCGTTGATCCAGAGGTGTGCTGGCAGCTTTGTGTGAGTGCGTGTGATAAGCAGGCATGTAGGAACATGAGCTGATGGGCAGTCAAGAGCGTGTGAGTGCGGGCCGCCGGGGCTCGCGTGTCAAGCTTGAATGCGCGACGAAGGCACCTGCGCAAAAGATCAAAGATTGTGCCGACGTCGAAGAGAGCGACGCTAGACTATTCGTGGTTGGAAAGGAATCGGAAGGTGCTGATTTCGACGAGATGCAGCGAATGACTCTTTCGATGGATACGCAGATCACCACACTTCGGTACCGGCCTCTTGGCCGAGAGCGCGAACCGGTGCATCCTGGATTCAAGATTCTTGATTCAAGAATTGTCTGCATCACGTGGAAGGCCAACACACACCATGACGACGCTTCGCGCGCGAACATGATCTCGCTCGCTGCATTCGTAATGTTCTGATTGTGCGCGCACCTAAAGCGAGCTCACGGACACCATCGAGTCTCATCAAGGCTCAAAAGTCGACTGATGAAGCTTCACATTCGCCGCTGAACGCGCCTCCGACCCAAGCCAAAGCTCATTCAGCGACAAGAGTCACGAGTGCAGCTCGCAGCAGCCAAATTCAGCGCGCGACGTGGACTCAGGCCAGATCCGAGGCGCTGGATGCGAAAGCGGTACCGAAGCGACGTCAAAGGCTTGTTCTCTTGGGCCATGCTTCCGAGTTAAGTTCGACGAGTGGCACCACAGTGAGATCAACGGCCAGCAACGATACATCAGTAATCTTCTGAGTGGGTTAAGACTCCTCCCCCGCGACGCACGTCCAAGCCGCGCCGGAACACACTTTCTAGAGTCGACGACCTCGACTATGCTCGCAGTTCACAGCCGTGCATCGTGCCCTCTGGCTAGAACAAAAAGGCCCCTTGCACGCGCGGTATCTCGTTGGCGACAGCTCCGCAGCCACCAAGGTGTCGAAATGTGCAATCTCGATGCTCCTGACTCCTAAAGGTACCCGCGTTGCATGACCCTTTGGCCCCTTTCAACTTCAACTGGTGCAACCAGCGTGTAGCTCATCTCGGCATGAGAGCGAGAAGCATTGTATTCACAGTGCGTGCATTTTGCGACGCGCCCTGTTTCATTTTGACCCTTTCGAAAGATAGGATCGGATGGTAGGTGTACATATCATCGTGATTGCTTGTCGATGTTGGCATGAGTACGCGGCACCGAGGTGGGCATAGATGTGCTTGGATGAAAGGCGCTTGCTGGCCAAGGCTCGTTAGAAGAGCGCTCCATTTAAGCACCTTGACGACGCTGCTCAGCGATGGCGGAGGTCAGAGTCTCCTACAGAGTACAGAAGGGGACGAGCGGTAATCAGCCATCGTCTGTCGAGTCAGCTATTCTTCCATAAAGACAACGCACCATGCGGTTCTTGGCGCGCTTGAGCGTACCGAGACGAGCCTTCAAGAAGCGACGGGCGCGCTTGTCCTGTGGGTGTGAGCGGCAATTGTAAATTATGCGACGATGGTCAGCGATGCCGCGTAAGTGCTGCAAGATACAAGACCTAGCTCTTTGGCACGGTGGTGCCCAAGCAACAAAGAGAGTAGGTACAAGGTGGCGCCGCTCCTCCAAATGCAAGTTCCTTCTGCTGCGATGCCATCCCTGCACCCAAGGGTAGGTTTCGCTCGGAAGACCCGACCACAAACCACGAGCCGCAGCTCACATCGGAGCACGACATGGCCGAATTTTAAGATCCCGATTCTACTCTTTCTCCTAGGAAGCCATCAGGGTCCTGCTCCCTGCCATCGCAGCAGCTCTCTCCGCCAGCCTTCCCTATCGGGCCTCGTTTGTCCTCCCGGCCGAATACTCACCTTGGAGTTACGGATCAATTCCATAGCCCTACGCTCGTAAGGAGCAAAGCCGACGACTTCTCTGACGACGCTCTTGATGACAGCGTTTCTCTGGCTCAGCTTTCCCTTACGACGAGAAGCCTTCTCTTTGGGCACACGTCGGGTGTTGACGTGACCGCGGTTGATACCCCATACCAATCCGGTTCGGGGGGTTCCCACTTTGTGCGCTGGGTTGCTGGAGTTTCCCATCTTGACGAATACGTGAGGTGTACGTGTTGCTGGTGATGGAGATGTGCTGTCGTGGTGGGAGGTCTTGAGCGTGACGACGTGAGAATTCGACCTGGAAGGCTTGCTGCGGGCACAGCGCCGACGCCATGCAGCCAGCCAAATGCGCGCGCTCAAGCAAATCTCATGCAAAGCTGCGTGCGAGCGAGCGAGCGGGCGAGCGAAAGTGCCACGTGGCTTGCCTGCCTTTCTCGTCTGCCAAACCTTATGCCTGCAGCAGTGGGACGCATTACATGCGATCATCTTACCGATTGTTCTCGACCGCGTCCATTTCGAGATGATTTACACCACTCACACTGCTCGGATTGACGATGCCCCGCCGCACAAGCACGACAACCAACTCACAGTCACCGCGTAACGAGCAACGAGTCGCTAATCTTGAATCATTCTGTATCGGTGCCGCCTTTCGGAGACCCACCTCACCCCTCGAGTCCCTGCCCACACTCACAATCGGTAAGGTCATTGTGATCATCTACAGCTTCTTGCAGTTCACGAAGCTGGATCAAGATGTCGTCATCACTCGCTCGTGCGCTACCCGCAGCCGTCAAGGAGATCAGGCTCCACCTGTGTCAAACTGGACCAGCCTCCGCCGGCGTGAGGTGAGTAGTGTCTTGTGACGGGCATGGAAGGCTACATCGGCATGCGATACCGATCGAGTTCAAAAGTGCCATCAATCACATTCGATGGGTGACGTCTACGAGACTCTCGCTGACGTGCATTGTCCTTCGTCCTACTTTTGCATCGATAGGGAATTCTTGAGCAGCGCGTATCCTGCCGTCAAGCAGGCCAACCCAGACTTGCCCTTCTTGATCCGTGAAGCATCCGGTACACCAGCACGTATCTTTGCTCGATTTGGTGAGTGAAGAATGAGAGCAACGATGCGTGAGGGGATTTGGCTGCGGGAATAGGGCAAATCAAGCTGGCTCAGCACCAGACGCCCCCCGAGACAGGTTCCTGGCAGTAAGACCGTCATTCACGGGTCACGCTGACGCTGTGAATCTCTGCGAATCGTTTGCAGAACGCGGTCAGGAGAGGCACATTGAGCTGGATGGATTGAGCAAGGCCGACGTGGAGAAGCGATTCTCGCAGCTTGTAGGATGAACCCATCGTCTTCCGCACCGCTAGTCAATTAGAGTCACTTGTCTGTTCATTGCATCTGCTGGCTTCTCTCGACGAGTAGCATCGCGGGCGCGCAGAGCACGCGAAGGGAACACTACGGTATGCTTTGGGCGTGGAGCACGCCCGCGCGGTCACAATCACAACGGGGTATTTGCGAGTGGGTCATAGCACTCAATACGCGTCATCGATTGACCTAGGTAGGTCCTCGCATACAACAGGTGGAGGCAAAGCGCAAAGCGGGCTCGTGTGGTAGCAACAGAAAAAATGCAAGCTGGAGAGTCGTGTTTGCCTTGCGCGGGTATCGCTTCGAGGTCGCCGCACATTCCCGCGCATCACAATCTTGACGGTGGATGAGCATGGTGATGATCATGTGCCGCCTTGCTATTCTCGGCACGCAAGAAGCCATCAAAATAGGTCTCGATCGCCGGCGCTTGGTCGAGGCCCAGCACCGCGCCCACGTATCCGTCCGGTCGCACGACGACGACACCGCCGCTATCTTCCGTTTGTGGGCCTAGCCACTTGCGGTGCAAGCCGCCAACCGTGGTGGCACCATCTTCTCCGCGCTGCAGATCACCTCCCTGCTCGACGTCGTCCGCGTACACTAGCGCGCGCAATGGCCCAAGGTGGTCCAGGTCGGTCAACTCAAAGTCGAAACGGCTTTGGCGCATGATGAGAAGCAGGTGAAAGAAGGGATTGGCCTCGTGGGAAAGTCCGTTGAAGAGGCCTGTGTTGAGGGCGCGAGGTCGCTGGTGATATGCGCCTTGCGGCAGATCTCTTCTTTTCTTGGGGATGAAGCGTTGCAGGAAAGATTGCGAGCTTTGCAAATGCTTGATGAAGGCATGTAATCGATCGCGATTCCTTTGTGGATCGCCGGCCAGGACGTAGAGCCGAAATCCACCTGGTGCAGTGTACTGGATCTCGTGGATGATGCGCACAGCCTGAGAATTGATGAACCGCGTAGCCCAAGCTGGTTGCAGTCGTGCTCCGGCTTCCAAGCGGTGGGAAATGTTTCGAACGCCAAGCGGCCTCGCATCGCGAAAATTGAGCGCGTTGTCGGAATACGTCACACCCGCCCCAGTGGTGAAAGCTGCATTTCGGCGTTGGACCTTGACAAAGTATTCTTCGAGCTCACTTTCATTGAGCTTTCCAAGCTCCGGCTTGCTGGCGGGGATCTCGCCAGAGAAGAGCGCCGCGTACTCGGCATCAAAGGTGATCAGCTGATTACCGGTAGCCCATCGTTCCGAGTGATACGTAGAGAGGAGCGCGTCGTGCTCAGCCAGGCCCTTCTCAACCAGATTGATGCGCCAAGCAAGCGCCTGAGCGTCAATGATGGCGGTGTTCATGCCCTGACCTGCTTTTGGTGAGTGCGTGTGGCAAGCGTCCCCGACGAGGAAGACATGATGGGGGGGAAACCGGGAGCCGTTTGCTGTGCTACCCGCCGGCAGCGAGTAGCGCGACACTAAGCGTTGTCCGATCGGGTAACACGTGAACCACTCTACGGTCTTGAAGTCGAACCTGTAGGGGTGAGCGATCTTCTGTATGGCCTCCATCACCATGTTGCTGGTCACTTTGTCCTTGGCTTCAAAGGCGCTTTCGCCACTCTTTTTACCGCCTAGCCTGTTCACTTGCGTGTAACATCTGATGATGGGTTGACCCGCCTCGTTGTCCTCGCGCGGGAAGATGTACAGGGCGCCATGGGCTTTGCTATGGATTGTTGCAATCTTGCGCACGCTGAGAGTTCAGGGTCCGCAGCCCTCGTCAGCTGGTTGATCGACGGTCAAGCACGTGTCCGCACTTACTCACTCTGGAAAGTCGGTTTCGACGACGCAGTCGAGTGCACTCCAGAGCGTGTCGATGATCCCAGCAGACTCGAACACGACACCGTGTTCGGTTTCCATGTTTTTGCGTACGCCCGAGCGTCCACCATCGCATCCTACAAGGTATTTTGTTCGTAGTGACTTGAGCTGTCCTGTTCCTTGAATCGAGTAGTCCGGCTGGCCAGCTGCGTTTCTCGTCTGCACTATACCGCGCGTCTTTTCCAGCGTGACAGTCACCGGACGCTGCTTGTCATCGGTCATTTCGAAATTCCGGAATCTCCACGGTCGCGTGACGCGCAGACCGTGTCGTTCCATGTCCTTCAGAAATCCGCACTCGATCAAGCCTTGTTGCAGGCCGAGCGTGCAATTGTCTTCGATTTCCATGTTGGTGGGAAATGACTGAACGCGCTTGTTGCGCGCAATCACCGTCTCGTTACCAGGCTGCGGACCCCAAAAGGTCCTCTCGTAGCTGGCAGCACTCCTCGCTACAAAGTCGCTGCCAAGAGGCTCCATGTTCTTGAGCACCTCGATCGTCTAGGTGAGTTATTGGGAGCGCGGATCAGCACGTCTCGTGCGAATGCACATAGCAAGTCACCCCTTGGCAGACTCACCCTGGGCTGGATACCGTCAGCGCGACCAGCCGTGGTGGGCTCAGAGCGCTCATCGACGACCAGAACGTCCAAACCTCCAAAGCGTGCGAGCGAAGTCTGCAATGCAATGATCAAGTCATCAGCAAACGTGGCATTGCGCACAGAGACGTTCGGAATTTCAGCACTCACCGCTGTCATGAGGCCAGCTGGACCTGCGCCTATGATGATCACATCCCAGACATCCTTGTCGATGCTCGACAATGGCGTCGGATAGTCGTGCGTGCCGTGCGCTCTTCTTCCCCCACCTTTCGTCTGCTCGATCGTACTCATGGCGGATGCGATGGCGATCACACGAGGGTATGCTTTGGCAGTATCTGAACGAGCGCCAAGTAAATATGGCAGTCGCGGGTGGGAGTCGCGCTTTCTGGTGCCTTGCGCGGTGATTTGAAGCTGCGGGATGAAGAGCTGGCGGGGGCGGCCTGCTCTTGAATGCTTTAGAGTGTCTGACGCGCTCACACTTGGATCGGGCAACGAGCTAGAGACTAGGTCACTTGAAGCGCCAATTCCGACTTTATGTAGGCCCTTTCGCTGCCGAGTAGCCTGTTGTGGCTGAGCTTCATGATGAAGCTTGTAGACATGAAGCGATGAAGGCGTATATGATTTGCACGCTTGACTTGGTCTGATGACGAGGTTGCATCTTACGTCAAGCAAGCAGCGCTCTTGACTCCAAGTTCCACAAAATCCGCGACAAACTCGGAAATCGCGGCATGCATGCCGGCACTGCCGCGTGTGCGCGTGCGGTCACAGCGCGTGCATCAGCGAGTTGCACGCATTTGCTGCTGCGATGATTGGATGGAATCAATTAAATGAGTGCGATTTGTCCGTGTCTCGTGACGGAAACGTGTCCGGTTCCACCGCGCGCTTGAGCCTTCGTGATCGAGTCCAGCGAGTACCCATGCAGCAGCTCGCGGGCACGGCTGGCGCAGTGGCCAAAAGTGCTGGATTGGAGCGTTTGTCAATCACGCGAATCAGAGTGTTCGCTTCGAGAAATATCTCGGAGCGTAGCACGCAGCCACACCTCACGGCCTTCTCACGCTGGCTTACAGTAGATGGAGTCACAGCTTCGCCGAGGACTGTATGACTTTCTGCTGACGAGTCTACTCTCGCGTGCGAGTAAGCGCCCTTCTATCTGGACTGGTTCGAGGAGGGTTGGGCAGCGGTATGAATGCGTCTCTCTTGCACTCACGACTTGTCGTGGAAGTTTTGAGTTCACGCCGAGGCTCGAGCGTGGAGTGCTAAGACAAGCGCTCGAGGTGACAAAGCAGGCATGTCGGCATCGGCCTTGCTCGGGTCGAAGGCGGCAAGGTTGTCGTCATGTACGTAGCGATGCTGCACGGGATTCGTGATTCGCGGCTCACCTAGCTGCCAGCATCCATCCATTCAGCATTTGGCAACGCGCTGCGCAATTGGCGTCACGCATCGGCCCCACAACTGACTCAATGACTCGCTTCTGACCCCGATCGGAGGCGCGTTTCCCGTGGTCGAGAACGAACAAGCATCCGGTATGGGTGCATCTTTTGTAGGATGACAGCACCAATCTTTGGACGCCTATGCAGGCCACGAAGCTCTCTCGTGAGGCCTCTTCTTTGGCTATGGTGTGAAACGCAGAGGGGCGGTGGTGCCACGGGATCATAGGACAGATTGATGGCATAAACACGGCGCGGTCACCTTTGGTGGTCGCTGAATGAGCAAAGGCAAATTGGAAATGACGAATCTGGTATGCCACTCAAACACTTCTGGCTCGTGTCACCTCAACCTGATGAGCTCTCAAATGTGCGAGGTGTTCTTGCAGCCCGTTGGGATGGTTCTTGCGTAGGCGCCACTCGTGGCAGTCGACGTTCGCATACTCTACAGTCGAGAGTCACGAGTGTCCGCGTAACCCGTCTCACCGGTCAATGCTATGCGCCTCCCGCAAGATTGCCGTGTCTCTATACACATGGTGGACAAGGCAATCACGATTCACGATTGCTGCTGGTTAGCATGGCCCGAAAGCGTACAATACGCACGCACGCACGTACTCGCAGCTGGATGGATGTAGCCATGGCGCTAACGCGCGCCGCAAGGTCGGGGTACCCGCGGTAGCGCAATGCCAAGCAAATCGTTAGAATCGGGAATCGCGAATAATTACTATTCTGATTATTACCACACCCCATGCGCACGGCTATGCATCATACAAGGAATCCTGAAGCTCGCGCGATTCGTTCAAGTCAAGAGTTCAACCTGGAATCCTAACTTAAGGGTGTCATCTGCCATATAGCTGCAATATAAGCCATCTACGAGTTGCCCTTTCATGGGTTCACTCCTGCATGTCACCAATATTTTGATTCTTGATTCGTGATTAGGGCGTTTGACTTAAGACTTCAAGCAAGCTACCCCTTTCCACGGGTGAAGGGAAGCCAAGAATAGAAACCTCGCTCTCGATGCGCTCACAAGACCACGAACTGATCTATTGGGACCGCTGGAGCTGCCGCAAGTGAGTCTAAGCGACGTTGCAACAATCTTGAATCATTGAGTGCACCCACTGACTCTGCTCGCCTCGACTGCGCGCCTCTCACCGCGGTACTTGATTCTGGATCAGCAACCCTCTCACCGGCGCTTGATTTTGGAATAGCCTGATCGAGGTGTGTGATCATCATCATACGTGTCGCTGCATCCGAGAGGGGCGAGCGTTGCGCCTCGCATTTGCTCGGTCCTTGGCACGTCAGACGCCCACTCGGACTTTCTACAAGGATTGCCTCCAGATTGATAGAAATCAAATGATGAGATGAATATGAGATCACATCCGAAGAATTGAATGTATTTGAATATTCTTTCTGTAAACAGGATCGTGCAGGCTAGTGAACGCACCGTCGATGGTCGACTCTTCTTCAATCAGAATTGAGATTGAGAATCTTGAGTGACCGAATCAAGAATTTTGAATCAAAAATGTAAATCGTGAGCGACGAGAGATGGGAGGCCGCAAGTTTTGAGCATATCAATGCGTCCGAGATGATGTATTCAATAATCACGAATCACGAATGCATCAACATCAGGGACAATTAAGCAGCTCGGCGCGAGCCATCAAACCGCCTCTAGGCTGCATGGCCGCCCGCCCGCCCGCCCGCCCGCGCCCGTCGGCCAGCATGGAACCGAGCAGCCAAGAAGCGCCCGTAGCGCCATTCCGCTGTCAACGAAGATTTCTTGGCGTGCATACATCGCGTTGCACGGAAGCCCATGCAAGCGCAAGAGTGGCGCCTTGCCAATGGTGCCTCGCGGTGCTCCGGTGAGCACATTAGCGAGTCCAAGTCCATGCAGTCTTCAGTCCAGTAGTGCAGTGCAGCAGCCAAGCGACAATTTGTGCCTCGCTTCATACTCGGTGCACGCATATAGCGCCTCGATCGATCTTCCATGCAAAGACAGCAGCAGCAGCAACAGCAACAGCAGCAGCAGCAGCAGCAAAAGGCCAACACGGGGGGGGCTACTTGTACGCACCGCACCGTAGCTGCTGGATGTGTGCTGTTTGCCAAGCACAGACTGGCTGTTGCATGGCGGATGATTGATTACTTTTGCGGCAACCCCGGCTTATCGTGGGGCTACAGTGCGCGGAAGGTGGCGGTGATCGAGTGCGGGCTGAGGAGCAGAGTCGTGAATGGTGAATCAATCTCATAGCGAGTTGCCTGCATGGCGCCGCCCTCGTTGCAACCGTGCAGGTCGATGATCCAAGGAAGTGCAGTGACTGGAGGATCTTAAGCCCGTTAAACGCACCAATGTGAGCGCCTCGCCTCCTCGACACTTTCCTCGACCCCTCTCTATGTCGGGCATGAGCGATCTCGCACCATGGATACTGCCCATCTAACCACTGCGATAACTCACTCGCACATTCCTCGATAGGTCTCCGCCCCTCCAGGCCGCGAGCATCGGATAGCGGGTCTTCTCTCCACCATCCTAGACAGCCCCTCCCGCTCCAACAAAGCGCACGGCCGCGAATCAACGCGATGCCGTCAATCAACACGATCAGGCACTTGGTCTCCGGCGCAAAGGCTCGTCATGTCGATGACGAGCTGGGCGTCGACTTGGACCTCGTCTATCTTACCGACAGATTGATCCTGATGGCTTGGCCTGGATCAGGCTTGGAAGCGCTGTACAGAAACCCTAGGAATGATGTGCGACGCTTTTTGGAGAAGCGTCATGGACCTCGCTACCGTGTGTACAACCTCGTGCCGCGGTACGAAAATAGCTGTGAGTGGCGAGTGAGCGGCTCGCAAGGCGGATTACGGCATCGATCCGCTTGCTGAGACCCACACCGTCCCGTCAGACGAATCGTGGGAATTCTATGAGCAGGTCTCTAGATTCCCCTTTCCCGATCATCATCCTCCCCCACTCGGCATGATACCTCTGTTCGTTGCCGATGTGACAGCGTGGCTGGGAGAGGACGAGCGCAATGTTGCGGTGATACATTGCAAAGGTGAGCGACCCTCGAACGAGTGTCTGTCACGACGGAAGCGCGCTGACGCAAGCAATCGCCGCCGCTTGCAGCTGGCAAGGGAAGAACCGGAACGATGAGTGTGGCATACCTGCTATCTCTGCCGATCTTGCCGACTCTAGCAGCGAGCGAGAAGGGCGTCGGCACGTCCCAGACAGCTGCCGTGCCCCAGGGCATATCAGTCGATGGCGGTAGCAAGTCTTGCATTCGAGACCTCCCACCTTCTTCCACCGCATCGCGCAGCGACAATGAGGAACTCTCGCGAGAGAATAGCGGACAAGACAGCAGTCACGGCAGCAGCAGTACACACCTTACCGTGCCCTTCTCTGGCTCGGTGCGAGGCAGCAAAGAGCAGCAGACATCGTCCAGCTCCGCTTCAGAGGTAGCCTCGCCCATCGTATCGCCAATAGAGGATACGGCGCAACGTTTGCGCACAGTCTTGGAACTACACACTGCTAAGCGATTGAAGCCCAAATCCCCCGCTGCATCACCCAAAGGTAAACAAGAGGCGAAAGGGCGACCTTTTGAGAGCATATCTAGTCTGGCCCCTCCAATGCATGAGCAGTCGCTCGTACCACCTGAAGATCCGCCCTCGCTGGAAAAGCTCGACAGGCCTGCTTTATCAGGCACCCGTTCGCGCTCCACTTCGCGAGTCGGCGGGTTGCTGCGCCGAGCAAGCTTCAACTTCAAGCGCTCGACTGCCTCCAAAGACTCGCCGTCGTTGCCTGATGGTGAGCTCCCTGACCTGTCATCAGAGAGCAGTACAAGGAGAGCGTCCGCTGCTGCGTCACCGCTGTTCTCCCCTTCTGCCTTGCCAGGTGCTTGTGCATCGGAGCAGGCTGCTCCGTCGTTGCACGGCACCGAGACCGCATCGTCCAACACGCCTATCAAAGCCGTGCGCTCGAGAAAAGATCTACGTGCCCTTGGCGTATCTCCGAGCGGCCGATCTACGGATCATTTAGCTGGGAGTACCCAGTTCACGAATCCCTTTGCCCTGACGAGTGCCGATAGCCTCTGCAGTCCTAGCGACGGACAAGGCGCTCTTCACATGTCCCTGCCTCCAACTCCGCCCCGCTCAGCAAAGGGCAGCAAACCCTCTATCACCTCGTCGTCACTTATAGTGCCGCCAATCACGCTTGCAGAAGCGACACCACAACCGACCAGCGCGATGGAGCTCCTTGCTACACCCAGTCCGGCTACAGAGTCTCGCTTCGCCGCCCTTCAGGGGAGCGTTTCTGACAGCAATCTGTCTACCGACACGGCTCGACCGCAACGTGACAGCGAGAGCAGTACTAGACGCTCCGCTGCCGCCGACCGACCACACATTGTCATTCCGCCTCGCACATCATCCACCTTTGCTAGATCCGACCTGGATCTTGCGCAGCTTCAAAGTGGGTTGACATCGAGCGCGACTGTAGGCAATTTGGCGTCGATTGACAGCGACGATGATGATGCCGAAGCGAGCGATGAAGCGCCACGCCTCGCCATATCGATTCCGAGTCAGCGTCGCTTTCTTGGGTACTGGTCGAGGATGCTAGCAAATTCAGATCCTCGTTCATCGATCTACAGCTACAGCATGCGTCCTACGAAGCGGTTGGTACGCATCACGCGAATCTGGATTGAACGAGCCACGCCATCGGATCCGAAAGCGTCCAAGCCACTTATCAACGCCGACAATCTGAGCTTGCAAATCATGCGATATGATCCCCAACTCGTCGACCGGCTCACGGATTGGGAGCGCAAGGCAAGGCGCCGAAACAAAGCTTTGGGACACTGCGATCCAGGTGCATGCGCACCTGAGCTGGGATGGGAGGAGAGCGAAGACGAGAGCGAAGCACCACTCTCTGCCGAGGCCAAAGCTGCCAAGAAGCAGCGTCAAGAAGATCGGTGGCGGAAGGTCGAGGCTCGCAACAAGGCTCGCTCTGCACTGGCGCAGCACGGCAACATTGCAGGAGTAGGGGAGTGGGGCATCAACGTTGTCGCTGAAGCTACTCGAGCCCGAGACTTTTTGTGGAACGATGAGGGAGCACAGCACCTGAGTGCGGCTGCAAAGGAGGCTTCAGAACCTCCATCGAGGATGCGCCGACCCACACGGCAGATTCAAACATGCGCCATGCTGAGCCAAAGTCTGCGCGAGAGGGTTGCTGCAGGTCGCGTTCGGTACGACTTTGATCCTGCTGTGCAATCCGTAGATCGCACACAAGCCAGTCCAACAAGTGCACTCTATTCCGCCACGGAAATGCTCAGTCGAAGCTCCATCAACCTGCTCCGCGGCTCCAGTGCAAGCACTCCGCTAGCATCGGCTACTAGTCAAAGACGTGGCTCAGACGCGGGTCTCCTCTCTGCGACCGATGCTGCGAAGCCTGGGCCCGGATCGTACTTTGGCATGCCGGCCGCACCAGACATGCCCGCTTCTCCTCGCCGCACCTCGCCTACGCGATTGCGTGGCGTGTCGTCGCAGTTCAACTTGAGCAAGCGGATGCGAAGCGGGTCGAACGCAAAGTCGAGTGAAGTGCTGCAAGACGAGGCCTGCGCTGACCTGGTCGTCGATGCGGATGCAGAGTTGGGCATCAAGGTGCTTCTTGGCAAGACAGGCACCACGCACGCCAAATTGCCCGACATTACAGCGCCTTGCTGGGCCTGGCTGATTCCTTCTTTCGAAGAACCTTTGGCGCGTCCCATCAAGGGAACTCGTACTCAGCTCAGATTGGCCGCCGCGGAGCTCGACTTTAGGAAATCTGGCGCTATGGCGCCCGGGGGCGATGTCAGGGCAATCGGATTGGAGTGGGAGTGGGTAGAGACTGGAGCTGTCGACGAGGATGACGAAGGATAGCGTCGTCATTCTCGCTGTACAGCTCGCTTCTAAGGCCCGAACCTGGCGTACCTCTGTCGTACGATCCGAGCCCTTCAAGACTGACAATGTAACATACCAACACTCGTTATACTCGTTCAATTGGTCGCATCGTCTTTGGACATGTCCGTGTCTTCAATGCATCATCCTATTCACCCGTCACGCGAGTGTGCAGGACGAGTCTTTGGGACGAAGAGGCGCTTCACATGAATGTCTCTATTGGTGATACTCATTACAGCGTGAGCCGATGAAACTCGTCATGGTACGTGTATTTACAAAATCATCATTAGTTCGTGAAAAGCTTGGACCATGCGGAAGCGCCTACCAAGCCGCCTTGGCTGGGAAGAGCGAGTTGGGAAAGGTGCGGATCAAAAGCTTGCGCACCTCGTCGATGATGAGCAAGGCCAGGCCGCAGGCCATCGAGATGCCAATGTACTTGCCGACGATGGGACGAGTAAGAAAGATGTTCTGAAAGGTTTGCGGATAAGAGACGATGATGCCCATCACGAGGGAGATGACGAGCGCTGGGAACAAGAAGAGGTTCTGAGTCGCTTTGTTGCCAATGGGCGCTTGTTGAAAGATGGAGAGTTTTCGGGTGCGCATGGCAAACAGGTTGAACCACTGCATGCTGATGAGTGCCCAGAAGTAGATGGTGTTGGCCTGGTTGAGCACTTCTTGGAATCTTGCAGGATCCTCCGTTTGAACCGTACCAGCTCCATACTTGGCAACGATGTCCGAGAATGGCACGCCATTCTCCTGCAAATAGGCGAAGGCAAGCGACGAAGCGATCAATGCGTAAGGTACACCGACGGCAAAGTATACATGCGCAAGGGTCTTGACGTCTATCAGGCGGTCGTGCTTGACGCTGCGAGGTTTGCGCGCCAAGAGGTTCGCTTCCGGCTTTTCGTGAACGAGGGAGAGCGAGGGTGCCAAATCGGTAAAGCAGCAGATGAAGATCATTTGCAGGTTGTTGAGCGCCTGCGGCAGACCGACAAAGAACGCGAGAAGCACAGGGATGAGCTCGGAGAAAGAGCCCGCTGGAAGCAGGTAAGCGACGCTCTTCCTGAGGTTGTCGAAGCAGAGACGTCCGTAGAGCAAGGCATCCAGGATGGAGCTAAAGTCGTCCAGCAGGACAAGATCGGCGGCCTCCATTGCGACGGCACTACCATTGCCCATGGCGATCCCGACGTCGGCGCTCTTCAAAGCTGGAGCATCGTTGACACCATCTCCGCTCATACCGACCACAGCTCCCCTTTTTCTGAATTCCTCGACGATGCGCAGCTTCTGATCGGGTGTAGTGCGCGCAAAGACGAGCTCGTCGAATGCGCAGACATTGTTCCAGTCCTCGGGCTGCAAACGCATGAGATCGCCACCAGTCAACGCCAGCGCTCGTTGCTCTCTGATGTCATTGTCTGCAAGGAAGTCGTACTCCGGTAGCGTCAATGCCGCCAACTCTTCGAACTTGTGGACCTTCGAGGCAGTCACGAGGCCAATTTGACGGGCGATGGCAACGGCCGTACCTTCAAAGTCACCGGTAACCATAGCGAAGCGGACCCCAGCCCCACGGCACACTTTGACGACGTTGGGGATTTCGGGACGAGGTGGGTCGACGATTCCAACAAGGCCAATTACGGTGAGGCTCTGGCTCAGTTCGATGAGTTGGGGCTCGGCGAGCTCGCTCAGAGGACGATTGATGACGCGGCGGGCGAAGAGCAGAACGCGCTGTCCGCGGTTGGCCCACGAGAGCTGAAGCGTGGTGAGGTGCGCTTGACGCTCGGGAGTAAGTGGGACGATTTGGCCAGAGGCATCCAGAACTGACGAACATCGCTTGAACAAGATATCCGGAGCGCCTTTGGCGAAGAGAATGGCGTTGTCGCAAGCATCGAATTTGGCTGCTTCCATGCCGAGTGTCTCCTCGAGTCTCTTGCGGTCTGCTCCCTTTTCGCCCTCCATCGCTCCGGCGACATGCAGAGCAAACTTGTTCTTCGAGTTGAAGGCGAGTCGCGAGAGGACCTGCCAGCCGGAATTTGCCCGATCGACTCCGAAAGTCTCTTCTGAGTACCTGAAGCAGGCCTGGTCTGTCGCGTCGCCGTGAATCCTGCGTTGCGAGAGCGGGACGTTGGCAGGCGTCGATTCGTCAAAAGACGCAGCAGTGCAGATGGCGCCGACGTGCGCCAATTGTCGAAGACAGTCTCCGATGGGTCCGTCGATTGTGATTTGCTTGGCCGCGTCCTGAGGGTTCGAGTCAAAGCCATGCACTCCGCAGCTCTGGACAAACATCTTGTTCTGAGTCAGGGTTCCCGTCTTGTCGGAGCAGAGGACGTTAACAGAGCCAAGAGTCTCGCACACGCCAAGGGACTTGGCCAGCACACGACTTTTGCGAAGTTTTGCTGCAATGGCGGTGAGACTGAGAGTGACGCAAATGGGCAGGCCTTCGGGGATGAAAGAAATGAGGATGCTGACGACGTTGACGAGGAGCTGAGAGACAGACATGAAGTTCGGATGCTTCGGTCGGAGGAAAGCCGCCCAAATGATGATGCAGATGATCGCAAGGGTAAATGCCAGCACAGTGATAGTGATGATGAAATAGAAAATCTCGTTTTCCAACGTTGTACGCTCCGTCTTAGGCGCCGAGGAGAGTTTGGTCAAGCGACCAAGCACGGTGGAGTCACCGATAGCGGTGACAATTGCGAGACCGCTGCCACCGACGCAGGATGTTCCAGCCATGCAGACGTTGCGACTCTCCAAGTAATTGTCATCGGTAGACTCGACGGTGGCTACAATGGCATCCGACTCTCCGGTGAGTGAGCTCCTGTCGAAGGAAAGCTCGCTACCAACTTCGATGATGCGCATGTCGGCTGCAATTTTTTGACCCATGGAGAGGATGACGATGTCGCCTCGAGTGAGCTCCGAAGCAGGAATGGTGCGCTTGCTGCCATCCCGCAGCACCAGCACGTCCTGTGGTAGCATGTTGCCGATGGAGGCCATGACGCGTGAGGTGGACCAATCTTGCCACGCGTTGAAGATTGTGGTAAGGACAACCACAATGAGAAGGACAACAGCGAGAGCCAAGTTGGACGCTTGAGGATTCGGGTTCCCCAGGGGCTTCCAGGCGAGGAAGCATATGATCGCACCGCCAATTAGGAGAGAACCAAATCCGCCAAATACATAGCCAAAGAGTTTACGAAGAAGTTGGCTTTGGGGCTTGCTCATCCTGTTGGGACCATATTGTGAGATGCGTCTCTTGGCTTGATCCGCATCAAGGCCACCGGCCGGTGAGACGCCAAGTCGATGAAGGACGTCCTCTACTGGCAACTTGTGCCATTCGAGATTGCTAAAGTCCTTGAGCGTCTTGCGTTCTCCCTTTCGATGTCTTTGTGGTGCGTCGGCGAGTCCACCAGTGGACATCACCAGGCTCATGGTCCTGTAGTTCATGGCCAACCTCGCATTTGGATCACCTCTGGGTGCCGGTCGACCCAGGGAACCAATCGAATGTTGTCGCTCGAGTGTCTTCTCCCTCTTGATCCTCCTGGCAGCAGCATCGTCACCGATTCGCCCGAAGTTGATATTTGTGGGAGATTTGACCGTTGACTCCGGCTCGATTACGTCCTGCCCCTGCATCTCGATGTCTTTCTCCGCATCGTGGCCGTGAGTTGTGCCATCGCGCGCGTCCGAGGCGTTCTTGGACGAACTAATGGAATCTGATCTGTCCGTCATTTTTGGCGAACAAAACAAAGCGAGGAAAAAGACGTGGGTGATGCTGCAGGCCAGAGAGTCAGCTACGCTGCAAATGATGGGAACGCATCTCACATGGAGGTAACTCACGAATTTGGTCTATTGGCGAGACGCACTTGTTCAGGCGGACCTCGAAGAGCCCGATCGAGGCTGTCGCACTTGTCGCAGGAGTATCCGTAGAGAGGTGGATGGGGCTCAAAGGATTGCGTGGGGCTGTCAGGAATGCGAGATTTGGGAAGAAATTGAGGGTCCACGTGCGAGTGTGCGCGCCCTTTTTGAGCACAATGAGAAACCTAAGCGGGGTGTAGCTTCAGAGAGCGACAGCGGGCAGCCGATACGGTCATTGAGTGCCAATTAAAAATCGACGACCGTCAATCACGGCTCTCATTATGCGTCTCTTGACCGAAGGGCCAATCAACATGAACGCTTATCGGACCATCGTGAATGCACGAGACCTCCCCCTGAAAAGACCTTTGCTGTCTCGCATCTTCGACACAAAGCTGTCGTGTTTGCTGCTGTATCGACACCGGACGGAGAAGGCAAGCAAGTCACTTGTTGCAACTATACGCATGCACGGAGATCATAGCCCCTGGTGCCTGGGCCTGAAGGTGCGGAGCAAACGAATGCTGTCCATGCTTGTGGTCTCTCGGCATCTCCTGAGCTTTCACTGAGCGTCTCGTGTATGTGTCATGCTGTTCTGCATTCATTTCCCGCATACCCTAGACCCACTTTACGCATCGTCGAACACGCAGTCGTGAGTCGCTCCGTATTTGCGATTGTCAGGTGTTGGCAACGCGAATCTCGACCTCTGCGCGCCTGATTGAGCCCACAGCACGGCCGGGGCGCGGACGTGGGCAACGGGCTACGCGAGCTCATGCAGCAAGCACGCGCCGCTTGCTGATGAGCATCAACTTGGGCAAAGGGGAACGCCGCCGTGTGGCGTAGCGAGCATGGCGGGATTGATTATTCACGATTTCGACCATTCGGCAGCACAAGTCGAGCATCGCGATGAGCGCAATTCTTCATCGGGCAGGATGCCGGTCGAGATGAGACGCCTGTGTAGTAGAGTCTTAGTGAGACTCGTCATGCTGATCGCAGCGAGAAGAACATGCGTCGGAGCACAAGTAGCCTCGATTCTCCCCCTTCGATGCCTTGCCTTCGAGGCCGATCGATCCCTCCTCCCTCACGCAGGTCGGAGATCTTCCTGGATCGGCATCCGCCCTTGGTCCACCTTCGCCAAGGTACTCATGACTGCGACTGCGCTTTCAGCAACGAGGTGGCGATGCGATTAGACCGACACAAGGTCAAGTCGACAGAACATTGAGGACTGTGTCACCATCCGTGCTGCTGTCGAGGTATCGAAAGCGGCATCCACAATTTGCTATTTACGGCAGCTAGCCGAGTCATACGGGCGGCAGGCGGTCCGATTTAATTGTGCCATCTCACCAGCGCGTGTTTGGTCAATTGCCTCTGGCGCCAGTCGTGAATGGACGTGTTCCTCGACTGCGTCTGCTGAGTCAATGAGAGTGCTCAATCGGCTGATGCTGCTGCTGCTTCTGCCCAAAATAAGATTCGAAGGTCCGGGCCAGTCATTTCACGGGCTCTCTCGAACGGACGCTGGCTGCGGTGCCGACAAGAAGGAAAGCGGAGAAGCCCCTTGCGCACGCGCAAGGCCTCAGCTAGGCGAGCTTACCGAGCGCCGCAGGGACGGTCCAGATAAGCTTTGCATTAGGAACGTGTCTTCGGCGTTCGGGGGGGATGACTTTGGTCTGGAACGGGGCGAGATGCGAACCTCGTTGAGGAAAGCGCCGCGTGTATGCGGCAGCAGGATGGGGGTCTAGGGTGAGGGTTGAGGGTGTGCATGCGCGCATCCAACAGCACAGCTAGAGACAAGAGGAGGGCCCGGCCGGCGCGTGTGACCAGTCACGATTGATTTCATAGTCATATAGTTGAAGCGCGAGGGATGCGCCACCGCGCACGCACGCGTGAAGCCTTGCGGCTTTCGTCGCGGCGGTGATTCACATTCAATCCACATTCTGATTGATCCATCCACTTTCGACAACTTCAGACATGCGCATCCGCAGCACCGACGCTCTGCACTGTACGCATTTGGACAAGGATCGAGCAAGCAAGCACGGCACATCGTTCGCTTGAGGGTGCGATGTCGCGTTCCATCAGAAGCACAGCCCCTCCTGCTTTGTGGAGCTTCTCTGAACCGCTGTGCGCACCTGATGAGGCCATGGTTGAATCTGAGTGTGAATGCGCATCTTGTTTGCTCTAGCCGTAGCCGTGCTCACACTGCCGCGTCGGCAAGCGGAGTCATAAACGATGAGATTTTGACGTGGTCCAGACCTTGGATCTCTCTGCTTCGCCGCCTTGCCCACACCTTTGCGTTCACATTCAAGATCATTGTGGTTCGGATGCACACGTTTCGTGAATCAGCAGCCTCATCAAGCTCTTGCGCGATTCGAGGCGTGGCTAAGCGATGCTTCCACGCTGCACCTCTTCGATCTGGCAGATTCGCTGATCACAGTAGCAAAGCGCCTCAAAATTCCATCCACCGCGGTCAGCGAGATTGATAGCAGAAGCTGCTGACTACTTCTTTGTTGAGCAGCGACCGCCGGTCCGCTGGACCTGCTCAGCCCGGTTTACTTTGTCTACTTGATCATGAAAGCACCGTCGGGGAATGGTACCTGCCACACAACGTCCCTCCACGCTGCGACGGATATGAACACACTAGACCAGCACAATCCTGCGAGCCAAGCCGATCCAAAGGTTCGTGCATTCGACGGCATTTACATGGTGCCGCATCAGTACGTCAGGGTTCGAACAAGAGCGTCGAGGATGCGCGTGGGTCCGGGCTTGTAAAAGCTCTCGTGTACATGAGGAAAAGGCGTGTCCCAACCCCCCACTCTCTCGACGGGCGCTTCGAGGTTCAAGAAAGCCTCTTTTTGCACATGAGCCGAGATCTCGGCTCCAACACCAGCAGTGACGGGAGCTTCGTGAACGATGACGCATCTTCCTGTCTTTCGAACCGACTCGACGACCGTCTCTCGATCCCATGGCAGGATGGTTCGCAGATCAATCAGCTCGATCGAAGCGGTTCGGAGGTGCGGGGAAATGTGGGCGGAGATGGTGCTGGAAGGGTTGCGCAGCATCTCGATGGCCTGCGCACAGGTGTAAAGCGGTGCGCCGTACGAGATTAGAGTCAAATCCTTGCCCGGAGTTAGGATCTCGGCGGAAGAGAGGGGAAGGGTAAAGTCGTCCACCGGACAGTGTTCGACCGAAGATCTGTACAGAATCTTGGGTTCCAAGAAGATCACTGGATCAGGATCGCGAATGCTAGAGAGCAGCAGACCCTTGGCTTGGATGGGCGAGCGTGGAATGACCACCTTGAGACCAGGTACTCCCATGAAGAGCTGTTCCACGCTCTGAGAGTGGTAGAGCGCACCATGACCGACTCCCATGCAAGGCGCTCGAATGGTGAGCTTGCCAGCACTGTGCTGACCTCCGCTCCTGTAGTTGTACTTGGCCGCCTCGTTGACAATCTGATCATATGCGGGGAGAATGTAGTCTGCGAATTGCACCTCTGCGATGGCCGTGTGACCCATCGCTGCCATACCGATGCCGAATCCCACCAAGCCTTGCTCGCAAAGAGGAGTGTTGAAGACGCGTTCCCTCGAGTATTCGGCCTCCAAGCCCATCGTGCTGCGAAACACTCCACCGAATGCCACATCTTCGCCAAACACGCAGGCCGTCTGGTCCGACGCCAAGATGTGCGATTGAGCATCCCTAATTGCCTACGAGTGCCATCAGGAGCAAATGGAAAAGTCTCAGCAAATCAGCATGCTGTGTCCAAAGTGCAAATGATGGGTCTGATCGGAACAAGCGCTACGCAGCAGGCTTGCATCACGAGAAAAATGGAGGATGGATTGCGTCATGTGAAAGGATGCGCGTGCGTGCAGACAGTATCTGGATGGGAGCCAAGGGATACAGAAGCGGAACCAGGGGAAAGTGGAACACTGATAGGAACGTCGAACTCATTGAGAAGCCTCGTCTGCTTTCTGCAAGTCGCGTTTCCTAGCCTCGAGAGTGAGGGCAAGATCGGCGCCGCTTGCCTGAGACAGAACTCGGGCAAGTCTGCTAGCAGGTGCAGAGAGGAGACCGACAATCTGAGCGCGGAGGGTTGCGAGGTCTGGCAACTTGCCAACGGCACCAAGAGCAGGAATATCGAGCAGGGTCTTGCCTTCGGCTACCGCAATGAGAGGAACGAGAACAGGTGTTTTCTCGATCGTTCGTTGGATAGCCTCCGCTTCACCAGGCTTCAATTTTCCTCCCAATCGAGCTCGCTCCTGCGCAATCACCTTGCTACCCGAGTGCTTCTCAAGCACTCTGAGCACGCGTGAAAGGTGATTTGGGTCCAAACGAGGCACCGTCAGCATGGCTGTAGGTCCCTTGAGATGCTCTTCCAGACCCTGGATAGCATTGGAAGAGTGGGCTCGGACCAGGGGACGCAAAAGCGCAGTTCGAGACACTGTCAACTTGGCGCCTTCGGAGCTTCCGCTGGCCTCGAGGCCCGGCACCGCTGCAGGCACGCCTGCTGCCTTGATCTCCTTTCTAATCTGATTGAAAGTGGGCACGTCGATGTTGCGGTGCGCCAACAAGACGACGAGGGGAGCCGTATCGAGGAAAGACTTGTACTGGTCGAACAGGAATCGCTTCCTCTCCGGATACACCCTGCTTTCCCTCTTGGACCACTCGATCGGCGACAAGGGTTGACCAGCCGCGCCCGCAGTGGGAGCAATGAAAGCCTCGCCCCTCGCAGACGACGTGAACGCACGTTGCGAAACTGAAGACGAAGCATGTGCCACGGCCAGGTTCGAAGAAGCGATCGCGGAAGCTCGACGCACCGTGTAGAGGTTGATCTTGCGTGTCTCACGCGCGACGCCATCCTCTCCATCAGTCCACTTGATTCCAGGAGTGCGCAGAGCCGCTTTCGAGGTACTGGCCAAGAGAGAGCTGTTGTTCACCTCTGGCGTCTCGGCAGCCGAGGGAGGTGCGGCTTCAGCAACGCTTCCCATAGCGAGAGCTCGGGGTCTAGCGGAAGCGCTGAATGCGCGTTTTCCACCGCCAAGGGCCACCTGCACTGCGGTTGGATGGGCTGTGCGGGAGGTGCTCGAGCTGGATGCGAGCGAGTGGAGGCTTCGCACTTGAGTGCCGCCAGGTCCAATCTCAGGTGCGTTGGGGTCGTTGCGAGGCTCCAAGAAATGTTCGCCTTGACTCTTGGACTCGTGCGGTGTGGGCACCTGGAAAGTGGTGTCCTTGAGTGACATGAGGCGTTCTTGATCGGCTCCATCTTCAAAAACGTCACCTATGCCCCAGTAGGCCGACGGTTCGACAGAGCGCTCGAGACCATTTCTCTGGCTTTCGCGAGTCAGATGCTTGACATCATCCCAAGCTAGCTTCTTGTCGAGTGCGGCAAAGTTCTCTTCAATACGCTGGGGGTTAGAGGATTTGACGATAGGGATGATGCCTCGCGCCAAGCACCAGGAAATGTATACCTGCGCGGGTGTCATGTTGTTGCGTTGAGCAATGTCCTGCACGACCTCATTTTGCAAGTAGCGTTCCACGTTGTAGTTGCCGCCCAATGGAGTGTGCGCTTGCAGGAAGATCTGGTTGGCTTCCGAGTAATGCAGCAGCTCGTCATTGGCAACACCCCAATTGACTTCGACTTGGTTGACGACGGGCTTGATCTCTGGGTCAGCGGCCAACATTTCTTCAGTGCGCCTGATGTTGAAATTCGAGATGCCAATATTCCGGATCTTGCCTTTCTTCACTTGCTCCTCGAGCTTGGTCCAAGTAGCTGCAATGTTCTCCGAGAGCTTGGCCTCTTCTACAGGATGACCAGCTTGGCCTTTTAAAGAATTGATCTGAGAAGCGTTGGGGTTGGAAAACGCGACGGGCCTACGCATAGGTTGGCGCGATGAACAGTAAGCGATCGGTCGAGCGTCGCTAACGGCCGCGCGAAGGCTCACCAGTGCACCAGATACAGATCCAGATAGTCCACGCCGAGGTCCTTGAGCGAGGTGTCTAGGCCCACCTCGACATTGTCGCCATGGAAGGAGTTCCACAGCTTTGAAGTGAGCCACAGCTCATCGCGGGGAACACCGCTCTTGCGGATGGCATCGCCAACAGCATCCTCGTTCTTGTACACCCACGCCGCGTCAAGGTGCCTGTAGCCTGTCTTGAGCGCATGTGCCACAGATGCATTGGCTTGCTCCTTGTTGAGATTGTAAACGCTGTAGGTCAAAAGAAGCGCGTGTGAGCGAAAGGTCTTCTGATCGAAGCTTACGCCGTACTCACCCAAACCCGATCTGGGGGATCTTGGCTCCATTTGCGAGCGTCCATGTCTTTGCAGAAGCCGCTCGGCGAGCGACAAGGGAAGCATGCATCGTTACAAAGCGTGAAATGGGTGTGTTGTGCGAGGAGAAGCAGTCGAGTGGGGCGGGATGGGGCAGAAGTTGCTCAGCACTTCTCGCCGTTTATGGGATCAAGACTGGTCAATTGATGATAATCCCCAAAAATTGGTGAGTGGAGTCGAGAAGAATGGGCGTCCTCTACTCGACACGAACCAGCGTATATGTCGTAGTCACAGTGATGGAGGTATACAAAGCCAGCCTGCGTCTGGCCGGGGTGAGCAAGTCAAGAACCCGGCACACAGCAGCAGCATCAAGCGCGATCGTCGCGTCTGCTGGCTTTCGCTCGCTCATGCTCCTTCTTCGCGTGCTTACCGAACCTGATGGACCCCGCTTTCCTCTGCTCTTCCGCCTCTTTTCGGTCTTTCGGCGCGCCGGGATCGCAAGCGCGCGCACGCGGGTTGAACGGACCCGCGGCCGCGTGGAGCGCAGCGCAGCGCACTAGAGCGCTCCTGGCCTGCTTGGCCAAGTATCAGCAGAGGCAGCAAGCGGCATGCGGTGTATAGCCTAGCTGATCCTGCTGCTTGATTGCTCCCCATCTCTACAGTGCGTGCCGTGCGGGGTACGAGTGAGTGGGACTCACGACTGCTGTGGAGGCATCATTGCATCTCTCTCTCTCTTACTTGCGCAAGCCTGCGCTCTAGCTGATACATCTTCAAGTTAACGTGGAGCACAGACCCATGCTGTCATGCAAGGGATCAAGCGCAGGCTAGCTGTACTCCCTTGAGTGGCTGCCACACGTACGGTCAGTCAAACGCGTATGTGAATGCCTCGACTTTCGACTCTAAGTGAATTCCGACGCTGCACTTTTGGACTGCCATTATCACCCGGGACTTTACACATCTCGAGGCTGCCATTCACTCCCTGACTGAAGTCATGCGGTCAGACTTTAGCTGATCCATGCTTGGTGTCGAATGACTTTGTCATCGAGCATCAGCATCATCCTCAATATCGGCAAATTTCTCGGTAGGCAATGCATGGGGAGAGGCGTTGTGAGAGGGATCTTGCGGAAGGCGTTGGGCCGTCGTGGTGAAGTTTACGACATCTCTACATCACTCTCCTCCTCCTCCTCCTCCCCCTCGCTCTCTTGTTCCTCGTCCTCATCCTCGTCCTCTTCCTCACTTCTTTCACTCTGCACACTGCCCTCTGTTTCCCTCTCGCGTCTTCTCTCCTCCCTCCTCTTCTGTCTGCGTCTCTTCACCCTAGACCAAAGCCTCCTGCGCTGCAAGAGTGCCACCACGAGTACTCTCTCCAACTCTGCCACGACTTCAAGCATCTTGAGCGTGTCGCAAGCTACAATGCTGGACGCTGCGACCAGAACCCTTTGTGCGCTCTCCGGAAGCTCGCCAAGCGTCATACCTCGGAAGAGGTAGTAGGAGGAACCGCACTCCAGCGGTTTGCTCGACCTGGCTGCGCGCGCCGAAGGGCGCGAGGCAGAATCGGACACGGGAACCGAAGACCATAGCTTCGAGCGCGCTTGCGTCAGCGCCTGTTCACGCACTTGACTTGGCGATGGCGCGTGTGCTTCAGTCTCGCTCGTAGCTCTATCTCGAGATTGTGCATCTTGACCTTGCACCGGCGCAAAGCTGAAGATGTCGTCCACATCTGGACCGAGAAGTTCGGAGGAGTGAGCTGCAACGAAAGGGCCTCGAAAGAGAAGTCTCGCATCATGCTGACCTTTGACTTGCCGCCACCACAAATTGTTTGGGTGGTTGGGCAAGAGGAGACTCTCTTCGGCAAAGTCTAGGAATGAGTCGACCCCTGCATCGTCCAGATCGATAATGTCTCTGAATGGCGGCGAAGGTTTGTGGATTGCAAGATGCGCATTCAACCCTCAAGCTTCCCAGCGTGTCAAGCGTTGCGAGAATGACTTACAGATCTACGTTGTGAGCTGAAGAAATGTGAGACTGAGCGCGCACATCCGACTCTTCAAGCAATGTAAGCCAGCGCAGAATATTAGGAGCGGCCGTCTCGCAGTTCTTGGGACCATCTTCGGTTTCCGTTCTGAGCAGCTCTCAAAATCAGTAATGTTGATGACGGCTAGGCGACTTTCAAGGATCAATTCACCTGGTGTAACCATCAAGACCGTAGCGCAGCTTGATTACGATCACAACGGCCGCCATAAGCAGCATGCAGGGAGACGTTGCGCGAAGAGTCTCAGGCGACATTGGCAGCCAGCTGCGCTGGAACGCAAAGCCTATACGCTCCGTGCTTTGGAACTCGGAATTTCGCTCAGATGTTCCGAGCTCGGAAGCGTCTCGGCCCACCGCGAGCATCTCTATTCCGACAAGATGGACGAGGCTCTTTGCAGCAGTGTAGAAGGTCGCTGAAGAGCAACAACTCGTCCTTTTGTTAATCAGTGTTCAGTAAAGGCTGAAAGCACAATCAGGACTTACGTGGAAGCAGAAGGTGATCTACGCAGCGCCAAAGTACAGGCGCTGCATTCAGCTGAGGAAACGTGACGCAAAAGTCGATGTTCAAGGCTTCTGCGATATTGCAAGCGCGTTTCGATAATTCCTCGATGGTGGGAACGTGCTTGCGATGGATATCGGACCGGTAGGCCTTGATAAGAGAATGATGACCTTTGCGCATGTCCTCGCATCACTCACGCGAGGCTCAAGAGCTTTGATGGCTCTGCCCGGAAGAGGTGCCACAATGTCTGGTGGAAGGGTATGCAAGGCATCGAGATATGGCAGACGGCGTTGCTCGACCAAGCTGTAAAGACGTGGCTTAGCGTGTCAGCCGGACACGGTCCGCCAACTCAGCCCTTGTTGGGCTTCGAAGGTCCAGGCTGTGCGACAACTCACGCGATGAGGTCGGCCCACAGGACCGGCACGCGTGCCGTGATCAAAGCAAGGTAGACGATGGCTAGAGTGCTCATAGTGGGGTTCACCATCGTTCTGAGTGACTGATCTCTTTCCGACACTTCTTGAGCGCGCAGCCTAGCCCGGCTGTCCTGAGCGGATGGAGCCAGCTGTGGGAGCGAATCGTCTGCGACTTGACCATAGAGATCCCCTCTTCTTTTCTCAGCGGCGCTGCTCTTCGGCGATTCTGCCGATACTGCCTGTACTCCCTCGTTCCACCGCCCGCGAGTCGAGTGTTTGCCAGTTCCCGGTGTGCGGTCACGCTTGGCACGTGACGGAGATGGTCTCTCGACGTTTTCGCGGTCATCTGAAGTCGACGAGCTGCTAGACGAGGTGGTATCGCTATCAAAGTCAGAACCGTCTGTGACCTCTCTCATGCGCCTTCTGAAAGCCCGACGAGCTTCGTCGTCTTGCCGTTCCTTGGCAGACAACTCTGCGAGGTCCTCGATCGTCTGCCCGCTCTCTTGCTCTTTGGCTCGCCGTTCCTGCTCCAAAAATGGCGCAGGACGCAACTTGGGCAGACAGGAGACGTAGAGTGCCCAAAGATCTCGCGCTATCGGCTAGAGTAAATTGCATGAGACTGTAAGTCTGATGAACGATCGTTGATAAATCCATCGAACTCAACACTCACCTCGACTACGTCTGGCAGGTCAGGCCACTCGTGATGCAAGGCTGCCAGCTGCCAGCGGAGCAGAAGCTGCAAGCATTGGTACAAAGCGAATTGGCCTCTTTCGCCATGCCACACTCCCGACTGCAATCTGTACCTCCTCTTCTTTGGTCTCTTTCTTCCCGTTCCCGTTCCCCGCTTGCGCATTCCCGCCGGGTTGAAGTCATCATCATCTGCCGTCTCTTCCCTGAAACCTTGCAGCACGTGTCCATTGATGCAGTTGATCAGACCAGTGGAGGCATCCTTTCTGAACTTGCGGACGCCGCAGACCTCGCACTCTGGACGAGCGACTCTTTGACTAGGCTGTGAAGGACCGGCTTGCGATTGTGAGGCAAGTGTGCCGGAACGCGGCTGCGAGAGTGGTCTGGACATCTCGATCTCCTGGCGCACCCTCGTCTCGGCGCATCATCATTGGGCTGAACCGCGCTCGTGCGTGCCCTTGTTCTGGTGTATTGCTGGATGGGGTTTTGGTGACGACGTGCGCGAAGCATGACCATCAAGCGCGTGTTTTGAGGCGATTCAAACACTCAAGACTCCAGACTCCCTCGTCCGGTTTGTTTTTGTGTCTCGCCGCCGCCTGATGTAGAGGTAAATATTTTAAATCACTGAATCTGAATGTTGAATCAAATCAGGAATGTATACCCAGCATAGCGAGTGCTGTGATGCATGCATGACGAGCGCGGGGATCGTGCCGCGGCCCATCACCAAATCAATGCCGCCGCGGCGTACATGCAAGCCCATACGCGCGACGCGCTATCGCGCTCGAGTCAATGAACGCGCAGCGCGTACATCATTCACTGATTGAGAGCAACACGACTTGCATATTTCAGACATCAAGAGGAGGATCATCCTTCTTCATCTTGACACACGACCATCGCGCCCCCATCTGATGCATTTGTAGCTGCAAACAGCGCATTCGCCGCACACCCGGACGGCCATGGGCCCCTCAAGAGCCGGCCCCTCAAAGGCCGACATGGACGCGTTCATGGCCCACCTCTTGGCGGATGTGGACGCGTCGGTGTTCGATCTGCCTCCATCGCAATCGCCCCCCAAGAAGCCGTGCTCCCTGGAGGCCGCGCAGTCGAGCCAACAACGTATTCGGAGCATGTCACCTGCTCGCAGAAGCCCTGCTGCTCACAAGCGACCCAAGCTCGGTCATGCATCTGCAGAGCTTCGGATGCGCACGCGAGTCAAGGACGAGCCTGGGGATGATGCAGGCTCAAGTAGCTGTCTGAGAACGTCGCCGTCAGCTCCCACTCCGTCGACCAAGCAGATCGCGGCCGAGTCTGATGAGCAGTATGATGGGAAGTCGGCTGCAAGGAGCAGAAAAGATGCCATTCGTGTGGCCAGGGAGCAGGCTGAGGAAAGAGGTGTGGGCTCTTCCGACCAGATGCTTGCTTCTTCATTCGTGAGTGCCTTCGCTTCTTATGCAACATGCGATTGATTTGCATCCTCACGAATAGAGTCTGCTGTACAAGAACAGGCACACAAGTCGTCTGCGGCAGAGTATCGCGAAAAGCGGCAGCGAGAAAGGGAGGCAGCACGAAGCTATGTACGCGCAAAGGTGCTCAACATTGGTCAGGACAATTTCATACCCGCTTCAGCGCTCTCAGCTCCGGCATCCGCTCCACCTGCCTTGATATCTGCGTCGACAGTGGATAAAATGAGAACGAGGAGACAGGTGGTGCTGAATGTGGAAGAGAGAGCTCCCTTGGACATCCGGGACAAGAACTTTGTACGAGCAGACGAACATGGCGCCCGGCGCAAAATCTATCTACGAGACGAATGGCTGAGCCTTGCAGAGCGAATTCGAGTAGGTGACTACGTCCACCTCATTGGACACTGGTCGGAGGCGTTCGACGATCTCGAAGATGCACTAAGCGTCACAGGACCCCCAAGCTCTTCTGCGTCAGCCCAAGCTGGACAGTCGAGCCAAGTCAATGGACATCCCGTTTCAAAGCCAGACTTGGCCATTGCCGAGGTCGACGAAGATGATGACGACGACATGTCGCTGTGGGCGAACTTGGACTGCACCTTGCCTTCGAGCACACCGACCAAGTTACCTCTAATGATTCTCTCAAGCTCTGGAGCCCTCGACGCAAGTGGGCATCCCCCTTGCAAGAATTTGCTCATCCTGCATCCCGATCTCCTGCTGTCTGCAACTTCAATTTCAAACGTCTCGACTTGCCTGCGTAGACCGCTTATCTCGTCCCGTCTGCGGGCATCCGCAGCGGATGGCGCAACATCCGAAGCGCTCGTCATGGGCGCCATGCTGCACGTCGTGCTCCAGTCTTGTCTGACTGGCACAGCTTTGCCAAGTACCTGCGAAGGAAGCCCCTCCCCTAGCGGCATCCGAACGCTACCATCGCTCGAGATGCCGGAGTGTTTTCCGCCCACATGGAACGGCGTGCCTCCGACCAACTTCTCGGCGTCTTTTGTCGCGGAACAGATCTGCGCTCAAGTCGACGCATGTCTCGAAGACCTCGCCGATGCTGGACTTGACACTCAGGTGGCTCGTGAGCATCTGATTGACGCTGTCAAGCCATTCGGCGAATTTGCCTTCAAGTACCTTGCCTCACCAGAAGGAGATATTCCCGTGAGTACACCGGCCAACGCATCCTGCCCTTTGGGGACAGCTCGAAAGCAGCTGACTGGTGTAGTCGGTTTTCATCTCTGCCGCCACCAGCACGATGCTGTCGCCATAGACTCTCGCTCAGAGTCACCGCCGCGCGTCCGCATACGTCGCGTACTGGAAGTGGAAGAAGATATTTGGTCACCCATGTACGGCCTGAAAGGCTTTGTCGACATCTCTGTGGAAGTCGAAGTACAAGAAACTTGGGCCAAGCAGCCACCTCCGCGACAGCATGCGTCGGGCCGAGCGGTCTCTGCCGTGTTTCTGAACGCTGGCCTTCAGCGGAATGCGGGCAACATCCATCGCGCAGCCAGCGGTCCGCTTCGTGCGTCTCAAACCACCGCCCTAGATTCGGGCGGCGTTCAAACGTTCGTGATGCCGCTAGAGCTCAAGACTGGTCGAGCTTTCGCCAATCTGGAGCATCGCGCTCAAACGATGATGTACATGCTGATGATGTCGGAGAGATATGGAACAGATTGCCAGCAAGGCTTGCTGTACTACTCTCGCTCTGGGGACCTTCATCGAGTGCGCAAGTCGGCTAATGAAATCAGAGCTCTGATCATTGGTCGGAATGAGCTTGCGAGCTACATGTTGAAGCGGAGTGCCGAACGGCGCAGCAAGGTGCTAGCAAAGCCGGAATCACAACTGCCAGAAGCTCCGCCACGCTTGGAACTCCCAGCCACCATCGATTCGGAGCGGACGTGCGGACGATGCTACGCTGTGGATGGGTGTATGCTCTATCGGCGTGCCGTGGACGACGTAACTGAAGACCCAGAGAATCCCTCACCAATCGCCGACTTGTACGACAAGATGACGGCCCACTTGACCGACGAGCACGCCGCGTTCTTTGCGCACTGGGAACGCCTGCTCACACTCGAGGAGGAGGACATCAGCCGATTCAGGAGAGAGCTGTGGACGATGACGGCAGCCGCCAGAGAGCAGAGGGGAGCAGCGCTCGCTGACATGCAACTGGTACCCGAGGAAGCATCGAGGACTGCTGTCGCCAGCCAGAAGCATAGGAGAGATGCGCGGCACCGGCATACCTACGAGTTCAAGCGGCGCGCCAAATCAGCCCTCGAGGCGGTGTTCCATTGTCCTCTGGCTCTGGGGGAGCGAGTGGTGCTTTCCGTGAGCTCATCGTTACCAGCGCTAGCCTCGGGTATGCTCATCGAAATCAGCAACTCGAGCGTCGTCTTGGCCTTGGAAAGAGACCTCGGACCAGTGATCGCGCGTCTGGACGACGAATATAACACCGGAGACTATCAGTTCCGCATCGACAGGGACGAGCTGGGTGGCAGCATGGCCCGCGTACGACACAACATAGCGCGACTATTCTTTGCGGGCGAAGCAGGTGATGAGAAGAGAAGAGAGCTCGTGGTGGACCTCAAGACGCCACGCTTCTTGCCACCTTGCGACCAGGCAATGTCGCTGCCAGATCACCTTAATGAGGATCAGCATGCTGCGATGCGACACGTGCTCAAGGCGCAGGACTACGCTCTGTTGGTTGGCATGCCAGGCACAGGAAAGACAACGACAATCTCGGAGCTCATCCGTTTGCTTGTTTCGCGCGGCAAGACGGTGCTTCTAGCTAGCTACACCCATAGCGCTGTGGACACCATCTGCAAGAAGCTGATTCGCTCGAACAGTGTCGATGAAGAGGCTACCTCTTCCGTGGATCTGCTCCGGCTTGGTGACAAGTCGCGAATAGACTCCGCCATCCACCCCTACGTGCTTGCGGACTCGGCCAACGTGGAAGATTTTGAGGCTAAGCTCTTGAAGCCGAATGTCGTCGCTACGACCTGCTTGTCGGTCGGTCACACCCTCTTTGCCAAACGGAGCTTCGACTACTGCATCGTCGACGAGGCTAGTCAGGTCACCCTTCCAACGTGTCTTGGTCCTTTGAAATTTGCACGGATCTTTGTTCTTGTCGGCGATCCTCAGCAGCTACCGCCGCTCGTACGGAACATGGATGCTAGGCATGGAGGACTCGACGTCAGCTTATTCAACCGGCTGGCTGAAGCTCATCCGACCAGCCAAGTCTACCTCACCCGCCAGTACCGGATGAATGGCGACATCATGACTCTGAGCAACCAACTTGTCTATCATGGTAGACTGCAATGCGGTAGCGCGGAGGTCGAGAATCTCTCCTTGGCCCTGCCGAAAGCGTCTGACGCTCTTGCTCGCCTACGCAGTCCCAACAACATGACTGCGGGCGTGAGCGAAACCTGGCTGCAGCGCGTGATCCAGCCAGACTGCAAGGTGGTCTTTTTGAACACGGATCATCTGCCGGCGCCAGAGTCTCGAGTGGGCGAACTTGTGCAGAACGAGGTGGAGGCTGAGCTGGTGTGTCAGATCTGCGCGGCGCTCATCCTAGGAGGCTGTGAGGCGGGCGACATTGGCGTCATCACTCCGCTGCGTCAGCAGATCAGGCTTCTGACCAACGCTCTCGGCATCAATGCGACTTCGTCCACGCCGACAGACACGGAGAAGAGCCGAAAGGGAATCGAAATATTGACGGCCGATCGAGCACAGGGTAGAGACAAATCGGTCGTGCTCGTCTCATTTGTCCGCAACAATACGATTGGGGAAGGAGGCAAGGGGAGCGTGGGCGAGCTGCTGAACGATGTCAGACGCATCAATGTCAGCTTGACGAGAGCACAGAGAAAGCTCGTCATGGTAGGAAGCAGAAAGACGCTGCAAGAGGTGCCGCTGCTGCACAAGCTTTTGGAACTGGTCGACGGAAAAGGCTGGTGCATCGACTTGGAAAGGGACGACCATAGACGCTTTTGCGCTCCTCAAGGTCTTTGGACAAGTCTTGCGAACGCAGCATCCAGCCAATCGCAATACCTCTTTGATTGCACGCCGTCTGCAACCGAGAAGCAAAATCCTGGTCGTGCTGGTGCTAGCTTTGGCCCAGCAGCGGAGTCGACCCTCAAGAATGCACCTGCTCACCATGCCGGCTCGGGAGCACTCGTCCGCAAGAGGCCGCTCTTGCGCGATATCATCAATGAGCAGAAGGGACCGACTGGAAGGCTTTGAGGCGGCCACGCGCGCCGATCCACGCTCGCTGAATGGGCGCTAATTTAATGTGTTCGCTCATCGATGACATTGCCGCGAGCCTTTGTGTGCTTTCTGATCGCATGTTGTCCTTCTCACATGACGAGTGCCTCAGCAGAGTTCGTTGTCCCTTTGGAATCACGCAAATGTGGCCAGAACGCCTTGTACCTGAAAATAACAATCAAAAGCTGTCTTGCCAGCAGTGTTGACTTATCCTTGACTTGTCGCCGACCACGTGGCTACTAGCATGTCGCTTCTGTGAGCAATCTCGAGGGATGAAGGAAATGCAAGGCCGCTATAAAGATGCAGGTCGGCAGCGCGCTGTTCCCGTCTGAAGGTCAAACGCAGCGTCCACATCATTGCATGGTCCCCGGATGGCATGACATGCTACTTTTTGAAAGGTTGGCAGGCGCTCGAAATTGAGTTCTCAGTGAGCCCATGTAAGCGGAGAGTCGAGGACTTGATGTGTTTGGAGTGGACTTACCCATTCAAGGGACTGTGCGCGCAGAGTATTTTGCCGTACAGAAGCCAAAGGTCGTCATCTTTCCACCTGTCAAATCACGAGCATAAGCGGTAGATCCACGATGCACGCACAGTTGGGTCTGACGTGAACGATCGTAAATGTGGGCGTTGGCAAAGTCCCGTGTCTCCTGCACATGAGTCATTGGATATATTTTTTCTGTTCTCGCGGAGTGCCAGTAGCATCTATGGGTTAGTGGTATACTGCTCGCTTGCCAATTAATGCGCCCCACTAGGGATCGCGTAATGAGCTTGCGGGCGACACGGGTTCGATTCCCGTTGGATGCAGTTCCTTTTGGCCGGCGGGCCCACGGCCCCCACGCCCGCATCCTCCCTTACTGATCCCATTCCTCTACTCTTTTCTTTTGCTTCTCTCCCCTCTGAACCGGCAGCATGGTCAGCAGCTGCTGTGACATCAGCTGATGCCGGCGGCTTTGGTACCCTCCGAGCACTACGCGGGAAGTTTGATCCCTTCCTTGGCAGCTTGAAACAATGATTCACTACAGACGCTTATTTCTATACGACGTCGACGATCACTTTTGTCATTGTCCCATCCCAAAAAAAAAAGGTGTGCAGCTGACATTCTAGCACCCGATCGTCGCTTCTAGTCAGTCGACCTCCTTTTTTCGGGTCTTTGACGACATCACCTTGCCGCGCGCCCCACGCAAGACGAGCGCCTTTCTATACACCGCGTTACGATATCCATAGTCCCGAGTCGCGCAAAGAAAAGAACTCGGCCAGAAGAAAAAGCAAGACGCTCTGAGGTCCGGGACGAGGGGAGATGCGTGCAGCAGCATGGGTAGGCACAATGATGAAGTTGACATTTGTTTCGCAGACATCATGATTTGCTCGAGCGAGCAAAGGACAACTCGAGGCGCGCCTCTACTTGTGCGATCCATGATGCATCGAAAGTTTGAATTGCTTTGAAAAGCGCAGCACCGCTACCGTGAAGGGCTCAGCGGCCGAAGCTGGTCGATGAGGGCTTGCGAAGCCTGGTTGCCCTGTAAAAGGTTCCTTAGTGCGAAGATGGCATGTTCGCGAATGTCTTGGGTCGGAATGAAGACGAGAAAAACGACGACAGAGAGCAGCGTGAGTGCGGGCATTGCCTGCATTTCTGCGGCCGCAAGACGTTCCAGGCAATGTGCGCTGGAGCGCAAGCTACTTACAAGGATTGTTCTCGTCCAATTGAGTCATATTGAGCACATCTAGTAGTCCGCCGCTCTCTCTGACCGCATCCTGCACCCTCTTCACCCTCGACAAGCGGGCTTCTCGCGCTGTCCGATCCTGCTCAGTCTTCCGTGCAGACGCGCTAGAAGCAGGTTCAACAAAACTCATGACGCCCAGCAAGCGCACGAGGTCTCTTTTCAAATTTTGTAATCCTCCTCCTCCTCCTCCTCCTCCTCCTCGATCCGCCTGCTCGGTCTGCTCGACAAAGGTTGAACGACTTTGGCCCGTCGAGGTCAGCACGTGACCCTCGGGTGCTGATGCCACCGAATGGTTGCTAGCGACGATGTTCTGAAATGGCGAGATTGCGGGACTGAATTTGGACGTCGAGTGCAGCAGCTCTACATCGACACCAGCAGGGTGACGAGGGTTGAGCAGAGAGAAACGACCCACGCTACAGCTCTCATGTTGGCCCGCACAGCACGAATCGAGCGCTGCGAATGCCTGATGACCACTCACCAACGACGGTTCGCACGCTTTCCTCCTTCGAGACTGTTTCGAGAATCTGGCTAGACTTGTCTTGGAAACGGTCGCCACGACTAATGGCCTCGTCTTGTGCTGACACACTCTCAGCGGCTGCAATGCAGAGATGGATCAAGCACTGCAAATGCAATATCAAGCCCGTGTGTGCCTGAGCGAGTTGACTGTGCTGGATCGTCCTAACAGCGTCCGAAGCGATAGCCTCACGGTCCGACAGGCGACGCATTAGTCCGACGGTGTAGGCCGAGAGGGTTGCGAAGCTGCTGACCAGATAGACAAGATCGGACTGTGAATCTTGTACAGCATCGTCGGACGCCGATTCGACCGACTGAGAGTCGGGTGATGAATCCGAGCAAGCGCCACTCGAACTGCCATGGACCAAGTACGCATCAAACATTTGCAACAGCGCTACTTGTCGTGCGTTTAAAGGCGGATCCTCTTCCTCCAGCTCGTTGGCCGTCGGTGCGCGAGTCGAAGAGGTCGTCTGGAAACCTTTGAGAAGTCGTCCACACAGTCCGCTAGAGAAGATGATGCTGAACAGTTCGTAGCTGCGATGGCAGGCACGAAGAGTCCTTTGGTGAACCATGAGAGCCTTGCGAATCAGTAGTGTACTTCCGCACTTACGCTATCGCGATACTGTCTGGCAGATCCGAGGGGCTCGTCTCAGGCTGAGCGTCTGCCTGCAGGTCAGCGGCTGCATTGCGAAGGACTGTCCCAAGCAGTGCGCAGCCCTGCTGAGTCAATGCTAGCCCGTAGCTGTGAGTAGCAGGTGAACACGAAGTTAGCTGACTTGGGGGTCCAAAGCGGGCTTCTAGGGCTGCACCTCTAACCTTCTTGCTGGCTTGGAAAGGAGCAAATTGTCCAAGACGATTTCGACTGCCGCACGTACACCCTTGCTTTGTAATTCGAGCAGACGGCTGTGTGATTGGGCATTGAGAGGAATGAGCAGCGGTTCGCGCAGGGGATCCAACGCGGAGTTCCGCATTGACTCGTCTCGTCTCGTGTGACTCGCATGAACAATTCCACGAAACCAACTTCGCGCAGCTTTGAGGGTCCTTCTACCTCCGGGGAGTCGAGTCCCATGCGCCGCCACAGGAGCTCGGCCGTCGACTCATTGTTGGTGATGCAATTTGCGAAGGCTTGCATGAGGGCCTGACAAAGCAGCACGGCTGCATCAAGTATTCGCACAGCAACCGGACGCACAGTCTGTCAGCTTTGTTTCGTCCTGAAGCCCTTCAGCTTCCAATAGACAAAATGGGTCGTAAGGCCACACGTACGCACCCGACTCGTTTTGCGTTGCGGTGTAGCTGGTCAGATGCCACAAAGTAGATTGCAGGTCATGCCTGAGCAACGCGGAGCTGCAAGAGTAGAATGCCGAGGGAAAGCGAGTGAGCGAGCGATTGCAATGCCGAGGCTTCGAAGACATTTCATATGAGCGACGTCGACGTACAAGATGAGCTCTTGCCCTGCTTGATTTCCTGCAGCAGCATTTCGCAAGATTCTGGCTCCAAGCAAACTTCTCTGTGCCTCTTCTTGCCGCACTTCATCTCCAACAAAGTATTTGCTTGCCACGCCAAGACATTCCGCAAGCAGGTCATCAACAAGTTGTGGTCGTGCTCGGCAAGATACGACGAACTCCTGACGCGCACGGGGTGTGGTGGCTAGCGACTTGGAGAGAGCGTTTAGGGATTGAAGCGTTGACGCGGACCATGACTGCAGGGAGACCGTAGCATGTTGAGCCTCTTCTTGCTCTTCTTGCTCCGGCATGACCGCTTTTCAATTCTTTGCTAGTGTGCTGAAGCCTCGATATTTGCGTGGGCTATGTGTGATTGATGGGTCTGAACGACGATGTGTTGAGCGCTTGTGCCCGTGTCGCACAAGTGCAAAAGGCTCTGGTTGCAATCCCGAATATCTCTCTCAAAGTCAGCAGAAGGCGTGTGCTTTATGAGGACCAAGACCTGATGATCACGTGAATGTCTGGCCTGCCGAACTCGGACCAAATTCAAGATTGCAAAGCCGCTTTTCCGCCCTGTTCGATGGACTGATACGTCGCCTGCTCTGGCACCTAAAGCTGGGGTTCTTCTTGCACTAGCCGCCAAGCATACCCCCCCTCGTGACGTATCGCTTCAATGTTGTTAGCCGGCTTATTCGTCCGCGCTTGCTCGCTATGCTCTGTGTGACTTCTAGCATTCGTGACTCTTGCTGCATTTCACCATAAACCCTCCCTCTGACCGGCGCTCGCATGCCTTTTTAAACAATGCTGAATGGTTCAGAGAGCGCACTCTTCGTCTTGGTAGATGCGTAGCCAAGAGATGTCTGCCATCCATCCATCCATCCATCCATCCATCCATTCGATTGGCGTGGGCATGCGATGCAAGAAAAAGTGGAGGTGGTCATATGCGTGCGCATATTCGAGCGAACACCGTTCCATCATCAGCAGGCTCGACGCTTTCCAATCTCTTCTTCTGCATGCAGCTATATAGCTGTGCTGTGGCACACCACCGTCACCCGCAAGGCCCACGCGCATCCACCGCGCGCGCCGCCGCCGCCGTATAACGGCCGGGGCGCCGGGCCGAACAGCATCGCGCGCGGTGTGCGCCGCGTGCCGCGCGTGCGTTTGTATATATAGGGACCACCGCGCGACTACTACTGAAATGCGCGCGTGCATGCTGACGATCGATCGATCGATCGAAAGCGTCTGCCGCCGCCGCGCCGCGCGCTGCGTGACAGACCGAAGCCCCGCCCCGCGTTCGGTCATGCAGGCGCCTCGGGCAGCGCGCGTGCGCGCCGGACCGCACACAACACGCGCGTTTGAAAGCGTGCCCGCTAGACAAAGCTCGAATCACGAATCAAGAATCTCGCGAGGAGTCACGAATCGTGAATCGTGGTTGGGAGAATCATGAGAATCAGGTGGATTTGTGATCTCTGTGCATCGGCGTCAGAGTTTGAATCGTAATTGTGGGGGGGGGCGGGCACCGCACCGTGACTCTGCCAGAGACGTGATCATCCTCATGCTCACCACCACCACCATCATTCGCTTCGTATGTACATTCTATCGACGCCAAGCACATCGAAGCGTGTGTCCTTCCCTCACTTTGCTTTTTGAACCCTCTCCTTGCGCTCAGTAGGTCTGCAACCCGCCAGCTTCATCGCATCCAACCAAGCAGTAGACTTGGCTGTCAGGCGTGATCGACTACGCTTCACACAGACACAGCACCTCTTTCCCTTGTCCATCCGCAATTCAAACTCGGTGAACTGTCGCCATGCCGTCCCAAGCATTGCCAGAGGGAGGTGCATCGAGCTCGGCAGGATCCAAGTTGTACATCAATCTTCGCAAACAGGTCAAATACCTGCTCATTGGCGGAGCGGGCGTGTGGTACTGGCAAACGTACAGCCATTGGTCAGACTGCTGGAACGGCGGTGGATGGCCAGGGTGAGTGGTGCGCGCAAGTGGTGTGAGCGAAGCGCTGCACGGATCAAAGGACGACAGCGGCGCAAGTAAAAGCAGTGAATGCGTCGCCTCTTTCTCACTCACCGCACCCTTCGTCGTCTATCCCTACTGCTCGCAGCACTTTGGCACTGCTGGCCGCTGTGCAATTGACCGCCACTGTGCTCATCTTTAGCTACCTGATGCTCGTATCTGCGAGCGGCAATGCTCCCGATGTGAGTACCTACAGCGTAGCCAAGAAGGGAGGCCTACACGCGCGCTCTGTGTGCTAGCACATGCTGAAAGATGAAGAGCATCCCATATCGCCTCGATCATTCGTCACAGTACCAGAGATGGCAGACTGATGCGCTGTTGAAGAACATCATTCCGCTGCTCACCCTGTGTCTGGTTGGCGGTTACTTGAGCTTGGCACTATCCATCAGTCCAGCCGTAGCGTGAGTTGAGAAGCATGTCACCATTGCAGCCCCGGCTCGAAGAAGGCAAGTCCAATCTCATCAGAGGCGAACGCTGATCGGCTACATGCTGCACCTGCTGTCCCCTCATCACAACTCAGCCCCGCCCCACCTTCCGATGCTCTGTCTTCGAGGCTGCTGGACGCCGCAAATTCGCTGGGTGCAAATCTTTCCACAGCGCGCGCAGGCGCACAGCTTCTGCTTTCGGACCTGACTCGGACATTGGGCTTGAAGAGCTCCTCCATTCCTGCTCCCTCGACATCCTCGTCCATCGCTTCCAAGCTGTCCACCTTCCGCTTTCGAGGGTCAGCCTTCTCTTCATCAGACAGCGGGACAGATCTGGATGTTTCTTCCCTCCTGAAAGCCTTGAGGGTCCCAGACGGAGAAGCGTTGGCTGCTCGGCTAGGCGTCGACCCAACGCTGTCCAAGACGCTCCTGAGCAATCTGGATAGAGCTCAAAGAAGAGCTCAAAGGTGGAAGGTGGAGAATATTCGGACGATCGGTTGGGTAGGAGCTTTTGCGGGATCTGCCAGCGTCTACTTTTTAGCTTTGGGGGCCGTTGGCTTCGTTGGTGCTTTTGCTGGACCTGCCAAGAGACTGGGAAGAAGGGGAAAAGACAGGCAGGCCTGAATATGCACTCGGAATTGGGTGTCTGCGCGCCCGAGATGCAAGACTTTGGATCGCGCACTGCTCCGCATCCGCCTCGACATCCATGCCGTCACCTCGCACCATCCACACGCGAGACGTATCCAGCGAGCGCGACGAGAGGGAATGATCGAGATGAATGCCCTCTGTCAATCCCGAGTCTATCTGTGTATCTACTTTTGATGCTGCTGCTGCAACTGGTCTTGTCTAATGGGTATGCACGTATCTCGCAGTCTTTGTATCATCCGTCGCAATCGACGCGGCACTTCAGCCTCTCGCGTTTGGCCTCAAAGCGATCGAGGAGGTCAAGCGCGCGTCAAAAGTGGATGGATGGTAAAACCTCGCGTTTGGCCTCGAAAGCGATCGAGGAGGTCAAGCGCGCGTCAAAAGTGGATGGATGGTATGGGTTTTTGCAAAAGAAGCGTACGTGTGCAAGTCGCTATTATTGATTCTGACTGCGGCTCATGGCAGCTCTGGCAGCTTCTTGTATCCGCGCAATCTCTCCCTCTTCCTCTCTCATACGAGCTTCTTGCGCATCCTTCATCGTCCTTTCATCACCACGCTCCACGAGCTGGGCGAAGTTTCCGTGAGCAGGAGCAGGCTCCAAAGCTCCCATCCTGATCAGCGCATCTTGCGACTGTCCCATTTGGAAGGACGGTCTTGAAGGCTGCATGCCCGAGCTGGTGCTCGCGCTTTCGTCTGAGCTGGGCGCCGCAAACGCTGCGCTCGGAGAGGGGTTGATCTTGTTTGGGATCTGCAGCCAGTCGCACAGAGCCTGCGTTTGTGGATTGGTATACCAAGAAGCTTGAGAAAGAGGGGGGTCCACGCAAACGGAGATGGATGGGGAAGATCCGCCAATCGATGATCTGATAAGTCTTGCAGCTCGACAAGCACGCGTCGTGGCAACGTCTTACTCACGCGGACCCGCTCGGGCACCTTCAGGCACATCGATGCCTGGTGCAGTCTTGACGAATCTCTGCACGCTCGCAATAGCCAACGGGTGCCTATCCAAGCCTCCCGCCTCGCCGTCTTTCTCCTTTGCGCTCATCAACTGCTCCTCGACCCACCGTTCCTCCTTTTCAACAAGACGTTGAAGCTCTGCGTCGTCAGATAGTCGATGCGGCAAGGGCGGATGCTGGTTCCTCGCCAGACAGAGCAGAGAATGCGTCGCTCGTGTTATGGCGAGCCAACGCGGAATGTATCTGAAGGCCGGCAGACGCTGGGTTTGGTGTGTGGACTCCGAAAGGGGTGGTTGTGCGCTGCTATTCTCGCGTTGCGACCCATCATGGCCAGCCTCGCGCGGCTCTGGAGCGCGTGCATGCGAAGCTGTACTAGGATGCACGGGAACAGACATGGCATATTCCTCGTCAACATCAAAAGGCGCTTCGACCTCCAAAATCTGAGAATAGGGGGGAAAGAAGCAAGCCGGGAAGAGAGAACGTCAGCTGGTCAGACGTTGCATGGAAGCTTGCCGATTCATTTTCGCACGCTGACCTGAAGGAAATCCTGCCCCGTCAGACACTTGCTGAGAGCCAGAAATTTGGTCGCGCTACTTCCATACGGTGCGTTGGCCCACGATGTGCTCGCTAACGGCTCTGCACCTTGAGCGTCGACAATTGTGTCGTGCTGGTGCGGAGGATCTTCGTCGATGTACTCGTCTGCAGGTCGAGCTGGTGCGGTCTCTTCGTCGCTCAACTCGATATCAATCTGTTCGCTGCTGGGCGCCTCTGCTGCTCTGTCTACACTCTCGTCTACTGCTTCGTCCACCGCTCCGGAGACCTCGCTACCGACGACGCCCGAGTCCAACTGTTCCGCCGATCCGTTTTCCTTGCCAGCTCTGTTTTCGTCCTGCAATCTCGTAGCTTGTCCATCGTGCTTGTACAGCGCGGCAAATCTGACGTGCAGATGAGCAGCGAACCAGTATTGCGGCTTGAGCCTCTGCAGCAAACCCATGAGCGGCGGGTTCCCCAGAGTCGAGCTGTTGATCTCGTCTGTGAAGAAGGGTTTTTTCCGCTTGAGCCAATCAGTATCGCCATGCTGTTCTATCGTGTTTGGCCAGTCGTGCGATAGGAAGCTGTGCGGTGAGAGCCGGGGACAAAGCTGAGAGGAAGTTCAAACGCATTTAACAGGGATGCGGCATGAGCCAAGGATGCCTGCTTCTCTGGTCAATGCGATGTGCCCCGCTTTCGCTGGGCACGAAGGCGTACTTACAAGTCCAAGCCGCATGACGTCGTACTGCCTTGTATGATAGGTGCTGCGCACAGTTGACCGATCGTACGGCAGCCTCTCGTACCTTGGCGCTCTATAGTCGTGGGATTTGTAGATGCCGCTGATACCGCTAATGTCGAGACCTCCAACTTGCACGCTTCCTGCTGCACCTAGATAATAGATGTTGGGCGCTAGCCATCCTCCGTGATAGCTTGACAAGGCAGAGGGTGTCACACTGAGCTTCAGCTTCAGCCACGCATCGGCGTAGGCCAAAGATGCGACTCACAGTTCCCACATGTATGCGCTCGCCTCATGATTGCCACCAACGACGAGAGTGAGATACTCGGCTTGTTTGAGACCGGTGTAGTAGTGAACAAAGTCGCCGAGCTGCTTGTACTTGTCCGGCACAGCAATCGTCTCTAGGTCTGCAACATTTCGCAGCGCTTGGAAATCGCCGCAGAGGAGAACGAGATCGGTGCGCTTTTTGGCCTGGGCGTCGAGGGAGCGGATGGAAGCGTAGATGGAGTCTAGCGCTCCGTGCGAGCAACCCTGAACAGCCACCCTCATAGCACGAATGACTGTCAATCGACTGGTGGGATTGTATCAGCAGCCAGTCACCCAGTGCTGTGTCGCTGATTGTGGAGCGCTCGCTGACCTATGCTGTGCGAGCTGCTTGACGACTTTCCACGTGATTGAGATTGCATGCGATCATGCTCTGCTCCATGTCCGACAGTCAAGAGTCTGCTGCTATGTGCTCATCGCTTTCATTTTTGAATCTTGATTCAAGATTGAGGTCGGAGAGCGTGGCCTGCCTAAAGATTTTGGACAATCAAGAATGGTGAATTCCAAGTCTGCTATTTGGAATTGTCCGCCTCGACTTACGATTCCTTCCAAGTCAAAGGCAGTGAGTAGTGCCGATATGCGAAAAAGGTGGAGCTCAAGGATCGTGCAGTGAGGGGCGCTCTAAATCCTTCACGTGATTTACAGTTGTGTGAGTGAAGACGCAGCAGCAGGGAGCACGCGGCTGTCGATTGCCACCCACGCGTACGGTGGTCTGGCGCAACCCGATCGGATTCGGGGGGGCGCGAGCGTGGCTGTGGAGTCTGGATGACTTGCATGCAGAGTCATGTCTTGGCAAACATGGGATCTGAATCTGGTGCATGCACGCGCGCGTGCAGGCTACATCGTGAATGGCACACTCGTGACTATGGCAGCGAGCTCGAGCCGGAAAGCCGGACAAGCGCCCGACCGACCGACCGACCGACTAACCAACCGGCCGACGGCGGACAACAGCGACGGTGTGGATCCGGCGCAGCCGCTCGGTCATCATCACGATTTGCTTGCTTCACCGAGAGAGAGACAGAGAAAAGGTGCATGGGTCTCAGTCACAGCGTATGAATTGCTGATGGGCGTAGCGTGAGTCGCGAGGGGGGTGAGGAGGCGGTGCAAGGTTTTGGCTGAAGCCGGTCCTACCAGGTGTCCAGACCGGGCGGTACCCACGTGAAGCGATGGTGGCGAAAGCTGTGCCCAAGCGGCCGACTTCTCGATCGAGTAGCCGAAGCCTCATCAAATCAGTCGTGCACGGGTGCTAAGGACAGCGGCCGGGAGCTTGCGTGGAAAGCCGTGAGTTATGAAGATGGGCTTTGACCAAACGTTGATTCACGATTTCCTCGTTCACCTAAAACTTGAGCACGCCATACGCGCAAGCCGCGCTCGATGGGTGCTGCGTGGGCGGAGCGTATATATATACACTTATACGCGTGCTGTAATCCTTCGCTCCCCATCTCAACACTCTGTACTCGTGACTGCATGATGGACATATACAAAGGGAGCGCACGAGGCGTTCCAAAGTCAAAAAGTCTTGGCACTCGATTCTGATGGTTGCATGCTGCTGCTCATGCACCGACGCAAGAAATCCACATCAGCATCGGCGCGCGTAAACAGCTGCAGACAACGAGTAGTCACGAGTGGCGCGCGGAGCCTCACACTTGCTGCTGCTGCTGCTGCTGCTGCTGCATTGATCCTTCTGCATGCAGCGCCGAGAACAGGGTGCGCTGCTCGAGCGACCGGCGGGCCAAATAAGGAAGGCGCGCGCGCAGGCTCTACGCAGCAGCACCTTGACAATTGACTGTACACACACACGCATCAGTTGTACTTGCAGAAACATCCTTTTGATTGCGCAGGTGAAAATGTCTTGCTGCTTCTGCTGCTGCTGCTGCTGCTGCTGGGTGGACCGATGCGATGAACACGCATGTCATGCAAGGGCCCAGTCTCCGACCGACCCGTGTACGTGCTGTTGCCGTGCACACCAAACGCAATCCACCGCGCGTTGCCGCCCTCCTCGACGCGAGCGAGTCGACGACACAGCCTTCTATTTCCGAACACCTGCGCGTAGCTCAGCTTCTCGTCGCTACAAGGCAGCACCAGCAGGTAGGAAGACGTCGCACTCGATGCGGCCTCCCGCAAGGATGTTTTGAACTCACATACCCAGAGAAGCTCCTCAAGAGTCTTGGCTCTTCTTTGCTCGTGATTCACTCGACTCACCACGCGATCGTAACCACATTTATAACGATCGCCATCTCAACAGCACTTGAGCGCCCCGTGCGACCCGTTTCAATCACGCAGACGCCGGGCTCCCTTCATCACAAGCTTCTATTGCGGGCGCGCGCGCTGTCGTCGAGGCGGCAAACAAACCATTTAAGCCATTCTCACCTCTTCTTCACCTCCCCTCCGCCCACATCGCACCAACAACCACACCGGAGACTATCCTATACGCGTTTACACCAGGGCGCCTCACCGTCTCACCTGTTCGCTCCCTCTTCTCATATCCTTCAGCAAGCGTGTTTCTTTCAATCTTAATTTCCCGCCAGCGTCCATCAGGCACATCATCCATGGCAAACACCCAATTTCGATCACCCAGGTGACACATTCGTCCAGGTGGCAACGAGCAGACCTCTCTCGTTCCAGGTCCAATTGGCTTGCCCCAGCTAGCACAGACCGCACAGCACGCACAACGCTCAGCGCACAGAGCGCCGTCCCATAACCATGAGCCATTCACGCTCGCCCGAGGACAAGGCCGGCGTCGGTAAGACCGCGCCACCGCCTTTGCCGACCATCATCACTACTCCGACACCAGACATCCAGATCCAGGCTGAGGAAGGCGGCAGTGCAGCAGCCAATTCCGCCACCTCTCCAACGAGCGGAGGAGGTGGAGTGGCACCAAGCGACTCGCATGGCAGTAGCAGCAACAGCGCGCATGCACAGAGCCACGGTCGCAACTTTAGCATCACCAGTCTGGGTCAGGCGGGTGGTCACGCCAGAAATGCTAGCCTTGGAAGCGCGGCTGGCATGCTGGCAGCACCAGGATCCGCCGGTCAAATCCCTGCATCCGCATCGTCTGCATCGACTGCCTTTGTTCCCACATCTCCCACGCTCAGCGCCACATCGGAAACCAGCTTTGGGCCGGACAGTCCTGCACCAGCCTACAAGACGTCTTTGGCTCTTCGCGACAATGACCCTCGGGCATCGCACGGCAGACAGTTGAGCGTCGCGAGTGCCTTTACTGACGCCAGCGGAGATGCCAACGGACTTGATGGCAGCAAGGCACCTCCTTCTGCCACCACTGTTCCGGCTAGCGCTAGCAGCCAGGTCAAGTTCAACTTTGGTAATGATGCGACCGCCAGCTCTCCTGCCGAGACGCACAAAGCCCTCTCATCCACGAACAAGAGCCCCACGCATGGCGCTGCTGGGGACGATACCGAGAGATCAGACGAGGCGGATGCTCGTGCCGGCACTCATCTTGGGTCTGGATATGGCGAGGCAAATGCAGAGAATTTGGGCTGGTGGGGACGCTTCAAAGTTAGCACCTCCAGCATGACCAGAGCGGGAAGGAGAAAGGCAGCTGCGGCAGCCATCGAAGCTGAAAAGCAACGTCAATACGTCATGGACCCTGCCCCCTTCCCTCACCGGCCAATCGAGCTGGGCGAGCTGGTGGATCCGAAGAGCATCAAGAAGCTGCGAGATCTGGGCGGAATTCAAGGCTTGCTCAATGCACTCGGCACGGACGAGCATGCTGGTCTTGATACTGGTGCTGGCATCAAGCATGCTGAGCAATCAGACGATGTCGAGGCTGCAGCTGCTACAGAGACCAGCAACAAGCGCGAACAGCGCAAGCCCGCCGACTTTGTGCACGCCACATTGGAGGATAGGCAGCGTGTTTACGGCCACAACGTGATTCCTCAGAAGAAGTCAAAGAGTCTTTTGCTGCTCATGTGGCTCACCTTGCAGGACAAGATTCTGGTGAGTCGAAGTGACTAACGCAGAGTCTCCGCGCAACGTGCTCATCCATACATCGTCTTCCTCAGATCGTCTTGTGCATTGCAGCTGCCGTGTCTCTTGCCCTCGGCCTCTACACCGATTTTGGCGCTGATAGAGAACAAGTGGCGTGCCTGGACCCGCCACCTGGAAGCTCGACGTGCGATGCGCCACAGATTGATTGGGTGGAAGGAGTGGCCATTCTAATTGCTGTGGCTATTGTCGACATTGTAGGCTCGGTCAACGATTACCAAAAGGAGTTGCAGTTCAAGAAGCTAAATGCAAAGAAAGAGGAACGCGACGTCAAGGTCATCCGTGGTGGACGACCAGCTTTGATGAGCATTCACGACGTAGTCGTTGGCGACGTCCTACAGATCGAGCCTGGAGAGATCATGCCAGCGGACGGTGTCCTGCTGCGCGGTCACAATATCAAGTGCGACGAATCGGGAGCTACTGGCGAGTCTGATTTGATTCGAAAGGTGCCATACGACGAAGCGCTCAAAGATCTAGAGGCACAAGAGGCCGCCTCTGCTACGGGCGCCAATCAGAAATTGCTCAAGCGCGACTGCTTCTTGATCTCGGGAACGCGCGTCATCGAAGGAGCCGGAGAGTATGTCGTCATCGCTGTTGGACCCAGCAGCTTCAACGGCAAGCTTATGATGGCGCTCCGTACCGAAGCGGAGGAGACTCCGTTGCAAGCCAAGCTGAATCGCCTCGCCGAGATCATCGCCTATGCAGGCTCAGCAGCAGGTCTACTGCTCTTCATCGCCCTCATGATTCGCTTCTTTGTCAACTTTAAGAAACATCCAGAGCGGACCGGGGATGAGCGCGGAAAAGAGTTCATCGATATCCTCATTATTGCCGTCACTGTTGTCGTCGTTGCTGTTCCCGAAGGTTTGCCGCTCGCTACCACTCTCGCCCTCGCGTTCGCCACCAAACGCATGACGAAGCAGAATCTGCTCGTGCGTGTTCTCGGAGCTTGCGAGACGATGGCCAACGCTAGCGTCATCTGCACCGATAAGACCGGCACTCTCACCCAGAACGAAATGAGCATCGTAGCCGGCAGCGTCGGCGTCCACCTCAAATTCGCCTACAATTTGGAGGAGAACAAAGGCCGCATCGAAGGGGATACACCAACGAAGCCCTCTCAACACGAAAAGATGGCTTCCAAATCCAGCTTGACCCGACGTGAAGGCAGGCAGGACTGGGCCATTGACCAGCATGAGCTTTCTTCCGTCGTCAAGGGTTCTCTAAGAGAGCTTTTCAACAATGCCATCACTGTCAACTCTACGGCGTTCGAAGAGGACCCCAAGTCTTCGGATGGAGATGCGGTCGATGCTCCAGCAGCTGTAGCGAAGTTGGCGTCCCGCTTTGGCTTTCTGCGCCGCTTGCTACCTAGCAAAAAGACTTCGGCCGACGAGGCGACCAAGGTTGCTGGCTTTGTTGGATCAAAAACCGAGACGGCCATGCTCAAGATGGCCAAGGAGCTCGGCTGGGAAGACTACAGATCTGCGAGAGCGCGCAACCAAGTCGTTACCAACTTTCCTTTCAGTTCCGAGCGCAAGGCAATGGCTGTAGTCGTCAAGAAGCCCGAAGGAGGCTACAGATTGTACGTCAAGGGAGCCAGCGAGGTGTTGAGCAAGCTTTGCGATCGCCACATCGTTGTGCCCGATCCTGACTCTCAGGAGAGCGAGCAAGGCATCATTCAAACAAGCGCATTCAATGAGGAAGCACGGGAAAACGTTGCCAAGACGATCATCTTCTACGCCAACCAAATGCTCAGGACCATTGCTATTTGCTACCGCGACTTTGATGACGAGCAGTGGCCACCCCGCGACGCAGAAGTGGACGAGGACGGTACCGTCAAGTATCGGTATCTGGCTCAAGACCTGACTCTCATCTCAGTCGTTGGTATCGAGGATCCACTACGTCCGGGTGTGCGATCCGCCGTGGCCAAGTGCGCCGAAGCCGGTGTGCAAGTTAAGATGTGCACTGGTGACAATGCTCTTACGGCCCGATCCATTGGTACCCAGTGCGGCATCTACTTGCCAGGCACCATTCTCATCGAAGGGCCAGCTCTTCGCAAATTGACAGACGCGCAGTTGGAGGAGCTTGCACCTCGTATCTCGGTACTTGCACGCGCTAGCCCCCTCGACAAGGAGCGCCTCGTGGGTGCTTTGCAGAGACTGGGCCAAGTCGTCGGTGTCAGCGGTGATGGAAGTAACGATGCGCCAGCGCTCAAGATGGCCAACGTCGGCTTCTCCATGGGTATCGCAGGTACTGAAGTCGCCAAGGAAGCCTCAGACATTGTGCTCATGGATGACAACTTCGCCTCCATGGTGTCTGCTATCATGTGGGGACGATGTGTCAACGACGCCGTCAGGAGGTTCTTGCAATTCCAGCTCACTGTCAACGTGGGAGCTGTGCTGATCACATTCATCAGTGCGGTAGCATCGGACGAAGAGGCTGGTGTGCTTGGTGCTGTCCAATTGCTCTGGCTAAACCTCATCATGGACACTCTCGCCGCTCTCGCTCTTGCTACCGATCCGGCATCACCGGAATTGCTCAAGCGCAAGCCCGACAAACGCTCCGCCCCCCTCATCACCGTGGACATGTGGAAGCAAGTGCTTGGGCAAGCCATCTATCAAATCATCCTGGTCCTCGTGTTGCATTTCAGGGGCAACGACTTGCTCAATCTCAACTCGGTCTTTGAGAATGAGACGGATCCTCTGCGTATCGAAGCTTTGGCAACCAGGAACACACTGTACCTCAATAGCGTCATCTTCAACACGTTTGTGTGGTGCACGCTGTTCAACATGGTCTCTGCAAGAAGCCTTACGCGCGAGCTTAACTTCTTCAAGGGCCTCCAGAGGAACCACTGGTTCGGCGCGATCATGGTCGTCGAGGTAGGCCTGCAGACCCTCATCACCTTTGTCGGCGGCGCTGCCTTCGGCATTCAAAAGGGACTCGATGGTAGAGGATGGGCAATAAGCATCGTTGCTGGTCTCGTCACTTGGCCTCTTGCCACGCTCCTGCGCCTTTTGCCGACCGCGCCTCTGGAAAAGATTGCCATTCGTCTGGGCGTCTACCCTGATTCCAACGCTTTGCCGACGGTCAAGGGAACCACTTTGGAAGAGCAAGAGAAAGCAGCACGAGAGTACGGCGAGCCGATGGGCAATCTCGCCGAGCGGCTCAATGCCTTTACGCGCATTCGAGGCGGCAGATCGAGGCTTGTGAGGTTGAGTTGGAAGTCCAAATCAAGGAGAATGAGGGATGCGGATGTTCATCCTCAGACCTTGATGGCCCTCGTACCTGCCATCGTCACGGCTTCCATCGGTGCGGGCTGGAGACCTACAAACCCACCCAACGCATCGTTGGCCGACCCCGCTGTTGGGGATCCGAGCGTCAGCAGCTGGCAATTGTATCAAGGTGCGATCCAGATGCATCCGGAGACGGACCGCAACGACCCTTTCCTCAACACGGTCGGAGCCAAACCGGATGACAAGCAGCAGTGAGCCACGGGGTGAGCTCAAAGAATCCAACCCATGTAAATATTGCCCCCTATTCCTTTCGCTCTGTACATATTTTTACAATTCCATTGCACGTGCATTTGCGACGCAGCATGCAGAAAGAGAAGAAGAATTCCGCTCCCAAAAACAGTACAGTCACCTCTCTGCAACTTGACGTCGACGACGACGACGACGACGATGTGCGCAGCTCTGCCCCTTCGTCATTGCGTTCGATCCGAATTGTACATAGCACAAATTGCATCGCTTCCTCTCGACTTTGCATCTAATTTACAATGCCACACGACATGCCTAATGCTAAAAAGTCTCTGATGCTGTTCGCGATTGTGACAGGTGAATGTGCTCTGCGAAGACTGACCTGCTTCACGTTCCTGCCACAATCACACACACACACACACACACACACACACACACACACACACACACACA